GTTTTTAAAACCTTTCTCTGGTTGGTTAATATTCAACCCTCCTCCTGATTGGTTTTTAAAACCTTTCTCTGGTTGGTTAATATTCAACCCTCCTCCTGATTGGTTTTTTCAACCTTTCTCTAGTTGGTTAATATTCAACCTTTCTCTGGTTGGTTAATATTCAGCCTTCCTCCTGATTGGTTTTTTAAAACTTTCTCTGGTTGGTTTATATTCAGCCTTCTTCTAATTGGCTATTTTAACTTTTCTCTGGTTGGCCAATATTTAGCCTTCCTTCCTGATTGGTTACTTAACCTCCTTTGAATGGTGCGTTTGGTATCTGCCCTTCACGACACGGTCACTATTGTTGTCTCGATAACTCTCTCTTTGACTCTGTCTTTCCTATAGCATAAATACCCTTATCTCGGCCACCTGAGAAGTGCTCTGCTTATACCGTGAGTCGATCTATCTCTTTCTATCCTCCAGCGTCCTAATTTGTATTATGCCAGAACCATCATCGGAGAGGTCGTTGCCTCGGGATACCAATTTCAACTCGACCAGCCTAGACCAAAGAAAGCGAGATGTTCGAGATATCCTTTCGTCCTTCGATGTAAATGATCTCCCGTCAGAGTATTGTTCGGATATTTGCATTCGCATCACGAATGAACAAAGCACAAGACCGAGTTCAGAATGGACGGTTCTCGGAGATTTGCGGGCAACAATGCTAACTTGGGGAGTCCACGACTATCATAGCTGGACCTTCATCAATAAATGGATACCCGAGGAGACTCGAGCTCTGCTCTTTTGCGAAAAACTACAGAGGCGGTTCCAACAAGAATTCGACGGGTATGATAAGATGGCCAATTCTATAAACGAACCAGAAGCGCGGTCCCAGTCTCCGGCACACGTTTCGTCCAGGATCGCCCAGGCCGCCGGGAAAATTAACTCCCTTGTGGCCGAGGCTCTGCTTGATCTCGACTTCCGCTCTGTTGGACAGAAACACACTGCGAGAGTCCTACTGAAGGCGATCGAGGAGATCTGCATACGATCTAGGAAAGTCTCCCCTGCGCTCCTGGAAGGAGACCCATTGATCTCAGGAATGGAACTTGAAATCAGCCTCTACGACGCCTTAATTCGTCGACCGCCTGCAACAACGCCAACGGTGATATTGGAAGCACTGACAAGAGCGTTTGACATTTCACCAGGGCTCTTGCAGGCTTTAAAAATCCGATTCGAAGCCCCCGATATCCCTTCTACGTATGGGCAGCGATTTCAGGAACTATGCACCCAAGCTGGAGTAATCTTGTGATGTGTAAAGCTGGAAGTGCAAGCTGAGAGATTATGCGGCCCCCCCGTTCCACCCGGGGAGGGGGGATATTATGAATTAACCCTGTCAAACGTGAGTCCTCCAAAGAGGGGACTTAAGAAGCGGCGCAACACTGCAGATCTAGGTTTGCTCGGTGTATACTCACTTGCTGGTATACTCGACCCCCAACCATTGATATCTTTGGAGTGGAAACGAAGCAGGAGATGCTCCTGCTTCCCTCTTACTCTCTCAACGAGCGGAGTAATCTGTCATGAATGCCACGAATACCAAGACCATGGGCCTATATGTATATAGCACGTGGCACGCAGGTTATCCCATTTCGATTCTCCGGCTTTGAAGTTGTTGTCAACCTGCACCTGTCCATAGATAATACACTTATTTTCAGCTGCTGGTGAACCATCCCCAACATCTAAGTTCTTCTTCATCTTCGAAACATATTTATGTCGGTGATCAATCTTGTCAGCCTCTCTACGCGCGCCATTCTAGTAATTATTAGCTTCTACACGAGTAAAGAGCAGTTCGACCGCCGTGAATTCATACTCACTTAGCTAGCCTATAGCGGTAGCAGAAGGAATGGAACCCTATTAGATGGTTGGGGGAGGTTCTGGAATGATGGTAATATTAGGATCGCTATTCGAGCGAGGCCGTATTCAAGAGGAGGAAAGCTCGTAGCTCGAGGAGGCCAGTATTGGGAATTTATGCTTCATTAGAAGAAGGGGACGTAAAATTAGAGAGTCTAGTTAAATGAGAGAATAGGAAAGCGGCCGAAAGTTGCAACGGCATCAAAGAGGGAACACTTAGAACGCTGCTAATTTTAGATCCTCATCGACGCTGTGCGAAGTTCAGGATGAGTGCGCGAGGGTCAGCGGTTATAAAAGTTGCACGACCTGGGTTAGTCGCACGTGACCACGGGCCAAGTTTTGCTTATCATTTGGTGCCAAGCCCAGATTCATCCCGTGTAGCCTGCAATTCTGGGCAGTGAGAAACTTCTTTCCAATTATTGACACAACCGGACAACCATCACTACCTCTCTCTCATCGTTCAATCTCAGTTGTTTCCAGCCGTGCACTTGGGCACGCTCGCCTTGTGAAGTACAAAGGCCACTGCTATTGAAATCGGCTCTCAAGTTAAGCGCTTCAGGGCATTGCCATTGCAAGGGTTTGCCTGCGCACGCCCTGCTTCCAATTCCCGACTCTGACCACGTCCAAGTGAACTACTCCATCCTGCGTCAATCAACGCTTTCATCAAGCATTTCACCAACTACTCCTCAAAATGTCAGGGCTCGATGTCGAGGCGTTGCTCGACTCCACCGCCACCAACGATATCAAAGGCAAAGACTCTCCCCGCGATAGTGATGACCGTCACCGCAGTGACCGCTCCGATCGCCGTGACAGAGACAAGCATCGCGATGGCTCTCGTGATCGCGAAAAGGACCGCAAGAAACGAGATCGAAGCCGGGACCGAGACCGAGACCACCGTCGAGATCGTGATGATGAGATGAAGAGCCCAAGAAGCGACCATGGCAGTGCTAACGGCAGTCACAGAAGCAGCAAGAGGAGAAGCCGCAGCCGTGATCGGGATGACGATAGAAGACGCTCCAAACGAGATGATGACTACCAGCGTAGACGCTCTCGATCTCCAGAGTACGATCGCTATTACCGACCGGGCGGACGATCCAGGCGTGATGAGGATGACTACCGACGCGATCGTGACCGGGACCGACGTCGCTCGCCAAGTCCCAGAAAGCGTGTCAAGAGCAAGACTCCCGAGCCACAACTTACTGAGGATGAGCGTGACAGGAGAACCGTATTTGTCCAGCAACTCGCCGCTCGCCTGCGTACCAAGGAGCTGATCCAGTTCTTCGAAAAGGTGGGTCCTGTTACAGAGGCCCAGATTGTCAAAGATCGAGTCAGCGGTCGTTCTAAAGGGTAAGCTACCAACTCCCGCAGGGTGCAGTCTCATGCTAATGCATCTACAGTGTCGGCTATGTCGAGTTCAAGAACGAAGAGTCCGTCCCACTCGCCATCCAAATGACCGGACAGAAACTCCTCGGCATCCCCATTATTGCACAACTCACTGAAGCAGAAAAGAATCGACAAGCCCGCAATCCAGAGGCTACAAGCAGCAACCATAATACAATCCCTTTCCATCGTCTCTACGTGGGCAACATCCACTTCAGTATTACTGAGCAAGATCTACAGAACGTATTTGAGCCATTTGGTGAGCTCGAGTTTGTACAACTGCAGAAGGACGAGGGGGGTCGCAGTCGGGGTTATGGCTTTGTGCAGTAAGCCTTCTCCCCGGGTCTCGGTCCCTCATCTGCTAATGCCGAATAGGTTCCGTGACCCGAATCAAGCACGTGAGGCCCTCGAGAAGATGAATGGTTTTGACCTCGCAGGCCGCCCAATCCGAGTTGGACTTGGAAACGACAAATTCACCCCCGAGTCGACCGCCAACCTCCTGCAACGCTTCCAAGGCCAACATCCACCTGGCTTTCAAGGCTCGGCATTCTCCGGCTCTGGTGGCCGTGGCGCTCATGCCGGAGGGTCTGGCGGCACATTTGATCGTGCAGGCGGCCGTGACAACGAAAAGGGAACGGGTGGAGCAAGTGCACTGGATGATACAGATGTCGCTGGTGTGAATTTCAACAACTATAGCCGAGATGCATTGATGCGGAAACTCGCTAGGACAGATGACACATCTGCAGAGACCGATGCCAAACGCGCTGCCGTGCCCACCAAAAAGGAAAGCAAGCCACTTCCTGTCAATGTCAGCCAGGCAAGCAGATGTGTTCTGCTTCGCAATATGTTTGATCCTACCGAGTAAGTTTCTCTTCTTGGCAGCCCTCACATTGTACCTCGTACTAATGCTATACAAACAGGGAAGAAGGCGATTCCTGGATCAAAGAACTCGAAGACGACGTGCGTGCGGAATGCGAGGAGAAGTACGGTCACGTCGTGCACATCGCCCTCGACCCTAACACCCAAGGCGACATCTACCTCAAGTTCGAGCGCGTCTCTGGGGGGGAGAACGCCATTAAAGGGTTGAACGGGCGTTATTTTGGCGGTAGGCAGATCAGCGCGCAGCCCGTCGTTGACGCCGTGTACAGCAGTTTGTTCTCTAGGACGAAAGCGCTATGATTCGCCCCAGCTGCTGACCTTCAGCCTCCCAATCCGATCTCGGGTTCCGCCCGCAGACGGGTTGAAGAGGAAGAGAAATTGGGTGGCAGCACAGCAACTCTCCCTCAATCATTCGCCTCGACCCCCTAAGTGCATACGATGGACGTGACTTAGCCAGTCAGCCCACTACCTAGGTGGAGAGCATATTCATCAACGTCAAACTTTTGTGGGGGAGGCTGAGGATGAAGTGTGTGGCTCAAGGTCTATCGTTCGTTGGCGAATGCACCAAGAGACCGGACGAATGTGCTTCACCAACTCCCTACGGCTCAAAACTGTGGAAGGTTTGACTGCACGGGAGTCTTCCTTGCGGTCTGGACAGAAATTCTATTGACTTTCTCATTAGTTCAAACACGCTGAGCGTTTCTAGCAACCGGTTCGAAAGCAGAATGTCTTGCGTTCTTGATTTGGATTGGAGTAGGAAGGCTGGGATTGCTGCTCGGTAGGTCGGCCTTGTGATTAATTTTGCAATTTGATGAATCTCAGAAAAACCATGGGATGAGACCGCGAGATCCAGAAAGAACAAAATCATACCGCAGAAACATATTGTTAATAAATGGATTTCGCTTCCACTATGACGTGTCTCTTTCTTTCTAAGTATGATAACAACCCCATAGCTTAGGCCGGGACGATTTGAATGAATGTCCTCGTTCCGCTCTGCCTCTCGAACGAACCCATGGGAAAAGCTCGGCGTCTAGCAGAACTTCTCCTTCCGTCAAGGGGTGTCAATCTTGATCTTATGCAACACGCACAAGCCGAACATCAATGCCCAAGAGGCCTTTTGACCCGCAGAACACAGGGTAGCCATGAGCCAACCCTAATGGTCCGCCACAGCACCAACACACCACTATATGCATAACACACAACAGGACCTAGCCATTCAATGGATCACGCAATCTCGGGCCGGGATCTCAGCCCACCATTAATCTATGTACCTCTGTCTTGCTCTGTCCTATGTGTGTGCCAAGCAAGAACTGCGCCAGATCCCTCGGCTGTCAGAGATGGAGGAGGTTGGACTCGTGAATTGTCTACAGAGGGGTGAGGTCAGCTACTTACCTAGGTACTCGGTATATACATAGAGTCGGCAACAAAAGACAAGGCCGGGTATGGCTTTCTGATATCGAGGCCCGGCCATCTATCTATGGGCGTTCAACGCAGGACGCAAAGTGCTTCTATCCGATAGCTACGCGAGGTACAGTCCGCCTAACCCATAACCCATACCCGTAATCCGCGACCCGTGCTTGAATATTGTGTGGAGACTGAACTTTTAGAATGGCGATAGTTTATGGATGGAGAGTTTGTTTCGAGGTCTTCTACACGAATGTACGCATCTCAAGCCCGGGAGGGAAGACTTGCGCTGACTGACGCCCTTTTCTTTCCACGGCGTCGGTGCAGGGCATATGATACGCACATATAGATATAGCTACTACACAGACACAGCTACAGGTACCTCAGCTGGTCACGGTTTTCTCGGACCATGTTGGGAGTTCGGCGAACTCGCGGATGTAGATTCTATTCTTGAGCTCTGCCTTGAGGGCGCGTTGGATCTCACTCGGGTATTTGTGGAATAGAGACGCGGCAGGTAGCTATCTATGAGTTGGTCCAGAACCAGGCTCGGCTCTCGTGTCGGGTATGCAGCGAGTTGGCTAGATTATACTCAAGTCGTTAGTTTGGCAATGACCATGTTGAAAGGATGTGTAGGTGTGGTGGGTCCTCGCACCGATGCTAAAGGCATCACGAATGCGGTTAGTACAGGATAAACCATCACTAATCGACCAAGGCTGGAATGGATGCTTGACACGATTGACGCCATCTCATTTATTATCTACGTCGTTCAAGATATGGGGAAACAATCGATCTCGAGTGCGCGGTACATCGCCGACCGGAAAGTTTTCCAACCTGTCCAACGGATGCTTCGCAACTCCGAAGCCCTTTCTTCTTGGAAACGTCTCGCATTAGTCAGGAGTATGGTTCTCACACGAATGAAAGCGCCCAAAAGGCAGAACCTTCTTGCTTCCACCATGGGAATCCCCTGGTCCATGTACTCCTCTCAAAGCTCATGTTCCAGCAATTTGTGCCTTCGCCTTGCGGCTACAGCTTCTCGTGCTGTTCTTGTCTGGGTATATACTGGCTCTAGTACTGCGAGGAAATAATAGTCCGCGTGCGAAAACCCGACGTCCTTCCATATCGGGTCTTGTCTTCGCGGTAGATTCGCCGATCGGATTCCTGTCGTGCTTTAAGTCATGGCGACTTGTGGGGACCAACAATTTCTTGATCAAGAAGGTGAGAGAGCCCTTCGGGTCGTTGTTATTTCCAGCCGATGTCCTGGGTCTGTAAGCCTCTCTGGCAGTCATGTTGCCTTCTTGGAGAATGAGGTCCTTCAGCAACACAGGCTCTTTTGCCTACCAGTTAGATGGATTCCAGTAAGCTTCTTTTTCAGGACTTGTAGCATATTGCGTGAGGAATGACTCTACCTCGACACTGCTGTTAACGGTAATATCTGCAGCGAGCTATTATTACAGCGGGCTTGTGTGAATGGGTCCTGGACCGTTACCCATGTTGAAGGCTCTCTCTTTCTTGATCTTGTCATGTACCCGTGTGAAGAGGCTCATCCCCCTAATCATCTCAGGCATGGCGGTCCACACATTCGCCATTTTTATCCTGTCATCTCTTTGAACCGTTTGCTTCGAAGGCCATTCTCAACCAAGATGTTCTCCACCAGGAAGGTGCAGGAGAAACTTCAGGGCCTATGGTTGATGCTTCTACTGGGGAGAAGGTCAATCACTTACTCCCGTGGAAGCTTGTCAGTATTTTTGCAAAGGCATCTGACGATTGGGTGTACGGGCTTACCCTTGGCTGAGCGCTCTTGTAAAGATCAGATCTTTTGTGCAAGGTTCCAATAGCAACTGCCCTGGTGTCCCTCCCGTCCAGCCTCTGATTTGCTTTGTGGGTGAGATGTCAGTCATAGAACAGAACTGTTGTGCGAGTTGTTCTTCCTTTCTGTGCCTTGTTCAAACCCTAGCATGGTGGTTTCTGGCGTGGGCCGACGACGAATGAGGAGGTTGAGGCATGGGAAGAAAGGCTTTGGGCTTTGATCAAGAGGGAGTATCTACTCTGGCCTCAAATGGGAGCTGTGTGTTCGTGACGAGGAAGATCGAGGTAGAAAGATCGAGAGGGAAACATAGAGTCCTGGCCCGGCGGTGGCAGTTGGTTGTAGTGTAGTATCCAAATAGAAACATTGTCTTCTCTGTCGTAATGGTGATGGGCCTGGATGAAGAAGGACAGGAACAAGTCACAGCAAGGCGTAGCATACACCTCTAGGGCGAGGTTGTGCAAGAGGTAACAGCTGAGTAGCTGAGGAGGGAGAGGGCTTGTTCTCTTCAGCTGAATGCTCTGACTCGAGGTCAAGAAGCGGGAGCAGAGGTTGACCTTGCCCTTGGAATAGATATCACTGAGTCCCTTGCCGAGCGTTTGATCAAGAAAGATACCACAGAAAGAACAAGGATCAACAGAGAAGATCAAAGTGACCATCGTTGTGACTTGTGCTCGCTCAATGGCCGCAGTGATGACCCTCATTAGCCGCGTGCAGATTGCTCCTCTCGCTCCCTCTGTGAGCCCCTGTGAGGCCTCCTCCCTCCATCTTGCCCCCCCGATCACCTCAGCCACATGCCTGGGCCGCTATTGCGCTCTCCAAGCTTTCTTTCCTCTTGTTAATGCGGCTGGTGAGCGTCAATCGCGCCCGTAATCGGTATAGCCCACGTAACCCCGTCACGTCAGCGTACAAAAACCTCTTCTCCGACCTGCAAACCTTTTCCTTTTCATTCTTCTTTTCACCTACCACCTCCTTTCAATCCCGTCGCCGTGGACGTCAACATTCTGTTCTCTCTATCTTTCCTCCTTGTGGGGGCTGACAAGCACACAATGTTAGAACGCGAGGCACAGAAGCATAAATTGCTTCTGTACCACTTGCCATAACCTCGGTGCTAACGTTGTGTGCTTGTCAGCCCCTTTCACTTTATCAGCTATCGGCAGAGCAATTTATGCTCAAAAATCAAAAGGTAATGTCCGCAGAACTTGTTTCTGGATGCAAATCTCAACTCACCATGGACAGATCATATAATTAGTGAGATACTCATTCCATTGAGTCTTTGTGTCATCTCGTCCTTTGTTCCTTTGGTTTACCTTCTGGGCACACATCATCCCGGACAACGTGAAAGAGGAGGAAAACCAGACTGTGTCTTCTCGCATGCACAAACGTGACACAACGCTGGTGTCTGAGAGCTGGGCTGGTTGCTTGAGCGTATGGCATACGCCCTGGCTGGATTCGCCTCCTCGACAATGACAAAGTCAACTTCACCCTCCATTCTGGATTGCAGTTCATCGAGACAAGATTACCTGAGCACCTCTTGGAGCGATGTTTTCCATTGCCGTTGCTGCCGCCAGATCATCCAGGAGCTGGAGCCTCACCTATGTCCAGGTCATGGACTCTTACACATCAGCCTTGGCTTCTGCATGCACCTCAAGCACGACGGCATCCCTGGACAACCATGTTACCAGCCAAGGGTGGCCGTGGTTGGCGGTGTCAGTGAAGTGACAAGTCGTCGTCACTGGCACTGGGCTGCCTGAGCATGTGCCGTGCCTGTGAGGATACTTAAACCTCCTTGCACCTCTGGACTGTTCTGTACTCTCTTCCTCCTGGCATCGCTCATTGACGTATTCTCTTTGGAGTTGTTGTCGTCCTTCTGCAACTCTGGCCCAGCACAAAGGCACATCACAGGGCATTGGTTAATCAAAAGCACTTCTTCCACAGAACAAAAGTCGTTGTTTGAGCAGCGGTCCGGCAGTCTGGCAGTTTGGGTGCTTTCCACGTCGTCCAGCTCGGCTTGGCGTCCAGAGTTATAAAAGAGCGCACACTGACTTCCCCCTCAGCAATTTTCTTCCCTTTTACAAGGTTGATCACTGATCCGTCAGGGTACGTCCTCTCCCCCCATTGCCATGGGCCTGGCACTCCAGCCATCACCTTCACCGTTCCGTCACCATCATCTCACGGTCACCATCCACAGCACAGTGCCCCCTCAGCAGTCTTGTCCTGAGGCAGTAGCAGAGCTTATATCAGTCTTGGTGCACAGACCGGTGAGACTTTCACTGCACATTGCTGCCCAAAATCTCTGCCTTTTGACGCTTCGGCTCGCTGTTTCTTTCCAGCGGTCCACTTTTTGACACTCTTCACCTCAACCCTTACCAATCGATCTCACCTTCTTCCCATTCGACCTCTGCTCATCCAGTCTCTTCTGCAGACCAACATGGCCGGTTATTACGGCCGTGACACGCCGTTTGCGGCCTCTGTCACGTCCCCCATCATCGAGCAAGCGCAGACCAGACTGTGCCAGTCTGAACGCAATTACTCAAGAACCCAACAAGATCTCCAGAATGCCATGCGCATTCGAGCCACAACGCCAATGTCGGCGGTCGAGAGCAGTGCCAAAGACCAGGAGATCATGTCGCTGCAACTGCAGCTGCATGAACAGGAGGCGGAAATAAAGCGCTTGCGAGAAACCATCACAAGACAGCAGATAACCATCAAAACTCAAAGCGAGGCCATTGCCAACCCGAAACAACACTATGCCACGCCGACTCCCAACCGGTTCGGAGGTAACCAACAGTATGGCCCACACCCAAACCTTCCACTTCCTCCTCCTCCACCTCCACCGCCAATTTTCACCACCGGAAATGCAATCACATACACACAGCCTCATCCTGCCATGCCTGCACCTTCCCAACCACAGCAGCCAAGCAGCACCCCTTCTCCTTTTGACGACTCTGGCGCTCGGCGATCCAATGCTCTCCCCACGAGTCAGTCACAAGGACCGCAAATGCATCATCCACAGCCGACTCCATTCCGGCCATCTGGCCATGTCAACGAGTTTGGTTCTCCTGAGCCAGCAAGATCATACAATACCAATTTCACCATGAAGACGACCCCCACCGGGCCGAGCAGCGGAACTCCAGCTTCGGCTTCGGCAGCCAGGATGCACACTCGTGGAATGCCTAGCACAGCTCTGCAGCAGCAACCACAAATGCCTGCTTTCCCCAGCCCCATCGCTCTGGTCTTTGGGCCACACCTCGTGGTTTCAGATGCTGTCGTTCAAAAATTTGGAAATGTGATTCACATGGCGGAAGTATATGCTTTCTCCCACGTCAACACACCCAGCACCCAGAAAGATAACGCCATGCCACAAGAGGTCAAGGACAGGCTGATGAGAGCTTCATCCACCACTTCGGCGTTCCAGTTCATGCAGACACCATACACACGCTACATGCTCGTCAACAAGATCATTGTCCAGTTCATCATCAGGACCATCCTCAAGCATGACTGCTTTACGGGGTTCGATCCAGAGGCTGACCGTGTCATCGAAAACTGCAAAAGTCAAATGTATCAGAGTGAGTCCTCAATGCTTGCCCACTTTGTCACTCAAACTTACTGACATGGGGCCCCAGCTACCCCGGCTCAGGTCAAATACCAGCTCCTTGCCACCATGGCAGAGCAGATCCAGAAACTCAAGATGAACCCCCATTTTCAAAATTTTGTCAACAATATTGCACGCAGTCGCGGTAATGAGATCTGGAAGGTGCTCAAGCCAATGATGCATACCAAGACATCGCGAGACTGGGACGACTTGCACGAATTAATGATCAACGCACATCAACTCGCCCAGATGATGTTTTCTGGTTCGGAAGAATACAAATTTGACTTCCCCGTGATGGGCCAGCTATTCAGCAATTCTTGGATGGAGCCTCGCGATCCGTTCAGGAACTTTCACAGTCCGGAACAACTGGAAGCCATGGGCGCGACGGTCAGACTTGGAATCACACCACTCATCAGCGTCCGGTCCAGCACACCGTCGGGACATGTCAAATCGTGCTGCATTGTGAAGGCGTTTGTTTTGATAAAGGCAGAGAAGTAGGAGGACGGTGGCGGAAAATATGCTGGACTTCATAGAAATCGATTTTTAGGGGGGCGGGGGAAAGACATGCCAAGACCCGAGCAAATGTATGGGGCTCCCATAGAAATTAGATGGTTGGCAGATGTAGAATTCCCCAAAGGGACCATAAAGAAGGTCATTACTAACAATAAAAATACAAAAAAGAAAAGAAAAATGGCTTCACCACCACAGTGTCGTTCCCCGTATCAAACCCACCCGTCAACAGCGGTTCCCTATGGCATCCGCTTCACGTGCTTTCAAAGCCCCTTATGGCAATGGCACAGAGCGTCGTCCACATGCAGGTCCCTCCCTGCGCATCCGTTGGACAGTCAGCTCCTGTCAGACATAATAAAAAGCAAGGCTGAAAATAGCAGCTGTCGTCATAAAGAGGCTAGAAATCCGGGGAATGGCCGCTGCGAGGGTGTCTTGCCACCAGCGCTGGTTGGATCGCTCACCAAGCGCCCACCAAGCGCCCACCGAGCACAACACCAGGCGTCGCCTCTCGCCTCGTAATCGGAACGCGGGGGAACTAACAACGTCGCCATAAGGAAACAATGGCCGCAACCACACTGACTTCGATGACCGGCCTCTGGCCTGGAGGTGCCTGACAAAAACATAAATGTTGCCTCAGTAGGAACAATCTGGATTGGGGTGTGTGCGCGTCGTTGTTGATTAGCCACCGAGCTATTTCTCAGATCCAAGACACGTCGAGTTCCAGAGATACGGGGACAAAAATAGAATGGTGGTTGACAAACTCCCTCTACCTGCATGGCGATAACTACACTGGGCATTTTGAGAAGCAGCCGCACGTTGCCGGACGATGGAGCATGGCCAGCCAGGTTATATATCCCGACACCTCCAGGCTCGGTCTGTCCCTGACTTCAACCGTCACCCATACGAAGCCTTTTCCTACTCTACGTGAAACGCCAATAACTCATTCTCTTCCCCATCCAACATGATGCGCAGCTACGTCCTCATCTCCCTTGGTGCTCTAGCATCGGCAGCGACGTTTGACGTCAACGTTGGCCAGAATGGCTTTACGTATTCTCCCGACACCGTCCACGCCGCCGTCGGCGACACCGTCAACTTCCACTTCTACCCGGGTGACCACACTGTCACGCAATCGCCTTTCGACACTCCATGCCAGCCTGTCTCGGGGAATGCTATCAACTCTGGCACCATCAACTCGAACTCGGGCCAGGCGAGCACCATGTTCTCCATGAGAGTGAACACCACCGACGCGATATGGCTGTATTGTGGCCAAGTCGGGCATTGCGCTGCAGGAATGGCCATGGTGATTAACCCACCGTAAGAGAATACTACACTTTCGTAACGGTGTTGAACTGCTCCCGCTAACCCCTGAACAGGTCTAACGGCAACACTCTTGCCGCCTACCAAAAGGCCGCCAGCGGCCAATCGGGCCAAATCCCGTCCAGCGTCTTCGGGGGCGTCATCGTCGCCAACGTGGATAATGCTGGCGCCAGTTCCAGTTCCAGCTCTTCAAGCTCGGCGTCTTCCTCTAGCTCCAGCGCCTCTGGATCCTCCTCGCCTGCAACCAACTCCGCCCCCACCACCGCCGCCACCACCACAACCGCCGCGACAATGACGACCAGCACAGGCGCCTCGGCCCAGTCCACAAGCAATGCCGCATCTTCCAGCTTTGGCGTTATAACGTTGGAGTGGTCTCTTGTGGGCACCTTGTTGGCTCCAGCTGTCGCTTACCTGTTCTCATGAAACCGAACCGGGCGCCGCCACGAGCAGGAAGAGGAAGCGCAATCTTTCTCCAACCCGGCTCGCACAAGCATAATGATGGACTTCTTTTCTCTTCGAGCTTTATCCGCTTTCAATGCTCGCAGCACCGGTGGATTTTCCATAGCGAGGTTGAACAGGGGAGCGCACAAGTGCATGCAATATAGGCACAAAAGTTGACTGGAGACGTGGGATCGGAATGCAGCTGACTGACCGAAGTGTCGTGGTTGGTCCTGGCTATGTAGATTGTTTTCTGGTACCATTTGATCATCCAAGAGCCTTTGAACAACCCTCCCTCTTTGTTTCCTGCTTTTCTCTGCCATTTCTTCCCAGTTTTTTCCACGAAAGAGCGAAAAGAGAGAGTGAATGAGTGAGTGACTAAGTTAATAATAGTCAACGACACTTTTGTTTTTGAACTCCTTTTGTCTTTCTCTAGTGGCGTCGATCCCCCCCCACCGCCGCCCGAGCCCCATGCTCTTACATACACACACCAGCCCTGGGCCCCCTCTTCCGCGGCGTATGCCCGGCCGGTAAGGCTGGCTGACACCGATACCGTGCACCGCATGCGAGATCGGAGCAGAAGATGCAGAAGACGCAGGAAGACGGAGGCTGCGTCAACCGGGGGCCAGCTACATACATGTCTCGTGCATTAGCTCGCTCGGTACCTGATAGGTGCATGGGTAATGTAACATATGGTATGTATTAGATCATGTAGGGAACCAACCCCCTGGCGTAGCCGCCGCCGGGGCCGACGAGATCGACTGTGCATGCTTGTACGGAGCACATACTTGTATCTATGATGAATGGGTCCAAATAGCTGGTTGGCTAGCTCACTCACTAACTGACTAGCCTAGGTACATATACATACATGCGTACACCCATGCATACCTGGGGAAGGCTGCCCTGCCCCCTTGCACCACCCATTTCGGTAGTCCGGGGCAGAGTTGGGCAGTTGGTGCTAGGTCAGGTACACAGGCCGACTATATATATATTCGCCCTTGAACCACTTTGATCTTCTTTCGTCCTCGTCGTCGTCGCCGTCGTCCTCTTCGTGTTCTTCCTGATTTTTCTTCACGCGCTACTGATCAGCCAACCAAGCAATCTCATACCGCAGAAGGAATTACATCAGGGTTGTTAAATCCCGTTCATGTACATACATACGTAGCTAGGTACATCTAGAGTAGGTACTGGTGTGGCTGGAACAATTTTGATTTTTTTTGGAAGAGATCCGGCAGCGAACGTGCGTACATGTGTGGCTGTGTCTGTGTGTCAAATCAATCTCAAAGTCTCAACTCTCCGAATCTCATCCCCCGAACAGCGGGTTCCGTCTCCTCGCTATCATCCTCATCGTCCTCGTCCTCGTCCTCGTCCTCGTCACCTTCATCATCATCGTCGTCATTGGACTTGGACCTCTCTTTTCCTCTTTCATAGAGTGTACCGATAAAACGGGCTCTTGTCGCCCATGTCCAGCAACTCCTGCTCGGTGTACTTCGCTTTGATGGCCTCCTCGCCCTCTCGGGCCAGCAGGTCGTCCCTGAGCTTGTTCTCGCGTTGGTACGCGACGCGGAGGATGAACGCAGCGACGATTCCCAACGCGCAGATGCCCAGGCTGACGCCGAAGCCCGTTGGGTATTTCGGCGCCTGCGCAGAGAAGTAGATGTTGCTGCCGCAGATGCCGCCCATATTGCCGACGCTGATGAGCAGGGCCATGCCTGTTAGGGAGATGTCTGTTAGCTTCGCCACTGCGTGTTCGGAAGGGCTCTTGGTGTGGGGCTGGGGGTGACAGTAAGGCTTAGGGTTGGTTTGAAAAGCAAGATCTTGCAAGAAAGAAACAGGTTCAAGTGCAACTCACCGACCGCGCGCTTGGAAGATGGCGCGAGATTGTTGGCGATCAAAGTCACGATACAGGTGAATGGACAATATAGTCCGACAGCCACGAGGAAGAGGAAGAAGTAGGCCACCCCCGAATATTTCGGATGTGGGATGGCCAACTGGGCGATGAACCCGGCGACTCCAACGGCGAATCCGCCCATGATGAATGGAGTCCGCTGATGGACGTAGTCGGCCCAGAAGGCCACAATCACCGTCGCTATCATTCCAACCACGTAGATGGGGATGGTCATGAGCTGTGCATTCGCAGAACTGTAGCCCATTTGCTTGATAACCGAGGGCACGGTCGCCGTGAAGCCGTAGGTGCCGATACTGCACGCCCAGAACGGGATGACAGCGCACCAGATCCGCCAGTCCGCAAACCCGGCCTTGATGTACGACCAGCTCATCTTGTCGACGTTGGTGACCCTACCTTGGCCGGAACCCGTGTGCAGGGCGATCCGATTGACGATGAACTCGCGCTCTTCCTTGGTCAGGAACCGCGCCGTCTCCGGCTTGTCGGGCAGGAGGAAATACAGCGTGAAGGAGACGGCGATCGGCGCCAGTCCCTCGAGGATGAAGATCCACTTCCAGCCCGCGAGCCCCGCGATGCCGTCCATCTTCTCAATCGCGAAGGCGAGGAGGCCTGAGAATGCTCCCGACAGAGAGGCCGCCGCGTAGAAGACGGCCATGCGACGTTGGATCTCGTAGCGTCGATACCAGATCGTGAGCACTGAAGCAAAAGTCAAAGTTAGCGGATCAATTGAGCTTTCAATATCAGCGCGCTTTGAGCAGCCAACCCGTCAGAGGCTCGAGTTCAGCTTCGCATCTGCAGGCAAAGGGTGACTCACGGTAAGTCGCAGCAGGAAAGAATCCCGCTTCCGTTACCCCGAGGAAGAAGCGAGCCGTAACGAGGCCCTCATAGCTGGTAACAATTCCCATCAAGGTCATGACGAGACCCCATAGGAAGCACAGGATGGAGATCCAGATCGATGGACGAAGCATCTTGAGGACAATGTTGGAAGGAACCTGACTTTGTTTCAGTATAATTGCAACGTACATGGCAGCTGGTTTGTGACTGGATCCCATACCTCGAACAGAGCATATGGCACGAAGAACACCGTCAACGCGGTATTGTAGCGCATCCCGTAGAGGTCGAGGTCTTCGTACATGCCAGCGATCTTGGCATTGCCAATGTTGCTTCGGTCAAGGTAGGCGAGACTAGCACTTTTGTTAGGGCCACAATATACTAGCATCGCAAAAACGTCATTGGACTCACAGATACAAAACACCAAGGAGTGGAATAAGACGATAGTCGACTTTTCTCAAGATCCGTTGTACTTCCTTCTGGTCGTAGTGAGGTTCGACTTGGTCCGCGGCGTAGCCGGCGTCGACTGTGCGTAGAACATCGCTGGCATCGGCATCGCCAGTTGTTCGTATACCAATCTCTTTCTCGTCGCCGCCGTATTCAATCCTTTGGGTTTTCAGCTTCTCAGCCATTTTGAATTGACTCTTCGGTTTCTGACGAAACGATCACAAACAAAAGCAAAAAAAAGTGCTGGGAGGAGGAGGAAGAGTAAACATGAGGCTACTTCCCAGGAACTGGCGCGGTTATGAGCCTGACGTGCGACCAGGGCATTGCCATGCAGCCTTTGGGACTTGGGTGTGCTGTCGACCGACTTGATGACTCCATCCCGCTTTCAGGAGCAGGGACCGACCAGCACCACCGGGGCTCAGACCACGAGGCATTCTGGAACCGGGCCCATTCTTTACCAGAAGACCCAATGGTCCTATTGCTGGGGTTCGCAGATCCCAACTGCCGACCCTGTCTTGTATTTGGGATCGGTCTTGGATCGGTCCCTTGGCGAATGCAACGTGGGGATTGCAATTGGAATAGCATCCACAGCTTGGCTAGCCAAGGCTAGCTTGACTCCCCCAGAGACTTGGTGGCGATCATTCCGTTAAGTGCAGGCAGGCTTACCTGTTTGAGGTGCGGAGGGCCCTTGCAATTCCACTTGATACGCTCCGTTAAGAGTATCAAGGCGCCGAGGAAGCCTCGGGGTTTTTCGTGGAGAGCAAGTGGTTCTGAGTGGGTTACCTAGCTGCTCTATCTAGTATGCTTGGCCCCCTATTCAGAGTCAGCCTGGTGGGGCTGGCGTCCTATGTCGCGCTCCGGTGGAATAGATGTGGGGTACTGAAGCCGGCGGACAAAGTACCCCGGATCGACTGCTCCGAAGCCATCTAGTGCCCTTTCTCCCTTTGTTCATAACTGGAAGACATCATGCATCCTTTCACGCATTAGTTGGGTCATCAAACGGCTTATTCTTGGCTAATGCCGGTCTCTTTGTCGTTCTCTCCGCCGGGTCTGTCTTTGGCAGCTCCCTGCTCTTCCACAAGGCCCGCGCTTGGCTCTTTCCAGCGGCCCTTTCGCCATCAACCGCCCTTCTCCGCTGTTATTTGTACACTTTATTCAGTTCGTACTTCCTTGCCAGTGCCAAAATCTTGTACCTGGCCCTTTTATACTCCCTCCTGTATCCCTTAGCCTGCCGCCAGATCGCGGCCTGCTTGCTCCACATATCTATAAGTTAGCGTTTCGCCAGCTACCACTTGGGATTGTGCACGGTGAGGAGTTTCTTATCTATTGTTTTCTTCTTCGCTGCAACAGATTCTTTCAGGTGAGCCAGGAGCAGGGGGCGGACTAGATGGAGGAGGCCAGATTCGTTCACCTCGTGACTCTGGGATGATGCGATGGTGGAGTTTGAAAGTCGCAGGGAAGGTCGGTTCGAGGAGTTTCTTTCGCTTTTCGTTGAAGAAATTTGCCATCGAGCTGTACCTGGTATATACAGGACAACGGTCACTCCGCTCTTGATCGCGTTGCTGCTGAGCGGATGTGTCTGAAGCCATGCTGACTGCCATCGAGAACGATGTGAGGGGTGAAGTGTCTGGATGTGCTTGACGAGGACGGGCAATGGCGTGCAAACGTCGGTTTGAGCGGCGGTGCAAGTGACAAGCTGGCTGAATAAATCGACGACGGGTGAACAACAGCATCTCGATGATGCAAGTAACCACTCCCGCGGACAATAGGCTGGAATACCGGTTCTATCTTTTTCTTCCCGACGCTTCGTCGTCCACTACACAGTGCTCACTGTTCAAGCAGACCACAGGGACAAATATGTGTCGAACACAATGTCGGTGCTGGCTGCGAACAAAGCACATGGGCTTCATCGCTAAGGTCCCTGAATTAGATCGGTCAGCGTCGCCAGGGGCTTCACACATGACAACGCAGCAAGCATCATAAAGAGAACGGTGAAGGCTCTGAAAAGACATTGGATCAGCGACTCGAAAATATGCGAGGCTGCTCTTCCCGCTCACAAAATTAGTTTGAAGTCTCGAGACCGTTGGGCATAGGCCCGTCACAGGGGCAGAATAATAGAATACGTGCTATTTCGAGGTATATCAGATACATTTGTCAATAACCAATCGCAATCAACCATAGGATGTGGAGAACAGGGCTTCCCGTTCGCTCAGCCGTACTTAAGCCACATGCCGGTCAGTTAGTACTAACGTGGGTGACCAGTTGGGAATCCTGACTGTTGATTGTTTTTTTTTGCTTTTCATATGTCTTATTATTATTTTGTTTTGTTCTCCTTTCTCATAAGATTATACTCCTGCCTTGGTGGCGGTAATTAGACGGATCTGTGGGCTCGATGGATGTTCCTTCAGCTGTAGTGAGTCCGCATCAGGGCGTCGCCAGGCTGAAAACAAGGCCCGCAGAGGGATGACATAACTTCTGCGAAATAAGACTATGAAGCAATCGTATCATCAAGGGGCACGATTGAGGCCTGTGGGATGGCAGTCCCGGAGAGTGACATATTCTACGTTTGAAGAAACGCAGAGGCAGTTGTAATTCATTGTTTTTGCGTTGAGTCGAAAGCACCAGCCATGGATTGCACTTGTACTTTTCTGATCCAGGGTCGCTTTCATCAGTGCCATACGGCAATTCGAGGCAACGAATGAGCTCATCTAGGATCATTCCGAGCCGGCCTATTGCGTCTTTTCCATGGACTCCCAATGCACGAAGAAAGGCCCTTCATATCTGCTCTCCGCCACCCCTCCCCCCCATCAATCAACATTTGGAAGAGTAAAGAACAGTGAGCATTTTCATCAACCTTTCAAGCCGCCGTAATAGCTTTCTGTCTCCTAGCAGCTCGCTGTCTGGTCGTCAATCTCGTCCCCTTCGCAACGCCAAGTTCCTCGGCCTTGGTGACTGCCTCCTCAGCTTCCGTCAAGATCAATTCAACGTGGCATGGGTTGGACATGTAGGGGTTGATACGGCCGTGGGCACGATATGTGCGACGTCGCTGCTTCGGGGCTTGGTTGACTTGGATGTGTTTGACAATGAGTTTTGAAGTGTCGAGACCCTTGGTGTCGGCATTGGCTTCGGCATTCTTGAGAAGACCCAACAGGAATTCGGCTGACTTGACGGGCCAGCGCGCTTTTGAAACTCCGAATTGTTTGCCTGCAGAGAGGGAAAATGTTAGCAACTGCAATTGGGATTTTGTATCAGACCCGCAGAGGAAAACATGAGCATCTCGCCTAGTCTCATCCGCCGCTGAGAATTGCCCACTTCAGGCTCTTCATACAGCGTGCTTGCAGGGCGTTGTTTCCAGGAATGATCCACCCATTCCCTCAGAAATCAGATCATGTTCGTACCTTGCGCGCTCCGTCCAGTGCTACCCGCATATCTTCTCATTGGCACAGCCTCCTTGAGTTGTTTGACATTTTCCAGGTATTGAAGGGCGCGCTCGAGTTTCCATCCGTTGATAGCTTGAGCAGTCTCGCGGGTGTTCTTGAAACTGACTCGTAGGTAACTGCCACGGCTTCGAGCCGAGCGGGCGCTGGGAATGCGGTCGGCGGGGGCGTAGCGGACCTGTTGGGTCAAAGTCAGCTATCTGCATAGACTCAATGGAGAAATTATGCAAAAAGGTAAAAGTTCATACCATCTTGACAGTTGCGGAAGCGATGAGATGGTCCTGGTCGTTGTTGTCAATTCGATCTCAAAATCAAGGCCGCACACTACGGGGAAATTTTGGTTGTGGGAAACGCCAAGACTGCGACTCTGATCTCGCCGCATCATCCCCGGCTAGGCAACTATTCCGACGTATCACACGTGATATGTCTTGGCAGCAAACGAGCTAAGGCATTTTGAGCGTTTGCACTTTTTCATTGTTTCCGGCGTAACACATTAATATTTTCAGGGTTCTAGTCTCCAAATCTCAAACCCTGGAAGACAAGATGACATCCGACTGAATCTCGCGGTGTTGACAGTCAATATTGGTCCTCGCTTGTCCGGTTAGCCAGCGGTCCAGTCGGTTCCCGAACTCTGGTTAGGTTTCCAGAACCATGGAGTTAAATCCACCAGATTTCTCGATCTTACTACACGCCCGTCTTCACTTCTGCTAATCGGTCTCGGCTCGAGGATCGTAATCGCCGCCTTCTGTCTCTTCCGTTCCTCCCCGAACCAGCGTAATATCGTTGTACCAATCATCATCCTCTGACATCTCGACTTGCTCAACCGCGCCGGCCATGATCTCCGCCTTTGTCCTTGGCTTCTTCTGTTCTGGCAAAAGCCTTCCCTCTCCGATCGTCTCATTCTTTGCTGAGCCTGCTACTGCATCATACCGCTCATCCGCTGCATCCTCAGAGATCTCTCCGCCGTGATCGTCATCGCTGCCTTCATCTTCTTCTTCTGTGGACACAAGCGCTGCCCCGACTAACTGGCTTTCCTTGCGCTTGCTCGGAGTTGACGGTGGTCCGGAGACAGCTCCAACAACCGCATCGTTATATCCAGGATCCCCAGGTTTGTACAATTTACCATTGATGACTTTTGAACCCGGTGGCCTTCCTCGTCTAGATCCACTGAGATCGGCATCGGGAAAATCGGATGTGTACTTCGAGGCAATGGTGTCAAGCGAGAATTGCTGTCCGTTGAGGATTTTCAGATACGTCCTCCAAAGCTCCAATGTGTCCTTGTCCCGGACCTTGTCGTATTTTCCGACTTCAAGCCCATTGATTGTTTGTAGATCTAATGCCTCGGCGCGGGTATCTGCCCAGTACCAGAGTATTGAGCCCTCACTCGCTTCGTCTAATCTCTCATCTGCTTGCGTAGCGTAGATGCGACCCTGTTCGATACCCTTCAGGTCGTAGTCAAGCGTGGGTTTGATGTCACGTTTGCTGCCATTGATAGAATTTCGTTGCAACAAACCTGTCCATATCTGCACAGCTGCAGCTTCACACAGTCTTCCGAGGATTTGATCGTGTGATATCTCATATCGATTACCAGGCGCGTGTAAGGGGTACCAGGGACCGTAGATTGCTGAACCAACGGGCCGGAAGAGTATCTTCACCTCCTCTTGAGGCACGGCGTCAGGATCACCCAGTTGTGAGTCCCCATCCGTAGCTTGTAGTCTGTAATGACGGCTCTTATCGACCGTGTAACCTTTGCCAACGAGCGTTATATAAGACTTTGTCGATAGCAACGGCGAGTCTGGAGAGACATGCTCCGGCTTGATCTCCGTAAGATGTAGTCTGATTGACTCCACAATCAGGACATCAGTACATCCTTTCCCTTTTTCTCGGGGGCCGATTCTGACGGTATCACCAACTGTGATTAGTTCAGCACCAATGTAGAGCCCCTTGCACCGGATGGTTGCGTCAGGCCAATCTCCCTTGAAATACCATTTCTCCAGAAGCGAGATAGTGGTCATACAAGTTAGGGCGTGTTCAATTGATGGGTGCCATTTCATCCTTGGAATTCCACGGAGCAACATCTGCCAGTGAGTCAAGGGTCGGATATTTCGCAAAGGGAGGTAGCGGTATTGCTTGGACATTGTTTTGTCCTCCTCGTTGTTAGGATCTGGAAATGTTTCCACGCGGAAACCCCCAACATTAAGATTGGTTTGCTTAGAGGGGAGATCTTGAATGTCAGGAAAATCGACAGGCCCGTCACTTGCTGGGGCAGAAGGCACAGCCGCAACAACCCCGCCTCTCCACACAGGTGAACCATGGAAGCATTTCTGCTGAAAGGAGTAGAATTTATATTCCTGTGTCCTTTCGTCGAGCATGAGGTAGTGATCGTGGAGGAAGATCGGACAGAATAAAACAAGTTCTCCGACTCGAGGTACGAAGGCGTGTTGGTGTTCAATCAAGGTCAAATTCCGCTGGATAAGGTTCACACCACCCCAGTCGTGAACGTATTGAGTCGGATAGGAGTGCTCGGCTCTCCAGTCCATGGAATTCGGTTCTCTGATGTCGTCTTCGATTCCCTGTTTACCTCCCTTATTCGCCTCCAGTCTCTTTAACTGATCTTTGAACACATCCTCAGTGCCCTCTTCGTCTTGTGCGTAGGGAGCTCCAGCAGCTTTAATTTGTCGCTGTGGCCGCGTTGAAATGAGGCCAGGGGCGCGACTAGCAACGGAGGTTGACCTCGATGAAGGAGCAGTCTCAAGCGGGCTAACTAGTGTTCCCTTCTCCCTTCCAACGAAGAGCTGGGTCCCCAGAGAATGCGCCATTCGACGTTTGATCGGTCCCACTTTGTAGCGACCACAGAGTATGCACTCACAAATTCCTTGCTTACCCGACATCAACCAAAGGAAATGCGGTTGAAATCGAAGAATGGAGTCGTAGTACTTGCCGGACGGATGGCCAAAGAGTCGCTTGTAGACCCCTGCTGTGTTCCCAACCTGGTCGATTTCAAACAAGGCAAAGCCGCTAGGGAGCTTGTCGAGATAGTATTCGACATCTACGTGCAGAATCAGTACAGATCGAGCAAGCCATTTTGTTCATGATTTGTGGCTAGCACACTAGATCCGAACAGCTGGCGATTATCTTCGATGATATAACTTACCTGGTCGTCGGATTCCTGTCTCCACTGACCATGCTTTTGCTAAAGTAACGAGGTATCGCTCTTCAGAACTAGGGCGGTAGGGTTTGGGAGGCCACTGTCGTTGCTCTCCATCGCTGTAAGGCTTGATAGGCAGAACCTCCCATCGCCCCTTTTTCCCGATTATCTCCCAGGAAGGATGGCCGTTGAATGCGTCTTTGCGTGACATCGTGGCGTGGAGAATCGAGAGCCAAAAAGCCGGACGGCGGACCGATAACCATCATAGATGAAGAGTGGTGCTTAGAATATAAAGGTGGTTTGGTAAAGTAGTGTGCCCGGGAACTAAAATCAACAGTGGCGTTGTTTTGGGGACAGGCCTGCCTCACCCACGATTCGTAAGATTATTTAACATGTGAGGATTCAAGCTTGCAGAAGGGGTTGGATGGTCTGTAAAATGAGCAGGAGATGATAAGAGGTTGAAGTAAACGAGTCTATTCACTTATACAGATGTTGAATAAAGCTATTGTACATAAACGGTACGGCGGCACTATTTTCCGCCCTCTGCTCCTGGTATCAAAGTCCTTTCCAGACTGACCTGGAACTTCCGTCTCCCTTTCGGCACAAATCGACTGAGTCCGTCGTTGTCCATGTCATAATATATTTGCCATCTTCGTGTTGAGGGATCTTCCACAGCTGTAAAAGCCTCGCTTTCATCAAAAGTTATACCCTCCTCATCTTCAGTCCAATCCCATGGCCCAACATGATGCTCTATGCTTGCTGATTTGTTACCATACTTTAACTCCATCGTGTCTTTGTCCACATATATCCAGTTCAACAACGGAGGATCGTCCCGAACTTGACTAACAAGGCCGATGGGAACAGGAACTCTCTGAAGAGGCGCTGTCAGTCCGAAATCCACCTGAAAAGGGTCCGAAATCGCCTCCAGTCGCTTACCTCGTTGTCTGGGTACTCAATATAGAACGCTTCGGCGACATATCCTTCCTTGCACGGATTCAAAGCTTCATGCGGGCCTATCCACACGCGGTCATCTCTCAAAACAAGCCTTTTCTCGTGGATTTCACGTGTCCAGGAGCTCTGGGCTTCACAGTAGACATCGATGTAGAATTTTTGCATGCGCTTTGCATCTTTCTCGCGCTCCTTGTGCTTCTTCTGCCCATGGATGGCTTGAGCGACACCCGTCACGGTAGGAATAGAGGTGAGGATAAGAAGGCCGATGACCATCCTGGAGCGAGTCGCGCAGCTTCAGATGGACAATGAGAGGCTTCTGCAAGTCTCTATGTCAGCTGTCAGATATTCATTGATCATTTCAATTGTGTCACAGAAAGACAAGAGTTGGGAGAGAGTTGACTGAATGTCGGCATGCGTGTCGATGGCGGGGATGTGCAAACGTGTCAAACATGCCGTGCCATTTGCTTCTCTCGTATTTCGGCGAGCCGGCTCCAGTTTCCGGAGATGATTATGCGTGCCTCGTCTATGCCAGACAAGATGTCCATAATCCAGTTCATTCCTTCTCGCCGAACTGACCGGTAAGAACCCTCATAGAATCGCTGACCGGTCTATGGCTAGGCTGAATTACCTGTTCAAACCGCAGGACTGTTGCGATGACACAGTCTCTGCGTCGCTGAGCAAAAACCTTGGTTCTTTCATGGTCCAGATGCAGGATGACCGGGATATCTATATGTCACTCCTTAGCAGACAAATCTTCGATCTCCTCAGTCAAGATTGCGGCTCCCACTTTTGAGCAGCATCATAGCGGCTTCGGTGTCCAATTTTCCAGGCCCAGAATCTCATGGCGCTTTTCTATCACCAACGATCATGTCTTCGATTGGGTTCAGACCGCCTATGACCTTGAAATTCGTCATGTCGACAGCGGCGAGGGCGAGCTATATCACGTCGACAGTGTAAACTCGGTTCTCGTCCCATGGCCTGCCCAATGCAGTTCCCTGAAATCGAGAGAGCAGAGAAATGTCCGAGTTCGCTGTTATGGTACTTGTCGACAAGGTGATGGAATAACCTCGTATGAGGTAACGGAAGTTTCGAACTGGTCAGAGTGGAGCATAGTTGAAGCAGCTTTACTCGGCAGCCATGACTGGTTAGCCAGCATGATCACAATGAAGGATCCCATCTTGCCCAACGATGATGGGTCGGCTCGTCCACTGACCTTTCGAAAACGGTTCTTCTTACCCCCTGATAGGAAGATCAAGATGGCTCGACTATACGCCACCAGCCACGGAGTTTATCGTGCCAGTCTCAACAGTAAGCCGGTCGGAGACGAATGTATGGCCCCCGGCTGGCAAAGCTACAAGAAGCGTCTGCACTATCAAGTGCATGATATTGGACGCCTGCTGGAACCTGGCGCAGAGAACACTCTTCTGGTCGATGTGGGACCCGGGTGGTTCGCATCTGCTTTGTCATGGGTTTGCCGGAGGTTTGTCTATGGCATCGAGCTTGGTGTCCTCGCACAATTAGAAGTGCAGTTCCATGAAACTGACGAGCTGGTCGTAGTCTGCACAGATTCGTCCTGGTCAGCCACAAGCTCGGCCATTCTGAGAAGCGAGATCTACAACGGAGAGGTCTACGATCAGCAACGAGCAATAGAGATTAGCGGGGAAAACGTGCAGTTGTCTCAAAACATGTGGTTTGAAACCAGAGTCTCAAGTACAGCTGTCGCGCCCTTGACCTCACCAAATGGACCGCCAGTGCGAGTTACGGAACGCCTTCGACCGAGATCAATCTCGAAATCTGCATCTGGAAAGACCATCATAGATTTCGGACAAAATATTGCAGGCCGGTTGTGCGTCAAGCACCTTCTCAAACCAGCGGGGAACGAAGTTACTTTCCGCCACGCGGAAGTAATGGAAGATGGCGAGCTGGAGACGCGACCGTTGCGAACAGCAGAGGCGAAAGATACTGTGGTATGCGCCGGAACAATTCTGTCGAACTGGCACCCCAGTTTCACTTTTCATGGTTTTCGATACGTCGAAGTGACGGGATGGTCTGACGAGGACTCGGAGACGCCTCTGACCAAAGGTAGTCTCGTTGCAGAAGTTATGCATTCCGATATGCGAAGGACAGGTTGGTTCTCTTGCTCTAACGAAGAGGTAAACCAGCTTCACAAGAACACGGTGTGGAGTATGAGAGGCAACTTCCTTAGCATACCGACTGAATGTCCTTCCAGAGATGAGAGACTGGGATGGACAGGTGACTTGAACCTCTTTGCCCCTACGGCCACCTTTCTATACGATACTGGCGGAATGCTGGGGGACTGGCTCCAAGACTTATATGCCGACCAAATGGACGAACATAAGGACTGGGAGCAAGGCATGGTACCGCTCTACGTACCAAATTGCTTAATGGGAGCTGGTCCTGGAGACGACGGGTGGCACCACATGCCGAATGGCGTTTGGGGGGATGCCGCAGTCATGATACCGTTTCAGCTCTACATGACTACAAGAGACATCAACATCCTATCACGCCAATATGACAGCATGACGCAGTATCTCGAAAAGGGTGTCCGACGCGGTCATGATGGTCTCTGGGATCCCTACCAATGGCAGTTCGGTGACTGGCTAGACCCCTCGGCACCGCCAAATAGTTCGGGAAGAAGTCGGACAGATGGCACTTTTGTCGCAGATTGTTTTCTGATTGAGTCAACACGGAGAATGGCCGTAATCGCCAAAGAACTCCACAAGCCAGAGGACTTTACTCACTTCAATGCCGTTTACCTCCAGTTACTGACGGCGTTTCGAATGAAATATGTGACGCCTGCGGGCCTTTTGACCCCTGATACACCCACGGCTCATGCGCTCGCCATTGCCTTCGACCTCTTGCCATTCTCTGAGACGTCTGGTGTTTCCTCAAGAGAGCATGTATCAGCTGCACGCATCTCACGCGCCCTCCGTTTTGACGACTTCAGCATCTCGACTGGCTTCGTCGGCTCTGCCTTTTTACTCCCCAGCCTCACTAAGACCCACCAGGACACCCTTGCGTACCAGATGCTTCTATCGCGATCGCTCCCATCTTTCCTTTACCCCGTACGCATGGGTGCCACAACGATTTGGGAGCGTTGGAATAGTCTAAAGCCTGATAGACACGTCAATGAAGCCAGGATGACAAGTTTCAACCATCACGCGCTTGGCGCTGTCACAAGTTGGCTGCACGAGTGCGTCGGAGGGATCAAAGCTGCCGAACCTGGCTGGAAAGCTGTATTGATTGAGCCATGTGTCAATAGAATGGTCTCGCGCGCCGAAGTCATATACGAGTCTGTTTATGGACGCGTAGAATGTCGGTGGGCATTAGACGATGACACTTTAAGCATCGACATCGCGATACCCCCAAATTCTCACGCATGTATCATTTTGCCAGATGAGCGCCGTCGACGATCCCAGGGATTGAAACAGAATGATCACTGGGTGGGCTCAGGACGGTATCATTTCAAAAGCGAGTATAAGCGAGCAGATAAGCCTGTCGAAGCGATCCTTCCGCCTTGGGGCAGGTCGAGTTTCTGACACCCGATGTCTATTCAAAGGTCAGCATGAGTCCTATTACTTCCCTCTCATCGACACTACCAACTCGTCCAATACCACGGATACATTCAGCAAGCATTTAGCACGAGCTCGATGCTGAAGCCTCGTGGATTACTACCCCAACTAGTGCACTTGTACGTCTCAGTCAGCATGACTAGAAATTTCCAGGTAACACCAGGTCCAAACAATAGAACCGCATCGATAATAGAGCAATTTGTTGCGTATTTCCGGCAATATAAAAAAGGATCCCTAGCGTCTATCAATCGGGATCGGAAATTTAATAATCCGCGTTCTTGGCATCAAATTCAAATTCGCGGGTCGTCGTTCTGGAAAGCTTTTCTTCGATCAGTAACAACCTTTAGAAGCCACCAAAAAAAGACGTTGCTCGGCGCCCTGCAACACCTTCACTGCATATCGCAGAAACGAGTAGGTGCCTCATCAGCTTCGACCGATGCTATGGATGCTCTCAGACTGCTCTCCCGGTCGACCGGCCTAAAATCAAAAATTTCGAGAACGTTGCCACAAAATATCCCCAGCGCATCAGGACAAGCACCTGTTCAGGATGTATCAGAGCCCAGTACTAGTCGGAAACGGAAAAGAGACTCAGACGCGCCCGAAGGTGATGATAATCAACCAACCAATTCTAGCCAGCCATCCGAGTCGGAAATCCGTCGGATTCATAAGAAGCACAAAATCAAGATTGTGGATTTAAACCGGTTTCGAGCCATCAGCAAATCGTCCGAATCAAGAAAGACGCAAAAAGAACAATCGCGGATCTTTCCTCAGCCACTCACTTCATTCGAACAACTGCGTGCTGATTATGGATTGAACGCCGCTCTGGCGAGAAATATATCGGACCAGGCGTATTTTGAGCCTACGGAAGTTCAGATCGCAACTCTGCCCTTGCTACTTATGATTCCGAAAGAGGAACAAAGAACCGAGCCCAATCTTTTGACCGTCGCCCCAACAGGGAGTGGAAAGACCCTCGCTTTCCTTATCCCACTGATCGAGAAGGTTTCAAGGGCTCATCGACGCCCTGGGGCCGTGGGCGAAAGACACGTTCGTGCTATTATTCTGGCTCCCACTAAAGAGTTGGTCTTCCAAATTGTCAATGAGGGGAGGAAGCTGACCGCGAATACGGGCGTGACTCTCTCAGCAGTAAAGAAAGGCATGAGACTTTTTGATGGATCGACTCATTCAAATGTGGAGGAGTCTGGAGATGATGCAGAGGTTAATGGAAGTGAAGATGTAAAGGTGTCGCCCAAAAGCTCAGCCATCGTCAAGGCCGACATCTTAGTCTCGACGCCACTCAGTCTGGTACATCTTCTTTGTCCGTCTTGGGAAGAAGATGAAGGCTCACCTCCGCGCCCTCTGCCGAATGTTGAAAGTCTGATATTTGACGAGGCAGATGTTCTTCTTGATCCGCTCTTCCGATCTCAGACGCTTGCCGTTTGGTCCGCATGCACGTCGCTTTCCCTGAGGGTAAGCATGTGGTCAGCAACCATTGGATCAAATGTCGAGGAGCTTGCGGTGCAGACCATTTCAGACCGCCAAAAGAAACTCGAAGTCCCTCGGAGCCAACGCCCGCCACTAATCCGAACGATTATTGGCTTGAAAGACACGAGCTTACCAACCATTTCGCATCGACTAGTCTACACCGCAACAGAGTCAGGAAAGCTTCTAGGCATGCGGCAGTTACTTCATCCATCACGGCCAACATCGAAGGTGAAACGCCAAGATGAGAACACACCGCCGCCTCGACCACCATTTCTGGTATTCACCCAGACGATAGCTCGGGCCCAAGCATTGTACAGCGAACTTCAATATGACATTCCTGCTCAGGCTGGTGGTTCATCGCGAGTGGCAGTGCTTCATTCTTCTCTCTCCCAGCACGCGCGGTCGTCCATCATGCAGAATTTCCGACAAGGAAAAATATGGGTCTTGATTACTACGGACCTTCTATCTCGTGGTATCGATTTCCGCGGAGTGAACGTGGTTGTGAACTATGATATCCCGACCACTGCTGCTGGATACGTTCATCGCGCAGGGAGGACAGGAAGAGGCGGAAGAGAAGGGGGTGCCTGTGTCAGCTTCTACACCAAAGAAGATATCGCATACGTCAAAGGGATCGCGAACGTGATTGTCGCCAGTGAGAAAACGCATAGAACCCCGGCAAATACTACTCAGAGCTCTGATGGCACACAAAGCAAGGGAATAGGTTCATCCGCGACATCAGAGATGATCCAACCCTGGTTACTCCATGCTCTTCCGAGCGTCTCAAAATCGGCAAGAAAGGCCCTAAAATTACATGGCGTGGAGTCCCGTCGAGCTATTCATGCAGACGATGACGAAAAAACCAAACGGATGAAACGGAAAGCGAGGATTGGGACACAGAGTGGTTACGAGAGGAGAGAAACCAACCGTAAGCGCGGTGCTCTTGAAGGAAGTCTACGAGCAAAGACGAAGGCGCTCCATCAGAGGGAAAAAGAAGATTGGGAAGGCTTCGAATGAAGCTGCCCAATGGAAAGTGCCAAGGGAATGAAACGAACACAGAGATTCGTTCGGAGCACCTGTCCGCTCCAGAAGAACTGACTCGGGGTGACTGAAGAAGACGGGACGGTCCGGTGGCCAGAGTCCAAGCTTGTCCTCAACACAAAGCATCCCGGAGGTCTTTTCTCAATTGCCAGCATTCACCCCGAATGAAGGTCTCCGGTCTCCGTACTTTCATGGCCATGTCCGGATGAACCGAAGGGACATCGACGGCGACGAGATAATCTGATAGCATGATCACAAAAGGATTCTTGAGGGATATTTCAGGCCTTGCAGTATCCAATCACGCTATGTGGTTTATTCCAGAAAAAAACAGCTGATGTTCCTCTCGTCGAGGGTCTAGAACATTCTACTTGTAGGCGTGGTCAGAGACTTCAATTCAGCAACTATACTTTGTTAGGAGCTAGCTTCGAATGGCTTCGAGTTTGTGGCTTCGTGGTGGCCCTTCTGGAACTGGACTTTGGCCGACATCACAAGCCGATATCGCGACCTTGTCACATCTTCTGACATTGGCGGTGGAACGGGAATAGACGCCAAATAGTTCTTCCACGCGGCTTCGACCATCCGAGTTGCAGGAGAAATCCCAGGTCGCCTTGCCGAAATGTCTCGCTCTCACACCACGTACATCCGGGCGCTTGGCAATAGCAGCTACTATTTGCTTTGTCTCACCAGAGCTCTCCTGCTTTCAAAAAACACCGGCCTTCAAAATGGCAATTCCATCTCGGGGAAACATCCGTCCATGACTTTAAAGCTGGCCTTGAAACTCACCTTGAAGACGGCAGCAACACGAGATTTGCTGTGCTGTCTTTCGGATGCTTCCTCCGGACCCTGGATGGATTGATCCTCGAGGTAAGGGGCTGGTGCATCCGCTGCTTTCTCCGAAGCAAGAAATGATACCCCATGTCAACTCCGATACTTTGCATCAATCAATCACCTGGCATTGCCTAGCTCCGAAAGGCACCGAGGAGAGCTTACCACTACTTGATCTGCTACGAAAACATCTACTTGGTACTTGGTACTTGGACTTGGACTTGTACTTGTGGTACTTGTTACTTGGTATCATTCATGAATTTGCGGAGAGTTGCGGAGCAGCGAGACATCGAAATCCATCATCGATAGCTGTCCGAGAACTCTCGAGCATCTTCTCCGTATCTTCTCCGTGGAGTCTGCGAAATCCAAAGACTGCTGCGCGCGAGGGCCGAACCACGAACTTGCACCTGTCAGTTGCTTCGCAATGCTTCTCATTCTTGGTCTCTACCACGCGTGTCGGCCGTGGAGACGCGCAACCACAACGCTCATCCGGAGAATCAATCTCTGGAGCTCACCGGAGGCTTCGATGTTCTCTTCCTCGCTCCTTGTCTGCCTGCTCTCCTGAAGGCTGACAGTATGCGCGGGAGATCTGCAATACAATTCTGACGCCGCTCAGGTGGACCAACTACCTCAACCCGCAGAGCCGTCCAAATTATGCAACGCCGGCGACTTTACAATGTGCAATATATAGGGGAAAAGAAAAGAAGGGATTGGAATGTCGCAGAGAATGTTTCCAGAATGCCCAGAAAAATTGGCCATTCCTTCCCATCTCATAGACTCATATTGCATGCACATCTCGTATAATCATACTTGGTACACAGCCCTTGGCTACATTGTTCTTCCTCCCCCGCGGTGTAAGAGAGCAACACAGTCCTCCTGTTCTACTTGATATGCCATTCCCCGACAATGAGATTACCAAAGCACATTCAAGACCCATTCTAGTCAACGCACTAACAAACCCAACTGCCTGACTGACCACTTTGTTTGCCTCGAATCTTTCAAGTTTTCTTCTCTTCGCTTGGAGGAACCAATCAAGACATTCATCGACAAGCGCACATTGGCACAGTACCCAGGTATGTAGGCAGCCGTGCGCTTCCTGTCTTGTTTACACACGATACTGGGTTGCCTCAACGGTTGTGTCCTGAAGGAACGAACGTCCTTTCGGCAAAGGCGATCGATCCCGCACACAACCGGGGGAGTCAGGGACCAGAGATGGCTGGAAGGACACCGCGTCCGAAGGTGTCGTTGCCTTGGCGGTGGAGTGACACCCATTGCATTTCACCGCAACCCATCACCCATGGTTCCTCAATATGTCCGAGCAATCCGAGCGACGAGATGAAGGCCGTGTCTTCACGGATCACATAATCTTTTCTCAGTCCCTCGCAAGAACAGCGGAGCAAGTACGGAGAAACAAAGGAGCAGTGAACAGAGAGTGAGCTCGCGAAATCTGCTCAAGGTCTCGTCGAGGACAAAGAAACCATACTTGGTACACAAAACCAAAATACGAGTCGCATCTCGCGACTCGCGACTCAGGCGCGCGAAAATTGTTGTCGCTTCTGCTGGCGCTGTGGTGTTATGCGAGAATGGTTTGGTTTTCCATTTTCCAACGGCCATGCGATGGTATTTTATCGTGAGTCCAACAGGTGATCTGATAATGTGGATTCTTTGGATCTGCAGGTACCACAGCTGGATCTGGCGGAGCCTGGATCTTCTATTGGCGGCCATCCGCCGCTCTGGACTTGCTCATCCTGCTTGTTCACTGGCACTAACTCTAACTGGCCGATACCACCAGCCATGCGTCGGGCCGCAGAGCTTACAACTTCTTAATGGAGATGTTTAGGTTTGAAAGGCATCCCATCTAACTACTGGTAAGTAGCGCACTGTCGCGGGAAGGGCTTTCCGTGGATCGAATCTAGGTGGGCCGAATCGGCGTCGCACCACTTTGTTAGGGGCATCGGCATCAGCTTACAAACACACACCTGCTTCCCAAAATCGCGAGATGTCACAGGATCGAACGACGCCTCCGACAATTTTGTCGAACTTCGAGCGAAGTACGGAGTGGGTGGAGTGTTGTGTCAAGCTGTAGTCTGTTCGGGAAGGGAAAACAATCAGAATGATCAATGATCGCTGCTCGCGCGGGACGTGGAGGTCGCGCTCTGCCAATGCAAAAATTATCGTTGCGAGCGGGCATGTTCGGTGTCGAATCGTCTGGTCAACGGTTCAACTCGGGGTGGCGTCTAAGATGTTTCTCCGAATTAGCATGGATTTGCTGTGAACAAATCCGTCTCACCAGATGTATTGCTTGAGTCGTCGGCACGGCATTGAACGAGTCGGTCTTCGCACGGACAGAATGTTGACTCCGCGATTCATCTCTCAAGACTTTCAGCTGCTCCATCTTGACCGAGTCACTGTCTCCGGTGTATGTCCTTCATTGTGTTGCGAAGCGGAGATGATCCAGGAATTCGTCGCCCGCAATATACGGAGCGCATTGGTTCGGAGCTGGGAGCTGCTGTTCGGGCGACGTGCGCGAAGATGTGCTCCGTTTGTTTTCACATTCGAGTTTTGTCCGTTTCAATTCCACTCACCACACTCTGTCGCCCCTCCGAAAACGGTCCTGGAGCTTTGAAAACACATTCGGAGCGATACCGCGGGGATCTACTTGGACGAACTTGAGAGAACGGCGTTGCAGATCTGTGTACTTTGTACATCATTTCGTGATCGATCTGCAGCCCAACGACTTGATGTCTTGTATAGACGATCTCGCTTCCTTCAGCATGCTGATGAAGGTCGGAGAAGCGAATGAGCGTGCTGGTGCTGGCGTTACAGGCGGGTCGGTGTTGTCGGGGCGTGATCTTGACAAGGCATCGCTTTCCACCTGTGCTTTCCACCTGTGCTTTCCACCTGTCTAGCCATGGGACTGGGACTGGAATACGAACGCTATCGTGAATTGGTATGCGTTTGCCGATGAAGACGGAAATGGCGAGACACGACCACCGTCCAGGGGAGATGCAGGCTTCACTGTATATGAACGGGGAAGGGTGCAAGTCTATCTTCACAAACACCAGGACTGCACCCCAGCTTCGGTTGGATACATCACATCCCTCGGACGCCCTCAAGCATCAACAAGGAATAGCTGTTCGGTTCACTTGTCAGGTGTTTATCATGTTCGTCCAGCATCGAATGCCGACTCCATGTAAGGACCTCCCTGGACCTCACCGAGAATATTCTTGAGCTCAGCAACAAGATAGTGTGCTTGGGACAAAGACGACAACACGGCCTTCCAGACACAAGATGTTGTCCACAATTGCAAATGACACAGTGGTTTGCATCTACTAACTCGTTGGAACGAACGATACACTCAGAATCCATCCATCCAACCGTCCATGGTTTGTAGGGGCTTTTTCTTTTTGGCGTTGAGCGATGTCGGCTCTACTTATCCTTCTATTTACACTGAACTCCACAGGGGGGCTCTGTCTTTCTCTCGCGCGCGCGTGCCCGGGTAGTTACAAGTTTGTACGGAGCACAAGTATGCGGAAGGAGAAATGTTTCCAAGAATTAGACTATCCCCTCTTTTTTTCCTCCTTTTTTTCCTCCCTTTTTTTTCTCTCTGTCTTTCTCTCTTTCTTTCTGCTGCCTCATCCCCTGTACATGGACCGTAATGCATGTATATACACAGCGGTGTGGGAAGAAAGAAAGAAAGGAGGGGAGGAAGAGAACAAAAGAACAGGGCCAAAGGAAAGGCAAAGAAGAAATTTTTTGGTGGAGAGACCGGGGATGGAATTTCTTCTGGCTGCCAATCTACCTACAGGTACTGGGTACTAACTAATCGATCCACAGAACCCACCAACCACCTACCCAACTCGTCAGTGTCAGAACCCAGGGCCAGGGCAGCTTTACTACAAGTACAACTATGCATGGACTACTCGTATTAAAGGAGTAGCTAAGGCCCACCATCTATCTTAGGCCTTCCATGGGTGCCTACCGAGGCGTCACATACATTAGTAGGTATGTATCCAGGTGCATACGAGCAAAAAGCAACTTTCTAGATCCTCTGTGTCTTGGGTCGCCGCTTGAGGCTTGCGAGATGGCTTGTTTTCTAGGTTAAATACCTCGTCATAAGTAGCTATTACAGTAGACCTTCGTGTTCGCATTCGCACTTGCATTGGCGGTTTTCTTTCCCATTTTTTTTTATAAAAAAAATCTCTGTCTTGCTCATTTTTCTTTTCTTTTGTTTTCCCTTTGCCCCGGGTCTCCATTATCGCTACGAGGTACATGAGGCTGGGCCCACCTGCCTGTCTGCCTGTTCATCCACCTCCCTATGTACCTACGTGCGAGTACTGCGGCCTAGCCACTACGAAACACCCAACCACCAACTTCCGGCTCTGTGGCGAGCTACTCGTTCGTACATACGAGAAAGGCATTGACGGGCGCACGGATTGCGGACACCGAGCAGGTTCCGGCTAAGGGCTCGAAACCGCGTGGACTGCTAGTATCTTAGCCACCATTGTAGCTTCGCCGGTACCCGTACAATGCGGAGTCAGTGTCTGTAGTAGGCGCATACTAGCTGGAAGTTCGAGATGACGCGCTCCCCATCCCTGCAAAATCACCATCTCGCCCAACCCAAGTACTGTAGCCCTCCGTACTTGCGTTTCCATCCTCGTCGTGAATGGCCTGACTGCGTCCATATGTATATACACGTGAATCCCACGCCACGCAACTCGGGGACTTCTGGCTTGCATATACTTGCGCACACAAGTGCAGGTACCTCGTCAGGTGCTCGGAGTCATCAGGTCCTCGGCCCAAGAACGTAATGGAGCTGTCGTAGGTGAAAAGATTTCGCGAGTTACGCGAGATCGGGACCGATGCCCTGGAAAGTCCCACCCGCCCACGGCCCTATCCCCGCACCGATTGACAGCCGCATCCATGCCGATATGAGACCCGAGGCTCGACGGCGAGCCACCTGCGATGCACCTCTCTGTAAAGTAGGTATCTCGCCGCGGTGACAAAAAGTTTTATCCGTGCGACGACATCTCGGGCAAAGAAAGGGCTGATGATCAGGGATCTGGCGATGCAGATTCGCTTTCTTTCGCCGAGCACAAGGCAGGTGTTTGTATTTACCTCAGTATGTGCTATGTATCTACTTTGTAGGTACCTAAAGGAAGGTATTACGGACTCTGTATGTACCTCAAGGACGGTGTTCGTATGTCTCAGCTTTTTTGAACCACGCCTCGTGTCTTTTCAGCAGTCTTTCCAGCAGTCTTTTTAGCAGGTCTATGTATCTCGCTATTCCGTTCTGGTTGACGACGGTTTGCATTCCTTGCACTCGAGTAATTGTATGTCCTGTACCCTGTAGAATCACGACATATTATGGTCAAGTACGGAGTACTGAGTCCGTAGAAACCCCTCTTCTTCCACCGTGGCAAGTTGAGGCGCCTTCCACTACCGCCGCCACCGTCACCAAGTCGGGCCCCGAATCGGATATCGCCGCAGAGAAAGCCCCCCAACCAGCAAACTGACAGCTAAACCATCCATCACGCCACGGACACTCCCCAATATTTCTCGTCCGGACAGTGAATGGGGGCTCGATTCTTTTCCTGCGGAGGTTCTGTGATGATGGGAGATCCCATGCCATGCCATACAATCCGGCATCACACTACCTTTACAAACTGGATCCGAAGAATCACGGGAGGTCAATTCAAATCCATAATTGCCTCTCGCTGCGGTGGAAGAAAATCGATGACTTGCTTTGGCCGTCCGTTGGTATGTAACAAGTAGAACCCAGACGCCGCTGTGTCTGGACCTGTACTTGTTAGTTGTATGTGTATTTAGTACTTCGTACTGCGGATAGAGTAGGGCTCGCATTGTCTGGTCCCGTCCTCCCCCTGCCCCGTCATGCCTGATGACTCTGGCGACCCCTGGATTGGCCCATGAGCTTCGAAAAAAAAGACGAGGCTTGGCCATCACTCAGGTCGTGCGTGCGCTGAGCACCTAGATTCTCGTTGGTTGGTCCTCCCTGCTTCTCCTTCGGGGTCATTTTCTGTGGCTTCGTTCACGAGTTGTTGCACCCCAAAACAGGCACGGAATAGGAGAATCAGTAACATGTGCTTGCTTCTTCCAATCCTGTCTTCGATTAAAGCTCTGGTTTAGCTCTTTAATATTGGCATCACGCCATCTCGTCGTCTTCGACTCATTTAGATTCCTTGGTCGGCCCAATCTCAACTTGTCCTTTTCCTCATCCTGGGTGACTTCCTGACCGCGGCCACTGATCCACTCCGTTCCTTTTCTATCCGTCCCGAGCTTGTCACATTCCCGCCCTGTCCTAGTCCAGAAATGCTGCATGAGGAATCACTCCTTCCCTTGGAAGCATTGTATGCCTTCAGGATCGCCGTCTCGAGTGGCAGTGAAGACGGATGGCACTCTTCGATGAGCATGGCCAGGTCGGGTGTCCGGGTTGCTAAGCATTGTAGCCGTACCAGTGCTTGTCGCTGACGCCGACGCATTGTGTATGATGATAATGCTTGTGCTTCGAGAGATAGGGAGGGACGAGGTGACGATGTAGCCACAACGGTGTCCGACATTGAAAGATCCCACAATGTCGGATCGATTTCATTGGAGTCGTATGACAAGTCAGATACTGTTGTAGCGGGAGTATCTGGCCCTTCGCAATATCCTTCATCGTCAAGCGTCGTTGTGTCGGAAGGAGAAGCCATGTCACTCGGTGGTGGTGAGGGCGAGCGCATCTCTGTGTCGGTTAACGCTTGAGACTGTAGCTGTGCTGTCAATGCAGTAATGGAGGGATGCCGAGGTGTAGATCTGTATGCATCAAAACGAGAATCTCGACGGGCCGCAGGTGCTTGTGAGGAATGTGGCGAGGAGCACCGCGATGTGAAAGGCGAGATCTCTGCTGAGGTACATTCTTCAACATTGAATGTCAGGGAGCTCGGGTGCGGGGTCGATCCGAAGGAGAAGTTCTCGTTGAACATCTTGGCTGATATTCGCCGGCGGCGCAGGTAGGATATCGTTCACCGAGATGAGACTGGCAAGGAAAACGAGAATGCAGATGTTCGAGATTTCGATGATTGCGAGCGAGGAGTTGTTGAAGCTGGTCGAAGGGTGGGTTGGTGATAATAGTAAGACTTTAACCACGGAATGGGGTGGGTTTCGCCGGTCGGCGGGTTTAGGTCACTCGTCCCAATAAACTCTGTTCCAGAAGAAGCCGTAGAGCGGGATCGAATGCACAGAAAGCGAACCGTGGGGTAGTTTTTAAATGTCGAGCATGAGCTCCCTAGCCCTTGCCCTTTCCATCTGAGGTCTTTAGTGCAGTGCCACTGAGTGAGACTGAAGTTTCACCCGCCGCCGCGAAGCCGGATTGAGGGGAGAAGTTATTGCAAATCGGATACGGGTTCTAGAGCTGGGGTAGCGACAGGGTGGATCAAAGTGGTGGATGAGCAAAGAGAAAATCCAAGGACTGCCCTGGGTGGATTCGTTCGCTAAAACTCGTGGGTGCCATCGTGTGTTGAGCGAAAGAAGGAGCGAAGATTCGACCCAACGCTACCATCATGTTGCGTGCCTCGTCCGTGCCTCTTCCGCTTAATCGAAGGGGCGATCGGATGGCGCGTTTCCGTGTACGGCAACTCTTAGACGTTGGCGTGCTCTGGAGGGGCCCGCTCCCAAGACAGAAGAGGCGAGGGTAGTCTTGCTGTGTTGCCTGGCTTAGGTAGTCCTCCACCATGCCCATGGCCCACTGGGTGGCCCCCATGGCCCTGTTGATTTTCCCTTTGCCGAAGCCACCGCTAGAAAGCGCCCAGACGGCCTAGAAAGGCCCAGCTGGGGCGTCGGGATGCCACAAGGAGGAGGTTTTACTCAGGGACTCCGCACGCGAAGATCTTCCCACCCTGCCAGTTGCGACGCTGTGCCGTCATCGTTCAATTCTCGGCCGTTCTACTGATCAACTGGCGATCATTTCTCTTGTTTCATTTCCTTTTCTTTATGGCTCTTGAGCACAGTTCTTTTTACTGGGCCTTGCATGATCCGGCAGATCACAGTTCGATGATCAGAAGCAAGAACCAGGATTATGGCAAAGAATACTCCGTGCCGTGGAGGTCGTGGGTGGCGACAAAGAGTTGGAGCTATTATTGTTTTATCGTAAATTGCCACCCCGTTGCAACTGTGCATTGCCGATGCTGAAGGCAATCTTATCGTGCCGCAAAGCCCTACGCAGAAACGCGGCGCCTCCTCGGCATGGACAAAAAGAACAATCCTCTAAGAAGGATTCTCACTGCTGCGTTGCTTCCGTTACCATATCAATGGCATCTGGTAATCCACAAGGAAGCAAATCCACGTGATGGAGTTTGCCGTGTACATTGGACTACAATACATCCGTTTGTCCAGGCCCTGTGGGCCCCATTTAACGTGCATATTGAATGGCGTTTCCCAGGCCAGAGATGCACTTAACTCGGCCATTTGCTGTGGATCAGTACGGGAAAGGTGTCCGTTGATGTATTCTCTTGTCGAGTAGAGTAGGGGCGAAACGTTGCAGATCTCGAAACAGGTGTCATCAAGCGGAGATTTGCCTAAAAGGAAGAAATCCGAATAGAGCTCCTGCAGGTCGCTCATAAATTCGTCCAACACCTCATCCACGGTACTGCTGGTGGTCGACGTGTTTGATGCATTCGATCTTGCGATCTGCTTGATCTTGGGCGTCGACCTGGGTGTGTTCCTGGTTGATGATCTTCTGCTCCTTTCCTCGTTCGCCAGATTCAGCCAAATATCCTCCGACGTCTCGTTGTTGGGTGGTCTAAACTTCTCTCGATCGTCAGGTAACATGCAGCCGCCAAGAAGATCTTCGGCCGAGAGTTTGTAGCTGCGGCTAGTCCAACTCAGGTCTTTCCTCTCTTGCAACGGTGTCTGTACTTCACTTTCTATTGTGGATGTGTCGAGTTCATGATCGAGCTCAGGAAGTGTCGCTGTGTCATTGATGAACTGAGTGACGTCGATTAGGCAAGCTAGCATGAATCGACTGCGACCACTGCTGGGTATGATGAGGGGTGTGAACAACACAAGGTGGGTGACTGGGTCGCCTGCAGCATCTTGACCCGTCACAATATCCATGGAAGAACCCTCACATTCACAATTGTTGAGGAAGAAGTGTTCGCCGACCTCAAAAATGTAGCGAAGTTCCTTTGACGTCGCAACAACAGGGAGTCCAGCCACGGCGGTGTCAAGAATGCAAAACGATTTGAAATGCTCAACCAATCTGAGGCCGGATGGATCGTCAGTCTCCTTTCCGGAGTCGGGCACGGACACAGAACTTGCTGTCGGTGACTGCAGCCACGAGACATGTTTGGTTCGAGCTTTGCCCGCTGGCGCTTGGGGATTCCTGAATGACGGTGCCCCCGCCTTGATTTGGCCAAGTACTTCACGCGACTCCTGAATGCGCAAAGTGGAGGCGCTAGAAATGGTGGAAAGTGTAGAGAAGCTGGCCATGCTTGCTTGCCGACTCGCAACCGACAGCAAGGAAGGCGACATGGCATCGTGGACTGTACGTTGGGGAACAGTAGAGGGGTGAAGGTAAGCTTGATGGAGGTTGAATTGACTGAGACTCGTGGCAGGGAGTAGTGACTGACGCCCGGGCGATTTGGTCGGTGATACGTGCGTGGTTGACTGGAATCGATTGGGGATGGCGCGCGAGATGGTGTATTCCTCAAGACTGGATCGACTCCCGGGCAATTCGACAAAGGAGGAAAATGTGGTCGTCGACGGGGCAAAGGAGCTAGATGATTCTGCTCTACGCAATATGCCAGATCCTAGGGAGAGTGTGCCAGCTTGAGGATCCGGTGATTTTCGTAGGGTTCGAAGAAACACGTCTTTGAGACCTTGCCTGAGTGATCGTCGTGGCGGATTGGGCGGCGGAGGTCGAGGGGGTTGAGACGAGGTTTGTCGGTGTTTGGCAGCCATGATGTGAACTCGTCGTTGGCTCTGATGTTGATGTGGTCGTTGCCCGGCGTTTCGGAGTTTCTGTTTTTGCGGATTGTGACTGGGTTGACTTTGAATATCCAGGCAAAGTGAGATGAGGTGAATGTGAAAAGAACACAATGTCAACAGAACCGGCAGGATCAACAGCTGTGACTTAGCACACAAAGACAAGCAGTTAGCCGTTCAACACCCAACGACAACTCGCATGCTGGCAGAAGCGACAGGCAGAAAGGGACAAAGAAGCGACCACCCAGGCATGAAACCAGAACGCCAACCAACAAACCTCTCAGATACTGCCGCAGATGGAGAATGTCTTTTTGTGACGATCGTCCTCTACATGGTGAGCATGGCTTTGAGAAGTGGTCTACCAAGAATTGTCCAGACAGGAGAGGAAGAACGGCATGCTGCAAGTTCACGATGGACGAACTTGTGAGATCTGCTGCAGGGGCTCGGGGGCTCAAGGCAGGTTGGTTCCCGGGGAACTCGGTTGCGACGACTTAGGGCCTAAACAGCTTGTTTCAGGTTTAGTACGCGATCCAAAATATCGGTATTGATTTGGTAGGGAGGCGGGACCATCAGGATGAGACGAGGGGACATGTATCGGACAAGAGCTTGGTTATTATTCAATAATGGAGAAGTGAGCAGAGTTATTCTAGATGGATGTTCAGAACGTGTGGCTCTGAGGCTGTGAGGCTCACGGACAGGAGGGCACCAGGGTTGACGAGGCGGAGGTTTGAAACAGAAGCTCCATTATTGGGACAGCGCAGAGGGTGATAGAACAGTCCAGTGCCCGCCACACATGGGGAGCGACCTCATAAATTGAATGCGATACGACCAACAAGATATTCAATATCTCCTCCATCGATCTCTGTATGACAGAGTCAAAAACATGCATGCGAAAAATGGAAGGACGGAAGTAAGTTTTTCCGATAAGGTCCCAGGCTAAGGTCCTGACCAATCACAAGCTCGCAAAGTCCGAGATTTTCCGGCCCATTGGATTTGGACTTTGCAGCTTTTGGCCTCTGAGCAGCTTTGGCCCTTTTTTCACTCAGTCCAGTTTGACCACCGCAACTCAACACAATCATCCTCTGATTGAAAGGGTGCGCCGCCCTCCTTACCACCCCTTCTCTTCACCCATCACGCTCCATCAGGAGCTCCAGCAGCCATGTCGGCAGCTCCCACCTCCCGCGCCCTTCTCCGGCAGTCCAGATTCCTCCTGCGCCGAAACAATTTCAGACAAGCTTCCACCACCTCAGAGGCCGCCTCAAAGGCGCAAGAGAGCTCAAAGCAAGTCGTCTCGAAAGCTTCAGAAGGTTTGAGCCGTGTTACGAGCTCCGCCGGCTCCGCAATTTCTAAAGTCGGCTCTTCCGCCTACGGAGCCCTGAGCAAAGTTGGTGGAAGAACGGGAAGAGTTATTTCTTTTGTCGAATGTATGCTGCGAAGCGAAGCCTTCCCCAGAAAAATTGGGGACACGCGTTGACTTGAATGCAGCATTAATACCGCCTACCATCTACTACTCTCGCGTTGGATGGGAGCTCGCAAGGATTGTCTTCAAGAATCAGCAGATGGCGCCTCCGTGAGTCTGGCCTGAGAATTAGTTATTTGTCGGCCACTTCTAATGACTTTCCAGCTCTGTGGCCCAATTTCAGTCCTATTTCCAACCATTGATTAATGTCTTCCGGAATCCTGCGTCCATCTCATCAAGCGCAAGCTCTGCATTCAAAGCCGTCAACCCGGACGCCGTCTTGGGCACCATTCGCAACGCAAATCGCAGTCAGCTAACCACTGTCGGGATCATCTTCGCTCAGGTAGTGGGTTTCTTCACGGTCGGTGAGATGATGGGAAGAATGAAGATAGTCGGATACCACGGCGAACCGCATCATGAACATTAAGAGAAAGCCCCCAAAAAGGATCGACTGCCAAACATTTGTTTGATGGCTGCGCCTTGTAATCTTAGGAGTTTATTACACGAAAAGACAGGTCAATACATATCCTCGGGTCGATACTGTGCTGAGACTTGTTTTTGGTCGGCCAGGATGCATTTCATGCTGCTTTCTTGCCATGATAGTCTTTTGCGGTGGTTGTTTCAATCGCACAACGATTTGTCGGAAAGAGGCTCGTTCTTCCATGCAGGTGCTCACTTCTTGACAGACTTACATGGCCCAAAAACTCTTGAAATCCTACAGGCACGCTAGCAACAACGTGATGCCTCTCCATCTGAGGTCTTTGGTCTAGTTCCTGGATATCACGCAGCGAAACAAAGGCGCCGACGTCGCCTTGGATCGAGCCAACTGCTCATCATCTCTATCCTGCCTTTTGTCCGCCTTTCCTTGTTTGTCGGCGCCAAATCATTTGCGAGGCTTTTCAGAATAGAGCTTTTGAGTCTGCCGCCTGCTCAGATCGCCTTCCTAGGGAAAAATCTCACGGATAGATTGAAGTCTAGCTCGTCGTTAAAAGGGCAAAAGCACCGGCAACAGAATTAAATGCACAGCTCGATGTGCACGGTGGTCGCCTCTCGTCGTCCGTTCCCTTGCATTGTGTCGTGTACGATATTGCTATCGCCATATTGATGCCACCTCGGGACGATCCGCACACGCTTTTAATCTGGCCAATGTTGTTCGGCTGCAATGGCCAAAATCGTCTAGAGGACAATTTGGTGCTTTCTCATGCTTAATCATTGCGGCTTTGCTAAACTGCCGAGACTCGACTTATGAAAGAGCAGACGGCATGTTTGACTTGACGCGAGCCTTCACACATGCTGGACCTCAGACCTCAGACCTCAGACCTAGACTTGCGACAGAGATCTTGAAGCCAAACCCGAGACCTATTCGAAACTGGAATCGACCGCCATTAAAGAGCCGCAAGCTCTCTCGATATCCTGTCCAACCAAAGCATGCCGGAAGGCGTAACAACATGTACATGAGGTTCCTCTTTCATTGCTAGCACATCCAGTATGCTCTCAGATCACTCCTGCCGCACCTCTCTAGTCTACCAGGTCCCAAACACGACTGAAAGATATCATATACAACGTTCTTGTCGTGGCTGGTCGCCGTCGACGTTGGTGCACTCTTGTTCCTTCCGCTGGACGAGAAAAAGTACAAGAGAAGCCTCTACTACGGTTCACGACCAGAGAGAGCGGCGACAAGAGCCCCAAGGAAAGTATTCACTTCTCAGGACGGCAAAGTTATGAAGACCTTCCTCAAAGAGTTCTACGATGAATCGAGGCCAGGTAACAATTTGGCACTTGTCCTGCTTCACCCAAAGATTACTCGGCACAACTTTGTCTGGTTTCAAAAGTCTGCGATTCCCTCCGGTTCATTCGTTATGCTCTGTTAGAGCCCAGGACAGGTGGGCCATCCTATCGGTCAACGAGTTTGATTCATTGGTATTTAACACTGCACCACCGAACCAGGTCCCGCGAACACTTGCCTGATACACCAACCCAAGAGGCTTGAGAACCCCTTGAGTTTCGATGCTACGCTAAGCTAGTTAAAAACTCGCTTCAGCAGTTTCGACCATACGGCAACAGGTCCTTGCCTGTGCAGGGTCTGCAAGGTTGGCTCAAGGATCTTATCAACAAAAGCGAGGATCGCTTCGACAAGTCTCATCTAGAGCACGTTGTGGGCAGCCCGCCTCACTGGAGTCCTGGTAAGATAAAGGCACGCATCTGTCTATTTGTGCTTATCGTCTCAGCCTTGGGGCCAAGGACGATACCGTCTAGAGCACGCTATCGCGACCAACGGCATATTGTTCAAGTCAACATCAAGATCCACCAATCGCACAGAGTCTGATATCGCCCTGCAGATTGAAAAGATGCATCCGAACGAGAAAAGGTAGGTCAGCTGCCTTCAGGAACTGTGGAAGGAGACACATTTCTCGCTGCTAGGTCGCCATAGCTCGACACCTGGCGATCCAATGACCAGTGAATCTAAAGCTGCAATATTTGCTCAGATGCCTTCACATGCTGTGTGCACGGCATCTTTGAGCCGGGGGATGGCGGTGCATCAAAAGGACGTCGGGCCCATCCGATGTTGAAGTGCAAAGCTCACCCCCTACATTACTAATGATTTCGAGCCACGATAGGCCTGCAGCTCTCATCGACTATTCTCATCTGGTGTCGGACTATCAGGGCTTGGAAACGGCTAATGGTATGCTACAAGCAGCCTCCGTCGTCTCCATCGAGGTGCTAGAGAAGGAAGGTGTAGCAGGAGATACCCGATTACGGTCTGGTGTGGCCAATCAATGAGGTTGGCTTTCTTGATAAGACGGATTTTCCATTTTTCAATCCGCTTGTCACTCTCCCGCGCGCCTTTCCAGTGTTTCCACCACACTTGTCGCTCAAACGGGATGATCTGCCTTCCACTCCACTGTATGTCTCCACTCCGTCCCTGTCTTGCTTATCAGTGTTTCCAGTTAGGCAACGCGTTTCCTATCGAGGGTCCACAATTGGCGTCAGAATGCAGGTCAACTCTACCAACACTCCACGCCATGCCAATTCCCCAGCTTCTCGCGTGGTCGCACAGAGGATCGAAGATACTGTACCATGTTTCTCGTCCTTCATGCCGTTATCGGGCCTGCAAGGGGAGGAAAATTTTTTCAGCTCCAGCCATCGCGTGCTCTGGTACGGTGGAGGAGATGAAGTTCTCTCCACGACCCCAGACTTTCTTTTGCTTCAATCCCTCGTTCTATCAACGGTAGGCCGTGGAGTATATAGAGTGAAGAGCCCGCCATCGGGCCACGGTACTCAGGGTCCGTCTCCATCGCCGCCCTTCCCTCGAACTCTAGCACCTAGTGTCATAAAGCAGGCGTCTTATATTCAAGATGTCAGATACTGCAGGAGCAGCCATTGTTCCACTTTCTAAGGGGTTCGGATATGGCATTATCCTGGGCCTCGGGTTCGCTTTCGCGCTGGGCATGATTGGGACGACATGGGCGCTCAAGAGATATCACGGAGAAGTCAGTATAACCCGGCTCTAGATTGTTCCACGGCTGAATCGTTCAGGTCCAAACCTCCGAAGAATTCTCGACGGCAGGGAGAACCGTCAAATCCGGTCTCGTCGCTGCGGCTGTCGTATCCAGCTGGACATGGGCTGCTACCTTGCTTCAGTCTTCGGGTGTGGCTTATTCGTATGGAGTCTCTGGGCCGTTCTGGTACGCCTCGGGAGCCACTGTGCAGATCCTGCTCTTTGCAACTTTGGCCATCGAGTAAGTGTCGTCTATGTCACAGGCACAGAACTTACTGACATTCGTGCAAGATTGAAGAGGCGTGCACCCAATGCCCATACGTTTCTAGAAGTGATCAAGGCCAGATATGGTGTTGTGACACATATTGTCTTCCTGATTTTCGGTCTCATGACGAACATCCTTGTGACAGCTATGCTTTTGACTGGTGGGAGCGCGGTGGCGAGCTCTCTTTGTGGAGTTCCCACCGCCGCTGCCTGCTTCCTCCTCCCTGTGGGTGTCGTCTTGTATACAATGTTCGGCGGAATTAAGGCCACTTTTCTCACGGACTATGTGCATACGGTTATTATCTTGGTTATTATCTTTGTCTTCGCGTTCAGCGCCTACGCCACGAATGAGGTTGCAGGCTCTCCAGGCAAGGTTTGGGAACTACTTGTTGATGCCGCTAAACGACATCCCGTCTCAGGGAACAAGGACGGTAGCTATCTGACGATGCGAAGTCAAGAAGGAGCCATCTTTTTCGTGATCAATATCGTCGGAAATTTTGGTACGGTGTCTGGGGCCTGTCTTGCAAGCTTCTGCTAATTCACCCAGGGACTGTCTTCTTGGACAACGGCTATTACAACAAAGCCATCGCCGCCTCTCCAGTCGACGCATTGCCCGGATATGTCATGGGCGGTCTCTCGTGGTTCGCAATCCCCTGGCTTTGTGCTACGACGATGGGTCTTGCGGCTCTGGCCCTGGAAAACAACCCCGTCTTCCCAACCTACCCGAACCGCATGTCCCACGCCGATGTCAGTGCAGGATTGGTGCTCCCCTACGCCGCCGTTGCCCTTCTTGGAAAAGGGGGAGCCGCCGCAACCCTTCTCCTAGTTTTCATGGCCGTGACTTCAGCCTCGTCTGCAGAACTAATTGCGGTTTCATCGATTTGGACATACGATATCTACCAGACATACATCAACCCCAAGGCCTCAGGGAAGTTCTTGATCCGAATGTCCCACGCCGCCTGCGTTGTTTACGCTATTTGTCTGGCTGCCTTTTCGACTGGATTGTTCTACGCTGGTGTTAGCATGGGCTACCTCTACCTCCTTATGGTAAGCTTTCGCCAATCTGTTATATGTGATAGAATGCTAAGTTATCCGCTTGAAGGGTTGTATCATCAGCAGTGCGGTCATCCCAGCAACACTGGCACTAATGTGGAAAGACCAAAATTGGCAAGCCGCTGCCGGCGCTCCGGTGTTGGGCTTCGCCTGCGCCTTGATCGCCTGGCTCGTCACCGCCAAAAGGGAATGCGGCGTCCTTAACGTCGACTGCACGGGCTCCAACAATCCCATGTTGGCAGGCAACGTAACCGCGCTGCTCAGCCCGCTCGTCTTCGTGCCTGTTCTCACTTTCGCATTCGGTCGCCAGAACTACAACTGGGAATCCATGAAGGCGATCCGCAAGGGCGATGATTCGGAGATCATCCGTCGCGCCAGCGTCGACACGGAGATCCAACGCGAGATCGCCGCGAGGACAGCCGAGCAGGAAGCCGCCGAGCAGACCAAGTTGAACAAAGCGGCCATCATCTCGAGGAGTTTGACCGGGTTCATGACCATTGCGTTGTTGGTGCTGTGGCCCATGCCCATGTATGGGACCGGGTACATCTTTTCCAAGAAATTCTTTACCGGTGAGTTCCCCTGTTGCATACACACACGAAGATGTCCCCTCTCCCAGAAAATAACTCTCTCACCACCTCAATCCCACCTGCCACTCTGCTATCCTGCTAACCCACTTTCTCGAACGACTCCAGGCTGGGTCGTGGTCGGCATCCTCTGGCTCTTCTGCAGCACCTTCTGCGTGGGGCTGTTCCCGCTCTGGCAGGGGCGCAAGACCATGGGGCACACGGTCAAATCCATCATTCTGGACGTCACGGGCAAGAAGGGGCCCGCTTTGCACGGACGCCCTGCCGAGGTGGTCGAGGGCGAGGTCGGCGAGGAGTCGAGTGGCCAGCAGACGCCGGATGGTGGAGAGAAGGTCGTTGTCAAGGGCGAGTGACAGAGTGCGCGGAGTCCCTCCCTCCATCCGTCCCATCTGTGCATCTGTCCAGAGATTGGAGGGGCTATCTATCGAAGTAGGCATGTAGCCGGATAGATAGGGTTCACTCGTTTTCATTTGATACCCACTGGCACGAGGCTGGACTAGGCTTGTGAGAGCGCCATGAAAGATGGAGGGGGAAGAAAGAGAGATAGAAATGAAGAGGCTCGGCTCAATACAACAAGACGCTCGGAGATTGATCGATCTGGTTAAAGCAAAGTCGCTCACTTTGTCTAAGGTTCCATTCTCTCATTCTGCGCTTATAATGATACAGCTTCTGTTTTTTTTTCCCTTCCTCGTCATCGTCGTCATCGTCGTCTTCAGTCAATCAGCCATGTCCCTACTTCTTGCTGTGCCCATCGAAATATGCTGCTCGCGTGCTGGTTTCCTGCCCAATACCACCCCCATAATCACAACCACCACTACGATTGCAAAGGATATCAAGTTTCACTTACTTCGCCATGACCCTGACAGATGATGGTTGCATTCTCAACTACACCGTCATGAGACAACTGCCAACGGCCAGCCTTTCAGGATCTGTTCACCCTAATGCACGAACCAACCATACGGGACGTGCCCGCAATGGCGCCTCAGCTATGTGTCAATCTGTCTCTTAATCCTCGCTCAAAACCATCATTCTCGGTTTGGCTCATTTTGTTTCCTTCTTCTCCTCGGCGGGCTTCGTGTTGACCAGCCCGGACAAGAAGCCGCCGAAGCCTTCGGGCTTCTTCATGTCTTCCCAGCTCTGTCGACGTTCGGAGTGAACGCCTCGGTTTGCCATGAGGCCGGAGAAGATGCCGCCTTGGTTGGACGCGGAGGACTGCCGTTCAGCCGGGGGATGGGTTAGTCATTGGACGAGGTGAAGAAGAGATAGCTAGGCAACAGCCTTAAACAAGAAGGTAGGTATATACTTACCCGTCGACGTCCGGCAATCGCAGCCGCAACGCCTCCGCCGGGGGGGCTCGTGGCAGGAGGCGAGCTCGCCTTGGGCACCTCGGCCGGCTTGTTTGCACTCGATCCGCTCATCCTTCTTGCGGGCTCATGCACTTCTCTCCCAGACATGCCCAGGAATCGCCTATCGCCGCCCCAGGCGTCAGGGTTGGAGAGCACCATCTTCTCCACGACCGGGTAGTCGGGCAGAGCTGGTGTAGCTCCGACGGCTGCGGCTGGGGCGGCGTTGGTGAGGACGGGGGAATCGGCGGTCTTGTCGCTGCCAGAGGAACCGGACATGCGGCGTGTGCTGCCTTCGTGGACTTCGCGGCCCGTGGGCCACATGAAGCGGCGGTCTTGCCAGGACGAGGAAGAGGACATGGTTAGGACGTTACCCTGCTACTGATACTCCCAGTAGCCCACGCCTCAAGGGGGAGATGTCTGAAGTAATACAGATTGGGGGAGAAGGGTCTGGGACTGGGATGTGTGGCTTGGGACTTGTTTGTTTGGAGTGACGACGGTAGAAATAGAAGCAAGTGATGGGTTGCGAGATATGGGATGAGGTGACAGATGGGAGATTACAAAGAGCTACGGTCGAAGAGGCACCACCAGCACCTCAAGCTACCTTTGCCCCCCCCCCCCTCGCCCCCAGCTTCCCTGCTCGCCTGGAATGCTCACATGTGAGCGGGCAAGGCGGAATAAGGGTCTCTCGCTCACTCCATCCCCGCCTTCGACTCTTAGAGGTCGAGAGGTGTTTGGTGCGTCTGGGGTAATTTGGCCCGAACTAGTCCTAACTGGATGTGGTGAGCTGATCTGGCTGATGACGTACTGCATATACCAGGCAATTTAGCCGAAGCCTCCCACAATTTCAAAGGTACGTGGGATCCTGGTGGGATATTAGACTAATTACCCAGTACTCGGGGGATTCTCAACTCACTTTAGCTTCTAATGAACATCTACTAAGGAGCTAATTTTACCCGTCTTCAGAAAGGTATCTTAAATCGATAATTTTATGATTCAGCAAAGTTACCTATCCTACGAATTCTTACATCACCTAATAATATTACCCCTCGAGTCCGACTTAGAGCGAATTGGAGGCCTCGGCTGGGGAATGCAGACATTGGCAGCATCTGGTTGCTATCAACGGTCGCTGCTGGCGAATCACTCACTGGTAGGACTCCCCCTTTTCCTTGAAGACGGAGCGGAAACTTGGTTAGGGCACATGTACGGAGTACTTATGGAGATAATGTGGTCAGTAGCTAAGCCATTCTGGACCGAGCAATGCTGCTTGGACTTGATTCATACTGGATTCATAGCCATCGTCTTCCCGCTGGCGACTGCATCAATACCTCAGAACGCTGGGTCCGCTGCAATATCAACTTCCGGCAGAAAGGCTTCGGAAATGATTCCTTGCTAGGCCCTGGCGTATCTGTTTTTCTCATACCAGGCACGTAGATGTGAGCCGTGGGCTTGGCCGTAATGTTTGGCGCAAAGTTCAGAAATATGATCAGCCCAGCTGAAGGGAGTCTGTACTTTCACCTTACCACATACGCCCAAGTCTCGAATCCCACGCCGAGGGTGAATGTGTTAGTGAGGCTGACCATCAAGAAGCTCGAGATGGAGTGCGATTGCAATAAAAGAACACGATAAAGGAAGCGATTAGACTGTGGTCGCAGTCATCTCAGACCCCGACATTGGTTATGCTCGAGCTCAGGCTGCACTAGTCCCTTCGCGAGAAGGGGTCGGACTTCTGAGACAGGAATATATCGTCTATCGCCAGCAATGGTGATGCCTTCCACCTGCAGCGCTGATTTTATGCTCGAGATTTATTCTCCTTCATCACCATCTCCATCCTTTGCCGAGCCTATAAATGGAAGGAGGAGCCGTTCTTCTTCAGCTTCGTAGATGCGCTGCGTGCATAGGAGGCAGTCAGCCAGCCCATCTCACCCCAAGAAAGGCCCCGAGGAAATGAGACGGTGGGTGCATGATACAACTCACCTCAATTGCTCGGTTTGCCGTCAACCAGCTTGCGATGAGCATGCTCTGTAATACCCAGCTTTTGCGGAAGACACCACTCCGGAACCGCCCCGCGTGCCAGGTATCGAAGCCCCGGTGTGGGAAGTTGGAATCCAGATGCAGCTGGAGCAATTGCGGGAACCGATCAAGTGCTCGCTGTGACTTTCGCACGGCATCGCGATAGAATCCGACTGTGCCGAGAAGAAAGCCAGCACACGCCGAAACCAGAAAGGGGATTGTGGCGGTGTCGAAGATCATGGCGCCAATCGAGGCGCCACTCATGCCCAGGAAAATGGAGCCCACCGTGCCGGAGATGATGGCGCGTGCCATGCTGAAACATGACGCGGTCAGTACCTAGTATCTCCAAAAGGGGTATTGGCCTCTGGGCAGAGCAAGGAGAGATACGCGTACAATATTCCCGGGCCGCTGCAGCGAGGAGAAACCATTAGAACCAGCAAGACTTGTTCGAATTGGCGGCTGTTCGTCCTCACCTCACATTTCCCCAGCCTCCGCCCAGGCGTAGGATGTTTCTGTACGCGTCCGTAAACCCACTAGTTGTGAGGGCTTCGTGCCCAGGGGCTGAATTGCGGAAAGACATGATCCTCTGTCGGAAGCTCTCCAATTACTCGGTCATTCAGCGGTATTCGACAAAGGTGTACAGATTACCTCGTTGACTGCGGGAAGCTTTCAGGCCAATTGGTTAGATGGGCAAGATGGGCAAGATGGGCAAGATGGGCAAGATGGGCAAGATGGGCAAGGATGGGCTCAATGGCTAGATGGCTGCGCAAAGGCGTCTTGTGGACGGACGTACTGGGTACTCGTTGAGGCTCGGTCGGAGCATTCGACAAAGCCAGGACTCGCCAAGGACTCGCCCAACCACCCCTTTTCTTGTGCCTCGAGAAATGGGAGCAACTTTATTTCCCCAGGTGCAGAGAATATCTGCTCAACACGCATGCCATTGACAAGGTCGGTCGGCAGAAAGACCCAACCCCCATCAGCTCTGGCGCAATGCAAGTGGCACCCAGCCCTCAGGAGAGTGGCCGGATGGGCCTAGGCTTGGTCATTATCGGTGGGTTGATGGTTGTGAGCAAATTTCCCTTTGGAAAAAGGGTGGCTGAGGGGTGCTGAGCACGTTTTTCCTGGCGCAAGGTTCTTGGCCTCGTTTCTCTCACGCCGCATAAGAACGGGACCAAAACAATGCTTGATTGGATCTCCTTATTGAATACCTGCTCACAGAATTTGGGTTGTTCACTCGACCGTGCCGACGCCCTATATTCGAAGATGACCTCCTCGCCGGATGCCCATTTTGATATGGGCCGAAGAGGGAACATCTCTGTAACCATCAAGGCCACTGCATCTAGGTAGCATCCCGTGTTTCAAGGTCGAGAGGGACAACATCGCTATTCAACGTCTCAAATCCTCATCAGTGCCCTGCAATCTCACGCTTTCATCCCAAGAATGGGTCACTGTGGGTGTCGACAAGGTAGGAACGGCCAGCACTCTGGCCTACAAAGCTGCGGCTCTCAATCAAGTGAAGATCACTGACCGCAATCCAAGATACCGTCGAATCAGGTCATCCTCGTCGTCTAAACATGTCTCCCTCAAGATATCAGGGCGAGTTTGCCTTATGGGTCGGCAACATCCCCCCAAACACCACGATCATGAGTCTGCGACACTATTTCTCCGAACCGTCTCCGCTGGATCTGCTCAGCATCTCCTACAACCCCGACGCGAGATACTCCTTCGTCAATTTCAGCTCCGAGTCCGCGCGCCTTTCGGCAATCAAGCAAGCAGCCTCTCGACTCTTTGACGGCAGGCGCCTGGATTGCCGTATCCGGCAAGGGTCCATGAGCAGGTCGACCAAAGTAAACTATGGACTGAACAACAACAGAGGACCGCTGAACCGATCAAGTTCGATCTGCTGTGACAGGGCGAAAAGCCTGTGGGGCAAAGTGGAGGAATTCTCGCACTTCCCCGAGGCTGACAGGTCGTCATGGGGGAAGGAGAAGTATTTCATCATCAAGAGCTTCTCGCTAGAGGCCCTCTACCAGAGTCTCGAGACTGGTCGATGGCATGTGCCCAAGCGTCACATTGAGCGATTGAACCATGCATTTCAGGTAAGTGATAGTGGACATGATGGCAGTGGAACGTTTTCTTTATAAAATCGATCTCCTTTCGCTGACCAGTGAACCTCTTTCGATTTGTCCCTTAGACAGCCAGCAAAGTGTACTTGATCTTCTCCGTGAACGGCTCAGGCTGTTTCTTCGGCTATGCGACTATGCGCTCGGAGATTCGAGTTGACGAAGATGACCCCGCGCTATATAGCGACGAAGTCCAGATATCCCGACGCGACGTCGACGTCGACGACGACTCCGGATCCAGCCAAGCGGAGACCGAAAGCTCTTTGCGGCCCGCACCGAGGTCGAGGACGGAATCGCTCGCGTCGTCCGACTCGTCGTCAACCTCATTCTCATCCTCATCCTCGTCCGGCTCGATCGTCTACCAGCCTGAACGACGGAGAATAATATGGGAGGCGTCGTGGCCCCGGAGGACCATTAGGCAGTCCACGTCTCCAGAGGAACACCCGCCCGCATCAGTAGCACCAGCACCAGCAGTATCGAGTTCATACTTCACTAACGAATCATCAACACACTCCCAGCCCCTGGCAGAACCGAAACCTAGGGACACCACGAGCCAAACACCTCCCCCCCGACGTCCGCGTCTGTCTTCCGCAGAGTCCATCCTCAACCGGCTCTGGCCCGACGAGCACCGCGACCCGGCCTTCCTCGCCACGCTCGACCGCTTCAGCAGCCCGTGCCCGATCAAATGGCTGTCGACGCAGAGCCTGCCGTTCAGCGCGGTCCGCGGCCTGACGAACCCCTGGAACGACGACAAGGAGGTGCACATCGCGCGCAATGTCACGCCCGTGGAGCCCAGCGTCGCGGCTGCGCTGCTTGGGTACTGGGGCGTGGCGGCGGCGGAGAGGAAGAAGACGGGAACGAGCGGGATTGTTCGTGCTGGGCAATTTGGGCGAACTGAGTCAGGTTGAGTGGATGGTTCTCTCTCCAGACATGACGTCTTGGCTTTCCACTTAGATGGATGTAAATGCACATATACATATTTGTATGGACGATGAAGATCCAGGCTTTATATCGGAGAGAAAGTGGGAAGGAAGACCTTACTAAGGATAATAAAGATGATGACGATCATGATCATGATCATGTCCCTTAGATCTGGGCAGGTTTGCCTCGCTATACTTTGCCGTGCTTTGCTTTATCGTTCTACTCTCCGCCATCGGATTTGGGGAGCATTGCCCCGCCCACAACCCCAAACCCTTCCCACTTGGCAACAGGAACGCCTCGCCAAGCAATGATTTCTTTCTTTTGTCCCCTTCTAGCACACGTACGCCATGTAGCGCCACGCGCTCGTCCCTCGGCGGCAGATACACCTGGCAGCCTCTTTCCACCCGAGTGTCGCGCCCGACCACCGAGGTATCCAAGGTCTGTCTATCTACACAGGTCGCCGTCGCCAGTTTCAAGACGCCGACCTGCCTTGCCTGCCTACCTCCCCCAGAGTCCCCCTCACTCTCGGATGGAGGCACTGCCATATGCGGCTCCGCCGAGACGCGCCTCGAACGCAATCCCGTCGCGACCGACCGTGGCCGCGATCGAATAGTGCAGGTCCATGTGCTTTGCGCCGCTCGGCGCATGCAACACCTTGGGCGCTTCTGAGAAGTCGCACGTCAGTTCGCTGACGGTCGTCACGCCGGCTGGGGATGGGGCAGTATGTCAGCAATTTGCCAGGTAGAAAACCGGTCCTCGAACCTTAGAGACGGAGGACGCGGTGTGGTAGGGGCGTGTAACATACGGTGATGCAAATCAGTGGGTAGATCCGTTTCAACTCGCGATGTGACAATGGCGTGCGACCATCTCTGCACCGACTTGCCCAGGCGCACTGGATGGGCCATAGAGATCTTGAACTCGTTTGTATCATTCGGCTGCTTTCCCTGTTCCATAGAAGGTACCAACCAACCGGTCAGTGGGATTTTAGCACTTTTGTCACGCAGAAGTCAGTGGGAATGGCAAAACACAATGTAGCACGTACCGCGAGGACAATCCATTTGATTTGGTCGCGTGCATAAACCCGTCCGTCGGTTTCATCTCTGAAAAGCGCCTGGTCGCGGTGTAGATTTGGATTGTAGAGCCTGTTGCAGACGATGCCGTACGAAATGCGGGCCACGCGGCGGTATACCAGGTTGCTGACCAGGTCGCCACTCTGAGATGCAAACAGCCGAGCACGAGACATAATCAGGCCTCTGATCACTGCTAGCTGTCTAAGAATGACATCAGTTCAATATATCTCGGTTCCCAGAGCGATACCTATCTCTTACGGATCTGGAGCATGGGCGAATTTGGTCGCTGGCGTTATAAATCGATGCGACCTGAGACGCAGGTACCTGTGCCGGAACTGGTCGAGGACATATGGAGAACTTGCAAGCCCGCCAGAGAGGACTATATGACTCTGAAAGAAATGTTAGCCGCCGCGCGAGTAAAAGGCGACGGCAAAATGCCGTGTATCGAGATCATCTTACTGCCTGTAGATCAGGTGTAGCGGAAAGCGCTTTGTCCATTTGGTGGTCTACCAGCTGGAATATCTGCCTGAGTTGTTCATCAAATAGTTGCTGTAGTTCGTGGCTAAGGAAACAAGATATGGTCAGCATGCTTGAAGAAACACGGATGCAATCGTGTCGATCAGCGTGTCCATATGCAGCCGTCTCTGATGAGGAAGACACTCAAAACACTAGCACAAAGGGCATATTGCAGAACAGCCATAGCAAACGCGGGCTCCACTTACGTCGTCAGTAATAAAAAGCCCCTTTCTACCTTTGCCTCCTCGGAGTTGAAATCGCTCGGTAAACCTGGCACTCGTAGTCTCCCCGCAATCACCATTTCATCGGGACCAAACACGGCTTTTCTAGTTTGGAACTGTCCGGCAGTCATCTCGCGTACCACGCCCTCGACAGAGAGCTGGTAACGTCCTAGCTCTGCCTCGACACGGGCCAATCTGTGCGTCGCGAGTTGCTGAAAGCCGATGTCGATCATGGCGCTGCCAACGCCGTTGTCTGAAAGAGAGATTTAATTGACATTCCAACACAAGAAAGGTGATGAAAGAGTCTTCACCTTCAACTGCGTCCAACTGTTCGAACTCCAAAGATGGATTCGGTTGATTGGTAACTTTGAGGAGAGATAGTTTCTAAGTTTGACCGCTCCATTACTCTATCGATCAGACTCGAGGGCTTCAGTTCTCCTACAGTTGTCATTCCACCTAAATCGGCAACTAGAATGACGCTTCCGTACTAGATTATTGAGATTGAGCATTTGATAATCATGCAGCAGGGCCAACTTACCGAATATCGTACACCCGCATCAGTAACGGCGGAAACGGCTGCCGCTTCGGCTTCGGTCATGTCGAAAGAGCAGCTGTGCCCTTGGCCGGCACTGCCAAAACCAGCCTGTATAACCAGATTTTCGAACCTCTGCCTAACGCCAACGCTCCAAGACGAAGGTATGGGGAAGTCGAATTCAATCTCTGCATTGTGCCATGAGTGGACGATTCCTTGGAAACCCTCTTCGATGTGGCGATAGAGCATTCGGAGGAAGTCCAGACATAACGATTGGACGTGATCTGAGGTTTCTGGTAAGTGGCGAGACTCTTTCCGGCTCTGTTTGGCGGTCTGCAGAACTACAGGGTCGAGGAATTCCTTAAAACCATTGAACAGTAGAGTCTCTTTGTCTTCTGCATCGCGTCTTGCCAAGAACCCCCAGGATAAGAGTTCGCCGTGGCGATAAGCGGGCACAGTTGGCACCTGGCAGACATTAGTGCGAAGGGAATTTGTTATCTCGGAATGGAAGTATCCCATCAAAACCACTCAACAGGTAAGAAACGTATAAATTACCTTGTTCTGCGCTGCGAAGCCGATTCCTGGCCACCTCTGAAGAATGTGTAGTGTTCCGTTGCCCGGCGCGCTGCTCCTTGTATTCCACCATCCAACGCCTATTTCCAGTTAGCTTTCGTGCTACACTAGTCACCAATACACAAAGGCGAGAGCAGACAAAGAGACAGCCTATACCTGTACAAGTCATGCCAAAATCGATCGCGATGACCAGTTGTGGCTGGGCTCGTAAAGGTCTTTTCCACCGAGCCTTGGTACTCAGGCCAGCTTCAGGGTATTCCGGAGCGTCAAAAAACTCATCCGAGGTTCGTGTCTGTATTGTTCTGTCTGAATAATCGTGATCGATAAAAGACGCGGTGTAGGTTGTAGTGTTATCCACTACTCTCTGGAACATATCCCCCTCTGCGATGTCTCCACGGCCTTTGAGATCTCTAATGTATAACTGCAGAGAACCCATGCATTGGTAGAGAGTCGTAACTTGCGCAGGTATCTGAGCCGTTTCGAGCCGTATTGCTGCCGTGTCGCTCAGTATCTTGTTGGTGTTATCCTTGGTTTCCAGGGTCAAGAAACTGACCAGATCAGCGGCGTTCTTGGGTTCAGTATGTTTTTGCCCCCAATGGGTTCTGCAGAATTCAACAGATCGAACAAGAGGTTAAGGAAGTATTTCAGGAGGGAAAGTTAGGCAATGGAGGAAAATTGATACTCAAGTGCAGGGATTAATCTTCTGGTTCATATGAACAAATGGGTAAAGCTAATATATCACGGATCCCAGGAAAGCGAGAGTTGGTACTGACATTGAGGCAATCAGAAGCGCAATTGCAATGGCTGATTTGTGCCCCTCTAGCTTCGACTTTAGACCCATCAACTTTTCTCGTTTCGACAGCGACCACTTCAGGCGTCCGAAGAGTCCGGCGGAGGACAGCTTTCGCAAGAGATCTCCCATTTCCTTCGTCACGCCGTCACAATTCCCGAGTGTATCGAGGAGATTCTGGCGCAACGAGGCAGGATACTTCGCCATGTTGTCGTCGTCGCGCATGCTCTCGAGACTCGTTGAGAGGGCCTTGAGTTCTTGAAGCAGCTCTTGCATGTCATTGCGCGCGTCTTTAAATTGAGAGGCAAAAGCATTGACCTGGGCTGAAAGCTGAGCGATGGCGGCAATAGAGCCTATGGAGGCTGTGGTGATGGAGAAGGGATCCATGCCTTCCACCCATCGCGGATTCCAGGAGGAGGATTCAGGTGACCATAACTGCGTTCAGCTTGAGAATCGGCACCTGCAATTTATAAGTGCCACAGAGGTGTAGTTCCTTCAAGAGAGCGATGGCGGGGTAGGAAAACAAACATGCCAAGATGAGTCCAAACTGCTCACATCGTCACCCGCAGCTCAACTTCGGTTCAGCCTCGCACTGGTAATCGCCCAGGCTGTCTCCTCAACCAGTACCATCGATATACTTGCCCACGGTGTCTAGCCCTCATCGGCTCCACAATGAGGGCTTACAGCCAGCGATGTGGAGGGAAAAGTGGGATTTGTTAGATACAATTTTGTTCGGACAGATGCAGAAGATAGTTCTTCGTTCCAGATGAGGGTCCTCATGGTAGGCTGGTGTATTCTTTCTTGCACGGTTGGTTATTAACTTTGATGGCTGTAAGAACGTTAGACGAACCCCATTGAAGGCAGCTGCCTCAGTCGCTTGGGGATGTGTTTAATCGCCCTTGAATAGTGAAGACCTTGGAAACGAGCCAGAGCGCTATGGTGGCTGCTCATTCTGTAGAGCCACTGCCTCCGTGGGCAATCTGAGATTCTCCTTCAGAGTCCGCGATCTGTTCCCCCGGTGCAACGGTAACCTCCTCTCTTTCGGTAAGCAGTCTTTCCAGTCCAATGGTAAGTTCCTCTGTTTCCTCGATGCGGCTCCAGCAGCTCCGCGAGAGCTCCTCGCGAGAACACATGATCATTCGCAGTAAGTCATCCACGCTTTCAAACAGCTTCAACAATATTTCAGCCACCTCGAATAACCAGCTGCGTCCGTGCTGCCTCGCAGGGAGCCTCCCAATTGTTTGCATTATAGTGGTCTTCATTCCCCTCATATCTCGCATTGTATTAATATTTTTTTCTTCCCGTATCAGACACATGGTCATCACTTTCAGTCCCAGACACTTCCTTCTGAAGTCTATAAGTTCACTTGCCCATCGACGATAATGCTCTACCTGCAGCACAGTCTGGGGTTGAGTGTCAATGTCAGGTGATCTTATTTGTTCTGTACGTAGCTGTTAGTCTAGAAAGCTTACATTTTGTACCAGCTGAGTCACTTGAAGAGAGTCCACCTACTTGATAGCAAGATTTCGTAATCCGTAAGTGTGTGTCGCATGTGGCATATCCACATGGCATACTCCATTCCTAGAAATAAAGTGCGGCAGGAATTGCAAGGGATACTATCATCGCACTGGCCAAGGGGTCAGCCTCCATAGGTATAGGCTCACATCATCTACTTTACCTTTTTCTTCAAGATTCTGCAGGGGGGGCAAGAGCCGCCAACTTCGACAACTTCTCTCCTGTTCTGCTTCTGAGCATCGGAAAGTTTCTTTGGGAGCGGAGGGCCAAGAGTGAAGCATCGGTAACCGTCGAGTGGTATACGCGTGCGAGATCTCTTGCGCCTGGGACGTCGAGGTATCAATTCCAAACCACGACTTTGACGTGTTTTTGATGGCACCAAACACGGCCTTAGCTGACCATGGCCGTCCAGTGACTGAAGCGAACCAGACTGGACTGAGCCGTTAAATATACCCGTCCCCTCGCAGGTCTGGAGTGAGAGCTGCGGTGCGATGTAACTTGCCGTTGGTAACTGTTGCTCCCAGTGCTCGTTGGTTGACTGAAACGTTAGCTAGATCTAGTGCACATCTGAAAAACCTTACTGTATTGTTCATGAAGGGGGGTTCCGCAGGTGACTGATCGACAGGCAGTAAGTCAAGCTGGGATATCCGCAGCGGGTCATGTAGCGGAAGGACATCCAAGACCTGATCTTCCGGTACAGCATGAACGGGGTGTGTCAGATTCTGCTCTTGCTGTTGGCCTGTCGGAGGAATTGCAGTGCTAGCCGGTACAAGGCCATATGCCGTTGGGTCGCAGTCAAAGACATCGAAATCATCGAAGTCAGCCAGCGGCATCTCGATATCTTCTTTGAAGGGATTCGACTGGTGCTGTGGCTGAAGGAAGGTGCATGGCTTGTCGAGTTCGTGTGGTACATCGGCATCAGGCTGAGAGTCTGCAGCTTTGTGTGACCCTGTAAAAAGTTCTTCGAAGGTGATGAATTGAGAAAGAAAGGCATCGTCCTCTGTGACGTCCATCATGAATGAATGATCATCGGGACCTTGGTTGCTTGTATCAAAAAGAAGGGAGGCATAAATTTCAGAAGAGCAGCATCGAGCTTTAAGTGCGCCGTGGGAAACAAGGCTAGCCTCCATCAATTTCTAGTCGTAAGTAGGACCTGCATCCGGAGGCCCGAAGTAGTATAGCTTAATTGTTACTAGGTTTGTTACGTTCCCGTAGGCTTCAATCGGTATAGCGTTCGGCGATAGAGACCAATCAGATAAGTCCAGGAACTGTACTAGGAATATTACGGTATGTAACGAGCCTTATCACGTAGACCAATGGACTAGAATTTGCTTGTAGACGTATGCTGACTTTGTGATACTGTCATAAGAGAGCAAATGACCATAATTTGAACTCATAGCCGCAGGCTCAAAATGGGTAAGAGGCAGAATTAAGCACATTGCACAGCATCTGAAGCGCTGCCAGTAACAATGATATAATAGGTACACTGAACTCTGCATCGTGCGCGGAGAGCCCAGAACGGATCATCAGCTTTGCTACTCCTTAGCCTCCTCGACAAAAATATGAACGTAAATCAGCCGTGGTCACGAGCGGACATGTTATCACTCCTCCAGCTCCTAGCCATGATACTGATTCCTCTCACACGCTGGCTGGTGACTATGTGTAAGTCGTACAGGCTCCGCCGTGGCAAGGCATATGATGCTGACCTCGTAGATGGGCGGGACTTCTTTGTACCTGAAAATCTTGCGTGGATGCTCAACAACGCTATCCAGAGATTGATTCGGGTTGGCCGGTGAGAAGCGTGAGCCGCAACGCAACCTACGAGAAAGGGACGGACAGGTATACCGTTGGGCAAGGCCACCTTGCGTTTGGAGCAGGGGATATGTAGGGGAACAGAAACATGCACATCTTACGATCATGTACCACCACGGGCATAAGAACTTCTCAACTTTCGCAAAACACTACTTGGGTGGCTGCATTCAACAAGGCGGAAAGAAAAGAAACTGGCGTTGGCGATACTAAGGCCAAGTGTAGAATCAGAGCGTGATAGATGTTTCCGAATGGAGACTGGACCAAACTCAGACAGATTGCCGCCATTGTGTTCGAATGCTATTGGACTACAGGTGTGCCGATGGATGATGCGCGCTTCTCAGAGAGCTATTAGAAATGTTGTCAATAATGCTCGGCTGGATATTGAGCTGCTGTCCTGTGGTTGAGACGGGGTACGGCGATATTGCCTCCTGGAGTATCTTCCATTCCCTAACCTCTTCCCTCCACAAATAGTGGTGGGTGGTGAAATCCATCACCGACAAGCATGACGGAAAAGTCTAGAAAAGAAGTTCCCATAGAGAGCAAAATAATTGCACTCATCATCCAGTCTAGACATTGAGGTTAGGTGAAGCCAACAGAATGCATAAGAAGAGATGGGGAGGTGGAGGATAGGCCGTCACTAGGCGTCTTAAAGTCGATCGACAGTATTGCTTCCAGTGAATGGATGGAGACAATGCCTGTTGGTGTTTGATTTGAAAAGGCCAGTCGGCACATGAATGACATATATTGCTGCCGGGCGTTTTCTGCTCAAGCAAAATTATGCCGTATATTTCGGCAACTCCTCCATCTGCTCAAACTCGGCCATCGAAATCTCATAGCCCAAATGCCTCTTGAGCAACTCGTGGGTAACAAATCTCTCCGGCGTGTTGCCTTGCGCATCGACGAAGGAGACATGGTGGTTGACGTCGCTGATGCGTTGCAATTCGTTAGCATGGCGATGGTGATGCGGACACCCGTCCACGCCAATGAGGAAAATGGTGACGTGAGCCCACGAAAGGCCCAGAAGATCCAGTTCGAACTCGTCCATGTCGGTGGCTTCGCCGTCGAGTAGGAGAAGCAAGCGTAGCATGGGCGTTTCTGGCCCGGCTTGCCATCCGTACACCGGATGATGTGTGGCAGACTCGGAATGCTTCTGGAAATGCAATTCTTTGACCTTCTGCCAGCCGGTCATGACGCGCGTTCCGCCTCCAAGCTTGACCCTGCGCCACATTGCATCGAGATTCTGGTGGTTGACGGTACCGATGTAGTGGGCGGAACTGGAGAAAGTCGTCAGATCATAGCCGCGGAACTGGTGGTCGTGGTTTGCCATGGCATCGGTGAACCGTCGGATGATTGCTTTGGCAACATCTATATTACACATTCAGTATTATGGACAAACCCCACGGTCCCGGGTTGCTTGGGGCATTTACCTTTGTTCTTTGGCTGCGTGGATCTGGAGTAGCCGGTGATAAGATACTGGTCGTAGTTCGGTCGCACTGGGTCAAAATCCATGGATCCAGAAACATCCAACAGAATCATCGTGTCGTCTGTCGGTACTTCCGGTCGATCGTAAGCCACAAAGGGCGTGGGCATGACCTGCTTGGAGTAGCCAACAGAGGTATGTTGGAGGTGGCAGGTGTCGGTGGCGGAGTAGTACTCGGGAGGCGGTTCAACGGCTGTGGCCATTCTAGCACGAGCCATGTTCATTTCCGAAATAAAGTCCGGCTTCATTCTCATCCCAACACTGCCTTCTCTGTGGTTCAAGACCCAGTAGAGCCGTTCCTCGGCGGTATCCTCGTACCCTCGCCAGGCAGGGGTAATTCCTCGCCATCCGGCGGCGGCCTCGATGCTGAATTTTAGCGGATTAGAGGCTTGGTTGGCCCAAGCCACCGGAATAGGCTCAAAGTAACCGGCTCTGAGCAGGTGAAGATACTGAATGGGATGGCGAGCACGGAGGTCCGCAATCTTCCTGGTCATCCCAACCTTCTCCTGATATACTGCCACAATATGGCGCCACTGCTCATCGGGCCACCTGCCTTCCTCCTCTGCCAGGATTGCGTCCCGTAGCTCACGGCCTTGGTACACCATCTTCTCTGTCTTCGCAGCCGCTCTCTCTTCCGAAGATTTGATGCCAAAGGATTGCCTAAAACTAGCAAGCCTCGATATTTTGGCAGGCTTGGCCGCACTTCCATTCGCAGAAGAAGAGGCTCCTTCCTGTCGCGTATCATTTGAATCTTTCTCGTCACTTGCCTTGATGGATCGCTTCTTATCGTTGGCCGCCATGATCCTCAACTGGGACATTGCGGCTTCAAGGGCGCCCTCATTCCAGATATCGACCTTGGGCTCGGCGGCGTCAATGTTTGCTTGCGCCTCAGCGTTCAGGCGATTGTTGAGCGCAATAGTCTGGTGGATTGACTGGGCGTGGTATTTTGGCTGCGGTCTTGACACTCCCCAGTTAGATTGGGCGTAGTAGCCGTATGGCGACACGACGCGGAATCTGTAGGGGTTCCTGTTAAATATGCCTGCGTTTTGATAATAGTCGTTGTAGGCCCTCTCTCCTATGCAGGCGGAGAAAGAAACGTGTCAGCCAAGTCAAACAGGGCGCAAGGAACGTCAAACGGCAATGCTAACCTGGATACATGACTGCCTTCGACCACATTTCTTGGACTCCATATCGACTCCATTTCATCCTCTGGTAGTTGTGGATAGGACAACTGCAGTAATATTCCGTCTCGTGTTCGGGCTCAATCTCACTGTTGTAGATCCCATACTGCAGCTGGACATTCTGCAGTGCATTCTGCATTTGTTGCTGCCCGAACGTCAGTTTGGTGTCTGCCACTGTCACATTCGAGCGAAAATAAAACCCACTTCATCTCTGGCACGAACTTTGCCTGCTTCGATGACTTGATTGGTATGGTGACGAATAGATGGAGTCCGGCTCGCTGCATTCCTGGGTGGTGGATATGACGGCGGCGCATAAGCTGGAGGATGATCACTTTTCCCGTCGCCAGTTTGCTTGACGTTCAGCTGCGGAGCGTGAACAGAAGCGTGAACCGTGCTTGCTGCAGCTATGGCGCCACATTGTTCTTGTGCCTGGAGGTCTTTTGCAAAGTGCCAATCTTCATGTTCGTCTTTTGAGTCTGAAGCAATTGTTTGGCCGCACCGAGCGCAGAAGTACCGATCCGCGGTCTTCTCAGAAGCATCAGATACCAGATCAACTGGATTTCCAGCTTTCTTCTGTTCAACGCTGCTGCTCTTTTGCTTTGACTCCATACCAGCAATATCCAGTGGGGACAGTGTTGGGGCAACAGGTCGTGCGGCAGCAAGACCTGTTGTCTAAATATGTACGTAAGATGCGCCCGGGGCTGTGCAACGTCGGGTACGTCAACATGTGTGGCCTCTCCAATAATATCAACCAGCCGTCAATCTCGCCTCGGCAGTGCGCATGATGGAGTCTGGGGTTTCGACCCTTGCCATCTAGCGAGGAGATAAGCATCGTGCCCAGTCACGAGCCAAGATCTGCCACACGTGAAGGTAACCCGACAAGCTTTCTCCAAGTCTCTTGAAGCCATTTATTATTCGCGCAGTTCAGCCGCAGCCGAGTGGCGGGAGATGGTGTTCTGGGAGGAAAGATTATGCAGAATTCACCGTTCCATCCACAGCGATGCGATGGTGGCGATCTTTATTTTTACAGACGAGTCCGCCACTTAAGGAGCGCGATGGCCCTACGTATCGAGGGGCGAGGCGGCGACGGCCCACGGGTTTGGCCATAAACAACTCCCTCATCCCTCCAGGTCTGCAGCATTGCATCACCTATCATGAACTTCGGAAGGAAGAACTCTAGTCCTCTGCGCAGCCTCGCCGCAATCTCAATAAACGTCCCTCTCGGTTTCTGGAGTAATCAAGGAGATGGTTAGCCTTGCCACTTCCTTTCAAAAAACTATATCTGGAAGTTTTAAGTACTCGCGTCGCGTGAACCCTCCTGAGATACCGCCAGCCACCGGCGACCCGGTCCAACACCAACAACTCCAAATCTTTCCCTAACAAGACTGACCCAAGTCATAGCATAGGCTCGGTAGAAGGAGTCTTCGTATGGAGACGTTCTCACCATGGTTCCAACGTCATCCATCCCAGTGTAACGTGTACCTGTCTGAGCATCTCCATTTCGTGCATCATGAATGCTCCCGCTGCTCGTGCTTAGCCGACAGCCCTTGGCCATCAAGCCTTCACATACTCCTCATGAACACCAGCCGAGCTCTTCCTGCGAACAGCAGCTTGCTCGAGATCTGCCAAGGTGCTCCGACGCGCCTCCGTTGCACCCATATCCTTTACTTCTGTGAAGCTGACAGTTGGAACAAAGCCAGGTGACTTTCTAGCGGAGCCGATCTTGGCGTAGAGCTCGTCGACTTGCTCGAGAGTCAAGCCCTTTGTCTCGTAGATGAAGAAATACACGAACGCGCAGCAAATGCAACAGAATCCACCCCAGACGAAGAACACCTTGGATCCAAGATTCCTGTACGAAAGATCAGAAAAGCGCGTTTGGCATAATGACTCGAAAGATACTCACGCATTGCCGGGACCTGGGTTTACCATGTATGGCGTAGCGTAGGCGATGGCCCAATTGAGCAACCAGTTTGAGGCGGTGGTCATGGACAAGCCCTTCGCTCGGGCTTTCAGGGGGAAGATTTCACCTATGCAGAGTTAGGATGATGCCGAACATTTCATTCGAGGGAGCAACGCACCTGTAACGACCCAGGCGCAAGGGCCCCACGAGCAGGCGAAGAAGAAAATGTAGATGCAGACGAAGGCGATCAAGGCATTGCTGGCTGCCGGCTCACCAGGTCTGGCAGTGCCTACGCTTGCAACGATAAGTTGACAAACCGACATGCCGATTGCACCGAAGAGAAGCAGCGGGCGTCTCCCCCAACGCTCGACCATCCATAGACCGGGAACAGTACTGCAGACGTTGACGACGTCCGTGATGACCGAGATGATGAACGGGTTGTGTATCCCAGCACTGGTGAAGTAAGTCGTGCCATAGTAAAAAATAAAGTTGACACCCGTGAGCTGTTGAAGGGCCTGGAGAGCCATGCCAGTAAAGAGTCGCTTCCTGATAGGCGCTTTGAAGCAGGCGAGGTAGGAGGCTGTTCCAATGGCCATCTCATACTCGTGGTTGGCAATAATCTCGGCGAGCTCCTCACGGATAGCAGGGTGGTCTGGCGGAAGCCTTCGTAGACGGGCGAGAGACTTCGCAGCCTTCTCACCATTTCCTTTCTTGATCAAGAAACGCGGTGTTTCAGGGAGGATCAACATTCCAACAACCAAAATAATGGCCCACGCGAACTGGACAGCGACGGGGATCCGATAGGACCCGGTATCATTGCGGTTTTTGGTGGCGTTAAGGACAATGGCCGCGAGGAAGAGACCGATCGTGACTATCAATTCGAGTCAGTAAGGCGAACACCGTCGAAAGAAGGGCGCTGAACCCCAAGGGAGGGAACTCACTAGCCCATTGATAACAACCGACAATGGCTCCTCTGATCCATTTCGGCGCTGTCTCTGACTGATACAGTGGAATTGTGGCGCTTAGGAGCCCAACACCCAGGCCGGCGAAGAAACGGCCGGCGACGAACATTGGGATTGCAGTGGCAGCAGTCTGAAGGATGACGCCAAAGGTAAACACGACAGTGTTGAAGATCACTTGAGTGTCCTGTTAGTACAAGATTCAGGGTCTATGGGAGAGACCAAAAAAAAATTAGTAGCAATGAATTAAGGGGCAACCAGTCGAAGCATTTTCAACGCAGGGGGCATTTCTGGGCAAACTATAGAACGTTCTGCGACAGGGTATAGGCACATTTGCGATGGAAATCATGTTTGGATGGGCAGAGAAACTTACTGGCCAGTCGACGACCCAGGATATCAGCGATTGGAGCACTGAACAGTGCGCCGAAGAAAGTGCCCGCCGACAAGATGGAGACAATCTCCGATGTTTGGCTCGCCGTCACATCGGGGTAATGATCTTTCGGGTTGACATATCCGGTCGAAAAGAGATTTCTCCAGTATTTCATGGCCAATATGCCGCCTATGGTACCCGTATCATAGCCAACTGTTGCAATTAAAGATGGACGTCAGTAAGGCCATGGATGTACATACATCTTCTGAGCAAGACACTAGAACAACTTACACAAAACACCGCCAAAGGCAACAAAACATCCTATCGCGATCGCTGGCAAGGCCGAGCCTGGGGAGTCTGCAGGCTTTGGGAAGAGGAAAGGCATGATGTCGTTTGTATGTGGCTGATCTGTGCAAGATTGAATAGATTATAGATGCGCAGTCAAGAATGCTGGAGGACGCGCAGCCTATACATTGAAAACGACGATCAAGCGACAGGTCTTGAGGGTATAAATACACCTGCTTTGTGCGTTCATGGGTCTCAGACATGTTCAGCCCAGAGACATCTAAGGTCGTATTGATAGCAGCAGTCGACTTCTAGGTATTACACCGAGCGTCGGCGAAATATGCCCAATTCTGCATAAAGCAGGATCTTCGCCCCTCCACAGATCACACACCGCTGTTCCATTCATGTCTTAGCTTTGCCGCTGTGAATGCCCTGGGGCAAGGTTCGTAGCACCAGAGCAGGCGATCCCGGCTTCTCGTTGGCAGACCATGAAATTGAAAGTTCGATGAACGTTGGACAACGTTGCACAATGAGCCCGCCCTGGGAATGCCAAAGCGGGGGAACCCAGACACAAGAGAGACTATCGCAAAGAAGCTCACTCCTTGGTCCGTCAATCAGCGTTGGATGACCAAACTACGGGCAAACTACGGGCAAGCCACGGGGTAAAATCCTGGGGCCTGGTGGAGATCGGCCCATGCTAGACGGATTATCATTTCTCCGTATTTCACCGAGGTGGCCACTCACAGATGCCGACCCGATCCACCTCCACCCGGCAATTCCGGCTGTTGAACGGTGGCCGGAAACGGCCACCACCATCCCATTCAGAATCCATCTTCGACAAGAGACTTCCGAGTTCCTCCCTCAAAAGCCGAAATTGGCAGCCTCGCACGAGGCTTTGCCGTCCAGTCTTCTACGTGACTACTTGTGCTTGTTAATCAATTCGTTCTCTCGTGCTTTACACCAATGAACATCCTTGCTCTGCATGTAGCTCTCCATCAATGTGTGCTCTCAGCAACATTTGGCGATGAGCATGCCGGTCTACGACGCTGGGACGATCACGGACAACACCGTCCAGGAGCCGACTTACTCGTCTTCAACCGGTTTTTTCCTTTTTCTCCTTCTCATCGGTCCCAATCTGCTCGCGGGCCTTCGACAACATGGTAAGAAGCACGGGGCTGGCGCCGAAGACTTTCGTTGGATATACCCCGCGCGCAATTCGATATAATTCGCATCAACTACTTTGGGGCGACGAGGTTGGAATCGTGCTTCGAGGCACGGGAGAGCCTCTGATGATGTCACTATTGCCTTGGTGGTCTAACATATTTAAATCGGCTACACTTTCTATGATGCGATGGGAGAAGGAAGCATCATTTCGGTATCGAGTTTCTGATGCTCACCTCGGGCGTCAACGATCATGATTTCGTTAAATTCGATAGTATATGCCGCCCTGATTAGCTCTTCCTACGCCCAATCCTCCAAATATGTAGAGCCGCCTGTACCTACAGGAGTTCCAATACCGGGAAATTATAGTTGTGCCCTTCGACCACAGGTCCATTTCTCTCCTCCCCGGGAGTTCATGAACGATCCCAATGGGATGTTTATCGACGCACACGGGACGTATCACTTGTATTACCAATGTACGTACCGCGGGCCTCTCCAGAGACCTCTTACTGACTGTGGAAGACAATCCGACCGGCATTGTGGCGGGCAATCAGCATTGGGGTCATGCAACTTCGAAAGACCTGTACCATTGGGTCAACCAGCAAATTGCCATATTCCCTCCTGACGCACATTCCAACATCTATTCGGGATCGGCGGTGGTGGACGTGGACAACACGTCGGGGTTCTTTCCACATCAGAACAACGGCGTGGTGGCTGTCTACACAATCAACACTCCCACGTCTCAAACACAAGCACTTTCATATTCCATCGATGGTGGATACACTTTCCGACCATACTCTGGCAATCCGGTGCTGAGCGACAACTCGAGTCAGTTCCGCGACCCCAAGGTCATCTGGCACGCGCCCACCCAGCAGTGGGTGATGGCGGTGGCATATGCACAGGCTCTCACCCTTGGGTTCTTCACGTCTCCCAACCTAAAGGACTGGGAGCACGTGTCCAACTTTTCCCATCATGGCCTGCCAGGCGACCAGTATGAGTGCCCTAACCTGGTCGAAATTCGAATGGAGGGCCAAAAGGAACCGATGTACTTGCTCACCATCAGCATCAATCCCGGCGCGCCCCTCGGTGGCTCCATAACGCAATACTTCCCGGGCTTCTTCAACGGCACCGTCTTCACGCCCGTAGATGGTGCAGCGCGGATTAGCGATTTCGGCAAGGACAATTACGCGGGCCAGTTCTTCTACGGCATCCCCGGGGACCGCGATCAAATTTCCATCGCCTGGACTAGCAACTGGCAGTACTCACAGCTGGTGCCTACCGGACCCTCGGAGGGCTGGCGTTCGTCCATGTCGCTTCCCCGCGTCAATTATCTGAAGAACCTCAGCCGGGTCGGCTATGATTTGGTATCCGTGCCGTACAGCTTGTCGCCCGTGATCAACACCACCTCCTCCCTGGTTCAAAAGACCATAGTGGGCAACGGCAGCGTCCGCCTGGACTATTCCTCGGGCGCCTCGGGCGCCCTGTACTTCCAGATCAACATCACCGACATCCCGACCGCCAACATCAGCGGCACCGCAAACTTCACCTTCCTGTCGTCCCGGTCCGGCGAGTCGGTGCGCGCAGGCTACTTCCTTGCGCCGGACAGCGCCTTCTTCATCGACAGGGGCAACACGCGCGGGTTCGACAACCCGTTCTTCACGGACAAGTTCTCCACCAGCTGCCCGTACAATTCCTCGGCGTCTTCATACACGTGGCGCGTCGAGGGCGTGATCGACCGGAGCATCCTCGAGGTCTTCATCGACGGAGGCGAATCGTCTGCCACTGTGACGTTCTTCCCGGAGCAGGAGCTCGACACCCTGGTGATCAACGCGGGCGATTTGAACCCCGGCGTCACTGTGAGTGCAGCGGTGCATGGCCTGGACAGCGCGTGGGCAAGGGTTGAGGATGTCGACGGGACTGTGCTGGGGAACGTCACCGGCCACAAAGCTCAGGAGAGGGATACCCATTGACGCCGGGAGTTTTGAGGCCTTTGACGTGTCCAAAAAGGGCGAAGGTGCCAGCTGCTCGAGGAGATATATCCCCCTCCCCCAACGACCTAGATTTTGCTGCGTGTGTAGGGATACCTCTTTATCTCTTCTGCAGATAGTCCGGCAATCTTCATTTCTGACAGGAAGTGGTGGGTCGCGTCGGTTGTTATTTCAGGAGCAACAACAAGGACCTGAAAAGCAGCTTCCCACTATCATAGATTAGGCTGGCCGGCTAGCTAGTCTTCAACATGCTGTTCATCCATGGTGTTCGTCATACATACAGCTGAAAGACTCTTGATCTAATTTCTTTCCATCCTCTGGCCTAGAAGCATCAACACCTCAACCTTGTGCGCAAATGCCCTGCTCTCCACTCGCCAACCATCAGGAGTTACCGCCTGTCTAGAGGCACAATCCAAATGCCACGGCAAGGCCAAGCCCCATGCTCCACGCAAGGCCGGCCATCTGCTGCGCGCTCATCCTCGCCGCGGCATTGGTGGCTGCCGCTCCGCCAGCGCTCGCAGTCACTGTGACGGTCGCCGTGGCCTGTGCCGCACTCGATCCGTTTGCCTCCTGCTGGACGAGCGGGTAGATTTCGACGCCCGTCGAGTTCTGGCACTGATCGCTCGCGAGGATCGTTGCGTTGGCGCTGAATCTGATATCGGCGCACTGTAACACCAAGACGATGCAAAGTCAGCAAGCTTGCAACCCATTCCCCGCCTGTCAATCATCGCAATAAGGTGGGCAGAGGGCGTACATTGTACAATGCCGTCCCGCTGTCTCCGATCGTGATGACCTGCAGCGACGCATCCATGCCGTCGACAATGCCCAGGTCCGCGGGGAGCGTCCACTTGGGGATGCAAATGGTGCCGTTGCCCGTCTCGTTGAGCAGCATCGGGTTGAGCGAGATGTTGAAGGTGGCGATGTCGGACCCGAAGCCCAGGTTGAACGCGACGTAGGTCCACGGGTGGTGGAAGTCGATCACCAGTGACCCGCCGTCAAGGGGCCAGAGGGTGCGGTTGGCGTTGGATTCGGCGGTGGTGTTGACGCCCGCGCCTGTCCCGGTATAACACATTCAGTTTGGATCGCGGTGAAAGCTTTGGGTGTTTGGGGACTTCATATAGACGTGGGTCGGGAGGAGAGCGCATGTGGCTTTGATTCGTTCCACTTACATGGGAAAGTATACTGCGACGCAGGCGGCAGGAACGAGTCGCCTCGCCAGTACGGGTATACGAGCTCGAAGTGAGCGGACGCCAGCTGGGCCGCAGCCAGGAGGCCGACAATGAAGAGCTTCATATTGGAAAACAGGCGGAGGGGAACAGTCTAGACTTGGGTGAGCGACCACGAGGATGTGTCCAGGCCAGGAGGAGCACCGAGGAAGTCCAGCTGCAAAGACCAATCCTCGGACAAGGGAGCTCTAGCTTCCCATCTCACGGCCCTCTCGACCTTTTGTACCTTTCCCTCCCTCTTCCAGGAGCTGAGAGCTCCTCTCCGCTCTCCAATGAGACAAGCCTTTTCATCGAACCCGTAGCTAAGGAGCGCTCCACGCTGGGTTCGAAAGAGAACAACAAATTGGTCTAGGTCCAGCATGTACCACTCCGATGGATGTCCAAGCGAAGGCCAGCCCAGAAGTCGCGCTGCCTTCTCATTGGCGAAGGACATGCCACAGACACAAACAATAAAACTTGCTCATGTGGACGGTGCATTCCTCTCGGGTCTTGGTATTGCTTGGCGCTGGCTCCGTAGACCGGGCAAACCGTGGCATCCTGTGCTCGACGCTGGTGCTGAGCGAGAAGTGGGCACTGTGGCTTGCATTGAGGACAAGGGACTACATGGTGGGCAGGACCAGGAACAGTCCAACTAAGATAGCGTGGGATAGGACATGGCCTCGCATGTATAGTGACGGAGAAGAGAGAAGGCGGGAACGGAGGGCTTGCTCCGCGGAGAGAGATGAACACGGTACAGGGGACAATGCTCGGCCAAGGGATGCCGAGTTTAAACACGAAGTACATGTCTGGCTTCATAACTTTCATAGAAATGCTTGTATATATAATCTTCATAACCGTCACTATGCACTTACCATCCATAAGTCTCACAGAACAGATATATACCTTGAGCGCCCGTTCCTTTGTGGACAGCTCTCTCGTCTGACAGCTTTGCAACATAATTCCTTAGTTGGCCGGAAAATTGGCTGCCGCCGCACGCAAGGATTCCTGTCTCCCCCCATGCCGCTTCCACCACGGGATGGATGAGAGAATCAAAGTCCGCACGACCGTAGCCGATGTATATTGTCGGCTTCTCACTCAGTGAAGAGGACGAGCAGACCGATTTCTCGCTCACGCTGCCTATTTCTCTCTTCTCCGTGGGAAGCTTGATGGGATTTGGTATTTTGTCCAACGTTGGTGCGCCGTCGGCCACTTTCTCACTGTTTGAAGGGTCTAATTCTAATGTTTGCTCGAGCAGTGCGTTGCTCTCGGATGGCGACGCGTTTCGAGACTGTCCGCTTCCAGTAATGAAGGCGTATATGTTTATTCTGATGTTTCGCCGTCGGGCTGCCATCCAGGCTGAGAGCAACTCTTCCTTGAACCAGTCGAGCTGCTCTGCTTGCCGGAAAATCCAGATGAAGGAGATTTGTCGTAAATTATTATTCGTTAGAACGGCTTGCTGAAAGACGGGCAGTGTGAAAGACGCGCCGTTGCCGGTAGCCGCGAAGACCATTGATTCAAATCTTTCAATAGAAGGAGGATTTCCCCACGGTCCGCTGATGAATGATAGGAAAGTCCGTGATGTCAGCTGATTTTGACATTGTCGGTATAGCCTTTTGGTGAATCCATTGTGCACTCGCACATATAGTTCAATATTGTTTGGCCCGTTTTCTCCAGATACTGATTTCGGCACGCTGGCGATGGTGAAGGGATGTGCTTCGACAATTCCTGCGCGCGGAATGGACAGGTACACATGCTGACCAGGCCGCCACGACAATGCGACATTCCGGACTGTGACCTGCAGAAACTCGCCTGAAAGGGCCTTGACCTCAGCCTCATAGCCAATGCGCCGGCCGGATGGAACGCTGCCCTTTTTGCCGGGAAGGAGGTGTAAGTTGATGACCAGAGACATGACCGTCCTGACAAGCCTGTCGAAGACAACGACGCCAATCGCAAACCACACGTTGTATTGTGCATAAGAAGGGACGTGGGAATGAACCAACCACAGCAGGACCATGGCGGCGGCGAGATGCTGCAGGAACCAGAGTTCATACGAGAGGTTCCGAAAGAAGCCAAATCCGGTGATCACCATCCAGCCCAACACGGCCCAAGCGCCAAATCCATATTTGACAATGGGCATCCATTGCAGCTCCAAGCTCACAAAATCGGCAATGGACCATTCGGTGAAGAAGTAAGACCAGTGGACGATGACGGTCAGGAAAATGGTACGACTGACCCAACGGTGCAGCCAATTTAATCTTTCATACGAGATGCCGGTCAAGATGGTGATGATGTTGGCTTTCCCGGATAAAATGTAAATCAGGGGGAGTTGGGTTACCGAAACCCAGGCGGCACGAAAGCCCACAATCTCCCACTTGTAGGCGTAGTTGGGCGAGGACGGGGTCAGGATCACATTCGACCATAACATTGTCAGAATGACTGCCCAATAAGTGAGGAGAAGGAGACATCTCCCTAAAGGTGGCGGGGTGAAATATTTGGTAAAGCTGCCTGTGCATGTCCACAGTTGCGGGTAGGCCAGCTCCCTGCAGACGGCGATGGTGGTGTCGTAGAGTTGCTCGAATGCATTTTGCGGTCTTCCAGGAATATGACCCGGCCGCTGCTGGGATTTTCGTTTACTGTTTTGGCCTTGTCAGTAATAAAATCAGAACTTGTCCGTATAGCTTTTTGCCTCACTTCCACACGACTCTGAGCCAATCTACCACTCTCCGAAAAACGAGGACGCCCACGACTGCCGCTACCAAATACCAGTACAGATGCGCCACCTTTTTATTCGTGGGTGTGAACATGCCCGCACTGGACATGTCCATGCCCCCCATCCCGGACATTCCTGACATGTCCACGTTTTGCGCTTGATTTTTTGGTGGTGGTTATTGTTGTTGTCGGTGTGCAGGGAAGTTATCTTCCACCCATGGGGAGAAATTATGGACGCAGATATCAAGTAGTTAGGTGTCGGACGTTCGTCAGTAGAAGATTAGTCTTGGTTGACGTGTGTCATCATGGTTCCAGGTGTATGGTAAGAATAGACACAGGAAGGCATTCCTAGGGATCCGAAACATAGGAAACCTGCTCGTCCGGCACGGAAGCGGAGAAGTGAGCAAAAAAAAAGGCCGCGATCCTCCGACGGCAGGACAGCGTTGGTGCAGGTAGGTATGTAGGTTGGCGCATGGCGGGCTGCAGAAGTGAGTGAGATGGAGAGTAGCTAATAAAGAAGCTGATGGTATCCGAGTATTGGTGCTGGGTGCTGGGTGCTGGTGCTAATACTGGTGTTGGTGTTGGTGCTGGTGCTGGTGGTCCCTCGTAGTGGTTCGGGCGGCGGCGACATTCACTTGAGGCCCCGGCGCGTCATTGGCGGCAAAACATGCTCGAGCAGTGAGGGACCCACCTGCGAAACTTGCTCACCGCGACTAGCGCCATGCACTGTGAAAGAAGTGAAAGACACCATCACTGAAGGAAGAGTGAGGACAATGTGAGCTGAAGCTAACGGCGACGATGGACGGAGAACTAATATAGAGAGAGCTTGTGCCTGAGGAGCAGAGACTGAATTGACTGATAGAGAGAAATAGAGCCTCGCGTCTTGGCCACTAAAAGCTTCATTGAAACCTGCAGCTCCCTTCCTTCACCACCACCACTTCTTGCATACTCCCCAGATACTGCCCATTCTCTCCAGCCCACAACACAAACATGCATTTCCTCTCTCACCTCGCTCTGCTGGCCGCCGCGTCCCTCTGCGCCTCCGCCCACTTCATCCTGCAATACCCTACTTCCCTCGGCTTCGACGATGGCATTGAAGCGACGGCGCCCTGCGGTGGCTTCGACGTCACCTTCAACAGCTCCGACGACTCGATCCCCGTTGGCGGCTTCCCCGTCTCCATGCTGAGCACCCATCCTGCCGCCGACTGGCTCTTCCGCGTCACCCTCGACCAGAAAGCCCCCTTCAACTGGACCAATCTGCTCCCCGTCGTGTCAGAGACTGGCCTGGGTCAATTCTGTCTGCCGCAGCTGGTCGCCCCAGCTGAGTTTGCTGGCAACAAAGGCGTTGTCCAAGTGGTCCAGAATGGCCCCGACGGTGTTTTGTACCAGGTAAGCTTGCCCAGAGGAGGGGAGGGGAGGACCAGCGCAACGCTCAAGCCAGGGGTGGGCTGACATTGGAATGAACCTCGCAGTGCGCAGCAGTCAACTTCGTCACCGGCGTCAACTCAACCGTCAGCTCCAGCTGCACCAATGTCACCGGCTTGACAGCGACCCTTACCAACCAGAACAACTTTGACACCAGCTCATCATCTTCCGCCGCCGGAACCATGTCGGCTACTTCCTCCCCGTCAGCCTCGGCCACAGCTTCGGGAGGCGCCGCATCGTCTAGCTCCGCTGGTCTGGCTGCTCCAACGAACGGGCCTCAATTGATCCAAGGTCTCGTCGCTGCCGCCGGTCTTGCTGTTCCATTCTTTTTGTAAGCAGGTGGTGGCAACTGTCCCAGTTAGTTGCAGAGGACTGCGGACTCCTGGGATAAGAAAAGATGTACGAATACATTTAGAAGAACAAAAAAGGTCGAGAACGAATGTGGGATACAAGGGGAACAAGGACCCAGGGAGACTGCTGGCATTATGGGTGGCCATCGGACCGTCGCCTTCATAGTCGTGGCCTGCCTTGACTTCTTGTCAATAGAACTGCACGCACAACGATACCGTGGTCCATCGTGGTGCACATGATGGAGCAGTGAAGCACTTCGATTGTCCAAGCTTTTCATTACCTTGAGCCCTTTGTGCGTCAGGAAGGAGCGCCTCCTGAGCCTATTGTGCGTAAACCTTCGCCCTCGGTTCCCGCCTCTCCTTGAAACACGGATCTCGGGCCAATGAAGCGCAGCTTGCAGTCTCCACCATCAGACGAGAGACACACGGCTGACTCTCCCACTGACTGCTCGCTGCCCACTGACAGCAAGGATGTAGAATACGCAAAAGATCCCTCACCACAACCTTGCACAACCAAACCCCACGCCAGTTTCCTCTGCGCCGTACAACTCCAAGCCGAGAGCCGGCGTTTCCATGACCTTCGTTTGATGCTGGTTGGTTGCCTCCCTTTTCGCCCTTCCCTTTCGTCGACGATCTGTCTTGTCGAGACTCAAGACAACGCAGAAACCGCACCCAAGGTGGATGCTGTGATTGGCTTGCCCCCAAAAAAAGCAGAAACAACGCAGGGCGACTCGGCAAACAGACCTTGCTTCTGTGCTCGTGTATAAGTATTGGGGTGTCTCCTCTCCCCCCCTTCGGTGGTATCCGTCTCTCCATTTTTTTCATCGACTCACTTCCATCCATCTGCTGCCCGTCTCTACCAGACAACAGAGACACCGGAATCATCCAAAGACAATCAAGTCACTCAACATCAAACAACAAGAACACTCGTCTCAAACAATGGGTCCCTGCACTTGTTCCGGCCCCAGCAGCTGCAACTGCGGCCCTGGCTGCAAATGCACCTCCTGCGGAGTAAGTCACTTCCCGTCATCAACCTGAGCCGCTCCAAAGAAAGCCAGTTTGTCCTAACGGCGATCAACAACAGCATTGAATTCGCAGACTATTCTTTCTGTGCATGTCCTTTGCGAGGCCAGAGATCGGACTGGATTTGCCAATGACATTTGTCATGTCACAAGGTCGCAGTGTCAAGGAGGCCAGTGAAGGATGCAGGTGGTGACTTCGGGATTCATATAGCTAATGAATACTGTCGTTGCCTTGATGTTTCGACCGACCTGCGATATGACCCCCAGACTTACTTGGTCCTTTGGTGTGCACGCCCCTTTGTCCCGTATTGTATCGACTCGTAGTGCCCGATATTCCAGGGCACGCACCTCCAAGGACTCCTTTCCCCTTCCTCGAGTTAACACAATTCAGCTAAGACATTACGGTCCGGTGGCCTAAGGCCATCTCCTTAATGTCCTACTACATTCAGCCTCTGTCGCATCGATAGCACGACCAAACCCCGTTCCAGGTCGATCTGAGCGGGCAGATCGTACAAAATGATCATGTCGGACCATCTAGTGGATCCTCCAAGGATTTCTAGAGTCCCCCGTGGCAATATATTCGCCGGCGGGCCCCAAGAACAGGTGCCGTCTGGTGTTGGGCATTTTCTTCCACGGGGAATGCGTAGACCTGCAATTCTCCTGCTCTCTGCGAGTCGACCACAATTTCTCGGCCATTTGAAGCCAACCCGAGGAATGCGTAGACTTTGTCATGGGTGTCGCAGCAATCCGATTCAGCGAGAGCCAGCACGAGCAAAAGCCAGATCATCCGTAGTGACGGTGTCAGTCTTGACCAGCCGCTGCTGACAAAGTGTAAAAGCCATAGAATATCTGATCCCCAACGAGAATGGCCTTACAGGCCATTACGACCGGTCCATTGTATCTTCTGGTATGTTTCCAATCATGTCGATGTATCGAGCCCATATCTTCCAAGGGGCCCGCTTGAGGCCACAGACAAACTCGAGACGACAAGCCAGGAGGACTTCTTGTGCAATCCATGCTCTTGTCCACTATGTCCTTTGGCACAGGTTGAAAGCCGCCTGTGGATGTTTGTCGCCGAAACTGAAGAATCGTTTTACCGTCGCTGATGCTTCGGACACATGCAGCGGCAGACTGCCGGTAGATATGCACTCTAGATCTTGTTCTGAAAGCCCAGTTAGAAAGTCGAAGAGATCACCAGTATCACCGTCCCCCAGTCCGAGCCAAGCTATCACCTTCGAAGCTTGCTCGTAAATGTCTTTCATGGGTTGGACTTGGTTGTTTTTCTCGGGCACGTCATCTTGGTTGGTACAGATAGCATCCACCCAAAGATTCCATATGCCAGTGTTTGCATGACATTCAAGAAACCGAAATCAATTTTCCTGGACGTTGAATCCTGCCTCGTTGATTTCGATAAGACGTCGGGCACCATCTTTGGAACCCCATTCATATGACAGAGCAACATAGTTGAAGTCAGTCCTGTTCCTAGGAATGCGCACAGGTCACATTTCGCCATATATTAGACCTCCTGCGCATCTTGGTAGAATGCTCAGTAGCCGTATTCTGTAGTGCGCAAGATCTAAGGAGCTGTGCTTGAAAGCGAGTAGACGCGTTAAATACGCGTTGCCTAGTTCAGCCGGACGGCAAGAATATCCTCGTACACGCTTGCTTTGCAGCAATAGAGAACGTTTAACGCGCTCTCGAGTCATTGTGGGCCGTTGGAAACGATGCATGGAATTGATGGATTATTTTTGATGATAGGGGCGTGTTCTTAAATGCTATCCTAGGCCAACCACCGAGGTCGATACTCAGGCGTCGTGAGGCTGTGCTCAGAAATGTCTGCCAGTGCATTTCCTGAGGCTCTGCAGAGAGCTGTCTACGACAAATGACGCAGGGACGGCCATGACCAATAGAGACGGAATTTGTGAGTTCGCCCAAGCTCTCTATTAGCCCATATGAGGCATTGCTCTTGTGGTAAGTGGCAGACTCAAGGATCACTTAGTCGAAGTCGAAGTTGGTCCAGATAGGCAAAGGTAGCGAAAGCCGAGAAAAATGACTATTACTGGAACGCCACCTTGCTCACTCCGCTAATGCATCTCCATGATTATTTCCTTCAACGATGGAATACAACAACAGGAGTTTGAATAAGCGATTGCAAAAACCAAAAAACCAAAAACAAGCTAATACACCAAATCTCCGGCAGTCACTCCCCATCCTCAGGCCGACCCCGTCAAATGAGACCCCTTATTCCAAGGTGATATAGCGAAGTCCTCGCCGGCATCTGGTTTGCCACAGACTGCTATACAACATCTGAGGATTTCGGATATGCACGAGCTGCGAATTGACCATCCGACGCATTGATATCTCCACCACCTGGAACGGCGGCGCCATCCTTCATGATCTCAGCTCGAAGCGGATAGCACACAATGGATTGTCTATCTGGAGCAGCTGTTGCGATCAAGGCTGAACCAGACAGCGGCGTGAGAACTTGGGCGATGGTGTCTCGCTCTGGCCAGCCATATCTTTCCTTCAAGTAGTCAATGGCCTTCCGGCGGTCGATGAGACTGACGATGTTGGGGAGCATGTGTACGTACGGGAATGCCAATGAATGGCCCGTGGGATCGAAGGATGTCTGTTCCCAGATAGGACCAATGTCCGCCATCTGGAGTTCGGGCGATTCGAACCTTGCCACCAGAAGGAAACTTCATGGAACTGAACATTTGCGAACGCTCCCCAAGCATTCATGTGACTCAAAATTTTCTTCTGAAGAGCAGGCTTGGGTCCGTCAAGGAAATTGATGTCGGCTGCTCTCCAATACTTGGATGTGAGCAAAGCGAGGCGGGGACGGGAAGGTGGTTCAGTTCCGTCTTCGCCACTATTTGAACTATAGGAGCGTTTACCGGGTTATGCACAGCACGGGCAGCCGCTGACTCTCATTGATCAGCAGGGAGAACTTTGATGCTGCAGTCTATGACTTCAGGAGCGCCGTTCGAATCGCTCTCGAAGCATTGCTGGATGTCCCCATGGTGAGTTCTGTATCAGAGAGGTGTCCTGTTACAAGTGCAGATAAGTTGAACTACGCTGGAGCAGTCATGCAGAAACAAAGTGTAGGAGGCCAGAAAATATACCAAGCAGATATACGAGCATACTAGGACTCTGTATTCTTCCTTTCAGGACACGAAGAAGGGAGCATAAGAAGTACCTAGATACCCAGAGTTTCGCTCGAGTTCGGCCGGGTCTCAAATGCCCAGACGACTCAAGTTCAGCTCAAGTAGCAGGCTCAATAGTACAGAACATATTTCTCGTGCCAAGGCTCAAGTCTCGTATTGCATCCGGTTGTGGCATCGAATTGCATCTCAAAAATGTTGCCATGAAACTCACTTGAACCTGAACGAGTTCGCTGTTGTACGAAATCGCTGGCGCTGTCCGTTATCCCGAGACAGTCCCGTCTTCTCGCTTTTCAGCGAGATCCTTCTGCTCCATATACCGAGTACACAATGGCCGGAACTCGGGAGAAGCTTTCTAGAGCCCCTGATGGCTTCTGTCCCGAAAGTGCCCCTGAGGGAGTTTAGAAGGTCTGTGACAGTAGATGCCGAGAATCTCTCTCTCTCTCTCGCGTTTCCCCACAATATAGGGACGCCAACAATTGCGACAGTGATGTATGACCACAGTCTAGCTTGCTTTTGCAAGCATCAGCTTCATTGTATGGGATCAAGCTGCGCGGCCTATTCCTCTCGCGCTAGGGCACGCCGTTTGCTACTGAAGCGACCTTCCATGCAGCTCATATCGACGGGAACCTTTCTGGAGAAGGCCTTTTACTCCACAACAAAGCTAGCGCGAAATGTTAGGCGCGTAATCGCACTTACCGGAAGGCTGAGACAACTGGCGATACCAAAAAATTTGAACACCCCCTCTGGGCGCGTGCTTAGGGGTTCCCAAATGCCAAGACAAACCTAACACGAAGAAGGTTGTTTGTTTGTTGACCATGTCTGGCCGCGTTCCTCTTCTTGCCAAAGAAGAGTCGGGGATCTTTAGCAAAAAGAGGACGCTGAAGGGATTGCGAACCAACTCATTATTGAAGACATCAAATCTAGAACACTAACCAGATGTCATCCCAAAGCTTCCAAGGACCCAGCTTCAAAGTCTATGCCCGCTGGCGGCCCCTCAGTTTGAGTGAACAGGCAGGAACCGAGATTGAACGCAACACACTTCAGCACAGCAATACAAACATGTCCGTATCCCTGGCCTCTCGGCCGGTGTCAGGCCGCCCTCGGTCATGGAAGAGCGCGCCATCTTTCACACATATATTTGAACCCGAGGCTAGCAACAATGATGTTTTCGAGACCATTGTGGCGCCTGCGATCCCCCAGGTTCTAAGTGGAGCGACCTGCAACTTTTTCGCCTATGGTCATTCTGGGAGCGGCAAGACGCACACAATCATAGGATACGACTACGACCGAAACGAAAATCTGGGTCTGTCTCTCGCCGTAGCACGAGATCTTATGGCAGCTCTCGATCGCCTGAATGCAGACTGCTCTGCTGACGAAATGGGAGGAGGCCAGAGCACCTTTGGCATTGGCCTTCGTTTATATGAGCTGCGAAAGAAGAGCGCTTTTGACTTACTCAATAAGCGAACGGAATGCTTTGTTCGCGAGGGGCCAGATGGCCAAACTCACATTCGCGGGCAAACCGAGTTACTGGACGGAGGGAAAGTGAGGGTGCGTCCTATTGTCACCCGTCCTTACTGGACCTTGGAGGACCTTCGTCGAGAGCTATTGTCCGCCCTCGATCTTAGGTCAACGGGTTCATCTACCGTACACGATCAAAGCTCCCGAACCCATGCCGTACTAGAGCTTGAAGTTGTGAACAAGGACCTCCTAGAGGCTCGCGACTTGGTCATTGAACGCCAGTCTGAGCTTGTACCTGTTGCAAAGCGTGCGACAGACATTTACCTGGAAGAAAGCATGAAGTCCTTTATCAAGACCCCTGAAGGCAAATACATCCCCAACCCAGATCATCCCCTGGATCAAACTCGAATCGACGCTGCGGAGGCAACGAAAGGTGAATTCGAAGCCAGGTTGAGAGCGGCAGAGGACCATGTTACCACCGTTCTAGCCTCGAGGAGTCATCCCTCTCTGGGTGGAAAATTCGTCTTCGTGGACTTGGCGGGATCCGAATATTTTGACGCCGCGGCCGGTGCCGTCGGACGCAACATAACTCCACAGGACCGACAGGAGGGCCGACAGATAAATTCAGATCTGTTTGCTCTAAAGGAAGTCATACGTGCTCGTGCTGTAAAACAGACACGAATCCCATATCGCTCCGCACCCTTGACAATGGTACTGCGCGAACATTTCACTGCCTCTGCAGAGAGCTCTTCGGCGATGATCCTTACCATCTCCCCCTCGGCCGAGCAGTATACTGCCACCGCGAATACACTAAAATACGGCAATTTGGTTGGTGTTGCTGGTGGAGATCAGATGGGTATGGCGGAAACCTAGAAGATTGCGGCTGAGCCGTGTCTCTGGGTGTGATGACTGAATGCACGCTTTACGTAGATCTTGATAGCCGGCCACAGAACACAGAGCTCAATCAATGCAATTGTCGATGACGTTGCCGGTTCGACAAATTTCTCCTCTTTCACCCCACAAGCCTCTTATGGAGTGAGCGGGCACTTTGGGGGCTACGACTTTATGGACCATTACCACTTGCTTGTGCGAAAAGACACTTTCCCCGTTCTCTCCAAAAGTGCTCTTATGGGGCAGGGGTTCAACGACTGAGCACCTACCCGCTCCCATGTAATTGGAAGGAGGCGGAGGAGCCCAGGGGAGAAGCATCCTGACTCTCTGAAAGACCAAAGTCAAGACGACGAAGCTACAGAGTTAACGACTTCCTGGCTAAGACCTGAGTCAGAAGGTGCTCAGTCCCTCACGTGGTCACACCACAGCTGCAGATGGTGACAACTAAAAATCTCTAGATCAAAAAGATTTGATCAGACCATTGCTACCCGACATCAATCGATGCAGAATTGAGGGAGATTTGACTCATACTCTTGGAAACCTGCACGGCCCAGGTATTTCTCGTTCTCACGTTGCATGCAGTTCAAGCAGAACGATTCCTCGCCGAATATTCCAACACAGTGGCCCTGCCCACGTTGGAACAAAACCGCTATGGCTGCGAGCCGAGCAGGCCAATTCCCATGTGCACGCACAATAGCAGTGGACGATGGACTGTCAAGCAACTCTTCCCAGCTATCAACGGACGTAATATCCGTGTTTGAGGATGTCTCAAGCTGACCGCCACATGTACAGTTGGCGCGCCTGTTGAACTTGGTAATAGCCTTGAAGTCGACCGCGAGGATGTTAAGATCAGCGACCCATTTTCCTCTGTCTCGGACTGAGAGGACGGATCCGACAAAGTAGACCTCTTGGTCTATAATATTTGAGACAAATTGGGAGGCCAATGGTTGCGCATATTCTGTGAATGAAAGATGGAGAGAGGTACCTGTGAAATTGTCCTCCCGCTTGGAATCGTATGGAGCATGATTGACCACTCTATAATCGTCGCCGAGGGGTCTGATTTGAGGATCTTGGTGTGTCACAAGCAATGAAATACCTCTTCGACCAATATTTCCAATGATATGTCGGAACTCGTGCTCCGGAACAATCTTTGCCGGGTCGGAGAGGATGAAGCTAGGGGCATACAAAGAGTTTCCCGCGCTCACTGCCAATACTCCCGTCAGCTCTTCGGGGTCAATATCAATAGAACCCGAATCGAAGAAAATTATACAACTTAGTGCCTGTTGACGGGTCGGTAGCGAACATATCGGAGTGTGCATCCTGCTCTGGATACTCAGACCTCGAAATTGTTTAGGCACAATGTCACCGTTGTTATTTTCCGGAATCATCGAGCTCTCACGTGGGATGATCTCCGGAGCCCAGGATACCTCATGTAGGGCAGAAGAAAGACACTTCAGGTGTATAGTCGGGTTGGTGACTGGCTCAAAAACGATATCTGCAATCGCAAGGTTGTGCAGAGCCCGGCACATCGCGGAGGAGAATTTTGAAGACTTCGAAACAAGTGAAACGCCAACTTCGGAGCCGTATGCAGTAGACTGCCGCCACGACTTGTGAGCCAAAGAGGACATGTAACTCCATAAAGTACCTCTGTGGGCGCTGGATCTTAGAGCATCCAAAGCAGATAATGGATCGATCCGAACATCAGTGTGGAGGTTGATCTTCTGAGCCAAGAACAGACCGCAATGATATGATCCTAACCCACGAGTGAAAGATGTTCTTTCGTCGCTTTTTCCTGTTAGACAGTCGCAACCTAGTGACTGAGCGTTAACCTGGTCCGATATTGTGTGCAAAGTGGTATTGCTTGCGCTGCACTTCCAGTGAGCGAAAAGTTTGGGGGGTTTGTCCCATAGGAGTCGGTTGCTGCCATCATCCTTTGACACACTTGTGTCAGTGATAACTAGCTCTCCTTTCATTGAGATAGCATGTTTTCGCCGTTGGAGAGTTCTCGCCCCAGCCCCAGTCTTCTGAGGCTCGAACCAGCGGGCCGAGAAGTTGACTGGCTCTTGAGTGCCCTTGCCCACCACGTTCGCCAATACTTGGTGCGGGCGCGCAGTGGCATATTCGTACAGGGTTGGATTCTTCCCGCTTGACTCGAACTCTTCCCAGTGTCCACATAAGATTATTGCATTACCCGGCTCTAACCCGGAAGCTTGTGCTACAGATCGAAGGAAGTTAACCCCACATTCAGGGTCTTCAGCAGCTTTTAGAGCTTCAAGGACATGCCCGTTGTTCAAACCAAAGAATTGATTGATCGATTCCTCTGCAGGTCCAAGAAATTCTCTTCCGCGTCTATACCCAAAGCCGATAACCCGCAAGTAGTCTTCATAGAGTGGGATGTTTTCTGACTGGGCAAGCAGAAGTTCGTTTGAGGCTTGTATAAATGTGTAAAGCCATCGAAATTGCTCCGTTACAGGCTGATGTAAGGGACGGTCGCCGTTCTCGAGAAGTGCTTCCCAAAGGCCACTCAGAAACTTTGCTGCAACAATAAAATCTCTATGGTTGAGCCTCCATTTGAAGAACAAACAGCCCAAGGCGGCAAGACGCACTCTCCCGAATGATACCCGAGGCTGACTCGCCAGACTGGAGACTTCCACAGCTCCTCCGTAGTATCGGAGGTGGGAAAGGGTCAACGACCACTGAATTCCACGAGAAGATTTGTCAGCGGGCAATAATCCAATTGTGCCGACACCGTTTTCAGGAAATAGGTCGTCCCGAAAGGGTATCTTTAGGACTCCATCCGCTAGTAATATTAGATCAGGAAAAAGATGCCACGCTGAGAAGGCGAGTAGTATAGAGGCGTCCGATATCTGCTGTGGGAAACCCTTGAGCAAATCCTCCATGCCTGCCATTGCCTGTGTCCATGCTGCAATGACTTTGGCGTAGGTTGTCGGCCCCTGGCTGAATGCAATGTTCAGGTCCTTGGTCACAAGCTCCAGCTGCTTCACGTGCCATTGCTTGGCTTGGTCCGCACTTCTCAGCCAGGACCGTGCACTTGCATCCCAAAGAGCCAAATCTTCTCGGCTGATATCCTGTAATGTACTCATTAGAGTGGCCGTTGGAGTATGCTCTCCGTTTTCAAATCCGCTCCGGATTTCGTTTGCTCTTGTTTTGACAAGTTCGACCCAAATTGAGACAGCCTGGCTTGAATCCCATGCTCGCGCCAACATGCAAGCAAGTAGGTACATCCCGATCGCCCCAGTGCCAGACGTAGCCGCAGCCCACATGGCAGTACCGTCAGCTCCTACGAAGGGTTCAAACGGTCCATCCTGGTTTGACCCACGTGGATTGATACTGCGGTGAGAAATAATGCTGCTGACTCGCCTTCCATAGGCGGAAACCAAATGAGGTTTCGAGGGGGTGATGTATTCGAAAAGAGCTGCCAGTCGTCTTGCTGTCCGATGGACAGAGCCAGTCTCAGCTTCCAAACGGCGACGAGCAGAAAGTGCTGGACCGACCGGTGCAAATTCTGCTGGAGCCTCTACTCTGAAGAGAGTGAAATCGAATTTTGTATTTATCAATGCAGCCGTGTTCTCGTTCGTAAGGCTAAGTGCCGAGGCCAGGAATTGATCGAAGCGCGGCATGTTTGAGATGGATATCTGCAAGGTGGGTCGGTCGTAGTGTAAGAAGAACGAAGTGTGAATCTTTCTGGCCGCTAAGATAGCCTGTTAACGCCTTGTGTCAAGCGAACTGGACTGTGTGAGGAACGGCGTTCAGGGAGGCTGTGGAGGGAAAGCTATCAGAGGAGCATAGTGCGTTCGAGATCGAAGTTCGCGTGCCAATGTGAGGGAAAACAAGGTTCTCGTGTGTCCGCTTCTAACATAGCCGGCTGAAGGCTTTTGCAGGCTCTCTTGTCTGAAATATGACCAGAACTGTGCAGAAGAATGTGAAAGGTGCATGTTGAAGATTGTGCGATCAGGCTGAAGTACAGGCTGGGGGCGCAGTTCTGACTGCGCTGATTAAGAACCGATATTTGTACTGCTGTTACATACCTCCTTATAGGACGCTAATTATGCGACTGGCGGGATAGCCAAGACGTGTAAAGACCGTCACGCTAGTCCTCAGTCGTAGGTTGTCGGACTAGCGTTGATGGCGCCAGTGTAATTTACCGGACAGTATATGGTTAGACAGGTACCTCCCCATGACCGGGTAGAATCTATCATGTCCCAGCATGTCCTCCGTTGAGGCACAAAGTGAAATCATAATCCTCACATTTTCTTTACAGCTGAAAGGGGATTAGCGGCCGTGCAATGACCCTGAGTGACATCACAACTACTGACATTACAATTCTTGGCGTCATTCATTCGCAAGGCTTCAAGATAGCACTTGACAGCACTTGACTTCGTCCCGCTCACTCCTCACTTCGCGCATGACAATAAACTCCCTCTCGTCGTCGCTCACCTCGTGTCTCACACCCGAATTGTACCATCTCGAAGACAGCGTTGCTTTGGTTATTGACACTCGAACTTGCGGTGGCCGCAGAGGTCCGAACCAGCGCGGAGCAAGATCTGAGGAGAGTGTAAGTGAAATGACGACCAAGCACATCCCGATCCACAGGCGCCTCTTGAACAAATGGGAGGATGCGAAGAAGGCTTCCAAGCTCACCCGTTGAGCAGCCTCAGGTAGATACACCAGAGTGGCATCTTCAACGGGTTGGTTTGCTGGAAAGATTCTGATACAATCCCACAGGAGCTATGTGACAACTTATTCTGCCGATACATTGCAGAACTCAACAGAGAATCTTTGCCACAATCTCACAAGAATTCTAGCGTTTATTCTATAGGCTCGGTGGCGCAGCTAACATCTTCGCAAAGAGCTGCCCGTGCTGTTCCATTCATAAAATCCTCTTGGACTCGAAGCTCTTGACCAAGGATTCAGACGTGTGCGGTGCGAGATTTAGAAGCGATGTCACCTATAGATTCCACCTTCACGACACGAATGTCAGAAATGACGATTTAGCTGGCGTTGGGGAATATGTTTGCCTCTAGCGCGGGAGTGAGAACCCAACTATTACGAAGCAGTTCGAATCATTGAGGATAGTTCTTTGCTAGATCTAGCTCGCACCAGAAATTGGCTCCACCCCTGCGATCACCATCATCACGTTGTCTATCGAGTTCCACCGTCTTCAGCTCAGCCGTCCCAGAATTCCTGAGTTGTTGACGTCGCTAAGGAGTGCTTGACAGAAATCAGTCTGCAACAGAGGTATGGGGAGATGCTATTCCCCCGAAATTGAAAAAGTGTAATTTGGAGTCCCTGAGGTGCCCTGGTTCCTTGACAGATATACGACGGCATATGAGATGCGCAACTTATCCATGGACGACGATGCTGGGAACGCAATGCGTGGTATAATTAACCGAATCTCCAGAATGATGAAAACTGAAGTCATTGTTGGTATGCCAGTCTCGATCTTGCTATTGGCTCTACTATTTTCCAATAAACTCAAGGCTCTGGGCCTGCGCCCAAGGACAAGGCTTCCCGAGCTGGTCGGGTCAGCTTTGGTGGCTTCGACACTACGGACGTGACGAACAACTTTGAACCTAAACAACATCCGCGAGCTAGTGCACACCCACAATTGGATCATTTGGTATACTCTGTCAGAAGAAGGGCAACTGAAACACCTATACATCCCGCACCGTATGGACCTGGAAGTTCAAACACGCTGTAAGTCAGATTAATCCCAGTTTCGGGCGGACACTTACGCCAAAATTCTTTCCACGCCTCGATCTCTACCGTCATTGTAAACGGCGTGAGCGTATCATCCATGAAAGGCCATACTCGCTGCTTGCTTTTTTCATCTTTGCTATAGTTCTGCGCGTTCGTTTGGACGCACCTGCACACTGGGCGACTTTGGGGTTATTTTGTCCGGCTATGGCATTGTCATCGGATGGACCCGAATCTGGTTGAGCTTGCACTGATGTTCGAAGAAACACGCAACTTAGAGACTTATGGAAGGTCTAGGACTAGTCCAAAGAAACCTGACCACGGGTAGATTGCCTTTCCAGTTGGGGGCTGGTTTGGAAAGACATTATACCAGCCTAGTATTTTTGTAGACTCATAACCTAAAGCAATTGCAGTTATCAGACTCTGCCGCGTATCAGGCAGATTTTCTTGCCCGCGAGTTAGCAAAGTAGGATCGATGGCCCTCCAGGATCAATACGTACATGGTACGCAACGTATGATAATTACATAACAGTCTCGCCAAGACTAACGGGGAGCTAAACTATTGAAGGAAGTTTTCGTGACGTGCTTCTTCGGCATTACCTGACTGACAATTTGACCTGCAGTCGCGATGGAGGATGGTAATGAGGATCGCAGTGTTAGACGAGGGCCAGTTCCTGGCTAATTACTACCCGATAGCTTACTCCCTTAGTATTTTGGCTCTGTCATCTGGTTCGTATATAGGGCGCCAATAATCCAACCGGCAGAACGGGCTAAGCATAACGAGACGATGTCCTCCTGCTTTGGTAGTGAAAGAGGTCTCTGCCGTCGCTACCACGTCTCGGTCCTAGACTACGGGGCATACCCTGAGCAGCACAATTTTCTTTTCATTTTATATGTATGTATATATTACAAAATTTAGCTGATATAACTTCCACAACTCTCAGTAGATCGGGTTATCATTATCAAAGGTTCTATGTCGCCTTCCCTATAGGTGTTAGATCGGTTCGAACTGGTTCGAATCGAGTCAGCCCGATCAGAGATCTAAGCACCAGACTCGGTTATAGCCCGGTCTGAGACCGATTCCAGATCGATTCGAACTGAGTCGACTTAGTTCAAACCGATCTCGACTCGGGTCAAATCAGTCTAACTCACCTATAAACCCCTTAAATCGCGCCCAGCCCTGGCATTGGATGCTAAATCCGGCTCTCGGCAGCAATCCAGTGATTTTAAACAATCCTTCCATCCCAATCAACAGGACAGCCTTACTGGTGCATGAAAATAAAACAAAAATTCCCTTAGTGCATGTAGGATATTGAGTGGGTAAGAGTATCCTCTTCTCTGCGAATACAGATCTCTCCAGCCCTGTCGCCTGGCCTTGCCGTGGCCTACGTCTCAGAGGCGTTCTATGGGCCGACTTAACTCAATTCCAACCTCGCGATCAATACTTCTCCTTCTGCGCCGCACCACCGATCTGCGTCTGCCACGGCAGCCGATGCGCGACATTGAGCTCAGTGGCCGGCGTCTTCAGCAGCGGCGCCACCTCGTCCAGCGTACCCGCTTGCACGACTACGATGTCTAGCTCTGGCATGAAGTGAGGCACCGCGTAGATTGGGCTGCCGCAAGCAGGACAGAAGGACAGCGAGAACTCGAATCCCTCGTCCATGTGCTTCGTCTTGATCGTCTTCAGGTTGCCGCTGGTCAAGGTGAACGCTTTGGTCGGCACCGTCAGATTCAGCGACGTCGTACTCCCGCTGATCTTGCGGCAGGGCCGGCAGTGGCACACTGATGTCTATACTCTCTTAGCAAGGTTCAAAAGAGACGGGATGGCCGTACTAGATTGGCCGCATCCGGCGTAACGTCTAAAGAGAACTTCACATTGCCGCAGAGACAGCTGCCTTCCATTGTCATGTCGAACGCTGAGTGAGTGAGTTGTGCAGACCCGTGTTTCCCATCAACGCGAGAAGTGTCCAGAATCACTGTCACCCAATTTGAGAGCTAAGGCAGAAATACCATCTGTTGCGGATCGGCGGTTCCTCAATATCAGGCCTTTCTCTTGCCACGTGATCAGCCTTCTGTCTACCTGTCCTCCTCCTCCTCTCACTCCAAATGCCATCCACCAAGACCATTCCGGCAGACGAACAAACCCGCTCTGAACCGGGCCGATCGCATTGGTGCCCTCTGCACTACCGAAGCAGAACCACACCCTCTCTCAGCGCTGACGCTGCGGCCCGAAACATGCAAATCGCGCAACCGGAGTTTCACAAACCACAAAGGCCCCCGAAACGAACCCCCTTCGGTAAGGCTGACATCGTGGGGAGAAGAATGGAGCTCCCTATCCACCGTCGCACTCGACGGGGTCTCCACTACTGGCTCCGCGATTCTGCATGTTCTGGTGTCTGGGTGTCCCCTAGGAAGAGGTTAATTTGACTCGATAGTCACCCATTTAGAGAAAGATAGTAGGTACCACGGTGACTGCTCGACAAAGACTTCTGCTCTTTATTACCATTTGCCATCGCCATCATGATTGCGAAAGAGTCTACCAACGGCAAGAAGCCATACACCCTTCAAGCAGAGGCGCAGAGGATCTATGAAACCATTGTCAATGACCCCAGGCTCAATGTCCCGGAGGAAGTCAAGACTCTGGCCGACCGAATCCGCTTTGTGGGTGAGGAGACACAGCCATTCTACCCAGTTCCCTACAAATGTGCAGAGTCTCAAGCTGGCCTATTGGGCCACGTCGGGCTGCTGGCCCTGGCCATTGCAAAAGATCGCTACGTTATCGACCAGTCGTGTGAGATTGACGTCGACCACGCTTTGCTGAACGGCCTCGGCGCCCTGTTCATGCGGCACGAGGGTGAATGGCTGTCCGGCAGCCCGAAAATGATGAGCGCCGTCAAGCGCTGGGACCACGGCCAGACGCGGGAGCTGTACCGCCAGTTGGCAACCAACATCTACAAGTCCAAGGATGGCCGGTGGTACTCGCTGCACGGCAACATGAACCCGACGCCGCTGCTGGAGATGCTCGGTGTGCCGCAGCACAACGACCAGAACCTGTCCTGGCCGCAGATCCTCGAGATGTACATGAAGGTGGTGGGCGACATCGATTCGACCACTCTCGACAACTGGAGCAACAATGTCTACCGCACACCGGGGACTGTCTGCTACGAGAAGGAGGAATTTGAGACCTCTCCACATGTCAGTCTATCTAACGAATGATTCTCTCGCTATTATTACATGGCGCTAAGTCAAGAGTCCAGGGCAAAGCCATCAAGGACGAGCCATTCTATGAACTCCTTCCCCAACCATACTACACCCAACCAGCAGTATCCTGGTCGTCAGTGCCCTTCGACCCTAGCGACCGCCGCCCACTGTCCGGCATCAAGGTTCTGGACCTCGCGCGGGCCATCGCAGCCCCGACGATCGGGCGCGTCTGCGCGGCGCTGGGCGCAACGGTGATCCGCGTGTCATGCTCGACGAACACAGAGCTGCCGATCACCTTAATGGACGGTTGCCTGGGAAAGACGAGCGTGGACGTCAACCTGAAGACGTTCAAGGGCCGCAAGAAGCTGCTCGAGCTGATTCAGGATGCGGACGTCTTCATCGACGGATACAGGCCCGCGGTTATGGAACATCTGGGCTTCGGACGCGACGCGGTGTTGGGACTCGTGGCCAATCGCGACCGCGGCATCGTGTATATTCAGGAGAACTGCTACGGGTGGAAAGGCCCCTGGACGACTCGCCCGGGTTGGGCGCAGATTGCGGACACGGTGTGCGGTATCGGGCTGGCGATCGGGCGCTTCAACGGCTTCGACGAGGCGCACATCTTCCCCGGCCCCAACGCAGACTACCTGACAGGCCATGCGGGCGCCGCAGCGGTTCTGCACGCGCTGTACCTCCGCTCCCACGTGGGTGGCTCCTACGTCGCGCAGTGCAGTCTCCTCGTGTCGAATCTGCAGATGCAATCGTACGGTACTTACACATCCGCGCAGCAGGAGAGCATCAAGGCCCGCAACAAGGAGCTCGTGGGCCACATGCGGCATTACGACGAGATCGTCAGTCACGGGCGCAACCGGCATGTCGTGCGCGGGTTCATCGCCGACCGGGGGTTCGAGGGGGCCATCAAGAAGCAATTCTTCCAGACCGTCGGGGGGGGTACTTGGGGACTAAACGATCTCGAGGTCGTCAGCCTCGCGCTCAAGTTCAAAGACTCGCCTGACGGGGAGGGAGGGAAGGAGGGGATGCGCACTGATTGGGATGTCGGCCCGTGTCCGCCGGGGTATCACTTGCCGGAGTGGGTGAGGAAGGAGAACGAGGCGTTTGTGCCGATCACGGTGGGCGAGACGACGGTGCAGGGATAGAGACGAAGTAGAAGGAGTTCTTCTGGGCTTACAACAGGTCCCAGGGAAGGGCGTCCGGTCGATGCCGAAACGGAGGGAGAGGCAGAGGGCAGACTGCAGTCTAAATCAATAGTTCAAAGACCAGACAGAATATATTGATCGTTATACTATCAATCAATTTACATATCTACCACTCTGCCTGTGAGTATGAGTCTCACCCACTTCTTTGGATAAAGCGACGGCTTCCCTCTCTCTGTGTCTGTAACCATAACAAGGGGATAAATCCACGTGCGTAGACAAGATGTTACAGGAGGACTGAGCAAAGGCAGCCGGGCATGCGCATGAGACGCCACAAGATCTACGATGACAACCTCGAGTGAGTTGATCTATCCGTCTACACACCACCAACACCACCACCACCACCGAACCCGGGCCATTCAAACCCAAGCAGCCGGCCCCCTTTCCCTCTTCACTCTCCCTCTGCGCGTCCGTGACGATCGGAGATGAGAGAATATGTGGACAAACCGGCTGTTGAACTCAACTCCAACTCTCCCCCACGCCGCCCACCTTCTCCCTCCACTCTCTTTCTAGCGTCTCTGCAATTTTCTCGCCGCGCAGCTGGAACTGGGCGGCGAATTTGTTAGGCGCCATGATGAGCGCGGTCTTAACGTCATTTGGGTCGATCGGGATCTCGCGACCGCTGACGTCGAGCGCGGGAAGCATCTCGAAGGCGTGCAGCAGGCGCGCCGTCATGTTGAAGAGACTCCGCTCCGCCAGGTGCAGGCCCACGCAGATGCGCTTGCCGCCACCGTAGCTGAAGTGGTCGCGTGCAGCCACATCCGGGGAATTGGCGTACGCGGCCGCGGAGAGGTTAAAGTCCAGGAAGCGCTCTGGCATGAAGGTCTCGGGATTCGGGTAGCGAGCTGGGTCTTGATGGATCGCCCTAGGGGACAATCAGTGTGAGGCGCCGCGACGGAGGTGCAAGTATGACACAGATCAGGACAAAATACAGGCGCCGTGTTGTCACTTACCATGTGTTAACCCGGACCACGGCGTTCTTGGGGATTCGATAGCCATTGTACACGTCTTCCCGGTCCGACCAGTGCGAGAAACCTGCGTAGGGGTGCAAGTGTCAGTAGGTCCACAGAATCCGCCCAAGAAGAAGGGCCCAGTAGGAGGAAGGAAGAGTGCATACTCATCGGCGCAATGGATCTCCATCGGTGCTGCTCCTTGATGATCGCCCGAATGTATGGCAAATTCGGCTCGTCCTCCCACGTCGGAAACCGGCCTTGTCCAATGACTCTGTCGAGCTCTTCGTGCGCCTTCTTCTGTACATCGGGGTGCGCAATGCACGCCAGAATGACAAAGAGCAAGGAATTGGCCGTGGTGTCAGATCCCGCACCCAAGATCTCCATGCAGGTCGTCGCGGCTTGGAGCTCATTGACTTCTCCGGTTTCCTTCATCTCCTTGTGGATGTCCCGGGCGATGCACGGCCGGTCCGGGTGCTTCTCAGCATAGTCAAGGGCCTCGCGGTAGTTCATCAGGCTGAAGGTGTGTTCATAGTCGCGGAATTGCTCAAGTTCGGGCAACCAGGGCTGCATGGAGCGCGGCAGCTTGCGGAGACTTGGAATGGCCTCGAAGAGGTACTTGCCGGGGGTCATGGCATCGGCGAATTGCTCCATCAGCTTTTTGACTTGGACGGCAAACGGATCGGCGGATGATTGCACACGTTTGCCAAAGGCGATGCTACGGGCGACAGAAAGCGAGTAGCGGTGGATCTCTTCTGCAAAGGCGGTTGGGTCCTCTTGGATGCGGTAGATTGTGACCAGAGCCTCGCCTTCCTGGATTCTGAGGTAGGAATCACACTTTTTGCTTGTCAAGACATTGGCGAAGATGCGTCGAACTCTCTGGCAAAGGAGTCAACCACAGAAGTCGGTCAAATTGAATGCAAGACTTGCCCGCCAGTGGTTACCATACGGCATCAACACACTTCTCATGCCGCCACTGATTAAGTCCCCCACTTCAGAGGGAGGCCGGGAAGAATATTGGCCAGACCTTGCACCAACATCAGATCCGCTGCCTTGGGCCAATCTCATTCGAAGGACTGGGAATCGTTGATCCACTCACCGCTTGTCAAGGAACTCTCGAGCAATGAGTCCATCACTGATGAGGATAAAGTGCTGCAGACCGACCCGAAAATGTACCAGCGGACCATACTCCCTTTTGGAGGAGAACCCAGTCAGTCAGTCCAGAGGCATCAGCGTCGGTTCTGAAATGGAGGCTCCATACCTCGCCCAACTGGCCATGGTCTCCCATGGTTTTGCGGTGGGCATGTCAAGAGTCATGCCCAGCAACGGCCACCGACCCTTTGGTCCTGGGGGAAGGGGAGGTCGTCGCCATGAGCTGACCACCTTGAAAACAACCAAGAGCCCTATACAAGCACCCACCGCAAAGAGAGGGACCATAGCCGGGAGCGAACTTAACTTTTTCTCTGCTGAATGGATCTCAATTGAAGAAAGAAGAGCACGAAAAGTTTGAATAGTCATTTTTTGAGAACATCACTCACCATCCAAATAACAAGTTCGACACAGAGAACTTCGGGGGCTACGAATCATGCACGCTGTGCACTGTTCCCCACAACATGCATGCTGCATAAACGGCCGTGGCTATCCGCATGGAGATGTAACAGAACCGCTGGGGAAATCCAGGAGCAACCTCGGCGGAGTTGCGACCACCACCTTCCCATCCCGAAGGCTGACCATCCGTCTCAGATTTGTTGTTCGGGGGTCAACTCCGGGGTAGGATAGAGAGGGGAAGGTACTCGGAAGAAGTGAGCTCGTATGTTTGAATAAGGCCCGCCGACTGCAGTGAAATTTATCAGTACAGGGTCCTTAACCCTTGATGTTTGAGCCAGTCAGGTAGATAGAGCTCGTGAGAGAATGAGAATGTTGAACGCAAAGAATTGCTGTCGCACCGGCAAACCTGCCCCAGGTGAGTGGCGCAGGTCACATGATCTAACATGATGCTCAGCCTTGTGTAGCCCCTGAGGCTGAACCTCGAGGAGATTTATATGTGCTGACCACTACATCTAGATTCTTATATACCTTTGGGAGAATGTATAACCATCCGAGCTATCCGAGTGTATTCATCCAACCGTCCCGCCGATGTCCCCAGCCGCGGACTCTTGTTACTTCTACCCGATGGTTTTGGCCTTGCGCGGCACAACCTCATCCTCGCGGACCGCTTTGCGAGTGAAGGATGGCACGTGATCGTGCCCGACTACTTTGAAGGCGACCCGTTGCCAATCCAGATGCTGCGTCGTGACAACACTCTGTCCATCGACGAGCAGCCCTGGCCGGAGGAGGACAAGCAGAAGCTGCGCGATCTCGACTTCCCGGCGTGGCTGCAACGACACAATCACCCGCGGGTCTCGTCGCTTCTGAACGACCTGATTGCTGGACTGTCGGAGCAGGCCGAAAACGCCACTATCGTGGGTGTCGGATACTGCTTCGGCGGCAAGCACGTTCTGAGACTGGCGAAGTCGAGTCTGAAAGCCGCGGCAGCATTCCACCCCAGCTTCGTCGAAGCCGAAGACGTAGCGGGCATTCAAGCACCACTGTACGCCGGTCTCGCGGAGAAGGACGACATGGTCCCAGCCTCATTGCCCGAGGACCTGCAGGCATGGGCCATCCCGAAAATGAAGGCAAATGTCCCATTCACCATGGAAATCTATCCGGGCGTGGGCCATGGGTTTGCAGCGAGACCTGACACCAATGACGACGTTATTCGGACGCAGTACGAGAGAGCCTTTCAGAAGAGTGTGGAGCATTTGGCAAAAACTATAGGCGGGGAGAACTGAGGCTTGTCAGATTTGTCAGAATGGGTGTTGCATGCATGCACGTTCCAGCCTGCATCCAGATCACTTCAACTCCTATGTATTCAGTAGACAACGGGAGGAAGCTTTCAACAATAGCACGATTGAAAACCAAGATTGTTGGTGACATTTCATGATCTGGCGAAAAGGGGACCAATAGTAAGCGTTGTAGTTTCAAGAGATGACATGCTCTTCTGGAGATTCTTGAAAGACAAATTCACCGCGTTGATTAAACATCTTACCTTCCTTCCGAAAGTTTCCTTCCTCTTTCATCCACCGATAGTCGTCCAGCTTGCTTCCCTCTCTCGTTCAAAATCAGTCAATAGCCACCCTCTTCAACGGCTTCTCGATGACCTCCCACTCCTTCCAGTTGATATTTGTCAGCATCTGGCGAAATTGCCACCACGTCCACGGCATCGTATACGTGTTCCAGCCGGCATCATTCTTGTAGTACGTGACACAATCTGGTCTCGCCCACACAAACTTTCCTGCCTGCTGTCGCTGTACTTCGTCATTGTATCTCCTCTCGACGGCCCTTTTGGGGTGCATCGCGAACTTGACACCTTTTCGTGCCCGCAGAACCGACTCCTTCACAGCCTTGGCGGCGAACCGTGCTTGCCGCTCCCAATTGTCCTGCTGCGACGACCAGACGTGTGCCGAATTGGGCCCGAAGCAGTAGAACATGTTGGGAAACTGGCTGGAAGCTAAACCGTACAGGGCTTCGGGATGATCCTTCCACTTGACCTGGAGGTCGAGCCCCTTCAGGCCCGTCACCTTTTCATGTTCGAGAAATTGAGCCACGTTGAACCCTGTGCCGAAGATGATGACATCGTACAGGCGCTCGGTTTCCATCCCAGTCTTCTTATCACTAGATACTACCCCCCCTTCGGTGTAGCGAACAAGATTCTCGCGAAGGACGCTACAATTAGGTCTCGCCAGGGCTTTATAGAAGCCGTCAAGACGTAGTGGTCTCTTGCAGTAATCTGTGTGTCGGAGTCAGCACACGAGCTTGGGCACTTTCGACTGGCCGTTGCTTGACTTACACTTCGAATCAGGCCGGACCTTTTCACGCAACTCAGGGTCTGAGATTTCCGACTCCATAAACTTCACTGCCATCGCGGTCATTTGGTCGTTCAACGGATCCCCGTCAGTGGCCATCTTTCGACCGAATCGCATCATTCGGAAATTCATTCGCGTTCGAATGAGCCAGGCAAAGCATGGCACCCATCTACATGCCCATCGAAATAGCCTGGCACATCGTCAGAGATCACAATCACATCTCATCATCGTTTCCTTCAAAAGCAATCTCACCGTGAATAGGCAAAATCGTTCCTAGCAATGCAGACAGGTGGAGTCCGCATGTAGATAGTCAGATGTTTTGGCTTGTCGATGACCTCTGGGATCACTTGCGCAGCACTCGGACCGCAGCCGATAATGGCCACAGTCTTGCCACTCAGGTCGTAGTCGTTTCGCCAGTGGGCAGTGTGCCATACCACGCCTTTAAAGTTCTCGCGCCCTGGCGTGTTCCCCCATTTCGGGCGGTCCAGGCTTCCAACGCACTGACAGACAACGTCCGCGATCCAATGTTCAGTCTTCCCGGTGCTTTTGTTTAAAACGCCGACGTGCCAGACCATATGTTCCTCGTCCCAGGTGCAGCATTTAACAAGGCTTTCAAATCGGGTACACTCCTCGAGGCGATATTTATGTGCGAACTCAGTATAGTAGGCTTCTATTTGCGATCGTTCGGCATAGAAGTGCGTCCATTCTATCATAGTTAATAGTGACAAGGAGAAACTGTATAGTGTACAAGGGAGCACTCACCCTTGTTTATGTGGTAAGATGTGGTGTAGATCATGGCAGGGACATCACATGCGCAGCCGGGATATCTGTTCTTCTGCCAGACGCCACCATACCCAGACAAAGCTTCGAAGATCTGAATATCCCCGAGCTTGACATAGCCGTCACGCAGGAGAATGGATGCTTGTTGAATCCCGTTGATACCTGCGCCAACGATGATGACCTTCTTGCGTCGTTCCAAGGGCACAGTGTTGGCGGGCCCAAACGCGGGCTGGGTCTCTCCGTTCTGTGCGAACCCGGTGAATGCGCCGTATTCGTCGCCGGATACAATACCAGCGTCAAAGGTCTTGACAGGCTGAGGTGGACTTGCTGCCATCGGCCAGCCCATGAGAGGTTCGCTCTCATGAAGATGCATTTTGATCGCGTAAGAATTGTCTCGAGGTTCAAGAGACAGAAGAGTGAAAGCTAACAAGCTTATGCAAGAGAAGCCTGCGGGATGGTGCGACTCAATTGTAGAAAAAACACTTCACACTTACTGATCATAGATAGACAGGATTGCCATTTTGATCCACTGCGATATGCTGCTTCCACAGAAGCAAGCACAAAGTGTCTAGCTTACTTGACTGTGCGATCGCGTCTCAAGGCCTGGCCGTATCACGATGACCTGGATGGTCTGACATGGTCCACCGAAGCATTTTGAGAGCAATGCAAACCACTCCAGGCTCCGGGTGAGCATAAGAGTTCCGCCTCTACGGATGAGGGGGCATAGCTTAACATTGTCAATTGAGACTCCGCAAACCAAGGTGGCAAAGAGGTAAGAAGTTCATAGTAGAAGGTTTTGAGGGTGGTCGGTGGGAGCCCGAAGCCACTTCAACCTCCGATAAAGATCCCAAGATGGATGGTGTTCCGGATCCTCGGCTGTCGGTGACGGTCTCTCTGCCTCATCTAGTTTTAGGCTCCCTAGCCCGTCAATAGCGACGGGTCACCCAGTCTTTGAAACCTCATCAAAAGTCCGAGAATGCGGTACAGGCCTTGCCCCCGGGCTCAAATTTTTGACCAGGGCACTATTGCTAGAGCTTGACTGGGGAAAGTCGCCATGTGGTCGGGGGAAGGTCTGGAGAAGTCCTTGCCGTAGCCCACAAGCTCAGTCATCGGGGCCCCGCGTGGATAATATGTTTGCCAGACGTGTCTATATAGAAAATGGCTTGTCACATGGTGAGTACGAGGTCCTCGAGATCTCCTTCGTTTCGACAGCAGTCGTTCTTGGATGGAATTTCAAGAATCTTTTGTGGGACCACCTCAACAATGAAAATTCTTGCCCTGCACGAAATCGAGCACAGCCACGGTACTGTGCAGTTGATATCAGGTAAGCCTTCCAAGCACCGACTTGACTCACACCGGTGCCCCTTCGACTACCCTTGGCCATGGGAATATTCTCGGTTAAGGATGTGAGGTAGATGGACAGCAGCTCCAGCACAAGACAGGCACTTCCATCGTGCTTGTGCCTCAGCCAACTGGCGACGACCCCAATGACCCTTTGGTAAGACTGCTGTCGTGAGTGCTTTGTGTTTGAAGTACTGACGTCAAAACAGAATTGGCCTTTTGCGAAACGTGTCGCAGCATACTGGTCTGTCCTCTGGTTGTCGGCCTTGTGCAATTTTTGTATCACTGGTCTGGCGCCAGGCTTTGGACAGCTTATCGAAGAGTTTGAGATCAGTCTCACGCAAGTGACATGGCTGATATCAGGATGTCTGTTGGGCGAATTCATGGGCTGCTATTCAGTGGCTCCATTCTCGACCCGGTACGGCAAACGACCTCTCTGGCTTATCTGTGGCCTCTTCTTCTTCGTGTGCAATATCTGGGCTGCAGTCGCAAAGTCGTTCTCATCGCTTCTCTTGGCAAGGTTCTTTGCATCATGGGCAAGTCAGTCAACCATCTCTTACTGCTTCTGCGCAATACCTGATGTGAAAGCGATCTAGGCGGGACCAGTGAGCCTCTGAGTGTCGGAACTTTGCACGACATCTTCTTCCTGCATGAACGAGGCACACAAGCAGGCGTCCAGGCCATCTGGTTGAGTCTCGGGAGCTCTCTCGCACCACCTATCTGCGGCTTCTTGATCCAGGATAGGGGATGGCGTTGGTATCATTGGCTTGTCTCGATCATGGCCGGTGCCGATCTCATCCTCCTTTTCTTCCTTGTACCAGAGACTCAATACAAGCGAGATTTGCACTCGGCGCTCGATGTCGCCGGCGTTGAGGAGAACGACGATATGGCTGATGGCCAAACCGAGTCGCAGTGCAAGATTGTGGAGTCGAAGATGGGGAGCCAAGCAGTGGAGAGACTGGAGCCCCAGAGATCGGCCGCCCCGGGAATCAAGCCAAAGAAGACATACTTAGAAGGACTAAAGCCATGGTCACCAGTCCAGAAGGATGTGAATCTGCTTGGGTCTTTCCTCCGCCCATGGGCAACTTGGTGCTATCCCAGCGTTGTTTGGTCGGTGTTGTCCTTTTCTATTCATGTCACATGGTAAGTATATCCTATTCCTTGCGTGTCGAAAGAGTCAAATCGCTAAGGTCCTCGACCTATACAGTGTGGTGGTGTTGATCAATCTCATCCCTGTGTATCTCGGGGCTCCCCCTTACAATTTCAGCACTAGCCAGCAAGGTTTGGTATTCTTGAGTCCCTGCCTTGGGAACCTCTTTGGGTCATTCTTCTGCGGATACATCAATGACAAGCTGAGCCAATGGTCAACTCGACACAATGGAGGCATCTTTGAGCCAGAAATGCGCCTGCCGGTGGTTGCGATTCCAGCGCTCTTGGTTCCAGCCGGCTTGCTCATGTTTGGAATTGGTGTCGCCCATGAAACTCATTGGATTGTCCCTGTGATTGGAGCTGGGCTCGTTGGTGTTGCGTTGACAGGAATTGGGTCAGTCATACAACCATATTTGATGGATAGTTATGCTCCGATTATCTTCGACTGCCTGGTGGTACGCTTCTCTCCCGTCATTTGGGCGTGGTGTCGTCCTAAAGACTAAATATCTCTAACTATTTACAGACTTTCAACGGCTTTAAAAATCTCGTCTCATTTGCCGTCGGCTTTGCGGTAGTCCCGTGGCTCGAGCTGGATGGTGTGGTGGCAGTGTTCGTTATTCTCGCTGTCCTTGTCGTGGTCATTGATGCCTCCGCATTGCTGATATACCTCTTCGGGAAGAAGCTGAGGCAGCGAGACGCTCGATTGAGGATCTTCTTATTCTAAAATGAGGCATGCTCCGGGCGGGTCAAAGCGTGTTCTGGCAACTTCCGTACTCCAACCGAGGAACCAGCTCTGGGGAAAGTGGCAAGTTACCTTGAGATCGAGGCTGCTGTTTTTGTCGACAATACAACTAGAATAGCAGAGAAGAAGCATCAATGCGAATGCTTCTCAGTAAGCTGCTCTGGATGTCTGCGCCTGGAAGAACTTGTAATTGAACACGCGAAGTCGTCCAAACTAAGCAGAGAAGCTGATCGACGTATCGTACCATGTTCTCTCGCTGCTGTACTGCAATTTTGGCAAACATGTGACGACCATATCTTTCAGACATTGTATCAGACCCAAACAAATTGCCGTGTTCTCAAATACATAAATATTGCACTATGTATGCAAGACTTTAGAACCATCTCCCTAAGGCATGAGAAACCCTCCATTCACGGGGATGCAGGCTCCCGTGATCCAGCCACTCCTCTTCTCGCAGAGAAATGCAATGGCGTACGCAATTTCGGAGGGCTCGGCCATTCTAGATCCCATCGGTGTCACGTCCAGCATAGGTTGGATCTTCTCAAGGAAGCTGGGACCAGCGTGGTTGAAGCCATGCGTGTTTGTCGGACCTGGTTCCACGGCATTGACTGTGCATCCATATTGCCTTCCCAACTCCCTGCAGCACCAGCGTCAGCAGGTACCCTCGACACGTACGAGGATGCAGAGACTTACAAGGCCCAGCACCTGGTAAACGATTCCACCATTGATTTTGTGCCGTTGTAAATTGTCGACCCAACATAGCCTTGACGAGCACCCACGCTGCTCACATTGACGATTCGGCTGTCGTGTGCCAGGTGAGGCAGGACAGCTTGGGTGAGGAGGAGCATGCCCCTGGCATTCAAATTGACTTGTGAGTCCCATTGATCGAGCGCTAGGTCCTTCAGTGGTCGCATGATAGCTATCCCGGCGTTGTTGACCAAAATATCAACCTTACCGCCGGTCAAACGAACCGTTTCGTTAACGAGGTGTTGGGGCCCGTCAAGGGTGGATAGATCTGCCTTGATTGCTAGGCATTTGGCCGCGGCTGAGCCATTCGTCTTTGCGATCTGGTCGAGAACTCCCTCCGCGTCTGGCTCTTGTTCCGGCCAAGGGTAGTTAACTATCACCAGAGCGCCTCTGTCAGATTGTCGTCAGTGTCCAACCTGCTAATTTGAGCATCTTTCGTGCAACACAAAATCTGCTCACCTCGACGCCAGTTCAACACAGACAGCAGCACCGATGCCACGCGCGCTACCACTGACGATGGCCACTTTCCCTTTCAGTGTCTGCTCTGCCACCATGTCTGTTTCCATTTTATGTCTTTCCACCTCTAGTACCAGAGCAGCAATGGTGCAACACTGAGTCGAGGGGAAAGGGCATGCTGCGCCTTTAGATGGGCGAGTCTGCGGTGGCTCAGCGAATGATCAAAGACCGCCTTTGGACTGAAACCCCGACGGATATGGTCAATCAAACGCGGGTTTATCTCATACTACAGGACGAAACAGTGCTCATCTACCAGAGGCCGGTTCGGATGTGTTCAGGTCCCAGCTCTGGACGGAATAGCCAGAAGTGCATGTCGGGGTGGGTTCTAAGTAGCGCTGTTGGCCTGAGTATCCGGAGTTCGGGTGAACCACATGGAAACTCCGAAGTGTTCGATGACTGAGATCTCATTCGCAGACGGGCCAGCTTGTATAACTAAGACAGAAGAGGAGACAACGAGGATAATCGAACACATCCACAGGTTTGGTCCAAAATAGACGCAAGCTACTTGCGCTACACCGCAGAGGCGAGAGTGTTTGGCCCTTGAAAGGCCAACTAACTCCACAAACATGAAGCGAACAGTAGACTGAGCAGCTTCAAGCGGGCGACACTCATGGACTTTTGGTCAAATGTAGCCGTGTTCATAGATCTTTCCTCCCGTGTGTGGGAAGAAGAGGGTAACACACAGTGAAGATTTGCCATCGCGACAGTGCACACAACCTTCAAAAATCACCCCAATGGCCAGCGCCCGCTGCGATATTTACTCTGGGCTGGACCTCCCAGCGGGCGTTACCCTCTTGGTAGATGGGACTACGGGTTGCCGAAAGGTGTTCCAGGCTGCGAGCCACTACGCCTGCCAGGCCACTAGGCGACCTAGTGGCTAGTGGCGATTGCTGCGGGGTATCGGCAAAGGGCCTAGTAGCCCTCTTTAAGCGGGCGGATACCTGGAGAAGTCGCAGTCCCTCACAAAGCAGCATCCGGCAACCTGGGGACTTGGGACCGAAAAGCTCGCCCAATTGCTAGTGTGCAGAAGGTATACGTCGTCTTTCGATTTCTACTTCGCTGCAAGCGCTGCTTTAACCCAGTCTCTGCCACTTCAATAATCTGTCTTCACCATGCAGTTCACCGAAGATGCGAACTGGAGACTCGCTCGCTACCATTGCTCGGTATGCTCACGACCATTTGACCGCAAGGATACGCTGTCGAGGCACATGCAAATCCACTACAAGCGCCGGCAGCAGCCCAAGACCAGAAGAAAAGCCTGTCTATTTTGCTCCCAGTCCAAAACGCGATGCAATGGCGGGCGACCGGTGTGCTCCTCGTGTCAAAAAAGGAACCTCTCATGCGTCTATGAAGGCCTTGCGTCCGATCGCCAACAGGAGGAAAGATCCTCTGAGGCTGATGCCAATGCCGAAAACCACTCTGTCGCCGACCTATCGCGAGGAGACACCGGCCTCTGTGACGCGCAATCGCTGGGAATGACACCGCCGCTCCGTGGAAATCAGCCTGGGGACAGAATGAACGACCGGTACGCTTCCCATCAATCAGTGGATGACCAAAGTCAAAGCCAGAATGGTCCGCCAAATCTCAGTCAGAACGCCTCGATCGGTCCAAAACCGAGCCCTCTCTGCTCAACCTTTGATCATACCGACTTCAATTCCAATCTTGACTGGTTTTTGGAAGATGCTGGGAGCGATGACTTCCTAGGGGCTCCAGACTTCTTCGGCCTATTTGGCTTCAACGACAATCAAACCCTCTCTAATCCTTTAATGTCTGCTCCACAGACTGCGGTACCTTCTGCCCGACAGTCTGATGCCGGCGACAATGCCAACGATGACATGGATGACGCAGGGAATGGTGATGCAAACGATTCTGTGCCCGCTCTAGGTGGTCTTCTCACTCCACAGCCCCATGAAACAAGCATTTCCGACAACCCATGGCCAGTGGAAACTCCAAGACCTTCCCAGGGTCACACAGCTCTGCCACCATTAGGACCTGAAGATCAGGCATCGGACTCATTCTCCAAATTCTGCTCACTCATGCCAATAAACGACCGGACAAAGCACGCTCTGCAGAAATGCATCATGTTACCCTTCGAGCATAGTTCGACACAGACACTGGGGCTTGAGCGGTTTCCCCCCAACCAAACATTGGACCATTGCATCGACCTGTACTTCGCCTACTTTCACCCAATGCTTGCCATTGTACATCAGCCCACATTTGATCCTGGTAAAGATCTCGTGGTCACCTTAGCTATGATCTGCATAGGGGCTTGCTACACCGGGTACACAGGGGCTAAATCCTTTTCGATCGCGTTATCCGAGCTCATCAGGAAGCTTTTGGTCTTTATGGCCGAGCAAGATCGTCGATTCGTTCGAACGGCGTCTTACTTGACAGCACAGCTCCTGCAGGGGACTCACGGGTACTGCAGCGGCAGTGAGAGACTGTTTGAGATCAGCGAGTCGTGTCGCAGCACCCTGGTTCATCACGCGAAGTGTATGGGTCTCTTTCGTTATGAGTCCCAGCGGACACCTCGGCTTGGCATTTCATTGGACGAAGCATGGCGTGAATGGATCAGCGAAGAAGGGTTGAGACGCCTTGGGTGGGCAGTCTACAAATATGACGCTTCTGTGGCATATTTGCACAACAACAGACCGTTCTTGAGCACCGGCGATATCAATCTCAATCTACCCGGCTCAGCCGACCATTGGGCAGCAGAATCGGCACAGGCATGGTCCTCACTCCATCCATGGTGCAAGGCTTGTCCTCCAACCTCTCGGTTGCGACCCATGATCAGGTTGCTATTCGACGGCACCATGAACCCGGTTGAGAAAATCGGAGACGAAGAGCACCGTTTTATCATTCTATTGACCCTGCTTAGGATGTTGTGGACGTTGAAGGAAATCAGATCCTCGCCGATAAACGATCTAGTAACCCCTCCTTGCTACGATGATGGACGACGAACTCTGGTGCAAGCAATCGATCAGATGACCATCCCCATTGTGGCTGCTTCCAAGAATAATACACGGGCAGAGATGGACCGGTTGGTACATCGGATGCAGCTCGTTCACATTTCTCATGTTTACGGCGCCGGTGATCTAATGAATTGGCTGTATCCATACCTACGTCACGGCCCCGAAGCAGAAAATGCTAGGATTCGTATGAAACAATGGGCAAATGAAAATGCCCAAAGAACAAGAGACGTGGCCTACCATTGCGCGCAGATGCTTGCCCTGGTTCGGTACTACCCAAGCAATAGATCACTGGAACCATTCCTCACATTCCACGCAGGGGTAGTGCTGTCGTGTATGGCCACCCTGCTACCGGAAGGATCGCTACTTAACCAAAACTCCTCAATCCAGCTCGATCTCCTCGATCCAGGAAGTGGTGAGGTAACCAATCGGCAGACGGGCTGGGTTTCTTACGGAGGAAATGAGCAGATCAGCTTACTTGGAGTACCGGACCTGGCTTCTGCATTGGGCCGACAACAAGTATTAGACCAAACGGCTCTGTTGCTGAAACGCCAGAGAGTCTGGGGAATGGCACGAAACCTCACAAAAGTTGTGCTTGCGCTTGGAGCTCGTGATACGGATGGAGACATACGGGATGCTGCTGGTCCACTACAACTCTTCTCAGCAACGCTCTCTCCGTCCAGCTTTCCTCACGGGACTTGAAATTTGACCGACACAACGGTGTCGCATGATTTCCTAGTTTGCAGAATAAATCCTTGCATCATCCCATGGCACAACCTGGCCGTTCAAGGCCTTTGGGATTCCATTCACGGCTAGCCTCACAAAGGAACTTGCTGGACGCTGGGGAGGTAGCAATTCGCCTCGAGCATGCAAGTCCGCGAGCCATTTATATTGCTCTGGAGGCATATTTGATTTGTCTGAACCAGCATCAGAGGATCTTCCTCGAACGGGAGCAGCTGAAGGCAACTTACGCTCATTTCGGATCTCAGCTTGTTGCCCCGAATCTACGATACCGGGTGTGACACATAACATCGTCACCTGATCCTCTTCCACAGCCAAGCCAGCACAGAGCCAATTCATTGCGGCTTTTGAGCACGCGTATGCGGTCCAAGCTGCATGTGCCCTAAAAGATGTCCCCGAAGACGTCATCAAGATTTGACCTTGAGTTTTCCGCAGATGTGGTAATGCGACCTGGATCTGATGGTAGCGTCAGTCCTGCATTCAAGGGCGCTTTCAGAAAACAGCGCTTCAAATTCGACGCCATACAGGGGAAATCAGACATTTGGAAGGGGGGCAGATTAATAGAAGACTTACTGTGTGCAACAAACCAAAGAAATTTACGTCAAACAGCCTTTTCCATTCCTCAACTTTCGTCTCTGCAGCAGGCCCAATGGGACGTAAGATGGCAGCATTGAGGATGATAGCATCGATCCTTCCTTTGCGGTCCAATGCATTTTTGACAGCTCTCTCGCTAGTGGTTCGATCAGAGACATCTCCTTGAATGATGGTGAGCCTATCTTGGTGCTTCTCGAGCAGCGACTCAATCTCTGATGTCTTGACGTCTATCCCGACAACAAGCGAAACATTAGAGTTGGTTAAAAGCTGGTTGGTGATGGCAAGACCGATACCGGCACCCGCACCGGTTAGAATTCTGTGGGGGCAAAAGTATTAATCGCACAAATAACTCAGGTCATAGTCGTATAGGAAGCGATATGTTGTGGGCTACACATACATTACCTTTTCTCCGTTGCGAACAGCAGACCCCATCGCTTGAAGTCTGTCGCTAAAGCGTAGAGACTGACAACCAAAGGCGACTCTGCTAATCAGGCATAAATTGAATCAGGTAATCCTTTAAGACCGCAAGTCTCGGCAAACTAGTTTTGTATTTCAGGATGTGTCGCGATTCCCAAGAAACAATGGCCCTGAGCAGGATCGAAGCTCGGAGTTCGACAGTGGCATCGGACCGCCGGGGGAGAAGGGAGAGGAATGGGAACGGAGTGGCTGCCACCGACGTACGGTGATCAGGCTACGACCCAGTAGCGTTGTTTCGGCCCACGAAAGTTAACATTCGAACATCACGAGAAGCTGGTCTTGGTCTCAGACAATGTGGCCTTCCATATTATCGATCTGTCGAGGAGTCGACCTTTCTTCTGCTTGATACTATCTACCATCTTCAGTATCGAAATCCAACGCAGCCATGTCTGACTCCGAAGATTATCCACCTTTCCCACCACCAGGTCCGCCATTCATTGCAGCCAGCTTCCCCCGGGTTACTGACGACGGAGACACAAATGGCTATGTTTTTAATCACGTGGCCCTTCAAATTAGCTCGCCAGCCTCATCGTTCTCGTTCTATGTTGACTTTTTGGGCATGAGTCTGATCTTCGCGCTCAATGCTGGACCCCTGACGGCGTATTATCTGGGGTACCGGGATGCAGAGCACGATGCAGTCCCTTCAGACATGGCTCGGGCGTCTGGGGGGCGTTCGGGACTCTTGGAACTCATCTTTGCGAACGACGAGAATGCCACACAGGACGATTTGACGCTGAATGGGACAGAGAAGTCCCGTTCCAGCGATGGGAGCAGAAAGTCAGGTCGAAGGACCGGATTCGCCCATTTCGGCTTTCGGGTACCCGATGTCGCGCAAACGTTGAAGCGGGCCGAGGAAAAGGGCTGGAAGGTGATGAAGCCTTTAGACAAGGTGGATGTTCAGTTCATGCCACTTCCTGGATGGGAGCATGAATCCGAGGGCAAACAGAGGAAATGGGAGGGTGGATTTGAGAAGGTGTTTGGACAGGTCGCCTTTGTGCAGGATCCTGATGGGTGAGTTCAATCTTTATTCTCTTTGTCCAATCGATGTTGCAAAAATCCAAACCTCTAAGGGGGAAGACCATCGGGCTCGGAGTTTTTTCCATCTTCGACTTCTCTGACGGAAACAGGCACTGGATTGAGATCTTGCCGAGGGAGATGAAGAGGGGCTAAAAGGAGCAGAAACAGGTGGCAAGCAGGAACGTGGAAGGAGACCTTAGCTTCATGGAAAAGTACGGGCCAATTAGGGGGGCAATTTAATGGGAAGGTTGGCTGAAGAGCAGCCTCGTTGATAAGGCTGTGACAAGCCACGCGACTACTGAAAGAGGCAATATTGTGCATTGCTGCAATGTTGCTCTGTCACTAATGCAACAATACGCCGTTGCATTCATTCATTACTATCTTAGGAAATCACATAGGACTATATAGTCGAGAGCTCGCCCCCAATGGAGGAGCTCTAGTGTAACAGAGCACTTCAGGGTTCGGCATGTACGTGCAACAAGGCACAGGGGCTTGTCCGGCAGATCGGCAAGTCGAGAACGCCTTTCTGGTTGAGGCCAGGTCAAAACACCAACACCAAAACCACAGAGGCGATGGCTAGGTGGCGCCTAGCACGGCGGCGGCAGCAGCAGCATTCAATAGCAGAGGGAGACTGTAGAGGGCATCAGGACGATGAATGCTCCATTCAATCTGTAAAACGAATGGTTCGAAAGCCAGCACTGTCAACTTGTCTCGCACTGTCTGTGTTATCCAGACGCTTAGTTGGTTGCCTTTTTGCGGCGAGAAAACGTTCCATTCACAGCCAGAATGATATGAAGCCCTTTGCTTTGACATGTGACCAACTACACCTCCAAACGCCTTTACCTCCGCCATAGCACTACATAGCCATTTCACCTTGTTACAGTATTTAGGATATTAATCAAGTGTAACAGGTTGCCGCGGAGACGTCTCCGGGATTTGTTAAGATATTCTTTGAAAACTCTTAAGACATCTCCGAGACATTATAATAAACTACTAGCGGTCGGGCAGTACTGTAATAACTAGTTTTGTGATCAGGCTGCATAACATTAGGCATTACCTACTATGTATTATCCGAACCAAGATGAGAGAGAAGCCTGAAGTGCAAAGAGAAACAATTGAACAGCAGAGTAGAGCGACAACTTGAGAAAATGGCCGTCCCTCTACCCGTTCTGGAGGTGGATCGCGGATGAGTTCCCGCACTGAGGCCGCTATCCGTTCGCAATGACCTGTGGTTTTAGCACCGAGGAGGAACCTCATCCAGACCGTATAGGATGGAGGTGCTATAGCTAAGGCTAGCTACACAGTATGATAGCTGAGTCTAGTTGCAGATTCGTTGATGATCAGCACCGTTGCCACCTTATCTTTCTGGCGGTATGATTGTCGGGGCTTTTCCGTCCTATGCACATTTTGGCCTAATCGGGAATAATGGACCGTCAAGTACGACCCACCATTATCCGGGGTATAGGACGGGGCTTAGATGATTGGAGAGCTTATCTGAACTCTTTCGTCCAAATTACCACACTCGTCTGGCCTTCTCAGCAAATCACGTTGCACCTAATCTGAGACATATCAGCTTTGATGGGAGACATAAAGCTGGATGTCGCTCGCGAGAACATCGTGATATATTCCACTATCGCCGTGAATAGATACGGTAGTTTCACTGTACCCTCTGTATCAGCTTCTCGAGCCCTCATAGCGATAGCAGCCAGAATGGGAGTAATCGCTGAGCCAACTTCTAAAGTCGTTGCTGACAGCAACGACTTGACCATGGGTGATAAAGGAGACGGTCCTCATGCCAGAGGCAATACCGAATACTCCCCCCCTGAGGCAAGTTGCATTGTCTCCGACGGTCTTTGTGGGGTGGTTCTAACAACTCCACTAGCTATATAAGAGTTTCAACTGGGTGTCAATGCTTGCAGCCTGCGTCTCGTTGATGGCGACATGGGAAGCGTTCTGCTCCACCATGGCCGCAGGCCTGCTTAGTGGCGGACCAGTGTCATTGGTTTACGGGTTCATATGTGAGCTCTCTGTATTCTAGAAATTGTGGGAGTGCCTTCTGACAGGTGGACCAGTGGCATTCGCCGGAACCATTGCCACGGCTTTGTCATTGTCCGAGGCTGCTTCAATGTGAGACCCTCGACCTGGTAAATATTTTCATAGACAGGAGCTGACCGGTTGCAGGATCCCAAGCGCAGGGGGACAGTATCATTACGTCGCCGAGCTCTCCCCGCCTTCAATTGCTCGCCCTCTGAGTTGGGCTGCTGGCTGGCTGACCATGTTCGGATGGCAATCAGTCGCCGCCAGCGCTCCTTTTCTCGCAGGAACAATGATACAAGGATTGATTGTGCTAAACAATCCTACATACATCTACAAGCGCTGGCATGGAACCCTCCTCTACTGGGCTGTACTTCTCCTTGCGCTGGTGTTCAACGTTTTGGGGATCCGCATTCTTCCACACGTGGAGAATGCGTCGATGGTCCTTCACGTTGTACTTTTCTTTATCCTGCTGATTGCCATCGTCGCACTGTCACCGACAAAGAACTCGGCATCTTTTGTCTTCACGGACTTTGAAAACGAAACTGGCTGGACCAGCAACGGTGTCACATGGTGCATCGGCATGCTGAGTTCCTCGTACGTGCTTGTCGGTTACGATGCGGCGACTCATTTGAGCGAGGAGATGTCCAACCCAGCAGTCGGTGTACCTCGTGCTATGATCGGCTCCCTGTTGTTGAACGGCATCCTAGGCTTTTCCTTTCTGCTGGCCGTCCTATTCTGCATGGGCGACATCGCCTCCGCAATCGGAACGGCTACGGGATTTCCCATCATCCAGATTTTCTACACTGTCACGGGCAGCCTGGGCGCCGCCTCCGCAATGACCACTGCCGTCATCCTCATGGCATCGCTTGCCACCATTCCCCTCGTCGCCTCTGCGGCACGGACACTCTGGGCACTCGCACGGGACTCTGCCTTTCCATTTTCTCGCTGGCTTTCTCACGTGGACGAGAAGAGAGGCATCCCCACCAGGGCGATTTGGGTGACGACCTTGTTTCTCATGCTCCTCGGCCTTCTGAACATTGCCGCCACCACAGCGTTCAATGCAATCCTCTCTCTGGCCGTCGTGGGTCTGTATCTATCTTACCTACTTCCCGTTGTCGTCATCCTGTGGCGTCGTATCAAGAAGCCCAAGTCCTTGAGGTGGGGACCATTCGAGCTGGGAAGATGGGGGATAATGCTCAACATTGTCTCTATCATATACACGGTCTTTTGCTGCGTGTTTCTGGGTTTTCCGCCCTATCAGCCGGTCACTGCGCAGAATTTCAATTATGCGTCTGTTGTGCTTGGTGGGGTGCTGGCGCTGAGTGCGGCCTACTGGTTCATTCGAGGAAGGAAGGGCTACACTGGCCCCGCAATTGAGATTTTGGGACGCACAGTCTCGAACATCAGCCATGTATAGAGGTGATATGATTTCCTTGGCTGGAGACGGAGGCGAGAGTGTGAATTCAGGAATTCGGTGGCACGCAAAGGTGGCAATGCATAGAAATTGTCAATGGATCTGTGTAAAAAAAGAAAGGCTACTCTGTGCGGCTGGGGCAAGCCCCTTGGATCACCAGTAATAGAATACCTCCAAATGCCGTGTTCAACCTAAAGATTCGCGGTCTTGACCCCCGTCTTGAACAGTCATTGAAATTTGCCAGGTGTACGTACTATGTATTCACAACCTTGGTCCTGGGCTCGTGTTAAGTTTCTCCGCAACGACCTGCGCTGTCTTCAGCCCACTTTCGAGCGCACCATCAATGAAGCCTCGCCAACCGTCAGCCCAGTCAGCGCTCGCAAAGAAGACGTTTCCGTGCGCCTTCTGCAGCTCCTGGAGATACATTGTCATTGAGTGACTACCCCAACAACTCCACACCCCCTTGGCTAGCGGGTCATTCATCCAATCGTGAGTGAGATACCCTTCGACCCTGGCGTCTGGGCGCAGATCTTTCTTGAACTCCTCGAGGATGTGCTTGCTGTCTCGCGGGTCTTGCAGGCACCCACTGTACCCAAAGCCGATGCAGTAGGTGCCACGGGGTCCGGCCGGGCTTGTGCCATTGTGGTCGGAGAAGGCGAAGCAGAAAGACGAGGCAGAGTAACCGTCGCAAGCCGCGAACCAGCCTGGTTCGGTCGAAGTAAGCTTGAAGTGGATCTTTGCGCCTTTGTTAATGTGTCCTTTGACGATGCCTTCGCTTTTCAACGGACTTAGCGGCGGCGAGAACTTTACGTCACTCAGACAATTCAGTGGAACGGTGCAGATGACTGCTTTCGCCTTGAAAGTGCGTCCCTTCTTAGACCTTACCACCGCACCAGATGGGTCGTTCTGAATCACTTCAGAAATGACCGTGTCGAGGAGGATGTCGCTCTGTGCGTCTTGGAGAATGGATCGAGAGAACGAGGTCATGCCGCCCTTGCCCAGCTTGTAGATACCTGCAAGCTCGAGGACTTGGGCCATATTGTGACCACCCAAGGCGTACCAGCGGAGCGCTTCGATAAATCCGATCTCTGTACTGGGCGCACTGCCGAACGAGTTGACCGTGCTTTCGAAGTAGCCTTTATGGAGAGTTGGGAGATCAAGTTGATCGAGGCGCTGTCGCACCGTGAGATGGTCGTACTTTTTCCACGGTGCCGGTGTTCGAAAGGGGTCATGGGGGTAAGGGTACAGCTCGCGACTGGACAGCCCATCGATTGTAAAGAACTTTTCGGCGACAGCCTGGGTAATTTCAGCGAGAGCATTTCCATCGATTTCTTGCACCCCGCCTCCTGCTCCCTTGTAATACGTTTTCTGTGTTGCAATGGTGCCGGCTGACGACTTCAGATTTTTGTGGAGGTTGTACCTGTGCAGCTCGGCATACAGATGTGGCTGGTTCCAATGGACCTGGATAAATTAGCCTCTGGAGGACTTGATCGGACTTCAAACAAAGAGCCCATACCCATGTTCCACCCATTTCAAAGTCTTCTCCAAACGCTTGTGCCGTCCACGTTCGACCACCGATGCGGTCTCGTCCCTCGATGATCAATACACTCAATCTATAGTGGCGGCTGAGTTCCCGCGCCGCCCGTAGGCCGGCAAATCCAGCTCCAATGACTATCACATCATAACTTGGTTTGAGGTTTGTCGTGCTTGAGATCACGGCCTGGGTGGCTAGACCTTGGGTAAGATTTGTTTCAGTCCAAAGATATCCCTCGCGCGATCTCGACATGGTGAGGTCGTGGCAACGTGCATGTGAGATGAGAAGGGCTGCAGCATCCGAGGGATGGGTTGTGAACTTGGCTGAGAGAGATTTTCGGTCAAAGTACTAATGGTAGTACTGCATGTAAAGAAACAATAGCATACTATTGCATCACACCCTGACACTATTCCGCGCTGAACACAAACACCGTCGAGCGGAAAGCTTACCTCTGTTGAGCCGCACCTACATGGATCCAAGAGCGGAATGCCTTCCGGTCCACTGAATTTCCCAACTCGGAAATTATAAGGGGCAGTCAGTGATAAGAATCTCAGATGAACCACCATCCGAAAGACTTGGAATATCTTCGAGCGCCGGAAACTTTTGAATCAGTCGCTGCGAGTCACCATGGTATTGGAAGTTAAGTCCAAGACCGAGATGTTCAAGGTCCAGAACATTCCGGGGGTGCCGGAGCATGTGTACTTCAGTGAGTGGGAATCGAGGATCAGGTTTCAAGCCCTAACTGTGGACAGCCGACTTTTTGGGAAGTCGTGACGAGAACGCGCCCAACCCCATAACAGGCTCTTGGTTTCGCATCGAGCGAGGACCTCCGTCTACGCCGCCCAAGTACGAGTACGACGAGGTTGGTGTTGTCATTGAAGGTAAATAGCGTGATACGAGCTGATCCAGACTTGGGACGGACATTAACTTATGCCGCAGGGAGCATCACCTTGCAGGATGAGGGCGGTGCCAAAGAGACTGTTAAGGCAGGGGATATCTTTATGATCCACCGAGGGAGCACGGTCGCTTTCTCGTCAAGCGATTATGGAATTGCTTTCAAGTGCGGGTCCAGGTTGATGGCTAGATTGTAAGGGTGACGCTTGAATGAAGGGAGATGTGTGTGAAAGGAGGTACAGTTCAGCCAGGAGACTGTTGGCCAAGCCCTAACCCTAGAGAGCAGGTTACCCGAGTGAACTGTAGATTTCTCTCCTCGTAATCAATCAATCATGTCATCACGGACCTCTCGTCCAACAGAGATGGGGCTAGTGGTGGCGGTATCTGTTGAAACGCTACCGCTCACAATTGTGTCCAAGTGGTCGAATCCTTAAGGGGTCGGTCGTCGTAGATCGGCCAATCGCACTTTTTCTCCAGATTTGGTATAGGTCCAATTTGGTGGCAACAAGGCTGCGAAACGAGCACTCTCGCGGATAGCACGATCCAGCGAAAGGGTCGTCCAGCAAACTAAGTTGGTGATTTCCCCGAGCCGGCATCATATTTTGCAGAGACAAGTGAGCCTAGTCAGTACCGCAAAGCGCCCGCACTTCGTTTCCAACGCTGGAGAAAATGTGCATTTCCGCTGGATGACTGAGAGCGTCGTTTCTACAGCGCAATGTCTTTCCAACTGTTATACGACACTGTCATTGCCAATGCGCCTTGTGTATAAATCGAGGGGAGGGGCATCGATGCTGTTGACGCTGGGCCAACCAAAGCGTAACTCTGCCCAAGACATTTCCCTCACCAGCAAAACATCACGTCGACCACATGGCCAACATCAAGACAAAGCCGGCTGGCGTTTTGCCCGCATCTTGGTATTCCACCGGGGCAATCTATGAGCTGGAACGTCGAGCAATCTTTGCCAAGTGCTGGCTACTCATCACGCACGAGCTCCGCTTCCCAGCAGCCGGCGCCTATGCGAAATTCACGGTTGCGGGATATCCATTTTTCATCATCCGTGATCAGCAAGGAAATTTGAACGCCTTCCTAAATGTCTGCCGTCACCGAGCTTTTCCTGTAGTCCTCAACGACGAGGGCACCGCAAACATTCTCGCTTGCAAGTACCATGGTGAGTATCTTCTATCTCGGCGAGACGTGCGGCCCTAATCCGTGCCAGGGTGGTCTTACGGCCTTAGTGGTAAACTTGCCAAAGCACCAAGATTCGATGGGGTGGATGGCTTCGACAAGTCCCAATACGGCCTCTTCAAAGTCCATCTCAAGGTCGACGAACGAGGCTTCGTCTGGATCAACCTTGATGCTTCGGAAAACGTGCAAGTCAAATGGGAAGAGCTATTTGACTCCGTGGATACGCAAAGTCGTTTAGGAGTATTCAACATGAAGAATTATCGCTATGATCACTCTTGGGATATGGACGGCGAGTACAACTGGAAGACCTTGATTGACAACTACAACGAGGTAAGCTCCCTGACGGTCTTTGAACGCCGATGGTCAATTCACATCGTAGTGTTCAGTGCTATCACTGCTCAGTCGCACATCCTGGCATTGCCAAGGTTACCAATCTCGAAAGCTACGATGTCAAGACAACCAATGGCTTTATCGAGCATTATGCCGAGAGCAAGGGCAATCCAGCCGATGTCTCTGGTAATGTAGCGCCGACTTACCTTTTCCCTAATTCTTCCATTACCATGACGTGAGTGTATGTCCATATCCAGCTCGGCCGTGCAGCAATGTAGCTGACCACATCAAGGGATCATTATTTCTACCTAATGAGAGTTGTTCCTGTCAGCGCAACGCGCGTATCGATGCAGTACGAGGTATACCGAAATGTCAGCAGCACTGACAAAGATTTCGAGGAGATGGATAAGTTTTTTAAGCAAGTCGAAAACGAAGACAAATACCTTTGCACCAATGCCCAGAAGAACATCAATGCAGGAGGCTACGTAACAGGGCCACTGCATCCTCACAGGGAGAAAGGCGTGCTGCACTTCAAATCCCTGGTCAAAAGGTTGCTGGTCGAACACGGCGAGAAGGAGAAAGCATCGAGTGGAGAAATCAATCCTGCAAAGAGATCTCCAGATGATGCTGACATCGCCGAGGAGGAATTGTTTTGCAAGGACGTATGTAGCAGAGCCGGCGGGGGCGCGGGCTGCACGTGGTAGATATATAGTAGCCGCTACAGAAGCGAGGGGCCGCCATGGCACGCCCACTGAAGCTGAGGTCATTGGCCCTTGTGTAGCGTCTAGAAAATAACAGACCTAGCGCGGAACCCCGCCAAACAGCTGATTAACCCGTTGTCCTTTCTTGCTTCCTTCACTTTGGCCAACACACTGCAATCCATGACGGCCGATCGAGTTGCGGTGCCTACCGGCTCGAATATGTTCTTAAGGCAGTAGCTTCTAAGCCATGACTGGGTGCATGCTTAGCTCTGTCTCCTTTGAACAGCCATGTCTGCAACGGTCAAAGGCGCAAAATCCCGATCTGGTTGCAGCACGTGCAAAAAACGAAGGGTATGTCCTCATCGCCTACAAAGGCAATGGAAATGCTCATTTGACTGTCAGGTCAAATGCGACGAAGCAAAGCCATCCTGCAGAAACTGCGCTCACAAAAATCTCAAATGCCCAGGATACGAGACTCGGTGGAAGTGGTCCACCAAACACGAACGGCAGTCATGCCTCCAGATTCAACGAGCTCCTGTTTTCAGCAAGCACAGGGGCGAGTCGTTCAACTCGAACGCTACTCCCGAAGCAAGCACCTTGCCACGCTCTCATCAACGCGAGAGGGCAGGGACGGCTTTTATCAACCAAATCAAGCATGCACAGCCCATCACTGAGGAGCTTGATATTGGCAGCCCCGGCCAGAACGACACCTTCAGCTCGGAGTCAGAGCAGGCCTTGTCGAATGAAGAATGGGATGCTGTCTTGTCGCTTTCTTTACGGGCGTCCACCCCTCCAATTCTGTGCATGTCGGATGCTCCAGCAACACCTGGACAGGCCTCCCTAACAAAGTGCCAACGTTTGTGGCACTCTCCGGACATCATACTCAGCAACACACAGGTTCAAGTGGATTTCTTCATGCAGAAGATTTGCAAAGCCTTGACCTCATTTGACTCCAAGTATAATCTATTCAGAACGCTAGCCACGTCGCGGACTACGGAGTCACTGTTGTTCTTCTCCTTGTTTCGCTATATTACTGCGGCTTTCCTAAACTCGAGTACTTTGGACGCTGCTAGTGCTCTAGTGGTGCAGAACGCGCAGACCGAGATATTGCATCGACTGCACAATGAGGTGGCACGGCTGAATAGGCCGACGACGACAAACATTGAGGACGTCTTGATGGCTATTATCATGTACGGTCTCACCACGAATTGGGACGGATCCAATAGCCCTAGCATCATCCACTACAATGCAGCTGTCCGGTTATATCTGCATACCTACCGAAACGGCATGCCAGTTCCGCGACAGAAGGGCTATCAGGAGTTCTTCTTCAATTCACTGGCATACTGGTGGATGGGCCTTTCGTTCATCACAGACACCGGCCAGGAGTGTTTGTTACAACTCCCCATCCCCGAGACTCGCATTGGCAATGACGACGAGACCGCAAGTCCGGCGAAGAGGATCCCGCACCCTCTGGCTGGCGTATCCCCCGAGTCGCAAAGGCTGCTTGGCAGCGTGGGCTCATTGGTTTATGGACAGAGGCTAAGGTGTCGTAAGAGGTCCTTCCCAAGCATGAATCAGCTGCGTGTGGAATACGACGCATTGCAAGAAGCGCAGAGCTTGGAAGAAGAAGCATTATCACTCAAGTTGCCAAAGGCCGACGACTTTGTCGACATCAGTGATATCGACACCCCCATACAAGACCTCATCAACACCGCAGAAGTTTATCGACTCGCAGCCCTCGTCTTACTATATCGAGCATTTCCGGATCTGCTCAACAGCAGACTGCGGCTCGGCGAAGATGAATATGCTGCCGGTCAGTCCACAAAGGAGCGAAGACTGCTGTGGGTGACAGCGCTAGCCATTCACGCCCTCGACATCCTGTGCCAGAATGCAGAGCGATCGGGGACCCGCAGTATCGAGCAAATTCTGTTGATCATTATCGGCGGAGAGCTAGAAAAGCGGACGTACTCACAGCCCTTTGACCCAACGGAGGAGAGCGATAGTTCGATCCCTGCACCATTGATGACGCGATGGGGTCCACCTTCGCCCCTCACAATAAGTTCTTTTGATCATTTTACGGTTTTACATGATTTGTCGGGCCGTGATTCTCCCCGAAGTGTCACTGACACCCCATTTTGCCATCCTTCAGGGTCCGACCGGATCGCTGGGGCTCGCAGGACGCTTCTTAAGCGGCTCCAATCGATCCGCGAGATCTTGCCATACAGATCGCTTGAAATTGTGCAAGAGCTCGTGCTCAAAACATGGGACATTAGTGATAATGATGATCCTGAAGTCTTCTGGATGGATATTATGATTGAAAATGGATGGAAGTTCCTGCTGGTATGAGACATATTACCCGATCCTGGTTGCTCACAGCCAACCCACATGATCATGCTGCGGTCGCTGCCTGCGCTACAATACGGAGAGCAAGGGTGGAGGGTTGAGTTGTCTGGAGGTCACGACCACCGAGGCCACGCATTTCCAGGAAGAGGGATTACTGGACACGCCAAAGACTCTGAGTGTTCATGGAACCACAGCATCCCATGTTCAACGCTTCTTGTAGCGGGTGCCGAGCAGTTTACGCTGGATTGTGGTACTCGTACACGATCTTAGCTGCCCAACTCCTGGCGGGGCTGAAGATACCGCTCTGCTGCATTTGGCAAGTGCGCCAAGGGTCAACGGACATTGTCTCTACTGTAGGCCCAGAATGTCCTCGCGGAGAAAACCAAAGCCTAGGTGGACTACGACCAGAGTTGCGAAGAGGAGGACGTCTCGCTTCGGGTGAAGTTGTACTCGAGAGCATTTGGCAAGTTCGGTTGGTGTGACTTTGGCTCTTCCTGAAGTTCTCACTCGCCCTGATGAAACTCGATGTCGCATGCATTCCGCTTTCGTGTTTGACTTTTGCAGTCCCTTTCGACCGTTTCAGAGATTTGGTCTGTTACCGGTCACCATGCTCCGGAGTTCTGTGGAGAGGACTGCGATCCGCGGGCCTAAGGTCTGTAGCAAAGTCATTTGCAGATGACTTTGGATTCTTGGTGCCGGTGTGGCTTGCGCCCTCTTTGTGTCGGTCGCGGTACTAGTTTTTCGGTCAAGTTGGGTTGTATGGATCGATGCAAATCGGCATGGTGTGGACCTCGACGCGTAATCCTTGGCACATTCAGCCATGCTCCTGCATCAGCATTTACCATTAGAACTAAGAGTAAAACGTTTCATTAAAAACACAGCCGTTCCTCAGGCACTTATAAAGATATATAGGGGGGGTTAGGAAAAGTTCTTCAAGGTCGCACCAATCTGACTTCTCATCCTAATCGGGCTCCTCATATTAATTAAGCGGGCTCCTTATCCGAAACGGGCCTCTCTAGTCTACATCTAAAGCCAGCTGTCATGGGGTATCCGTAAGGGAAATCTAATTCGCTGCGTACACGGGATGACTTGCTTTGACAGTATGAGCGATTGAGGACTTTCGCATTGGTCTGTCTATCTCGGTTCACGAGTTCGAGGAACTCGTTGAACTTATATTCACGTTTGCGAGGACCAGAGCGACACCATACGCCTCGTGCAACCCTCCTTGAGACGTCTCCGAGGCGTACTCCAGACAGCATATGAGGCACTCGAAGTATGCAGAGTGACTGACTTGGTATGGGGCGGTGACTGCAAGATTCCCACGTTCCCAATGTGTCAGCCTGTGGGGGGTAAGATAGTTAACAGACAATCAAATGTATCAATTGCTCTATCTTCTGTGGTCTATCCCGGTTACATACATAGTTGATATAAATCGATATCCCTTACCAACGGGGATTAGTGTGTCACCGCGAGAGAGATGGTTTAAGACAACCATGTGCTGGTGAAATTACAGCGCAAGGGGCTTGAGACGCTGCTGGTTCGTTGTGGTTACTCATCGTCCAAGCTGATCGAATCGCTGTCGTCGGTCCGATCCCTTTCTTCAGAGGAGTCAGTTTCTCCGCCACCTGCATTCCATTCGCCTAGCCCAGAGTACGGTCCATCTTGTTGCGAATCATCCAACCAACGGCATAACATGACTGGTGTGGTGCTCAGGCGGGAATTGCTGTCTGAAGAATCACTCTCAGAGCTGCATGAATCTTGGTTGGAGTCGGATTCCGGAGCCTGTAAAAGAGTTCTACTCGTATCCTAAGACACTTGTCGATATCAATGACATACAAGTCTCATCGTACGGACTTACTGTTCCTTCGGTGGACTTTTCATCCTCAACCAAGGTGGAAGCTTTGGAATTCGATTTGGTAGATAAATATTCAGCGGAGTCACAAACACTCTCTGCCATTGCTTCTTGCGTTCGCTCCGTGGTGTTGATAGACATGAGAATGTGACGGTCTCCAGCTATTAGCTTGATTTATGGGCTTCGAAGACAGCCTGGTAGCTTACTGACGTAGCAAGATGCTTAAGGAGAAGGAAGACCTCTGAAATTGTGTGCTTTTAACTAAAGATTGTAAAACAATACGACCACAATGCTGTCGACGGACTCGAGATGTCTTGGTTTGTCAGTTGTCGGGCTTTCACTTCCAACGAGTAGATTCATTCCCCCAGGCACGACAGTCTACATCATATATACCCTGAGGACATATCATCCGTCTTCGCTGGCATCGAAAGGTCACAGAAGTTTTCTAGAAAGGTTCGCCGCCTTTTCCATCAAAAACAAACAGCTACACACTGCTCTCTAGAGGCATGACTGCAGATCAATACTTTTGGGCCAAACTTTTGTCTCGCGAATCTTTCGTTAGTGCCCCGAAGTTCTGCGGAAAGTTCCCACGCGCTCCTTAGTAGCAGCTGAGATGGAACATCTTGAGCTTTCAAAGAGGGACTTGTGACTGTCGAAGTTTTGGGCTTCGTCAAAGCGTATGGTGTTACAGCTTCCCGTCATCGCAAATGCGCATGGACCCTCAAGAGATATGGAATTTAAGCTGCGTTGAAGGAACTATGTTGCTTGCAATATCTAAGCCAGCCTAAATTTCCATGAGAACCAGCCAAAAACAAAATCGCAATCTGCTTCAAAGTCATCTTCCGAGTCGATGGATGGAGAACCTCGGCAGACATCATTCTTCCTCTATAATGGGCGCTCCCTTTGAATCGAGATACTTCATGATATCAACTCGGACAGTCTCCCTTCCGCTTGACGCAAGCGATATCAAACTGGTACCACGGGCATCCTTCAGATTTACACAATTTGGATCCTCCTCAACCAACAATTTCACAACTTCGAAATGTGCATTTTGTGCCGCTTGGTGGACAGGGTATCTCCCAGATTTCGCAGCGAAGGATCTCGCCTCGGCCTTGAGAAGTGTTTGCACGACTGCAGTATGGCCTTGCTGGGATGCTATCCACAGTGCAGTTACACCCGAGTTTGCCGTTGCATTCACATCGACTCCCTCGTCAATGAAGCTGTCAATCATCTTGCAGTTCCCGATTTGAGCAGCAAACATTAGTGGAGGCCATCCGTCTACCTCACGGCCATTGATGTCAGCTTTATTGTCGATGAGAAGCTTGACCAGTTCCTCTTTGCCACTGAACACAGCGAAATGAAGAGGTCGCACCAAGGTGAGATGGGCAACCGAGTTGACATCCGCCCCTCGTTCAATTAGGAGCTTTGCAACATCATAATGGCCGTTCTGAAGTGCAAGGCCCAACGGCGAGGGAGGTCTTAGATCAGATAATTTGTTGCTAGACTTTGAAGGTGCTTTGGTCGGTTTGGTCGATTTGGTCGATTCGGTTCCTCTCCTTTTGGCTGCTTTCATTGCTTGCTTGTAGCTCTTGAAGCTATACTTTGGCTGGGATTCGTCTTCGGTGGTGTCATCAGAATCATCGCCAGATGAACTGTCACTGCTGTCGTTCTCAGGCTCTGCGTGAGCACCGTGGTCTAAAAGAAGCCTGACAGTCTCGAGATGACCATTTTGTGCAGCCTGGTGGAGACATCGCCGCCCTTTGCCGTCTTTGCCTTCCCAAGTATTTTCAGGACTAGCGCCTTTCTCAAGCAACATCCTGACAATTTCGGAGTGACCGCCCTGGGAAGCGAAGAACAAGGGGGAACACATGGTATCATCAAGAGGCTCATAGGATGCTCCATACTTGAGAAGCAGCTTGCAAACCGTAGTATGTCCATTCTGCGCGGCTTGATGAAGAGGCCGGCGATTCTCCCCGCTAGTACTCATTGTGTCGGCACTAGCATTTTTTTGGAGCAGCATAGTGACAATTTCCTCGGAACCCCTTTGTGCGGCGCTCCAGAGAGGAGTGATACCGCGAAGGTCCTTTGGATCAACGTTGGCCCCGTGTTCGAGAAGAACGCGGACTATTTCAGTATGGCCGCCTTGTGCAGCCTGGTGGAGAGCAGTGCGTTTGATGTCGGTGGGCATAGCATCTATCTCAACGTTAGGACGGCTCACCAGCAAGTTGACGGTCTCAACAGATCCTTTCTGCGCGGCAGTCCACAGTGGAGACACGCCTTCGGAGTCGCGGAGATCAGGTAGAGCTCCCTTGTCCAGCAAGATTCGCACAATTTCGGTATGACCATTTTGAGACGCCTGATGGAGTGGAGTACGCTTCGAATCGGTGGATGCCGTGTTGACGTCAGCTTGATAACCGTCAATGAGGAGCTTCACGATCCTCGTGTGTCCTTGTTGGGCAGCAATCCAGAGGGGCGAAATTCCGTCTTCGCCGCACAAATGAGCGCATTTGGGATTCTTGTCGAGCAAGAACTTGACACCGTTCAAGTTGCCAGTCTGCACGGCAAAATGGATTGGCTGTTTGCCTTTCATGCCGGCGGCGCCAGAGCTTCTGGATGAACCACCGCCACTGTTTGTGTTGTTGTCTTGTACATCCCGGGCGTTTGATAGGCCACGAGACGCCTCCCCGGTGTTGACATTGTTGAGAGGTTCGGTCGTGAGAAGCGACAATTCATTGAAATTATTATTCGAGCCGAAATTCAAGAAATCATCGGAAAGGTTGCCAGGATCGTCCTTTTTGCTGTAAGCAAGAAATTCCGCAGGAGGAATTTGCTGAGACTCACGGGGTTTATGAACGGGTCAGTCGAGAGTGCAGGTAACGGGGGGTTCGGATAGCCATATCCGACGTCGAACTGACAACTCCCTTGATTTTGACCGGTACTGCGAAAGTAGGTCTGGGAATTATTCCCTGAGCCGTATCCGATTGAATCCGTTCCATGCAGAGTGGTCCGAGGAACCAAGGTACCCGAATCTAAGGGGAGAAAGCCTTGTGATTGAATTGTAAACGCTGTACGAGGATCCTGAGGAATCTGAACTTGGTTTCCAGGCCCAATATCGGCTCTTCGTCTCTGTGCTTCTGCATTGCTGTTGTAAGCGATTTGCATCCTCATGGCACACTAAGGAGCCATGCTTACCTGAAGGTCTTTGTCTCTTCATTTTCTTGTGGAATCCCCATTCTCGCAACATGCGAAAGTACTGCGCTTCGCCTTGTGTTGCGCAAAATGTAAGTCCACTGGCCAAACGAAGTATAAATTTTTGTCTTTCACTTACCTGGCCTTGAAGCCCTTTCCCACCATAGCATTCACAAGGTCAGCCATCGGTTTCTTCTCTATCATATAGAGTTGATAGATGTCTTGTTTGTGTTTCTCCCATTCTGCCTTGGAAATGGTTCTTGCCTTCTCGGCTCCCGGATTGGTGTTGTCTATACCGATATCCATGTCGACCTCCATGGGATCAACGATATGATCCGGTGCTGAAGTCGCCATTGCAGATTCTTGTGGATGGGCAGATGGAGCTACCATTCTGGCATATAATATTTAGCAGATTTTTGCTGTAGATAGCGATCACTCTTGGAAAACTTAACGCAGCCTGGAACCCCCGAGTCATTCTAATATATGAGAAAATTCGGCCAGGGCGCTGTCAAAACCTTCTATGCACTACTACATCAGCCAAAGTTACCTCTCACTAATAAGGCTGAGTTGGAAACTTTTTTTCTAACTTTCTGCAGGCAGCAGTCCGTGAAAAGGCGTCCACAGTCGGGCAACACGTCAATGAAACAGTGTAGACAGCCAGGCATTGGCTGCGCAGTTGGGCTGCAAGGCGTTCGCCTTCGCCATAGTCATCTGACCGTCATCACCAAACGAAACAGATTGGCTGGCACTTTCACCGCAACAACCGAAAACTTGCTAACCTACCCTCAAGCGAACTTTCGCCTCACCGAAGGTGTATACTGCTTGAAGTTTTGCTGGTGATAAAGTCCTATCGTTGTCTTTCCATCTGCCAGCAACCGACACTATATCTAGCACTTGTCAATGTTTTGAATATGCTTGAAAGTGCCCATCGAACGATATTTGCCTCCCAAATGATAAACCACACCGAAAGCATCTCATATGAAGCAAAGACTGTGGCTCAAAAGAACGAGGATAGAGAGGAGGTTGCCGGAGCTCCGGGATCCATGGCATCAGAAGAACGCCCTGCGAAGGTCAATGAGAGGCATGTCATTCTGAATGCACCAGAAGCGGATGCCACTGAGAATATACCTGAAGAGAACGACCAATTCTCTGGAGCCGATTCGGATTCAGAAACGTATGACGACTCGGACTCAAATGATGTCGCAAATTTGAACCCGGAATCCGATTCAGAGTTGGATTCAGATTCTGATACGGAATCAGATAGGGAGATACTGCGATATTTGGATAAACTAAATGGCTACCGAAGATGGAAAGGTGCCAGTGGCACACATAATGACCTTCGGGATAGCCTTATAGGACCTGGTGAGTAGTGGATGACAGAATCCTCTGTACAGGAGACAGCTAACATATGCTAGATGATATTCAAGTCACATTTGACGATGTTCACATTACTCCGGATGCCATCGAAGCCCTGGACCCAATTCTGCTACAATTAGAAATGCCTGATCAGTTCAAGTTCGGCTCTCTCGCTCAGCATCCCTCCACCGGAATTCTCCTCTATGGACCGCCAGGCACTGGCAAGACCCAGCTTGTCCGGGCGTTTGGTAAAACGGCGAATGCAACAGTGCTATCATTGACTGGGGCCGATTTCCGACACAACCATGTTGGCGAGAGCGAGAAGAGAATTAAACAGATATTTTCTTATGCTCGCGATCATAAGGGTTCATTCGTCATCTTCATTGATGAAGCCGACTCCGTTTTCCGAAGTCGATCCTTAGACGGCAACTCGGCTTCCTATGCGGCTGATATCAGCCAATTCCTGGCCGAAATGGATGGTATAAACTCAACTGGCCTTCGAAACGTGATAGTGATTGCTGCCTCGAACCGACCCTTTGACATTGACGAGGGAATTTTGCGTCGGCTGAACCGCCGTATTCTAGTCGATGTGCCAACCAAGGATGATAGGGAGGCGATTCTGAGAATCCATCTCAAGAATGAAGAGCTCGCGGACGATGTCAATCTCAGTGAGCTGGCCAGGCTAACAGGTGATTACACCGGCTCCGACCTGAGGGACTTGGTTTACGAGGCGGCGCTTGTCGCTCTGCGCGAAATCAGATTTCATTCGATGAACGGCAACCCCAAGTTGGCGAGACCGGTCAAAATCGAGGGGCAGCGGCGTCTTCTACAGTGGAAGCATTTTCGAGCTGCTAGGAAGCAAATCCGGCCTTCTCCAAAGTCTGACACGGCGGAGAAGGTAAGAGAATTTCACAATAGGTTCGGCAATATGTCTCAGAAGCCAGCGGCCTCTTCCCTGAAGCATAACATCGTGAACAACAACAGGGGAGAAGCAATTCAAAACCATCACTGATCTGTTGGCGGACATACCTCACCTTTCCACGCAATCTCCATTGCGCATATTACGGAGTTGTCAGTTGCTCTTTTGGACGGGAAATAAAACCATTCAGACTAGAAATGCAACATATGATTCCTTTCAGTCGAATTCTACAATATTCAATGATTCTTTTTAAACGTTTCTAACGTTCCTAAGTATTGCAATCAAAAAGAGTATCTAGAAGAGACAAAGCTTGCGCGAAGATGCCAAATTTCCATCTGTGAAATCTCTTTTCCATAAGCCGCCACAGCGTGCAATCTGGAGGCGTACAATCAGATTGGCGGAGGTTCTGTGGTTGGGCTACGGTCTCATTGCCCTGCATTTACCAAAAAACCACCACCATGGAGATGCGGCCCCTGGTTCGGCCCCCAAAAGGCAACCTGCCTGGCCAGGCAGCCGCAACAAAACTTTCTACTCTTAACTTGCCACCAAGAAAGTTCCTACAATTCAACTTTTCGCACTGAAAGTTTCTCTGCAGAGAACAACTTTCGTTGCCATCCGGACATTGTAGAAAGCCTCTCCTGACTGCATAGTTACTTTCCAAATCTCTGACACAGCTTAGTCGAAATTTCTTGCACAGCTGTTTTTTTGGAAACGCCCTATTAAACGTGCGTTATCTCTGTGGTGCCTACCCTCTTAAGAAAGCCAAAGAGAAAACTGCAATAGTGAGTGACTCCGTTATTGGGACTGAACGTTTGTTGAACTTTGCAGTGGCCCCAAGCTACACACTATCAGCGGAATTTCTTGCACAAAATGTCAAGAAGCTGGCTGAGCTCGATGAAGCAAAGCTAAAATTCAAAGTCAACGGTCATAAAGTCATCTCCGCCAGGTTACCCCCGACAAACGTGCCAACAAAAGCTAATGGCACCCTATCGAAGGCCACGGGAACCACTGAATCGCAGACAATTATGCCCAAAAATTATGCAAATGCTACGCAAAGCAACAAGAACCCAGCAATTGCAGTTCCGCCCGCAGGGTCTACAGAAGGGTCGGAGTGCTCAACTTCGCTGGATGATTATCTCGACATTCGGGACCAGGTTGCTGGTGCGTTTCTCACAGACGGTAGCGGCAAACTTGATCCTACCCAGCTGGGTTTGCTCCTCCATGCGAAGTCACTTGGCTCAGTGGAGTACACGCAATACTTGATGGAGTACTTAGCTGTGGACTTGAGGTGTGACTTTCTCAGCTTGGATCTTCCGGCTCTTGAAAATCTAGGTCTCGTGTTTCACGATCAGGATGTGAAGAGCGCCGAAGGGGAAGCGGCGAAAAAGGAAGACACTACAGAAGTTGATGTTCAAGCGGCACAGGAACTTGAAGCAATGGAGAGCAGTGGCGCAGTGGACAACATGCTCGAGGAGACAGAAAACGGCATCCATACCAGTACCGAGAATGGTTCTTCTCAGGGAGGTGACCTCGACGAGTCTGACGAAATGCCTGGCTGGCTCAAAGACATCAACCTTTGTTCCGATGGCGATTCTGACATTGCCGTGGAAAGTATGCATCCAGATGATTCCGCTGATTCAAGCTCGGATATGATGTTTAGAGACTCCTATGATTCTCCCTGTGACTCACCAGCCGAAGAGGAAAAAGAAACTGCAGATACTGATGAAAAGTACTGTATGGCGAAATTTTACTTTGGTACCGCGAAGCCCAAAATCTTTCCCAGCACTGCGGAGCAACAGGAACGCAACAAGATGGCTCTCGATGCAGTCTTTCACGCCTACTCAGCAGCAGATAAGCAGAGCACTGGAGTTCCCACTGACAGGTCACCGCCACTGATCATTTACGTCCGCGACGCTGTGCGAATCTGTGACCTCGATTGGGGCCACCGTCTCCTAGCTCGCCTGCGTGATCGTGTGATCGAGCGCCGAAAGTCCAACATGCCAACCTTCGTCATCTTACTTTGCATTAGTGAGGATTCTAGCCGCTCCTATCGTCAGGAAAGTTGGAAGGCGAAAGTCAAGAAGAAGTCCGGTGCCACCGAGTGTCTAGCTTTGCCGATCAAAAACATTGACAAAGATCAGCTGAAGCAATGGGAAGCCATGTACAATGACTATTTGGAGAAACAAGATGCCAAGCTTACCAGTCAGTTGAATGTACGGGGACTGAAGCAGGCGCTCAAAGAGCTCTACCCGCACTTGGTCAGCGAGGAGCTTGTCGGCAATGATATAACCTGGGATTGGAAAGGGTCGGGAAATGTAGGCTCTTTCCTGAATTCAGAGGTGCTATCTAAAGGAGCGGTTAATGGTCTGGCAAGGACGATCGGAGGAAGGGCATGGGGAAAACCAGCGATACAGCTGGAAGACGTGGTTGCGGTGCTGAACCGTAAGGAGTCTATCAGGGATCGTGGGAACGAGGAGGATTCAAGAACAGGCGGCTCGAACGGCGATTCGAAGGAAGATCCAAGGTTGGCGAACTTGAGTAGCTATGAGGAAACCCTCAAGGAATACGTGATCAAGCCAGGTCTGTCTAGATGGTCGATTTTTGATCACAGATGAGCTAATGTATCTTCTAGGCCAGTCACCTATTACCTACGACGACATCATCATGGATCCGGCAGCAAAAGCTACCATCCGCCAGCTTATCGCCATTTCAAAGTCGACGCCAACGGCTTCATCCAGCTCAATTCTCGAACATCTGAAAATTTCTGGCGTGTTGTTCTACGGACCACCAGGCACTGGGAAAACGCACCTCTGCCGCGCCATCGCCAATGACTCTGGTCACTCGCTCATAGCGCTTTCTGCAGCGGAGCTCAACTCTAAATGTGTCGGCGAGACTGAAAAACTCATTAAAGCCCTGTTCAGTCTAGCTCGCAAACTGTACCCGAGTATCATCTTCCTAGATGAAGCAGACTCGTTGTTCTATAGGCGAGCATCCGACGACAAATCTTGGCAACGGAGTGCAACCAACCAGTACCTGATGGAGATGGATGGTCTGGCATCCAACTCGGACAACAAGACGCCGCTCGCGATCGTTGCCACCAACCGACCCAAGGATTTAGACGAGGCATTCTTGCGCCGCTTGCCCCACAAGGTCTACTTCAAGCTACCATCCCGAGAAGAGCGCAAGCAGATTCTCAATCTGTTCCTGGCCAAAGAAGATCTGGACGCAGATGTCAGCATCCGCGCACTGGTGAACCGTACCAAGGCATTTTCTGGATCCGATCTGAAAAACATGTGCAGCCAGGCTGCGCTTGCCTGGGTATCAGAGGAGGTGCAAAAGGAAGGAGAGCTGACGCAGAAGCAGGTCAAGCTGGCGATGCGGCATTTTGATTCCGCATTGGAGCGTACAGGGCCGAGTACTTCGCCAGAATTGTTGGAAGGCTTGATGAACTTCTCAGAAAGGGTTCGGACATGACGAAGGCTTCAGCGTCCCAATAGAGAAGGCCACCAAGGTCCTCCACCGACTTGATGACACGACGAGAACTTGCGTCGAAGCCGCTCAAGACAGGCAACTATTGTCCTCTGAGCAAGACGAACTCCTAGTGCAATCGATACTACAAATAGAGACCTGTGGGCACGCTATAACGCCATCACAGTTACATGAGATGGTGCTGTTCCTTGTACAGATTTCAGGCATTGCCGAACATGTTGGTCATAATTGGGTGCCTCGCTTTATAGCACGACACTCCTCTATAAACACAAAGATAGGCAAGAAGCTCGATGTTCTTCGCTACATTGGTACCTCCCTTGACGCGATTGACGCGTGGTTTCGATCGCTAAAGGCGACTATGGACTATTTACAAACCCCCTCTCCCCTCCCTCCCCCCCCCCCCCCCGAATTCAGCAATATGGATGAGACTGGGCTAACTCTGGAATGTGGCAAGAACTTAAAGATCATCGGCACCAGGAAAACTCATGTTACTTATAAAAAAGAGCCCAGAAGATCACGAATGACTGTCAATAATTGAGTGTGTCACTGCCGATGGTATAGCCCTACCGCCAGTCATCATTTTCAATGGTAAGACCCTTCAATCCGCCTGGTTTCACGCGACTAACACGTTAAACTGCCTATACACGACTTCAGAGCGTGGATGACATCAAATGCTATTAGTTTAGCCTGGCTAAAGAAGGTCTATTTACTTGCAACTTTCCCTCCATCGTGCAAGTATCGGCTTTTACTTGTTGACCGTCACAGTAGTCACACCGACATTAAGTTCATTGAAGGTTTGCTTTGGTAGTAACATCTATTCGTACTTCTTACCTACTCACTCTTCACACCTGCTCCAGCCGCTCGATTTGACCTGCTTCTCACCGCTAAAAGGTGTGTACCGCAAGCGTTTGCAACAGATTGCAGATCTTAATGATGCTGCTTGTTGCACAAACAGCACTTAAGCGAGATCATCAATAGGTCTGTCTTTCTATGCCTAGTCTCAGGCCGTGCCTAATCGTTTATATACAAATAGTGGCGGCCAGAGAAGATCTCTCCTAACTCCTGCCACACAGGCCTCTCAAACGCCATCTGTCGGATAGCCGTTTAATCGACGTTCCTGAGACAGTAGCTGTCAGAGATCCTTAGGTAGGTCGTCAACACTGTAGCGGTAAAGAAGCTACAGTTTCTGGAGACTTATAAACTCCCGCACGAGACTGGCCTACGCGAATGCAACATAGTTGCAGTCAGGCAGAGGTCCACAGGCCCCTTGGGGATCGCCCAAAAAGACTAAGAATCTTGCCATTTCGTGGCGACTCTTGGACCCCTTGACTCATATGCTTGTCAGAACCTCGTTCCTAACAGTTGCAGGCTTTTGTGCCTCTGGGATACATCCCTGAAATCCCCAGAAGGTGCTTCATAGCTTACTATAACGGGGCTAAGAAGGCCTATGGTGTGGTGAGGCCAGAGGGCATTTACCTATACATTGTACAGGTGGGCAAATCTGCGTTCTGATTGGCTAGAGTTTTAGTGCGACGCTGCATTCTTTTCTTCTTACTTTTACTCAAGGACCACAGGCACACATAGACAACAACACAACCATTCTGCTCGTTACTACTTGTGCACTATAGAGGGCAACCGACGATATGACCCGTTTCCAGAAACTCCCTAGAGGGCGCTCTGACCCTCGCTGAGCCCTTCACAGCTTGCCGCCGGAGGTATGTGGTGTTGGGTTGAGTGGGAGGCGGCGGCTGCCCGCCGTACGAGACGAACCTGTTGGCTAAGAACCGCGTCCCAGTTCAACACCAAAATGTGGGGTTGGTGGGAAGATGAACCAGGCAGTGGGTGGACCATGAGCTGGGTTTTGATATTACTGAATATATTTTCTTGCCACTTTATTCTATTTGTCATGGGTGCCAAGGCTGAGCGGGGTCCTGGGCTTGAATACTGGTTTTACTAGGAACCAAGATTCACAGTGTTTTTGTGGATCAGTGGAAACAGGCCCCTTTCCCTGATAATTTTCCGTAGTTTCTCTTTGTACCAGGCTCAGGTTTCTTAAAACTCTTCTTGTCTGCTGTAATACCAGTATCTCGTGCTGCACCCTTCTCTTTGGCTTTGTATAGCGTTTTAGCAGTGTCCTATTTCTTACCTATTATGTAGAGCGGAATAAGTAAACTAGAGAATATTGTAGTGAGTGATACTGACGTGAGGAGAGATCTTGTAACTGGAATAGCAATGGAAGATAACCAGCAAGAGTGATGTAGGACATTAAGAGCCAGAAGAATAGGGGTGGACAAGGTGATAGGAAATATACAGCATTTAGGTCACCATCTAAAGCAATCCTTACTTATATGAAGACAACAGAGGAGGCACGACTCCAGCACCAAGACCTTGCCGGGAGAGATTGCATTGCATTGATCTAGCTTTGCAGGAGGTTCCTGTTTCAATCACCCGGGGCCCAAGTACCATCCTCTCGAAGATACATCTATGCAGCACGATATGAGTATCCGATGACAACGGGGGCCCAGATATGGACCTGAGTGAAGTTCATGGAGAGGATAATGAGGCTGAGCAGTCGACACCATCATGCCTGAGCCGAAGTTGAGCCAAGTCACGTGCAACCTGAGTAGTGCGGCAAGGCCAGATCCTGATTGGGTGCCAAGGCCGGCTGCAGATTCGTCGCTGAATACCAGAGTATTGAAGGTGCAGTGTTTCTCCAATCGCAGTGACCATTATTTCATTAGAAAAATCGCTCAAGCGTCTACATTTACTGAGTGACGTATCGGAGGACTCGACGCACCCGCTTGATCTCGCACTCTGCCTGTGACGAACCCGCCCTTATCCTAATTTCTTTCTGCTGTTCCAGCAAGCAGTTGAGGCCGGAATGCCACGATCACGTGCCGGCATCCTCAGAGGTGCGAACACTCCTCTTGGTCGATTGCCGCCGGACCTTGCTGGGCATGCCAGCCAGTTTCAGCCTGATTGTGCAGCCTGCAACATGACATTTTTAGGTCTAGTGCACGTTAATGGCTAGGCTTTCATTGCAATCTTCGCGGATTCTTTCAATCTAGATCCTTTGGCGAGGTTTTGAAATCTTATGTGTGCCGAAAAGTAGCACAGTTTCCCATGATGTTTCAGCTTCTGATAACCACAAATTGTGAGTCCTGTGGCTTTCGCAAGTTCCTGCTTCTCTTCACGAGCTGTCCGTGTTCAGATCCTATATGCAAGTCCACCGCGTGGCACGCGAACTCGTTCAGAGAATGCTCCCAGTGGACCTACAATCCGACCCCTATCGTGAGGTGTGCGGGATCGCGTCAACACATCGCAGTGACGCTCAAACCGACTGCGACGAGACTCCTAGAAAGTCACGGCACCCTTGATTTTGAGAGGGAATTCGTTGAGCCCATTGTTGACGCTCCCCATATCATTCTTTCACACCAGACCGCTTTGCTGGAATGTGACATCAGCCTCGTGGAGCTTGGCAAGGTTTGGCGGACGCACAGCAGGTTTTGCTAGGCCACAAAATTCTACGGGCTACATCTGAACAGTGATCTCGCAGGTACAGCCTGTGTCAGACTAGCCCTAGCGCGTCACAGCACCGGAGGGCGCTTAGAGACCGGAGGCCAATTCTGAGGATACGAGTCTCATCGTCCAGTTCCGAAAGACGGTAGAAGCCGCCCCTGTCGAAGGGTCTCCGGAAGAGCTGAAGTTGCTCGATCGTGGGCAGGGCGAGCACGGACCAAGAACTGGAAGTCCCCCGGATGACTATTGAGGCGCACGAGGAGCGCTTGGGACATAGGCGGCTGTCGATGCTCTGATCCAACCAGGAGATCTCACAGCTGTCAGTCGAGAGAGGCTTCTTGGAAGATGACGTGGAGGCCAGACTAGGGCGTATCCTGATTGCCTACCACAAGTTAAACGGTGCAGACCAATCGAGCGCGACTCGCATCGCGGAGAACTGCAAACCAACATTCGAGGAGATCGATGGAGATCCAACAATTCGGGAAGGCGGCCAACTCTGGGAGGTGGGAAGGTCCCTGGAGGATGAGTATGGCCTGGGAGCAACTGTGGATTTTTTCTGCCGTATTGAGACTTGGTGGATATGGTTTGTCTCTGCGGGCGCGGCCTGCCTTGGTTCTCATTTCAGAAGGGATGAGGTCCAAATATCCATTGCTAAATGCTTGTGTGCCTACCCAGTGCACTAAAGAGAAAGTCCGACCGGTCGTCATCCTGGCCCAACAGGTTAAGAGACACCTACGCTTGCCATTGCTTCACCATTGCATCAAGTGATTCCACCCAGCATCCCTTCCATGTCAGGCTACCTTGTATGTGAGTAAGCGGGATGGAGACGGTCATGGTGAACGGTTGACCAGATGAATGTCCTGGGATGTTATGAGGATGTCATAGGCGGCCTCAGGTTCATTTTTAAATGTCTACAGGCAATGATGACCTCGTCCCCGTAGATGCAAGACGCTAATCCTTGTTGTCACTCCCGGTCTTCGCTTTCCGCATAAGGTCGCCGACCACTCGACTACTCTCTAGCACCAGCATCTAAGAGTATCTGGACCACTGTCTCATGTTTACTCAGCCGTGCCGCCTGTAGTGCATTACCGTACCCTCCTCCTTGAGCGTTAACATTCGCCCCAGCATCTAGTAGTATCCGCACCACTGTCTCACGGTCATAACTTGATGCCGCCTGTAGTGCATTACCGTATAATCCTCCTTGAGCGTTGACATTCGCCCCAGCATCTAGTAGCATCTGCACCACTGTCTCATGGCCATTTATTGATGCTGCCTGTAGTGCATGATCGTAGTATCCTCCTTGAGCATTGACATCAATATTTCGTCTTAATATCTTTTCAACAATTGCTGCCACACCTATGCTTGCTGCGTAGTAAAGTGGCTCGGCTATGTCTTTTAGCTCCAACTGCGAACCAAACCTCATACAAATCCTATCCACGTTCGAAAGCTGTACCCATGATAGTAAGGTAACGTCCTTTTTACCCACAAGCCGTAGTGTATGATCAAGTAATCTGTCGTCGGGCACACCAGTGATAGCCTGTAAGTGCTGCCACCACTCCTCTGCTGCATAAAATAACAGAGGATAATGCTTGGAGAGCTTTCCAGTCACAGGTGCATCCTGACATAGGTGGAGGAAGTAATGTAGGCAACTTTCTGCAATAACGGCGTGGCAGGTATCTGATCGAAAATCAAGGTTAAATGCACAACGGTCAGAAAGGAGAAATTCCTGGACAGAAAAATGAGCCAGCTGAATCTGTATCCTGTAAGCATCTTTACGACCGCCATCAAGCGAGGCGACGTCATCTTTGTCCCCATCTTTGTCATTACCCCAGTCGCCATTGATAGGATTAAGACTGATCAGGCTAGAACAGACAACCATTATGTCCATAGGATCAGGAAGCCGTTCCTCTGGGTTGAATCCTCCTTGGTCGCCAGTCTCTATGGCGAGGATCTCGGCCATTTCTATTAGCCGCAGAGGGCGTTTCGAGAAACAAAGCCATTGTAAGGCCTTGATAGCATTCTCAAGTTGCCCGTTTGATTCGAGATCTCGTAAGATTCGATTATATGTCTCGTCGAGGGTCTTTGGTAGGGATGACAGTGTTTTTCTTAGCGTCTTTAACTAGATACAGTGGCGAATGGACTCCAGTTGACAAAACACCCACCGAAACCTGGTCCGGTATTAGTATACAACGTAGAGTACAGTAAACAACTATCCGTACATGCCATCAGCCTTTTCCATCAGTGCAGTCGTTATTTCAGTCTGCACCGGGTCTGGCCACTTCTTTAGCCCTTTGTCTGTTGCCATCCTGTCGCGAATATAGACACGAATGTCCTCGTCCACAACAGCACTTTGAAGAATATTAATATTGTAATCAGCAACCGGGCTCAGCTCGTCGTCGATGTCTCTTTCCCGCCGACTCGTGGCCAACACACGGAGGTCCCGTGGTTTTGAGGCGATCAATTCTCGGAGAAAGGTCAACAGTCCTTCGCGGTCTGTACATTCATCCAGAGCATCTAAGACGATATACTTCTCACGTGGGGTATCCATTACCTTTCTGAACAATGAGTGGATAACGTCCTCTGCCGGCTGCTGCTGTCCATGGCTGCATCTCCCATACAACAGTTCAAGCTCATGGGCGATGTCCGTGGCCTGTGTTGCGATCTGGAATAGCAACGATCGAATCGCCTTGTTTGAGGACTGCTTCTCTATATCGTTGAAATCAAAGTAAAAATAGCTCACTATTGTGTCAGGCTCTTTATGCTGGAGAATATGGTGTAGTGACGCGGCGCTATTTGTTCCATTCAGCCTTATCTATTAGTGCCAAAGCTAGACTCCATAACCTTACCTTAAGACTGTCTTGCCGCAGCCCGCTGAGAAAGTATGTTAGTCCTGCCTGTGTATCTATACGACCGCAACATACCGCTACCGTGAAGCCACATCAGCGAAGATGTCGAGCTTTTCCAAGCTGCGAAATGTTGGCCGTTGAGGAGCCACTGACCCGTCTCTGGGTGTCGCTTTCCTAGCGCCGTGTGGTAATTTGCGGATGGGTCTGGTATACTTAACCAGCGCGATAGCTTGTTCTGTAAGTCCTCTGACAAACTCTCAGCTATATTCCCCGCATGCGTGCTCGTACATCTTACGTTCCAAAAGGGACTGCACTCGCTCAGTCTGTTGTTTCACGACCAGAGTGTCGCCATGGATAGTCTTTGACAAAGCGCTGTCGTTATCAGTGACCTCTCAGATACAACAGAAGCAGTTGCACGCACAACAAATCATTCGTTAGGGCACAATTGATGAGGGACTTTAATCGCTCCATTCGAGCCAACACATCTTCCACTTCCTTTTTGGTGAATTTCCACCATAGTGCTGATTTGAGTTGTTGGCTTTTCCCAGGGGATGGTAGTTTGTCCACCATTTTCTCAAGGAGATATTTGAACTGGTCAAGCAGACCGTTTTCGACTCCCAAGAGCTTAACCTGGTTGAACCATTCATCGTTGTGTCGGGCTTCTTCCACTCGAAAGCGCAGTTTTATCAAGAGACTATAGAGATTACTAGCCTCGACCGCTACCTTCTTCTGCTCTCTTGTTGCATGTGTTGCCTCGATTATGTAGCTCACGAGTGTTGATGTGAGCTGTCCCACAGTAGCGATGCTGGCCGTCATTGATAGAGGATCCATTGCGCGATATCCCGGTCGGGCAGGGTGCGTGGTTGCTAAAGGTGGGATTGACAAGAGAGGCAATAGGTCAATGCCCTTGACGAGGCAAAGCTTCACAGGTTTGATCGTTATACTGGTGGATAGCACTGATCTTGTGAAGTCTCTTTGTAAGATGGTTGTAATAAGAGTGATCGTGAACAAGTTCTGGGAGCAGAGTCGCCTCATGCGAGCGACTGCTGCTCTGAGGCTGTGAATCAGGCTCAGCCTGAGCGACGCAGGCAGGTTGGGCATACTCGCTAGTGCGAGGCACACTCGATCTTAGTGCCATAGCAGTGGGCCGAAGGAGCTTAAGGCTGATGGCTCAAGCGGTACCTGTGCCGTGTGATTCGGCTGGCTTCCTTGGTGGGCGGCAATTTTTGCCCCTGTGGGCTACGTGTCGTACAGGGATAGGCTGAAGTTCCTCTGTAGACTCTAAGCAATTTTTATATCCATGTGAGTCGTGGCTTTCGTGTCGCACCTGTCAAGAGAGCTTGAGTGTCAGCTACGAACCCGGCAGGTTTGTGTCATTTGGATGGAGTGCTACACGATCAAAGTGCTCGCGCGCTTAACCCACGGGGTTGCGGCAGCGGAGGTTTTTCCCAACTCCTCAACACACTGCGTTCCGACATCGACACCCAGGTTTTCGCTAAATTGCAAATTTAAATACTGCTCCCGGATCAATTTGAGCCCGAAAAGATCGCTCGCACATGATATTCGACTTATCTTACACTTGGAGGCATTATGTACCTATTTGTGCTCTATGCTTCAACCACGGTGGCCCGACCACGACCGGTCCGGGCCATGCCGTCGCCCATCCGGGCCGCCCGTAGAGTTGAAACGGTCGATTTCTAAGCGCTTCGACTTTTTTTTGGCGGGGTCAAGACGTGGGGGAAATGGGATAGCCACATTATCAAAAGAACTTGAACCCTCAATTCCCGGGTTCGCGGTTGGCATTTGAGTTGGGATCCGGATTTTTGAGACTCACGAGCGCGGATCGTTGCTTATCTCTGCCCAGGTACCTTGGTCCGTCGTGCTCATTGGTCATCTTCGAGTGCGGAGGGTAATTTCCTGAAGCTTCCCTAACAGATACTGACAGTAGACACTTGTCAAAGGGACAATCAATGGCCGCGGGGTCTCTACTCTCCGCTAGTCCACTAAGCCAAGGCTGAAAGCTGTGATGTGGGGATAGGTAAGTGTGCCTTGCCAAGATAGAAATTAAGATTGACTGCGAAAACGTTGCCTTGGGCAAAGGCCCTTGTTCATAACTGCCATATGCCAGTGGAACCAGATACAATATCGGGAATGCACAAGCTGAGCATGAGAGCAGGAGCATGGCTGAAACAACAGCTTTCGACAGTCATGTTGGCGCCTTTACTGGGTACCTGGTGCTAACTTACGCCAGGTTGCATGTGGCTGCCGCTTGTGACACGGCTAACGTGCAACCACTCGAGCTGGGATTACCTTTCAAGCTCGAAAAGGATCTGATAATTTCATACCCGGGAGTTCGCTCCTGGACATCGCACCCTGCGAGTACTAGTACGCTTCTGCAGGAGAACCTGACTATTGTGACACCGTCCAATTCTCAGCACATCCCTGAACTCGGTGTCCATGTAAGTTTGCTACGATGGCATAGTTCGGCTTCTCTACAAGGTAGGTAGTTAGGATAGCGCCTGCTCCGTGTCTCAGAAAGAAGCACCGTCGCCTGAGGGTCAGTCTGTGGTTGGAGATAGGCGCCGCATAAAGTCCCTGCTGGTACCAGCCTTCGACTTTCATGCAGCATGGTACCCATGCAGCAACTACGATATAACCAAATCACCCTCTTCCGCCCCCTACGGCTTGTGGGATGCGTATTATAATAGACAAGTCAACTCCAGGTACGGACTGTCGCCCTCTGTCCAGGCCATTGCAGACTCAGTCCGCACACTACTATTTGCATAAACGTACAGACAATCCCTTCCTCTTCAGATTCTTCCCAAATTCTGAGTCATACTCCAGTGCCTTTCGCTGTCTAGATGACTGTGAGGACCAGCAGATTATCACAGCATCTCCCAAAAGCCTAGGCTGCAACAATACGAGCTAGATCCCCGAATCTCGGTTTAAAATAGGTTGGATGCAGGTCGGATACGTCTGACCGCCTCCAATATTTCTGTAAGATACACTCCAGATGTTACCAGTGCATTTTGAAAAACCCGTCGCCAATAACAACATGACGAATACTGGCCTACCTCAGACGCCGATCGCTGCGAGCAGATCCCAGGCGGCAGCAGGGGAGAATCCCGAAACCACGCGAATGATCCATTACATTAGAAGCCACGCAAATTCTACAGGGGTCAAGGTGGGATTTGTCTATGCAACACAGGTACATAAGAACTCGCCAAAGTCGGAAGGACTCGTCAAAGTCGGATGTACTGAGAGCGGGAAGGATGGCCGGGCAACGGCGATGAAGAGTTGTGGCTTGACTCCTGGAAAAATATTCGAAACGAAGGGATTCCAAGGCGCTTTTCAGGCTGAGGGTTTGATTCACCTCATGCTTTCCAAATGGAACTGTCGTGTTGAATGCGAAAATCACCCAAACAAAAGTCTCAAGCCAACCGGACACCGAGAATATTTTCGGTGTCCGCTTGGATTTGCCATATCAACAATCGATATCGTAACGTCATGGTTTCTCCAGGAGCCTTACGAGATAGTGGGGGGAATGGGTCGACTGAAAGACGATTGGAGAGATGCCCTGGGAGTTTTCGAAGAGAGTCAAAAGTCCGATCACCCCATGGAGTGGTTCGAATTTTTCCTTATTGACGTGCGGTCGCAACTCGCCTGGAAGTCGAACCCACTACCCTCACACTCTCCGAAGTATTTGCCCGATGCGCCGGTACAGATTCTCGCCAACGGTTCCTTGCGATTCGCGGTGACTGGTCGAAAATCCAGATCCGCCAAAAGCAGTCCTGCCGTTCCCCAGACGGCATCTACGACCCTCAAGGCGTACCAAACGGCACCAGCTGGACGCCCACTGAGCCATTCAAAATCGGCGCCGGCGAAAACATCTACCCGCTCGGATCGAAGTCCGTCGCCTGGTGATACACCGTCAAAGCCACCGAAACACGCACGACCTCGTTCAAGGAACCCGTCAAAGACTGATCTTTCTTCTGAGTTCGAAAGTGAGGAGAGGAAGGAACGTAGCAGCCAGGAGGGCGGGGAGGAAGGGGAAGGAGAATACAATGACAATGATAATCAAGATCACACATCCGATACAGGCGTCGACGGTGCTGGCTTGGCTGCGGGGATCACCAAATTAAGCATTTCCGACGCCAAATCTTCCAAGAAACCGAAAAACAATGCGAGCGATGCGAGGAGGGGTAGGGGACGCGCCGGGAGGCCAAAAGCCAACTGAAGCTAAGTCGAAAGACGCACGGAAGGAAGATGTCATTCGCATACGCTCTAACGCTTTGCTCATCGTGGACCAGCTTTTGCAGGTTTCGAATCGGGGAATACGAAGGTGGAGAGGCGCATAGCTCGGCGCCAAAGCGTGAACAAGTCGTGGAGTTATTGGGGGATTGTTCTCAACAAGAGGGTCGTGTCCTGTTTCTCTGTATTATAGCATTCTGTGCGACAGATCGACTGTCACGGTTGCAAGATCGCCACCGTGATCGCCGTTGCCAGTTTGATAGCCAGCGCCATCAATGCCATTTACATCGCCACCGCCGTTGATTTGAAATAGGATGACATCGCCATGGAACGTTCAAGAATGACCTGCTGGACATTGGTCAACGTCTATACACAGGCAGAGTCTCGCTGAAGAGACAGATAGAAAGACAAGATTGTTCAATGCTATCCGTTGCCTTGACAGTTCTTAGTCTTACAATTGGACAAGGCTGAAGCCAATGTGCCTTGGCTCGTCGACAATCCCTTCAGGATATAGGGACTTAAAACTTCCCGACAGATTGATTTACTGGGGTTGTTATACATATTGAATTGTGCAAAGTATTTAATCCAAGTTTGCGTGACACCAGGTTGGTATTGAACTACTTGCCCAGATACGCCCATTTGGTCTCACTAGCTAAACCGTGCGTTGATATTCGCACCTAGGGAGGGCGCCTTTGTCATACTGTGGGCAGCTCATAAGGTGGACCGGATTCGTCGGGCTACTAAAATGTTAACTTGATTTATAAATCCCTGCAACATCAATGCGAAAGATTTGCGGCGGGAAGCTTCATTGATTTCATCTCACTCACCATCTCAACTAGTGTATCCCTCTGGCTGTCTTCAAAGCCCCAGTTAGGTGAGAATCTTTGCGGGTTTGGTGTGGGAAGCTCGGTGCCAAAAGCGTCGCCAGAAATATGTTCTTTCCGTGGAGACATTGCTAGTCCTGTGGACGATTTGCGATGTGGACTTCTGGGATTCTTGCAATTGTGAAACCAGAGCCAGAATACGAAACAACAAACCACGGCCACCGCCGCAAACCCGCCAATAGCAATGCCTGCGATATCACCATTGTTCAGGCCATTTGGCGGAGATGCAGAACCTGAAGTGGCTACAGAGCTAGTTTTGGAGCCAGCTGTTGAACTGGATGATGTTGATTCAGTCACGGTGACAAAGGCGGTCGAAAGAGGCTCAAGAAGGACGGTGGGGGAGTATCCCTCGTACTGGACACATCCATATCCCACTGATCCATGAGCATAGCTGAACACAGCACAGTATGGTGAAGATGAGGAACTACACGGATTCAGGCCCGCACATGTATATGTCTTGGAGCCGAACGTACCAGACCAGATTCTGAGGGTTGTTTTGGCAGGCCGCATCGCATGGAGTGCCCATTAAGTCGTAGCAGGTCGTAAAAATGTGGACACAAGGCAAGGTACAGCAGCCGACAAATGTACTCGTTGTCGCGCAAGAAGCCGACTCTGGGCAAGTCACGGGTTTATCTGTCGCATTGATCGGCAACCGACTCCAATATTGACCATTGCGTTCTATTCCACCCACCGATACTACCGCTTACCCAGCCGCAGGTCGCAAGTGACGCGCTGTTGCTGTCCTGACGAAGTCCCAACACATGATAGGCCTCCTGATACCTCAGCGTGGTGGGTTTGGGAGTACTTTGGACCAGAGTATTATACTGTTTGAAGGCGGTGGACGTGGGCTTCAATACCAAGGCCATTGCCAACCGTGCTGGAAATAAAAGGTATCAAAGGCTAGAATGGGCGCGGAGAGGCAAGGATATTGAAACTGGTTGAACTCTAACCCGTGCAGGCGTCAGAGTGTAGATTGCGTTGCTAATATTTGTCGTGAACCATAGCGTCAAGGGCGCGATGAGCACCGAACAAGTGGAATGACTCTGCCATCAGAGGAGGCCTAGTGATAGCACTACTGTGAAGCACCGCCCGGATCCTTATCTCTAGCAAGGGTGTACGTACTCTCTGCTGTCGTTGCAAAGCGCGCCAAGCTTGAATTACTAGTTATATCCCTCTTGGGCTAGCCCGTAATCACGTGATATTGAAAATGCCAATCACGGCCATCTGATCCCGTAAACTTCCAATCACGCCACAAGATAAAGGTGGGGTGCGGGGTAATTGGAGCTTTTCACGTGGCACAGCCAAGTCCAAGGCTTGTTGCGCCGTATTCAACAAGCCGTACAATACGACGAACTTAGCCACATTGAGAAGACCGGGAGGCTTCAAGGCTGGTTAAAAGATGTTCTAATGCTGCACTGGAGGGGCCAAAGCCGGCCATTTCCCGTCAAGTCGGCCGAAACAAGGCAAACTCGCCAACAGTCGATGGACACATAGGCTTTTCCAAGCACTTTGGATAATACCTGGAAATTTGCGCTTGGGATGCCAGGATGAACCACAGTATTATTGGGCTGATGCCAGGGGATGGCGGGCACGTGGGGAAGGAAAACGCTAGGCAGTACTTTGGCCCCAATATTGCACTTGAGTCGGCCCCCATGTCCATGGTCCAAAAAGAGGTTTACAAGAAGGTAAGGTCCTGTCCCAGGTTCTCAAAACGTCCATCTTCATTATGGCGGGCAATATAATGATATTAATACAATCTCCTCTGTGCTGCAGATTTCAAAGACCTTCAAGCGGCTCGTTGCCAAGATGATGACCCTTGTAAGCCTTTGTCGAGCCCTCCTGCTCTGTGCCGCCTTTACAGCCTGGGTTGCCGAAGCACAGTCATTTCTTACGGCTATCTCCCAGTTTCCAGAGCTATCCAATTTTACCACTCTTATGTATGATAACCCAGGACTCGCAGGGGCGCTGTTGACCTCCAATGCCACTTCTCTGACCCAGATCACGGTCCTGGTGCCGGACAACTCTGCTTTCGACAAGCTCGAAGCGCAATTGGGTGCCCCAGTGGGTAGCTTGACTGTCGGGCAACTCGAGCCCATTCTCCAGTATCTCATCCTGGTGGGGGAGTGGACGACAGACAACTTCCTCGTGCAGAATGGGACCACTGTGCCGACTCTTCTCAACGGCCCCATGTACAATAATCGCTCTGCCGGCCCCGCCCTTGGCTCAAGCGGAGCTCCCGGTGATCCTCACAACGGCCAAGTCGTCTTCATCCAAGCGTCTAACTCAAATCCCACGTCATCTAAGCGCTTTACCGTTCGCCAACTACCCCAGCCTACAGCAACAGTGCAAGGTGGGCTTGGCCAGCAGATCAACTTGACTGCGATAGACGGATACTGGGACGGCGGTGTGTTTCAGATAGTGGACCAGTTCGTCTCCCCGAATGATGACTCTCTTTCTCAGCACCTTGCTTACTCCATGCCCCCCCAGATTCCTGGATCTTCCTCTCAATTGCTCCGAGACAATTAGCATATGGAACCAGACCACCTTTGCGGATGGGTTAAGCCGCACAGGCATTGGACCGGCTGTTGACATCACCCAAAATGTCACCTGTCTTGTCCCGACCAACGAAGCCTTCGTGCAAGCGAGCCCCGGCGAATTCGGCTACAACATCACCGATCTGGCAGAGCTCATACTATTCCACACCATCGACGAACCGCTGTACACGAATTTCTTGGCAGATGGCCAGGAGTATACGTCGTTTTCGAACCAAACTGTCCGGATTTCAATCATAGACGGGTCCATCTTTCTCAACGACGCAAAGCTGATCGTCACAAATATCATGTAAGGGGACTGTTGGCCCGTCAATTCTAACCCCAAAGAAAATGCGAGTGACGGCTGAGGATAATGACCGTCTATACAGAACAAACAATGGACTGACGCACATTCTTGATCGGGTTCGTCACAGCATATTACTTCCTCCTCTGTCTCTCAGAATCTCCAGCTAATCGAAAACTCTTCCCTCATAGGTCATGTCCCCGCTCGAAGCAAGCGCCACTCCACTGGCAACAATAACTCCTTTGGCAACGCCAAGTGCCTCCAACAGCCTGACTCCGTCCGTCACAACGGCTACCATCACAGTAGCGGAGACATCGTCCTCGTCTACAGTGGCACCAACGACCGCGACGTCCAAATCGGGAGCCAGAGGGACAACATCGTGGCCTCGGTCCCTTGGGTTTTGGGACCTCGCAATTTATTTGATGACCATGGCTATTTGGTAATACATAATAATAATCCGACATATACTGCGTCTGGAAAACAGGTATGGGCAGACGGATAGGTGGAGCTGGCGACAGCAGCTCTCTCAGTCGGACTGGCGTATGGCACTGGGGTGGAATTCAAAAATCCAGGCCCCACGGCAATAATAGCTTCTGTTGCGCCCATGTGTGTAGCGCCCCTTCAAGCCTGTCGGCGCACATGTCGCTTCTGACGCTCAAGGGCCTCGTTCGCAACGTGTCGTCACCTGTTGGTGCGGCTGTGGCGCTGGCCTTTTATCGCATACCGATGTCAAGTTAGCGTAGAGGTTGTCTATAGGTATAACTTACAGAACTAGCTACCGTATCTCAACGACCACTCCGCTGTCTAAACTCACCAGGATCCTAGAGTCTCGAGGGATGTGTAGATATAGAACGTAACTTCAGATAAGGGTGGAAGAGAGTAAATTTAAGGGTCCTCCACGACAACTTCAGTGGAGTATACGAGGAAAATCTAGGTCGCGGCGCAGGAGCAGAGAGATTCTGCCAGTTCACGGAGATCTGTTGACATAGCTCTAGGTGTAACCGATCACAGGTGGGCCTAAATAGGATAGAAGTAGATTTAACCCTCACAATGACAGAGGTGTGAGCCTGAGAATGCTGAACATGTTTCATTGCGGTTCCATAGGAATATATTGCACACAGTATCCAGCCTGAACGAGAGCCAACTCCAGTCTACTCTTGACCTGATCCCCGCCTTGTGAGAGAATAGAAATACAAATAGCGCAGCAAATTAGAAGCCTAGATCCACAATATAGTCCCCTTCCCTATGTTCCCTTGGCTTGTTATGCCCTCCAGATTGTTTTGACCGGACCCGATTGCTGCGAAGCGTGCTTTCTTTTCGACGCCGGCGTGTGCTGCAAAAAGTAGACCCTGCCGTCTGTTTCAACCAGCGGTGCGACCAGGACAGCAAATGCGAATCATCATGTACATAACGCATATCGCCCGAGCGCCACTCATTTTCATAAGACATTAAATAAAGGATGGAGACGCGTGCCCGTGCACATAGGATAGAAGTGATGCCAGCAGAGGGCCAGGACGCCCGCCGTCACAAACAAAGCTTCCAATAGAACCATAAGTAAGCGCACTGGCAGCACTGACAAGAAATCCGTACAGAGAGGGACCACAAACGTCAAAACTCGGCCAGAAGTCCATTCAACCCATGGCAGCCCAATATTGAAACAGAGGTCCGCCAAAACCAAAGGGACGAGGATTGAGAGGAATATCATTCCCCATTGTCTAGAGAACCCGGCGCAAGACAATGAGGACATTTGAGGAGGACGAGTGCTTGAAGCGGGTGTCTTGGGGGAAAAGCTGCCGCCTTCCTCGCCCGCCACAGAAAAGTCGGTGTATCCGACCTGCAGACCAACCTCGCTGCCCATAGTCGGGGGGTGGTCGGAGGTTTCCTGCGAGAGCAAGCCGGTGCTATGAGTTGCTTCCGACGTTTGCACTGAAGTTGAGGCGGGCGGAGAGGCTAGCTTTAAGGGCGAAGGGTCCGATTTCTGCCCAGACGTGACAGAATGGTGGATGAGCTTATTGCTCACATCCACAGGCGGGATTCGTGGCGTGCCACTTGTACTTGACTTTGCTTGGGCTTGCGACTCTCCAACGTCTAGCGCTGTGGAATATGTGTTGACATTGTTGACAACGACTGAAGGAGGACAAGATTGAGTCACCCTCGCAGGAATGCCTAGTTATTCCAACGAATCTGGTCAGTCACGAAGATGTAAAATGACACAAACACTTACTCGACGCCCAGTAAGATTCTTTAGCTGCGAAATGCGATGCAGCTGCATTCCTCGCGGTCTGCAACTGCAGACTGGCTTCATGTCCAATCAACAAATTGCTGCATTTGGGTTCATCCGTGACGTTGAACATCAACCAAATTCCGGTACCGCAGTCAACCGGCTGGATCCAAAGACAGACGATGCCAGTGGACGTGAGGTCCAGCTGCCCAACTTCTTCCCTAAGTCCTTGTTCACCCCCTATGTCTGAAGGATTCACAAGGTCGGTCAACAGCGTGCTAGAGACCCAAGATGACGAGGAGAGACCCTCGGCGAAAATGGCTGGAACATGGTTCTGCTTTATGAAAGACCATGCTCGGCAGGCCTTCCAGCGGGATGTCTACGCACAACGAATTAGTTGCATGCCAACACCGCCGCACCATCACGGATGGGACGCACCTGAAGCAGACCAAGAGGGTTCCGAGAAGACAGGGCTGTGATATCTCTGAACGACAAGATAGGGGCAGGGAGCCTGTGAGGAGCACCGTCGCCCTCAAAGATCTGGCCGATTTCGGCTAGGTCGATATCTGGCTCGGACTCTGTAGATTGGGATGACGTGTCGGTGGAAGAGGAAATGTCGTCGGAGGGGTGTGAAACAGAATCGAAATGGTCTCGGAAAGAAAAGTTCAGCCCATGCTTGGTGAATTTCATGAACCTTTTGATCTCCGCCTCTTTCTTGAGTAGCTCACGATTACTGTATTCCTCTCTCAAAGCCTCGACGAGTCTGGCTGGGTTATGGGTCTTTACCCAAGACACCGGTTCCTTCTTGGCTATCTCTTTGACATGTTTCTCGAAGTCTGCGTTTTCCATGATGGAAGCGGGCAGGGTGTAACATTAAGGGCGGGAATCCACTCGTGGGTGGGTAAGGCAAGATCTTGTGTCGTAGCCCGCGGGAGAATGACACGAATGTGCTGTGGTGTGGGACGTCGCCTCGACGCAGCTCAATCAAGGAACGTTTGATGATTGTAATGGCTTGAGGAGGGCGAATCGTACTGGGTAGAGACTGACAAGTTGGACAGGAACGAGAGGCGGAGATTGTTGGTTGCAACGATGGCAGCGGGCAATGGGCATGAGGGACGAGGAGAGACGAGATACCGACGGTGGTGGAGGAAGCTGTTGATGGAGGCGGTCTCAGGGCTGCGGATCGTCGGCACGTGCATCCCATGCACCGTGAAAGGGGAAATCCGGGGAATGGACTTCTGGGGGCCATAATAATAGACAAGGTGCAGGTGTTGTGGAGGTGTTTTAACTAAACGAAAGAAGTTAGGGTACTGGGTCCTCGGTACCTTGACCGGAGAGCAGATCCTTCCTCCAGCTCCAAGGGCGCCACCATGGCCTGTCCCTGACGATCACTATGAGGATATCAGCACCACAAGCCTTGGAAGAACCATCCCGCCATTTCTCTCGATCCTCTCCCGAGTGCAAGCTCTCGAATCCTTCTCCTACGCGTTGTCGGCTCTTTGAGGGCTGTTCCGCAATAGATCGTCGGTCCGAAGATCCAGCAGGTATCCTGCTTGGTTCCACACCTTGGTGTTGCCCTGCGTGCGAAAGAAATTGTTGGCGTTTTTGTCCCATTCCCACCCTCGCTCTTCCATTTTCTTTTTCCAGCTGAGGAAATCTTTGATCTTGTCATTCAAACTGTCGATGGTCCTCTCTTTCTGCTGAATTGCTGCTTTTTCTTCTATTGTGGTTTAGCATGGTCTACCATTACCACTGATCGCCATGGTATGCTTACCACTGTTAGCTTTTCGCTTTCCTTTCACCAGGCCAGCCACAGCTCCGCTGTGAAAAAAACGAACCAACTCTTTCTCCAGCAGAAACCTATACCCGAAGCACACCTCGACAGGAGGATCAGGTGCGATTTTGAACTTGACCGGGATGAGCGCGTCGTTAAACATCCATTGGGCTTTGACGACGCCAAGTGACCGAAGCTCGCGGTTCGAGAAATCCATGTATATCTGATCCCCGTCATGGTCGTGTTGTTGGGGAATACGGCGCTTCTTGATGATGCTGTTGGAGATCCAATTATGTTCAGAGCCACTGTCCAGCAAGACTTTGCTTTCGAAGTGGTCCTCATTCTCGAAGCACAAGGAGATGAGCAGTTCGTTGACGGCTAGAGGCTCACCGGTGTCCGTGGGCCCCGATGTCTTGCTATTGTCAGAGGTCCAAGATGACTGTGAGTCTGAAGACGAATGATGATTCCGCAATGGGCCAGTCTGGCGGGAGATTGAAGTGTCGCACGAGCTGTTCGTCTGACCGGCGCCGCTGGATGTGCTCTGTTGCGACAACGCCGCCTTTTCGGCGAGCCACCGTTGATGATCTTCGCTGATCGGAATGCTGCTGATTATGTAACCGGCTTGCTCGTAGCGATCTTTGCTGAGCTGAAGATCTCTGAATAGTTTCTCATCCCCCATCCTGAGATCTTGTGGTCACGATCTTTGACTTGTCTAATTGCAAGAATAGTCTGGAGAAGGGTAGCTTAACACAAGCCGATGTGAATAAGGTTCGATTCTCCCATTCTTCTGACTTCGGCTGCTTACCGTGCTGGGCGGCTCAATGACCGTGGATGTAGGTTCATCAGCTGAACATCAACACGCAGCCTAACCATTTCTGCAGAGGTGCTGCTGGCGCCCATCACTCCGGTTTCAGGACGCGGATATCTGCCACTGATATTCAAGCTTTGCCCAAGTGAAGAGATGCCTGACAGCCCGTTCGGCATATCTACGTGGCACCACACTACCCTAGCTGTGCTTCCCTTCCAACCAATCACAAGACCTTTTGTGCAACAGACACCAAAGATAAATTCAAGGGTCGCAAGCGGACATACAAGCAAATTCATCAACGGCCGTGACAATGGCGGTCCTAGATGGTCGAGAAGGATATGCAAAGGTGGCTTGTCTAATGAGCCGCCACCATGAATTTGGCATCTTTCGAAGCTTCGACGAATTGAATTACCAGAATCTCCTCTACCTGCAAGCCGAACTCACGCACCTTGAGCAGGAATTGAAAGAGATCTCGCACAGAGATAAGTTCTCAGGGCATCCGATCCGGCATATTCATGCAAGACACTGGCAGTTGTTGAAGGACTCCCAGCAGGATGGACACGATGAACAATTCCGAAAGATCATGCAAATCAGAACCTCACTGGAAGAGTACAGTATGTGCCAGCCCCAGAGTCCAGGACCGGTGATTCTAACCGAACGCCTGGCTAACGGGGTTAGATGAGGCTCTTCTCCGACAACAAAGACTATCGTGTCTGAAGAAGCCCACAAAATACAAGATCAACTTCCTTCGTGATTGGCGGGATAGCCCCAAAATGGGAGGGCAGCCAATCATAAGCGACGACCGGCACGCGTGGAGTGAGGCTCACGAAGACGATCTAATTACCACTGCCGACCCCAATCAAATGGACGCCACCAGTACATGGATATCAGAAAAACTTCTTCCCAACTATCACTGGTGGATTGGCAAGCATTACAAGGCACCAATTGACGCGGAACCATTGACCGGGATCGCAAACTACTCCAACAAGGGAATTATCAATGCGGTCGATATCCTAGCCACTACCGTTTCATGCCTATTCTCAATTCTATCCATCGTCGCTCTGTATTTTATTCAGAGTATTGCACTTCGCATCGGGATGACGGCCATCTTCACGGCGGTATTCTGTCTCTGTCTCGCTGCGATGACTGAGGCTCGGAGGATCGAGATCTTTGCGGCAACATCAGCGTAAGTCCTGCCCCGAGAATATGCTTTGAGCCACTCCGCGATCGTCCTCACTCATTTCCGTCCCCCCAGATTTGCTGCGGTGCAAGTTGTCTTCATCGGCACGACGGGTAACTGTTCAGGCAGCGGCAATTGAAACCAGTCAAGAGTTGGGACGTCATCTGCCTTTCCTTTATTTCCACTAAGAAGTTCTCGTGGAATACTGTAAGAGAGCACTTCAGGGTTCGGCGTGCAGGTGCAACAACGCACAGAGGCCTGTCCAGCAGGTCGGGAATCGAGAACGCGTTTCTGGTTGGCGCTGACAAGACAACACCACCACCAACACCACCCAGAGAGGCAGCGGCGAGGGCAACGAACGCCTAGCACGGTGGCGGCATCAAGGAGCAGGATAGGCCTGATAAAACACTTAGGAATTAGATAGACGGCACCAAAAGTCATGGAATTCATGATACTCTACTCACTGTAAAGAATGGCGCTCTGCCAGCACCGTAGACTGTTCCGCACTCCCCCTACCAGCCCATTTTGGTTTGACATGTGACTAGACAACCCTCCCCCCCTGCTACCACTCTACCAGCCCAGCACAGCACAGCCACTTTGCCTTGTTACAATACAACTTAGAACCTCCTCCTAAGCCAAACACATTGCTTCCTCACCAAATTCCTCTCTCTGCTCGACCCCTCTCGCCGCAGACGGTCGTGGTCAAAGGGATGCCAGCTATGGTGGGTTAGAGGGGAGAAGTCGTCGACGACCGCGGCCGTGGCGGAATTTGTACCTCCTGTTACGGGATCCATAGCTAGTACCGGAGATGGGCCTGTCGTCGCTCAAGGAGTGAGAACGGGAGACCTGCGAGTTTTGATCTGCAAAAATATATAGCGGCAAGATAGTCAGGACAGCTATGAGGTGGCCTAGGTACAAGAGGGACCCCAGAGTTCACCGTTAGATAATTGTAAGGATCTCAGAGTTGGAATGGGGAAAGAAATCCACAGCATCATCAGCTACCGAATACTCGGTACTGGTCGCCGCCAGTATATGGCACCAGGCCATGGTCAATTATCGTTGCAGAAATCGTGCATGATCTGCAATGTGGACTTGACTGCTTGGTCTTCCTCAGCGAGCCAGATATGCACCTCTGCCGCGGTTGGATATACGCTGTTCACGATAGCAGCCTGTGTTTAGGAGGCCATTCCTGAACAGTGAACATTCCATAGCGACGCCACACTGTTGCAGATCGACGGCGTGATGTAAAGAGCGTTGATGGCGCTCGCGATCTAACATCCCTGATACTCGATCTGTCTCACAAGATGAAACGATCAGTTTCTCAGCGCGCGGGCTTGTTTATGCTGGGTCGAGACCCGGAGGAGGCATGAAGGTGCATTAAGTACTTCCAAAAAAAAAAAAAAAAAAAAAAAATTAAAAAAAAAAAAAAAAAATAACAAAAATAAAAAAACCAAAAAACTTTGAACTCTCGATTCTTGGGTTAGCGGCTCGGCTTAGGATTCATGAGACTCACGAGTGGGATTGCTGCTTGTCTCTCTCTAGATACCGTGATGTGTCTTACTCGTTGGTCACCTTCGGATGCGGAGGGACATTTGCTCAAGCTCCTGTGGCAGATACCGGCATCAGTCAAAATTTCCATCATCATTACTCAACCCCGGGCATATCACTTCTGCCCGCTTCCTAAACTCCAAGAGTCATCCGTTCAGCAAACCATTCAAACCACTCGGCGGCAGCCAGACCAACATTGGGCAAATAGAGGAACCCCTCAAGGGTGAGCCTAACTTCGCTCCAGGTGCTCAATCCCATGAGGAAAGCTAGCTCAGTCAATTCAAGATTATGCCAATTCCCTTTGCCGCCGAACTGGGATCCGTCGAACCCCTCTTGAGCCTGTTCCGCAACGGCTCCAACGAAGATGGCCCAAAGGCGGGCGCGTATCAGAGGAGTCTCCATGATAGCGAGAGTGCTTGCCTTGCTGTCTTCCAAGTGACGACGGAGAGCCATAATTATGACTGGTGCGGAGGAATACATGGCGTCTCGGCTAGAAGGAGATACGGAAATGACTTCCGGTACGTTTACGGCAACAATCCTCCTGCTCTGGGACAGGGGTGGTCGGGGAGGTATCTGCATCTCGTAGTATCCCGCAAATCGAATCCAGAGCAACGTCGCCAGGGTAGCCCATGCCTTGCAGTGGAGGAACGAGAAGGGATCCCGTTCAACGCCGAAGGTTTGGATATTGGCGGCGCACCGGACGTAATTATTCACGAGATGACCCTGCATGATGCCGTGGCGGATGGACATGGTGAACAAGAGTTCCTCGGCCGGCAGATTGTCTTCGATGAGAATACTTGACACCGAGTAGTAGAGCCTTGTTTCTTTGAAGATCCCTCGTAAGACTGCACACTGCATTGCTCCGTCAATGACACAGGGGATAGGATTGCGTCGGGAAGGCATTAGATCTCCCCAGGATACAGGCGTGTTCGGGATACGAGGAAGATAGTTCTGTGCGTACTGGCAGAGGTCCAAGAAGGTAGGCGTCAGCGTCATGCTCGCTCTGTGGACGTCTTGCCACAAGATGAAACGTGCGAGTCGCTCGCTTATGTCGACCGGTCGACCAGGTTGCAACATATAGCGCAGCATTCTTCCGTGCACTGCGGCGGCTTCAAAATTATGCGCCGCAATCTCAGCTGTATATAGTGAGGCGATGAGGTCACATACCGGCTCCGTGGTCTCAACCTTATGCGCCCTGATCAAATTTTGCAGCTTGGACATAGTCTGATTCTTGTAGATCAATGCTAATCGCTGGAACGGCTCTCCGGTAGTGACGAACGCCACCACGGCTATGAGGCGGTTGAGATGAGCGTAGGCCAGAATCTCATCCTGCAAAGCACTTCTGGTATCGTGATCATACTGATTGGTCCACTTCCGAGCTCTTTGCATTTCGAATTGAGAATTGACCGGCGACGGAGTGAGAGCCAGACGGTTGAACGAAATGACATAGTTGATCGTAGGATTGACAGTGACAGGAAGCGAATTGAAAGGATCTCCGGCCCCTTGTCCCAGGTGAGACAAAGCTCCTGGTCGGGAGTGAAGGGTCTCGCGTTCATCAAGACGAACAGAGCGGCATTTTCGAGCGCGATCTGTTTGCCTCGCGTCTTTCGGGTCTAATCTTCGTCTCCTGTGCGAGTAGTTCGCAACATGAGAGTTGACTCTGCAAAGATGGTCGCCATCGGAAAGCCGATCTTTGGTCTGAACGATGAAAGTTAATTGGACGTGCGCCGTTGCCGATCTCATTGGGATTTGATATGGAGCTCATCCTCCTTGCATTCTGCTGAGTCGGGGATTTTCGCATGGATGCAGGAGCATTCTTGGCGCCTTCAAAGGAGTGAGAGATTCTCTCTTTCTCGAGACTGCATGGCGAGATATGTAAGCCGAAGTCTTGCTGGCAGGTGGGAAAGCAGCCAACTCGACCCGACTTGCAGCACTCACCCATCCGCGGAGCTGTTCGTTTGGGGAAGGCACTCCGTCATTCACGCTCACTCAGCTGTTGGTGGACGCCGACGACGGGGCGCAACGCCGTCTTCGGCTTCTGCAGGCTCCGTCATCAGAAGCGACAGGACAGCCAACCGAGCAGCCATCTTGATGACAAAACATCGTTTCGTGTGGGGAAACTAGCTTGACAGAATAGACCAATCTGGCGTGCGCCTGGCGATATTTAATGTTATTAATTGGATCCAATTGGATCCAATATTATCCGTGCCCAAGGCACCCCTTTTCGGATTTGTTTCGGTCTCTTTCCAAGATTCTTGCTCAGATGAAGTATCCAGGGTAAAAAGTTGTATAGTCAATTGGGTGACACACTACCATCACTGCTTCCGGGCGGTAATTTGGAGGAAGTTAAGCCTGTGCTTCTGGGTGTGACATCGCCAGTGCCTTTGGCGGCGTCTCGACGACGACGACGACGACGACGACGACGAGGAGGAGGAGGAGGAGGAGGAGGAGGAGGCAAAGTGAGCGCCGGAAGCGCATGGGTATTGCATTAGCATCACATACGTAACTAGTATTGGTCGCATTATCATCTTATTAGTCTCAGAGAATGGCTCCTTCATTCCCCTCCCGTACTCATTCCCATCGCCTGGATCCATCCCATGAAGATGGAAAGTCATGCGTTTTCCCTCCTTGAAGAATGATCCCATGTCAGTCTGGCTTCACCATCCGTGGTCGCAAGACAGCACCCGCATTGAACGCAATTCATCGTCAAAGCAGCGTGAGGACGTTTAGAGCAGTTTCAGTAAGAGCAAGAAAGCAAGCATGCATTGCTACAGGCCTCGATTGTCGGCGTCAGCGTGCCTCTGGGGTACCTCGGAAGTGTGATACTCCGGTTGCGAGCGCGGCGTGGGTGGTGGATGCAGTTGATGCGCTCCCGCGCCCAGGTCCATGCCCGATGCGGCAAGCAAAGCATCGCGCAGTGCCTCGTCCTGTTCATCCACTTGTGGTGACCACGACTGCAGATTGAATGTGTCATGGATAGACGGGTCGAGGCCAGAGAACTCATGATTCGAAGCCACGTCGAAGGATAACTGCAGATGACCAAAGCCGTGGAGTTGCTCGTGCTTCATGGCCATGAAGCCATCCTGGCAGAGTTCTTCGTCCATCGACCCCGGATACAGGTTGTAAGGCATGCTGTGCTGCGGCTGGAACTGACGGGTACTGCTCTCGAATGAACCGACCCCGGGAGAACAGTCGACAATGGAGTCCATGGAGAGCGGCGGCAGGCTCATCTCCACACCGTCGGGGAATGGGCTATTCGTTTCCAGACGATCCGGCGGAGCGATCAAGTTCTGCCACGTCGTGGTACCAGCGCTGTCTGCTGGCGCTTGCGAAAACTGCCAGAGCAAGATTGCTGTCCTCCTGCGTGACTCCCGTTTCATGCTATCGCCGAAGTCGCTGCTGTTGGAGTAGCGAACAACATATATCTCTTGCATGATTGAGAGGCCGCGAAAGAAATTGCGAGACTGTTCGTTGGCAAGGTCAATGGCTTCCGGGTCCTTCGAATCTTCGGCGACTTTTCTTGCCTCTGTGAGAGAGGTAAATGTCGATGCCCACCACTTCGACTGGAAGAACGGTCGGATTCTCCAGTGATCTGGAGTCTGGCACTCTTCACAGGTGGGTTCAGTAATAAGCACGCCTCCGCGGTACATGTAGGTCACGCAGGACCACTTTTTGACACCAGCTTCGTGGTGCGAATCTGTCCAGAGTCGATCCGGATACTTGAGTTCAAGGCAGATACCCAGCTTGGAGTGCCGTGGTGGGAAGTCCTCCATTAACCGGAAGCTGGCATTGAGGAGGATAAGGTCGCAATTACTGAGACGCTTTCCATGGTCCACGAGCGACTTGAGATGCGGAAATGACAGTCGCCACCCGACCAGTTCCTCAAGTGGAAATGGCGCCAATTTCGTGGATTTGAGCCCAGTATAGTAGTGCAAGGCACGCTCGTGGTCAATGGGCGAGCTCACCCACATTTCGAAATTCAGGCGTTCGACCCGTTGCGTGGTGGCCAGACCGCCCGTTGGTGATGCAGAGACAAACGAGTCTGCAGTGCCGTCAAGCTCATCATCCCACACGGCATCGCTGTGCTGCCTGGCTTTGCTTCTTGCCTTTTGTTCGTTGACCATGTGCTCAATAGAGTTATGATAAAATTTGTGACCTTCCGATGGACCAGTGTCATCCTCATCACCAGGCTTGATCAGCCGGTCCCCTGAGATAAGGTCAGCTCGAACCGTGGTGTGGAAGCGGTGCAATGGACGCACATTCTGGAATGCCCTGAAGAAACCTGTCAAGCACTTGTATGTGGCTGGAGACTTGTTTGCGTTCCCGTTTTTGACCTGTCGCTCGGTATATCCATTCGGCAATGAGCATGTTCCGTCCATAGGGCTTTCCTCGTTGTGAACACTTCTTTCGACCCATTGGTTTGATATGTACAAGGGCTGTCGCTCGTCAGTCTTGATCCACCTGCCTCCGGTCTGAGTTCACCCACCGTCCTGAAAGGCAGCCTCGATATTGTCAGGCCAGATTGGCTTGCCATCCTTGCCAATATCCTGCCTCGGTCGAGATCTGTATTCGAGGTATTTTGGATGATGAAGATATGGGCGGTCGGGGTCTGCCAGATGCTTGGGCCGATGTGGCTTGGGATGATATCGTTTTCTTTTTGCAGCGGACGCACCATTCGATCCATCATTGGAACCGAGCTTCAGCGTTGGGATGGGAAAATGAGGTATCTGCCCTCCCAATGTGTCTATCCCTGGGAGGGGATACTGATTCTCAATACCCGCTTTGTGGGTGACTGGAAGCAGCTGAACATTCCCGGAGGAGACGGAAAGGCGCTCGACGGCTGACCCTGAATCTCCAAGATGTAGAGGTGCTGACATACCGGAATGTAGGCACTCTATCAAAGCGTAAAGCGCCCAATGCTTGCCAAGTTATGCTCGAGAGCAAGAATGAAAAATGCGGTGGACAATGTTCAAGAGGGACAAAAAACTTTGGGAATGAGAGAGAGGGAATGCTGCGAAGGAAACAGCTGGTTTAACATATAACAATCGCCACGTCACGAGAGAGTGCTTGTGCAATCTTACCTTCCGCCGACATCTTTAACTGGACATCCCAGCCACAACCCTTCGATCTATCGGTTGAACAGAGACACGTACAACCCCGCGGACATTGATACTCCACTCGTTCAAAGAGTCGAGACCAGGCAAGACAGGTAATTTCATGAATTTGAACTTCCCTTTGCTATCCTTGCTGCACAGACTCAGGTGGAAAAAGGTCAATGCAAGGGATGAAAGCTCCCAATCTGGCAAGTCAGCAGCGCGGAAACAACTTCGATCTCGACGCTTCGGTAGTCAAAGTCAGTGAGCAGGAGGCAAACATAATGCGATCATAAAAAGGGAAGACTGCGCACAGATGATGGTTGAACGAATCAAAAATCCGATCGACGTTGTGGCCAATCTGCCTGTGGAATGATATTTTGCAGCACTGATCTGCAAAACAACCCGAGTCCTTGAGACCGAGTCCGACTTCTGGTCATTATTGTCGTGAACTCTGTCTGAGACTTTTATTGAGGCAGGCCGAAGGGTTTGGCATTCAAATTTGGTTTGATTGAAGAAGATTATAGGAATAAGCTCGAAGGTCGGAGGGCGAGGGAGAAGGCTCTGCAAGGGGCAAGTGCGGATCCCTAGATTGCCGATCATCTAGAGGGCACCAAAGTCTTCTCTTGCATCAACGTTGAACTTCTTCCGGGCCGACCCCGTCATCCTGTGGTGAGTCAATGTATCCTGATGACCCTGGGTCTTCTTCTCCATGGCTTCGATCTCGGCTTCTGGATCGATTATTTCGCCTTCTGCAAAGTCCAGAACAAGCCTCCGGCCAAGCAAGTGAGTATTTGAGAGAGCCTCAATGGCGTTCTCAGCTTCTTTCGCTGTGAGAAATTCAGCAAAGGCAAAACCTCGGGCTGTGTTGTCGAATTTTCTGGGCATTCGCACAGTGCGCAGCTGACCATATGCACCAAACAGAGCACGCACATCCTTTTTGGTGGCTTCGAAAGGGAGGTTTTTGATGACGATCTTTGTCCTTTGGGAGCCCAGCTTTTTGGACGTATCCTCCTTCCGTCTCTCTTCTCCAAGGTCAGTTGACTTCTGTGATGTTTGCACCAGGAGCTCGTATCCGTCCAGCCGCCTTCCATTCATGGTGGCGATCGCTGCTTCTGCTTGAACCTTGGTGCGGAATTCGACAAAGCCAAAGCCCATGCTGAGAGCTTCGCCTGGTCGACTGGGGTCAGTCCGTGTTTTAACCCTTGCAGAGAGGAAGCCCGATAGTGGCTTGAATGCTTCAGCTAATCTGACGCTCGTCGTTGAGAAGTTCAAGTTGCGCACAAACACGGTAGAGGTAGTTCCAAGAGCGCTGCTGGACTCATCACCTCTAGGACTTGTTACGTCAGTGCTGGTTGTGGGCGTAGGACCTTCCCAGAGCCCAGCCGGCGCTTTCTCTAGAAATAGTATAGAGCCCTTCAAATTTCGATATGCCAACTGCTTGAGCGCTAAAGCCGCTTGACTGCTTTCTTGAAATCGAACAACAGCCATGGTCCCCGTTGGAGGAAAGAGTAGGAACTCGATCGTGCCGTACTGGCCAAGCATTTGCGAGAGCTCTTCTGCAGTGGTTCCGTAAGAAAAGTTTTTCAGCAAGATTGTTCTCTCATCACGAGCTCTATTCTTGAAGGCATCGAGATTCAACCCATTGGACTTTAAGTATTCCTTGGTCTCTTTGATAACGCTGGTCTCGGCGTGGGCTTGCTTCACAGCCGCATCGGTTGAAGCAGGATCAAGCAAGTCGGCCTTGGAGACTTTCAGGCGCTCGGCGACCGATGCCAGGACGGCATCTGGATTCATATAGAGCGAGTTCCAGCTGAAACTCGAACTTGAGGCTTCACCCTTCCGTTTGAGCGCTCTTTGCTGTTTTAGAGGCAGCTTCGATATTTCAAATTCGCTGAGCTTTTGTATTTTCTTGTCCGAAGACGGTAGAATGTGCATAAGCCTGCCCTTGAAGTCCTTTCCGTCGAGTTCAAAAAGCGCTTGCTCTGCGTGCGCCGGCTCCACAAACTGAACATAACCAAGACCCTTGCCGGTGGACTTCCTGGTGTCGGTAACTAAATGAATCTGTTCAAGCATTAGCGGGAGGCACCAATGGGTATAAAAAGCAAATTTGGCAAGAGACATGGGAGTCAGAAGTGAGAAGCATCTACTAAAATACTCTTTCCCGGTTCGAATCATATGCGAAGCATAAGCTGTCCCTATCAGGAAATCATCACAAAGGCATAACGGAGGAGAGCAAGAAAAGCATGTTGGCTTACTTCTGAAATCCTGCCATATCGCGCGAAGACCTTCCGTAAATCGTCTTCTTGGATGTCAAACGGAAGATTCCTGATGAAGAGTCGAGCGTTTGGCACTGAGGGTTTTTGCGGATGGTCTGAATTTGCATCATTTTCTGCGTCTGCCACATCTTCTTTGGTCTGGACCTCTTCCACTGGTTCTGCTGCCTTGTCCCCTATACCACTGTCGCCAGGATGCCTAGAGCGATCCTTCATATCTTCGGCTTCCTCGAACAAATCTAATGTCCTGCTCGTCTTTCCACGCAGCCAGTCAGCATCAGATCTGGGTGCTTCTTGCACGATGTCTTCTTCTGGGCCCTGTTCTGAGGAAGCCTCTTTCGACGGACTCTCCTTCTCTTTAGAAACAACTTCCGTGCTAGTTTCCTTGCCTGCTACAACACCGTTGGTGCTTTTTCGAGACTGTTGTATTGAAGGTCGCTGAGTATCTTCGCCATCATCTCGTAGGTCCCGCTTCCTTTTCCTTGAAGCACGGTCGGAGATAGGGACGGCGTGGCCTTTGTCATCGCGCTTGACCTGTACGGGCTTTGCTAGGGTTACGGAGATCTTTGACATGCGGACGAAGGTTTTGTTGAAGTATCGGACTGCACCCTTGGCCTGTTCATGACTGGAAAATCCAACGAAACCTATGCGGCGGTCTGGGATGACATGAGCGTCTGTGACCGAATACTTTCCAGCAAAATGCGACCGCAGTTGCTCTTTAGTCATGGATGGCGGCAGACCCGAGACATAGACTCGAGTCACCGAGGAATCCTCGGGCTCGGTGCTTGTCATGGTTACAGTAACGGTCATCAATGGGAACGGAAGGATTACTGAGATTGCAGATGTTTAGGCGAGAAGGAAATATTTTGGGGACAAGAAATCGGGGTGAAGTCGCGAGCGAAAATCTAAAAATTTGGGCAGTTCTGCCGAGGCCGCAGTCGTGCAATGGCAGATGACAGTGTGGACAGAACAGCCCACTATATCATAACCACAGCGTCCTGTAACCTACAAATAGTATCAATAGATTAGGCGTCGGTAGTTCTATATTTTTTTAATACGTTGATTATGCCTTTCGACGTGGCCGGAACCGCGACTAGACGCCGTTCTGAGCCTATTTGCTTACAAGAATATGGATAGTTGCCGCCAGCGTCGCCGGTATCACGTAGTCACGCGAGGAGATGTTCAAGGTAAGAAGAGATATTCTTTAATTGTCCTTGAACCTGCCGGGAGGGATAGGTTTAACCCTGAGATGTAGAGGGTCTCGCATTGATCTTGAGCTTCTTCCGAGTCCGATTGGAGCCCTGATTTTCCTGTGTCCAGGATCGTTTCTGTGGAGGTAGAGTGAACAGGTGTTATCGTCGTAATACCATGTACCCGGAAATATCTGTCTGTCATAGTCTTGGACATGACGAAGGATTTCGTGACAATGATATCTGCATGGGCAGAACTGTCCAGGCTCCATATGACACATGAGACATGAGAAAGCACAAGTTCGAGCCATTTAAAAAATAGCTCCACCGATTCAGGCTCACCTTCCACAAGGAGTCTTGGCGCACATAACAGCGGACGACGGGTTTTGCCGATGGATACCTATGTACATACCGCAGATAAGAGCGTCTCGGAGCTTGCGGAGGAAAACCTTGCCTGAACGGGTGGACTTTTCTTGGCCGGTCTTGGCAGGTCGTAAGGCAGCTGCCGTAAAATCCATTCTCCGCTGTATTACATGACGAGTCTTGCCGAGACCTGATCAATCATCTTGGTGCATCCACAACAGCTGCCACCACCATGGAGTTACTATTCAGTACAAGTTGTACAGACGGAGCTTGTTTAGAGAGACCCGCTCATTTGGACCAGCGTCGCCATGGATAATCACTCCAGCAAGGACATAGCCACAACTTTTAGCCATCGAGACGCCCATTCTGCAATCATGGCATGCCAACTCGCAACCATTTAAACTGGAACGGTAGGTCTTGAGGTAGGTCTCTTTACAATTACATCGGCAACATCTTTGAGACAATTCAACGCATTCATATAGAGACACATGTCTCTCAAAATATCATAGTTCTCCTCGAGAGTCTCTCGTCAACATTGTCCAACAACCATAAGCATCAGCATCGGCGTCCCTTCCGCGACCAAGAACCACCACCCGAGTCAAAATGTCCGGCGGGCCCCTCTCTGGTAAAGTCGCCGTCATTACCGGCAGCTCTAAAGGCATCGGCGCCGCCACAGCGACCCGACTCGTCAGCCTCGGTGCAAAGGTCGTCGTCAACTACGGCCACGACACGTCCACGGCCGACGCGCTCGTCCAAAAACTCGGGCCTGAAAACGCCTACGCTGTGCAAGCCGATGCCGGCGCCCTCAGCGGCGTCGAGCAGCTGGTGCAAGCCAGCGTCGCGCGATTCGGTAAGATTGACATTCTTATCCTCAACGCGGGCATCCTCGCCCTCAAGGACGTGGAGTCCTGTACGGAGGCGGACTTCGACCGTGCCTTCAACATCAACGTCAAGGGGCCGTTCTTCCTGGTCCAAAAGGCCTTGCCGCACATGACACCTGGCGGTTCGATCCTCTTTATTTCCACTAACCAATGCCACGCCTCGTCCGTCACGGCGCCGTACACTCTATACTGCGCGACGAAGGGCGCGATCGAACAGCTCATCCGGCTGCTCTCCAAAGACCTACTTGCGAAGAAGGGTATTCGTGTCAACGCCATCGCTCCTGGCCCTACGGCCACGGAGCTGTTCCTCGAGGGCAAGCCGCAGAAGGTGCTGGATATGATTGCGTCGTTGCACCCGACGAACCGCATTGGGAAGCCCGAGGAGATTGCCGAGGCGATCAGTTTTGTCGTTGGAGACGCGGCGAGTTGGGTTAGCGGGCAGACGATCAAGGTCAACGGGGGTTTGGCTTGAGGGTGTGAGGGGATTGAGGATGCGAGTGTCCAGAGAAGGGCAAGAGTCCGTAATCATGCCATTGTTAGCATTAGTTGCAGGTGCAGAGACGATGATAAGCAGCAAAAGATCATAAAAGGATTTATGGTAGATGGCACAATAATCAGTCGCAATGCACAAATTTTCCGAGGCTTGAGAGACTTTTCACTGCTGGCCGTTGTTTTTCGACCCTGACTATAGTGAACATTCGTTGGCAGTTCATACACGTTAGCATAGCATATCTGTTTTGAATCGACATAAAGCAGCTTGGTCCTCTTGTCGTGACAACACGAGTGTTGAAGCCGGTGTCTGTATTTTTCCGTCTCCGTTATCTGGGACATGAGACCGAGGTGCGGGCATTCCCAATACCATCAGCTAAATTTAGACGCTGGACTAGTGTATACAAATCACAGAATCATGAGTCTTGTAGATTGATCGTTCGTTGTGTTGATATGGCATGCGGGTATCCAACTACGCCAGCTCCAAGAGTAAAGTTGTTGGTCGGAACCTACCATTTTCTATCTTCTCCAACTGATATCTGAGTATCGTCTGTTTGCTCGGGTCAACAGAATCCACATATCGGGGTCAAGCGAACCGCAGATATCGAAGTAAATAGCTGGGACGAAAAGAAGCCTCGGTCTCCTATGGAGCGCCGTGAAAATAGATGTTATAAAGGCATGCAGTCTCATAGTGATGGAGGGCTGCACTGTAGTTTAAGTAGAGTGCGATCAGGCCGAGGAGAGGCAGTCCCGAAGGGAACACGCCCGTTTAACTGTACTGGAGCTCTCCATCAAGTATTGTCTCTAAGCCATGACGGGCAGAAAATCGAGAGGGAAGCCAAAAGTCCAGCGATAGCTAGGCGCAAGCGATATGCGCAGGACCAGCTTCAGCGCGATCGCAGCCCCTAGCGATGGAGGGTGCGGCCGGACATATTGCATATTGTGCGACATTGCTGGGGGTTGTTTGCCAATGATATGAAAGCGAAAGACAGACAAGGGTTACGCGAAAGGTGAGGAGGCAGGGGAGTAAGTGAAAGGAGGCGGGAGCAGGCGAGAAACAGGCAAGAAGAGGTGAGGAGGTGAGGAGGGAGAGTTGCGAGTTGGTGGTGCAAAAAGCGGCAACGGCAAGGCCGCGCTAATTAAGTCCTGTACCGAGTAACTCCAGCTTGCTCCAGGCACTAGGCACTCAGTGCTCTGCTTGAGTCGCTAAGAGCGGCATGAATCGCGCAACCCGCATGACCCTGCTCGCCTGGTTTGTGATGATGGATGATTCGAACCTGCACATGCGCTTCTTCCACACAAGGCTTCCACCATCTACATCACAAGCACGTTCTTCCATCCAGACTGTCCATCGCTTTTCTGTCCGCTCTACGGCTCAGTACCTTGTCACTTGCTGTCCTTTCCTGCCTGATATCATCCGCCGGCACCATGGCTGCTGCAGAGGCCATCCCTGAGAAGAAGGTGAAATTGGAGCGTAAGTCTAAAATCCCCACTCTCGACCACCCTACTGATGTTGTTGAAGCCCAGATTAAATCTGTCGACATGGTAAGAACGCCGTGAGGGAACCCGATTGGATTGTCACTGACGGAACCGTAAGAGCGAGGACATGCAACAAGAGGCAATCGAAGTCGGTATGGGAATGCGCCGGTTACAAAGAGATTGGGACGGAGATGCTGACCGGCAGTTTAGCACAGGAAGCAATGGAGAAGTTCAGCGTCGAGAAAGTATGTTGCAGGATGGCCATTCCGAACCCGAAGGGACATTGCTCATTGGAAACATAGGACATTGCTCAACACATTAAGCGAGAGGTGCCATTCTGTCTCAGACCTGCGACATTGCACCAACATTTCTAATACCTTTTCTCAGTTCGACTCGAAAAAGGGCGCCACATGGCATTGCATAGTCGGTCGAAATTTCGGCAGTTTCGTCACCCACGGTACGACAGGCCTTGCTCCCCCCTCCGAGCTGATGACTGACCGATGCTGCAGAAACGAAACATTTCATCTACTTCTACCTCGGACACGTCGCCATACTCCTCTTCAAGACGCAGTGATTGGATCCAGCTTTCTGCATTGGGCGTCACGGAAAAGTCTCTCGGGCATTGGCGATACCCGGCTTGGGGCTCTATCATTACAAAATTGTGACGGTGTAGATATGAATTCCTGAAAGAGAGCGGTTGTTCGACGTGCTTCACACCATGTTGTATATACAATGGAGAGGAAAGATTCTGGACAGTCCCTCACCGACAAATGCGCAATGGCAATGATGGATTCCAAATTCAATCTGCAGTCTGACTCTGCGCTGTCGGTTCGGTTCCTACCATCGTTCTCCTCCACTGCTCTACCCATTTGGACAGGAATCTCCACTCCTAGTGACGGAGCCCTCGAGTATCTACCGGAAAACGTGCAAATACCTCGCCCAGAGTATATGAAGGAGGGAACCAGGTCAATCCTGAGCATGATTCGGTTCAGCGTCGGCTCCTTTTTCCTGAATTGCGCGCAAGTCTTAACACCCAAAGCATACCAGGTTTGAAAGATGATTCCTCCCCCTTTTTCATTGCTGTTCACATGTGAATCCCATCTGGTTAATTTTTCCCTGTCAGTGTGGGCGAGGTCGATTTGGGGCAGACGCCCACCTTGCGCCCACCTTGCGCCCACCTTGCGCCCACCTAACGCCAATCATATCTACGAGTATCTTGGGGGTGGGGCGCAAGAAATCTGGGGAAGCTACTACAAGTAGGTAAGTTGGTCACGGCCACCCACGTCAGGATGATATCAGAAATACTCGAAACATCGCAAACAGTGCTGAGCCGCTGCGACGGTTGGTGCAACCTTTTCATATATACGTGCATTCCTTACATCTTGTGCTCTCTAGTCATTCTTCCGCCTATTTTGACCCCAGGAAAAAGCACTGAACCGACTCATCTATCTATACACGTCAAGACAAACGATTCAATAAGTACGGTGCTACTTGTAGCACACTGAAACACACCACATGAAGCCTTTACGTCTACAAGCCTCAAGTCTGAGGAATGCCGCAATACCACGAGCTCCCACCACTCCTTTCCGTCGGGTTACACGCGTTTCACCCATCCACCAATACCAACAACAAATCATCACCCCGACCAACACTCGGCATCAGTCCTCCACGACGACGACGCAGTGCCAACAAGACATTCAATCCAACCGCTCCGCACAACAAGACCGCACCCGAATTGACCGGCAACCAACCGAGTACAGCAAATCCGGGACGGACGACGCGGTGGCCTCGCAGGCGGTGTCGTTTTCGCCGGACAGCACGTCGACGGCCGACCCGGCCGAATCTATCGCGCAGGCGGCGGAGCAGATGCAGAACCTGACAGCCTCCACGACGGGCACGTCCAACGTGTCCCCCACGCCACCGCAGAACGCGCCCTTCAACCCGCTCGAAGTCAGCCCCGCCAACGTGGAGATCAGCTCGACGACGTCCGAGATCGAGGGCGTCGCGCGGACAGCGCAGGGCAGCGTGCAGGAGCAGAGCAAGACGTACGTCGGCACCACGACGCAGAAATCAAAATCGACCCGAGCAACGGCGACGACGGACCAAAAGAGCGTCTTTGCCCGGTCCGACAAGAGGAAAGACGCCATGCCTGGCGCCGCCGCGCGGGGTGGGGGCGAGGTCGAGGGCAGGAGAGGGCCCATCTTCAGGCCGGGCTCGAGGTAGTTGGGGGCAGGCCCGCCGGGTAGGGAGTGATGGTCCGACAAAATACCGACGAGCATGGTTACGGCAAGGCTAAGGGCAAAAAGCAAGGGCACGGGAAAATCACAGTCGGAATCGGAATTGAAATCGGGATCGGAGTCCATTCGCAATGCCAATGGCGATGCCAATCGCATCGGCAATGGCACAATGAAAATTGCATCAAGGAGTACCTAGGTTCCTAGGTTCCTATGGAGAATGGATGGAGTATGTGTGTACGCAGGTAGAGAGGGATTCATTGGCAATCACTACTCGGAGACTACAACTCCCCCATCTCTCTCTCTCTCTCTCTTCCCCTCTCCACCTCACCCCCCTCTTTTGTGGGTTTGGTTCAATGTTGATTGTTGATTGTTGAATGTTGGTCGATTGATGTTCGATACCCGTGATGTTTGCAAACCATGGGGTTTGTGTCATATCAGAACCCCTTTCCGTCGCTCCCTTTCCTGTCCCCCTTTTCTTGCTTCTCCCTCTCTCCCTTTGCTTCCTACCCCCGCTCTCCCTGCGCTCGATCCCTTGTCATAGACGGCGAGGCAGCGGGCAGCGGGCATCGAACAGGGACGATGTGCACGGTCTTCATTATTCCCTCGTCCTACCATGGGGATTAGGATAAAGATTATGATCGATAAGACTTTGAATTGAAAGCAGGACATGTCTGGTTTCCAAACTGGGGAAAGCGGGATAGGGCAGGCAGGGTAAACGACGACAAACATGTAGCTCAGGAACCAAACCGAAGCAATTCCAACCAAACTTTGAAGAATGCGTCGTGGGTCGTGGATGTTCTTCAAGAGTCACATCCTTTGTTGGAGGCGCGCTGCATAACTAATTGGCCCTCCACCTCATTTCAACCCTCCAGTCAACAAGATACTCTGCCCGGTCAAGTAGCCCGTGCGACACAGCATGGTGACCACATTCGCGCACTCCTGCGGCGTGCCTAGCCTGCCCACGGGGATATTCCTCACATCTCCAGGCGTGCCCTCGAGAAACTTTGCGTTGGGGATCATCCCCGTATCGCCGATCATGGCCGGCGCCACGTCGTTGACCGTGATTCCGTCCTTGCCCAGTTTGAGGGCGAGGTTCCTCATCATGCCCGTGAGGCCGGCCTTGGAGGCCGCATAGTGGCAGCCATTGATGCCCCCTCCGTAGCCGGCTATGCTGGACATCATGATGATGCGCCCCCATTTCTGCTGCGCCATATGCGGGACGGCCAGTTTTGCAAGGACAAACGGTGCGCGCAGGTTGATCAGTATTGTATAGTCGAATTCCTCATATGTGATGTCCACTATTTGCGGCACCCGCTTTCCGTATCCTGCATTGGCGATCAGAATGTCTGGTCCGTGACCATGCTGTGATTCAATCTCCTTGTATAATCTTTCCATATCTTCTGTGGATGCCATGTCTACTTGGTGTGAAGAGATCTTCTGCTCGGACGAGGTCGAGTCGCCCTGGAGCTCGGCGATCAGGTTGTCGACATTAGCTTTGTTTTTGGAGTATGTCAGGGCGAGATGACAGCCATTCTTGTACAGGTCTCGTGCGCAACCGGCACCAATCCTACCTTTGTCAGTCAAAGTGAAACGCGAAGTCTCGAGAGGGGACACACATACCCTCCAGACGCACCAGTGATCAGGGCTAATCTGCCTTTGATTTCGTTGTCGACGGACATGCTGGGCCGAGGTTGGCTAGGTCCTGGTGTCTGCGAACTGCTTGTGTGGGAGGTCAGCTGGGACAGTCGTTGTCTTGTACTCATTCCTGGATATGAATCTGAGCTCGTGAGCGCGCACCAGCCTCTCCACAAAAGCACCAAACGGTGCAGCCGCGGTGACTGCGCCGATTTGAACGGGCAGATCGTGGTGGACGGTGGTGCGTCCCGACGGTGCGGGGAAATCCAAGTGCAGCCCATGCGTCGGCTTCTGCTCCCAGTCGCCGACATTCGCCTGAAACGGATAGAAGAGCGCAGCTTTGTCATTGGATCCATCTCCAAGCAAATCTTAAAGCTGGAGAAGCTGAGAAGCGCTCAGAAGAACAAGTTGCCATTCCAGTCCACCGGCCAATTCGTGGAGTTGCTGGTCTGCTGCCACTGCATCCCTTGAGTCTGAGGCATGAAAGTCGACGTCGCCTCGAAGGCCCCCATCGGAGCAAGCATGTTCATCCCGTTGCCAGCGATTTGATCACCGGAGACGTAGTCGCCTACGGCCTCGAGGTCCAGCCAGGAGAAGTCGTTAGCCGGACTGAATTGCATATATCCTTGTGCGTCGACGTGGACACTGCCGCTCGACGACAATGGACCGTCAGATGCCGCGGGAGATTGAATTGGAGGCGGGAGTTGTGAAGGGCCCTTTTGCGGCTTTATCCACAGCAGCTCCAAGAGCCTTGCGTAGCGCGACCCCGGATCCTGAGCAGAGACGGACGCTCGTTTGAGCACTTCCATGGTCTGGAAGACCAGTTGCCGAACTTGCCGCTCCTCCATGTCCGTCATCACTCCGAACGAGCGGGCTTTGTACAGGAACACGGCAGAATAAATGCAGTAGAGATAATATCTCAGCGGCATGTATCGCAGATACTTGCTGGGATCCACTTGGGTGCTGAGAAGCGTCAAGTAGGCTTTCGCAGCAGCCACACTGGCCCAAATGAAGCGTGCATCTGGCATAGCGCCGACATTGCAGAATACACTTCGGAGATGGTCCCTCAGGGAGTTGGCGTCGCTCTTGGGCTTGCTAGCAATTGCTTGAGCAATGGCCGCTTGGAAGGCAAAGGCGTTGGTGTATAGACAGAGGTATTCGTACGCCATCTGCAGCGTGACCTTGATATAAGGAGAGCACTCCAGTTTCCCCCAAGTCGTGTTCCAGCGAGCGATGGCTGCGCGGAAATCGTCGACGTACTTGACATAATCCCCCATGAGCATCATCTGTCCACTGGTGCGCATGCCCGAGTACAGAACATCGTGCACATTCGAATAGAGCTGTGTGAGATCCAGGGTTGCTTGCATGATTTTGGCATAATCTTCGTCGTCAGGGTTGATTGGTTGCAGCGAGGGGAAGTCCTGGGAGGAGAGACCGGTCATGGGTCCAGGTCCTCTCGACCAAAATGCCTTCCCAATCCTCACCGATATCAACCGATCCGAGACGTAGCAGTTGGCCCAAGCTAAGCGTTTTCGTCCATCGATCCTGGCTTCTTCGGCGGACTCTTGTCGAAAGGCAGTTCGATCAAGGCCAAGAAAATAACCCGTGCGCAGGGCCATCCCGACATGCATCCAGGCCGACCGATCTTCCTCGCCCCTCCCAACCGCTTCAATGCGATTTCGCAGGCCCTGCGGCTCCCATTCGGCAAGTAACAACAACGCCTCGACCGCCTCGACTTCACAATCATGGCCAGCTGCGATCCCAGATATCAGGTCATGCATGTATCGAGAGCAGCAGGTATGAATCGTCGGCTGTTCAATGAGGTCCTTTGACGAGATGGTGATGACGGCCGTCAGCAGATGTTTATCATTGACCGCGAAGATATCCAGCTGAGCAGGATCAAAATATTTGCGCGGCACCAGGGGAAGGTACGGGTGGTAGTGCTCAGCGTATCGTCGGACTAGCATTTGGATAATTTCGGGCGTCAGGTAGCCTTCGCGCACCAGTCGATAGGTCGAGATTCCAGCGTGGATGCCATTGATGGATCCCCTGGGTTCTGGTCTTGCTCCGTTCTGCATGTCTTGATGTGATGGATCCCCCTGCTGGCCCATTGCTCCTTTGGCTTGCAGCTGATCTGCTTCCCGGTTCGCCACGTCTTTCAACAACTGCCACGCATCTGACGGGTTCCTGGGTATGGTATTCCCAATCGTGCTGTCGGCCGTGGACGCCGAGTCGTCATCGTCAATCACGTTCGCAGCTGTGGTTGTACCTGGACCTCCTGCGCCACTGCCCAGACCTGCGGCTGTCGCAGGACGATCTTGAAGAGGGGAGGGTTGTAGAAATGGAGGAGGACCGAGGTGGGATTTGGCATTGGCATCGGCGTCGGCATAGGAATCGGTCTCAAGGAGGGGAGTCAACGTCGGAGGGTTGGACAGGGTGGACAAGGTGCTGGTGGAAAGCAGCTTCTTCCTCACTCTGCTTCCGCCGCGGTTGGACGTGCCCAGAACACACTCGCGGTTTTCTTTCTTGCATCGCGCGCATGGAGGTTGGCCGCCTGAAGCTTCCCTACAGCATCAATCAGGGTCAATCAAACGGCGAGGACAGAAGTCGATACGAGAACGGATGGTCAATCTGGATGGTTGCCGATAGGCGGCTATTGCAACTTGTGAGAGGTTTCCAGATAGCCGGGGGCCCAGACGAGCGGATGGAGACCCAGCCGACATGAAGAACGGCACACAGAGGTCCCACCTGCCCTTCCTGTACCAAAAGATACGTCGAGAAATAGAACGGAACGCTTACAGCTCACATCTGGACTTGCGGGCGCGACAGAAAGTGCATGCTCTCGACACCCGCTTCATGGGCGTCGGCGGGCTTTGGTGGTGTTCGTCGGCCATCCGGTGGTCACCGTGGCGTCGGCGGTCGAGAATCGCGTACCGGCAATCAATACAAAGTATGCTTTCAGCCCTCTGGGACTTGGGGGATTATTTGTCGGTGGACTATGGACTAACAGCACCATTCTAGGAGAATTGTTGCTCGTCTCATTTGATGCAAGGTCAAGAAGAGGAAAGGCTTTGATACGCAAAAGCTGGGGAAGAAGAAATCCGGGATGGATTCGTTCACATGTGTACTTGCTACTAGGTAGTGTTCGTGCCAGAGCGCCTGGAGGTTCAGGCCCCAGCGGGTTTGTACCTGGCCAGGCGAAGATCCGCCGAATGGCCGCAGGGACTGGAGGAGGACGAGGAGCAGCAGCAGCAGCAGCAGCAGCAGGAGGGAGGGAGGGTCTTGGGAGGGTTACCATAGAACCGGGAGGGGAAGAGGGAGGGACCACACCGCGAGGACCGGTAGTTAGACGTTAGTGAAGCCACTAAACTGTACCAAGTACCGAGTTCAGTTAAGTGGCTAGCCTAGTAGTGAGACCCGGACCTAAGGTGTGGACGGTGTACCATGGAGCGAGGCTAGCTATCCTGCACAATCATGCCCATGCGACTGCTATTTAAAGCACTACCTAAAGCCCATCTCAAGCCAGAAGCCGGTCCAGCAAACCTGGTTCACAAATAAGTGGCGCAGTCTGTCACGGCTGCGTACCTCAGGAGTGCTCAATAACGTCAAAGCGGCCACTACATCCATTATAATTGATAGTATAGGATGAATGACAGAGGGCCACTATTGCTAAAGGTAAATAGCATACTTGTCGTGAATGAAGGACATCCTCGATCTGACGGTGAATCACTCTCTCTTTGTCAGACTGTGCCACTTGTTGTTGAATCCGGCTTGCCGGGTACATACGCCCAAAATACTTCCTACCTCGTTGCCATCTTTCGTGACATGGTGTACTTGCCCTCATCCCTATCTTCTTTCATCAGCCTTGCCGCATTCTAGGCTCATCAACATCGTCACTTGTGCCATGGCTGCTGCTAGTCGGAGCAGACGAGGCAATTGTATGTGTCGTCTTGGGCACTAGTTCGAGGGTGCTTGTGCTGCTGGCGGATGAGCTTGAGCTTGAAGAAGTGCTTGCTGTCGAACACACTGCTCCCACTCCACTCCCTCCTTGGGTGGTGGATGCCGTCCCATTCGCATAGGGCGCAGCAGGAGGAGCAGCGCCAACACCCTGAGGCGGCAGCAGCCATGGTACCACCGTGGCATTTGGCACTGTCCCTTGCCACATGTCAGTCTCGCTGTTGTTGAATCCCACTACCACATCCTGGTCGCTGCCGATATTGTTCGTCATAATCACCGCCCAGCTCGAATCTGGATTGCGCACCGTCATAGTATAGAACTGGTTGTCTTGTCTCGCATCGCCCTCGTTTCCGTCTCCCAGGATCCGATAGCTCACACTGCCTCGACGGACGAAACGTGAAAACTGGCCCACCATGTAATAGTCGTTCGTGAGCGTATATTGCGTGGATGAATTCACAATAACGCTTCCCTGGTAGCCAGCACATCCACCATACGGGGAATGGGGCCCATATTCCTGATCCGTTGCCATAACCCACATGGCGGCCGCCGAAGCACCATGCGTCACAGGCGGGATGAAATTCGACGCCACTTCGAAATTCCAGCTCCCACTTTGCGGAAGGTAATTGGAGCATTCCGTCATAAACTGCAGCGTGTTTGGGAAGGCATAATGAAAATCCGACATTACGCTGTAGTTTGCCACGGGACCAGCACAGCAATGCCACGCTGCTGCGTCCGTAAGAGCGCCCTCGCCACCCGTACCTTGGATGACACGGGCGGGATACACTGGCTGATCGGTGTTGTGATCCTGGCATCAGACACCATGAATTAGAGTCGGCTTTGGACCCGACGACCAATCAATCTTCAAAGAAGAGGGATTAAAATGGAGACTTACATATGCCATGAGGATAACGCCGCGGTCGTGCATTGCCTGTCCGAGGCCCTGGGCAATCAAGCTTGCTGCATCTACTGGGTCAAGAAACATGCAAGGGTAACCGCCTTGATAGTTCAGCGGTTCATTCATTGGGGTGATACCATTGACCTGAACCCCCATGTCGCGAAATGCGTTATCCCACCATTTGCGGGACGTACGCTGGATTGAAGCTGTTGTTGAGGATATTGTAGCTTCCACCCCCGTCCACATTTAGATTCGGCGCAATGAACAGGTCATTGTACTTTGTCCATCCAGGATATGACCATGGTGAACCGAAGAGGAAGACATCACCCTTGACAGCACCCATTTTAGCGATGAATTCGGCCTGACCAGTGCCATACGGGCCCAGGCTGAAATTAGACAGGTCAAAGTCAGGCTCTCCTTCGTTGAAGCTGGGACCGTTGTCGTCGTAGGTGTATTGTTCGCCTGACAAGTCAGATGATCCAATGGTATGTCGCATAAAGCCCATGTTGTTGCCACTCTGGCCAAAGAGATCTTCCAGGACACGGGCGAGGGTAGCACTATCCAGGGACTTGAACACACTGACAGCGCTGTCGGTCCAAGCGTGTCCAAAACCAACCATCTCTTGTTGCGCACCGTTGGCCGAGTCAATAATAATATTGCGCCTTGGTGGGCATGATGATGAGCTGCTTGGGTATGTTGACGAGCGAACGGGTGGCGGACCAGGTGCCAATTGACGAGTGGTATTTGGAACTGTGGGAATCAGAGCATCGGTCATGAAAGATTGAGGAGTCAACACAGGATAGGCCCCGTCCCCAATGCCTCCACGTGGACCGCAGTTTTGAGAGCTGGCAATACACGAGACACCGAGGTTTTGGACAGACTGGGCAACGAGAAGGTTGCAGTAAAACAAAATCAAGCCGCAGAAGGGCATGAGCAAGACCATTTTTACGACTTTTGTGTGTGTCTTGATCCTGAGCATCCAAGACACGAGAACCTAGAGTACTCCGCCTTTTTGAGTAAGCAAAGCCGCTGGCAATGCAGGGCATATTGATGTCGATCTTCTCCGGCTTCATAACGTTGCAACATAGGTGGAAGTTACCTTCTATTTCGATCATATGGCTAAAAGGCCACTTCCCGGAACATAGCTTGACATTCCACTGTTGTATCTGGGGAAAGCAGATCCAGATGCAGAAAAACTTGCAGAGTTAAATCTGAGAAGAAATCCAAAAAGAGTGTGGGATCATCACCCGAGGCAGTGTACGGCAGTAACACTTCCCGCTGACAACATATGCCTCGACCAGCATCCGAATGTAGCTGATACTGCAAAAGCAGGAAGGAATATCAGTTTAGGCATCTGTCGGATGCTGCGCCCGCAGGTCTGATCGGCATCTACCTTCTGTCCTTTCGACAGGGAAGAGAGTTGAATTATAATGGATTTCACCCGCAACAAGAATTTGGAGATCAAAATCCTGGAGGTGGGCTCTGTACCACCCCTGCTCCGAGACTCCGCGGACGGCTTTAGTTGAGTGGTTTGACCCCGCAACGCACTTCGTCACTAGTTCAGAAGCCGAAAAGGCGCCTTGGATGCGACTCTGGAACTGGGGGACGTCTGAAAGCGGGCTGTCATGTCCAGAAAATCTCGACTCCTGGAGACTTTGGGAACAGAGAACAAGTTGGTCAATGAGGTGGAACTCCTCAGCAGTCAAGGGTAAAAGGAAGAAGCATACTCCCGATGCGGAGTACCAATCAAGAAGAAATATGAGAGGATGCCACCCAGATGCACCAATAGCGAGGCTATGCTGTCAATGGTAATGCACAAAACAGTGCATGGCGAGATTGCCCCGTCAGTCAACTTAGTCATCGACAAGGCTACCCCATCAGGGGCTGCGTCCTCACCCAACGGCACTCCGCCCCATGTGAAGAATGCCACCATCAGCAACGTATCTGGGAATCCTAGAGAGCAGACTTAATGAGATCGTGGGCACTTGAAATAAAAGGTTGGTTAGCTTACCTTGTTGTCCACTAGTTTATCCAACTTTTCGATCTGTGGACTTGCGGCGCTGAATGCAGTCACACTACTGGCGATTCCACTCACCTTTGCCTCATCATTCGCACCCACGGACATCTCGAGGGTCAATCAATTAGACATAATGCTCGCCAAATACCTGATGATCCAGCCTTTTCAGCATACTGAGTAACCTGTCCTCGCGCTCGCTGAGAGTTTGATGGTGTTGGGCCTCCATATCGGCTTGCGCACGAGATGGCTTTCCATTCAGATTCAATACGGTCATTTCCTCCGGTTCCTTAACCACATCCTTCTTTGGCCTCGCAAGTCTCTGTGACTGCATGTGCTTATGCGTGGTTTTTGCTCACCTTGACCGAAATCATACGTGGGGAAGTGAACGGTCGGCACATTCGGACGGTTGTCACCCGGTCTGCCTCCTTGCCTTGAGCACACGGTGCCTGGGCCGAAGCCGGTGCAGTTATATGTGCTGGTTCACCGCAGATTCCACTTTCTTTTGGAAATATGGCTCCTGCATCAATCGCGAACTCCTTGGCTGCTCGCGTCCAACCAGGTTTAGACGAAGCAGACCCTGGGTCAGCAGATCTGGACAATTCAACCACTCGCTCAATCTCGTCGTTGATCTTCAGAAAAACAGGGAAACTGTCAAGCTCAAACGTGTGGCCTGAGAGATCGTTTTTTTCACATGAGAATTTGCGCGCCAGACCCCGAAGGATTGAGGAAGCCTTGTCCTTGACTGATGCGAAAGAATCTGTGAATTTGGAAAGCTTCAAGAATTCCTCAGTCTCGTTGCCATCGAGAGACGTTTGCTTACCTGGTGAAGTCGCTCGCTGACTCGCCTTTGCCGCGGTGACTTTCTGCTTCGGTGTCTTCTCGGAAGCCTCGCAGGCCTTCAACTGTTCGACAAGGCCAGCCTTGTAAACACTTGGGTAAGTCTCACGGAGCATCGTAAGAGCCGCGACCACCTTTGCTCGATTGAATGCGCCAGGATGTGTACGCTTCATAGTCCGGCCTCGCTCTGACTCACCTTCATCAGCAGTGCGGTCGAGAAAACCTAGGCCGAATTCCTTTTCATAGATCAAGGCCTGCTGGACTCCTTTCGCACAGCGGTTCTTCATTTTCCCCTTTAAGATATCCCTTGGCTGAGGTTCATTGCTGTTCGAGCAATAGTTAGTATTTATCCCCTTCGAGCCAGGTAACTTGCCTTTGTTACCAAGTCCTCTTTGAGCGCGGCATTCCCTACTAAGGGCGAGTATATCTGGGACCGATGCTCGTGTTCGCGACAGGTCTTGATCGTGTTTGATGTGGCCAGAATGGGCAACACGGGACAAGAGAGCTTCGAATCGGGATCGCTCATGACGTCTCGCGTGGAGGGTGTCCAGAAGCAGGGTTCGTTCGATGATAAGAGATTTGGATGGATCTTGGAACGCTAGGAAGGGTTCTTCCCCCTCATTCATAGGTCCTTGGGGCGGAGTGTACCATCCATCTGGAGCGGGCCATGTGACATAGTCTGTCTCGTTGGACCCCGAAGGAGATTGTTTAGTGCTGTTGGACAGCGAGAGTCTTTGAAGCGAAATCACAACTTCTGGAAATGCGTCGAGCTGCTGTACCACCATGTTGATGGAGGAGCTAATCTGCATGAACAAATCTTTGACAGCTTCCTGCTAATACATAGGGCCTTGCTCTGTACTGGTATGCTGAGAGGGACAACTGCAATAACAAACGAAAACCAGAGTGCGAACCTGCGCAAGATACAAGATGGTTAAAATCAAGCAAAGGAAGTGAATGCCAGCTGAACCATTACTCTGCGCAAGGATGTCAGCTGGACTATATATGAGAAACAAGTATGACGAGGATGCTGTCACAAAGAGACAATGGGGCTGATGAATGCGATCAATGTTTGATCAAAGGACAAGGCCTAAAAAAAAGGCTTTTTGCCTGAGTTTACCAAAGACGAAAAGCCGCGGCCTTTGTCCCAATCTTACCGCAAAGGGCTGACGATAGATTGTCATAATATGGGATACAATGGATCGCAGCATGCGGCTGTTGTTTTACGTGCACGTTCTCTTTGAAAATTGAGTTCAGATTCTCGGCATTCTTTCTCCTTTTTGACCTTGAGCCTTGTCCGTACTTGTGATCCATGGCCATTGTAGTCCAGAAACCATCGCGGAGACAGTTTTCCTTGGTGGGCAGCGGACAGTCTCGGGCACCTTCAGCCAGGACTCATCCAGCTATAGCCGCGCTCCAATGGCGTAAATGGTGAAGGTGGGAGCCCATCGAAAAGGGGTGACCCTGAATGGCGGCGATCCTGTGCAAAATAATAAGTAGCACAGCGAAATAATGACCAAAATACACCCAAGCTACATTCCCGTTCCAGTAAGGGTCTTGAGTGTGAATTTATGAGGTTTATCTCTTTAGATACGAGATTGTCGGACACTGGCGTCACGGGTTGGTAAATCCAGCCTGCAGCAAAGAATGGCCTTACCAGGAACACATAGACATCATCAATCAGGATGAAGAACTTCCAATCGTGCTTGCTACCAGACCCTTGTCCGGCTGTAACTTCGAATGTTCATTTCCGATATGGATAGTTAACGCCACAATAGTTGAGGCAGAACCATCTTCCTCGGCTGTTTGGGACCCGTCCTCCGCGTCTGGCACATCGGGCGACGGGTTTCAATCTCGTGAGGCGGCACGACAGCCACCTCACCGTTGAGTTCGATGGCTGTCAATCAAGACGTGAATGACGCATCGGTCCTATAGAGCATGATTACCCCTGGTGCGAACCGGCTTGCAGAGGAAATAACTGATGGGACAGAGATCATCGGCGTTGACGGGTTGTTCCTTTGGTGAACGAGGCAGGATTGGCTTCCGCACTGACGGGGAAGGGTAGAATGGCGAAAAGGCAGAGATGACACTTGTTCTTTCTTTGGATGGATTTGTTGTTGCTGTGAAACTGTGCAGCCAGCTGTCCTCGCTGTGAAATCTCGCTGCGCTTCAGGCTCCAAAGGCCCACCGTAGACACCATTGGTGGGCGAGTGGGCGAGTGTGGTGATAAACCTATTATGTAAGCCGCCTGGCGTCATTGCCACGTGATCATCATTGGCAGTGGAGTGACCTTTCTTCGGCTGCGCAGCTGCGGCAGCGGAAGGCGGCGGGATTCTGCATCTCCAGCTCGACCCGCGCCATTGGGCGCTCAACTGACGCGTACCACCCGCGGAAGCCCCCATAAGCCCCCTACAAGTAAATGACAACCCACTAAAACTGAGATTTGACAGGAGGCAAACCGCAGACCACAACCATTCATAAAACTCCCTACCCTCACGTCGTCTTCTCCATGTCAGCATCGCTGCTGTTGAATTGCAGGTCTCCCTTTTGATCCTGCGCCCGGTCCTTCTTCGCTCCTCCTGTCATCTCGCCGTCAGTCTCTCCCTAATCTCCTGTTTCTACGGCCCAAGATGCCGGGCAAAACACTCCCTACAATCACCCGCACAGAGGTGGAACAACACAACAGCCGCAAGTCGTGCTATGTGACAATCGGCGAACGTGTTTTCGATGTGACGGACTTTATCGACGATCATCCTGGTGGCGGCGAGTTGATCCTCGAGTATGCCGGCAAAGACGTCAAGGAAATCTTGGAAGATGAAGCCTCACACTTCCACACCGAGACCGCCTATGAGATCCTGGAAGAGAGTTTGATTGGTTTCGTACCCACAGATGCCGTTCTCAAAACCGCAGTGGACTCGTCGCGCCCTGACCACGTCGTCCCATTGCCTGCAACAGCCCAAGGCAACCAACAACTGAGAGCCAATGGCGTCCAAGCCGAAAAGCTGCCTTCTCGACCGCTCTATGAGTCGACGGGCATGTCCTCAGAAGATGATCTTTCAAAAGAGACGGATCTGGATCAAGATTGGAAGACACATAAATTCCTCGACCTGAACCGGCCACTTTTCCCGCAGATGATCTTCAGCAAGTTCTCAAAAGAATTCTACCTTGAGCAAGTCCACCGACCGCGACACTACAAGGGTGGCGACTCTGCGCCTCTGTTTGGAAATTTCCTTGAGCCGCTCAGTAAGACTGCTTGGTACGTGGTTCCGACCATTTGGCTGCCCCCAGTCATCTACGGCTCAGTGCTCGGAATCATGAACCTTCCAAATCCGGCCGTGGGAATCGCCTATTGGTGTCTGGGTCTCTTCTTATGGACACTGGTTGAATATCTCCTGCACCGCTTTCTGTTTCACATTGACAGCTTCCTACCCGATCACCCGCTCTTCCTAACTCTACATTTTATCCTGCACGGCATCCACCATTACCTGCCCATGGACAAATATCGGCTTGTCATGCCGCCGGCGCTGTTCCTCATTTTGGCGCCACCGTTCTACAAACTTGCGCATTTCGTGTTCTGGTACAACTGGTACGCCGCCGTCACTGTCTTCAGCGGTGGAATCTTCGGCTACGTCTGCTACGACTGCACGCACTACTGGTTGCATCATCATCAATTGCCCGCCTACGTGAGGGATTTGAAGAAGTATCATTTGGCACATCATTATCAGAACTTCGAGCTTGGGTAAGTACACGAACCAGCTACAATTCAGCCCCTTCAACATGAATCATATTGCTAACATTGTCCAAGATTCGGCGTGACGTCCAAATTCTGGGACTACGTGTGGGGCACCGAGCTCAAATACACAAAGCCGATCAAGTCATCCTAATGATGGCCACTTTCGCTTTCCGGTCAATCCACGGAAGCCGTTAACAACGTTTACTTGTACAATACGTCTCGGAACGATAGAAAGCCAACAGTGTGGATGGATGATAATCACAAAACGGTGTCTACATAGGCTCTAGGTAGGTAAGGTGCGGTCTGTGGCCTCTTGCTCTTTGCTTTTCAGATTGGGCTGGCTCGTCATACATCCCCCGTGGGGCGTTTAGGCGGAAAGCGTGGGCTGGGCTGGGAACGAAAGGAAGGACAGACCTCTCAATTCAATCACATATCAACTAGTATCTGGCATCTGGGGGGGGGGGGCTGATTTTGGAGTGTAGAACATACCTGCACATTAATGAATAGACCCTCAGTAAATTAATTTTAATGATTGAATGAACAACGAACCTTTAGCGTGTAGACATGAAGACTTGTTGTAAACATCTGGCATTTAGCATGTAGCATATGTGACATATGTGCAATATGTGCGAATATGTGCTAGCTAGCGGTGCTATATGCAAAGTAAGTAAGTACAGAGTTACATGGCATGTACATGGCATGCATGCAGGGAACGTAAAAAATCGTCCACCATATCCAGCTCCTTCCCGCGCGTACCAACATTCTCCATGCACGCGGTCCAACCCATGTGACTCGCGGGAAGCGATGCAGATATGCGGAAAGATCATGACGAGTGTGGCTGCTCATAGGCGGACAAGTTCAGTGGCGTGGTCTGGTCTGGTCTGGTCTGGTCTGGTCTGGTCTGCATTGGGTACCGTGGATGACCCTTCTTTTTCTTTTCTCTATGCGCTGATTCGTTAAGAGGAGCCCGGCTCTTCCTCTCCCGTCCATGTTGATGCGATCCGGTAATGTACAGTCGTGTCGAACAGTTTCTGAAATTCCAGCTTGCAAGAAAGATTCATCGTTTCACGTCATGAGGAGGAAGAAGAAGAAGAAGGACGCTGGGTCGCCTCTGCCTTCTGCGTCGTAGTCCAGCCTAGCCACACGAACGGGTTTCGCGCCTTGAGCCGGAACACGGCGTGGTCTGTTGAAACTGTTGGTGCGGGCGCAGGCGTCGGTGAAGGATCTGGAATGGGCACAAGAGTGAATGTTAGCGGTTGGTCTCCCTCGGTATTAGAAAGTGATGGTGTGGGCCAAGAGGAAGAGCTAGAGGTTGTGCTGGCAAGGGGGACTGTGACTGTAACGGTCTCTGTGGATGTGGAGGAGTAGGAGGTGGAAGGTAGCGGAGTGGGCTGAGCAGGGTTGCTGTCCATGTCTGTGGTAGATGAGAGGGGAAGAGGTGGGAAGGGTTGGGCACTGCTCGATAACGGCGCTGATTCGACTGAGCCAGCGACAGCGCCGGCAACACCAGAGGCAGAGGCAGAGGCAGACGGGGATGGCATGTATGTCGTCAATGTTAATGCACTGGTGAGAATGACTGTGCTCTGAGTCGTGGTTGTCTCCGTTACTGCGGATAACGGGGACACAGGAATTACTGCGGCGGCGGCTGAAGCCGAGGGCACATATGTCGTCAAAGTCAATGTGCTTGCGACTGTGACTGTGCTTTCAGCCGTCGCAGTGGTCGTGTAGTTGCTGGAGCCATCATTGTCGTAGCCATGCCTGCCGCCATACTCGGTGCTGCCGTGGCTCTGTCTCGCCCCGCCAGTGGGATGTGAATGAGGCCACTGAGTCCTGGAAGCCCAAGCGCCACTGAGCCAAGGCGGTGGACCACTAGGATGAGTGAACTTTGGATATGCCGAGCCAGATGGGCACCAGAAGCAGTGGGCAGAATGTGAGTGGGTGTGAACGTGGGTGTATCCAGACGTCGTAGGGGAGGCATAATCGTCGTCCCCAGACTCAGAGGCAGTGGAATAGTATGACTCACCTGCGCTTCGCTTGGTGTACTGCGTCTGATACACTGTCTGGTAGACGGTTTCGAAGACGGACTCGTACTCGGTGAAAGTCGCCACGGCGACGTTGCCGGCGGCATTTGGAGCCGCTGTCACTTGGGGTTCTAAGGAGGAGCCAGAGTCAGCAGCTAGGCTCTCCAACCATTTGGCAAGTACGCGGAAGATCCACGGGAGGGCTGACTTACCGTTGTTGTTGCCCTCGCCGCCACGTCCACCACTCTGCTGCGACTGGGCAGCATCAGTAGTAGTGGTGAACACGCCGATGGGAATGACACTGAAGGTTTGGGTCTCGATGCCTGGTCCAGCTGTCGAACCTACGTGAACGCTCAGGAAGGCAGGCACACCCGTCTCAGTCGCTGTGGCAGCGGAGACACTAGCTTCGCTTGCACCGCCGGAAACGGGACCTGTCGCTGAGGCAGAGAAGGCAATGGTGGAACCTGTGGAAGAAGAAGTCAGCGCGGGGGTGGTAGGCGTCGGCGATACAGTTTGCGTAAGAAAAGTCGTGGGCACGTTGGTGAAGGGGATAGTCTGACCTGTGACAGCAGTAGGATTGGCAAGGTCGGTCATTTGAGCGGACACGGCAGCATTGTCAAGGGGTTGGCCTTGTTCCCAGCCGACTTGTGCCTTGGAGACCGAATCCACTCCGGTACTGTCAACGATGTCGACATCCATGCAGGTGGTGTAGATTTCTTGCTTGCCATTGGGGAAACCCGGAGTGCCTGGCAAGGTGGGCCAATCCCAAACCCAATAGAGCGTGTACGGCTGACCGGACGGTGCATCGGCTGGAATCTGGATGTCCTGCTGGCACCAAAGATCCTGGCCCATCAGATCATCGGCAGGATGCTTGTACGTTTGTTGACGTTGTTGAGAGATTTGACCGCCGTTCACTTGATAGCATTGACCATCGTCGAAGTTGCGAGTGGACAAAAGGCGACCCCGACCATCACCGCCTGTGCCATCAGGAGTCCAAACACGGTGGATGGCGAGGAAAGAGTCATCCGGGCTAGCTTGAGTGGTGCCGTAAACATAGACTGTGCCTCGATTCGGGGGCTTGCCGGGCTGGTTGTCTGGCAAAGTAACATGGCCGTTTTCTTGGAATCGCAGCGCAACACCCGCTCCAGCAGCCGCCTGAAGTCTCGGAGAACCGTCGGTTTGGGTTTGAGAGGTTTGCGAGGATTTGCACATGAGATCGCTGGGTTGGATTTGGTTGATGGGACGCCCATCCGGTGGGATGAGATTGACCATGGTGGGATCACTGAATCCAGGAGTACCGCGCAAGACATTCCCGCGTGCAAAGCCTGGCTGTCCTACCAAAGTCCCGTTCGGAGCGATAACCATCAACTGTTCGACCCACGTGTGCGCTGATGTGAGAGGTATCGTAGCAAGCAACCCGACGAGGGCGCTGCTGAAGATTGACTTGATGGGCATAATGAAGAAGTTTTCGGGTTGGTTGAGGTGAATGCTTCTGATGACCAGCAAGAAGAGTAATCGTCGAAGGGATGGGGCTTATCCGCAAAGAGTGTAATCTGGGAAGAGATTTGAGTTCTTTGAAGGGACCGTGTGGTACTCGCTGAGTACGGATTGTCTGAAAGGATTGGTGGCTCGAAACTTGTCGAAGCGCAAAAAAAGGTGGTAGAAAAGCAAATGGACCGGCACGGCCGTGACAAAGGAGTGTCAAGAACAAACAAACAAAGGCAGTGAGGATGAAAGGAGTGACAATGGGATCACATTGATCTCTGGGACAAAGCAGTATTACAATGCCGACGCAAGCATTGTTGTTTGTCTGGTCATGAGAACAATGGTAAGGAACGGCAGGTCGATAAGCGAGCGACTTCACCTTGGGGCAGCGGACGACCAGAGGGTCAGGCAGAAAAGCACGAGACAAGAGAAAGAACAAGAAGAGCTTGCGAACCAGCAGATGAGCGAGTGGAGTATGGATATGGGAATATTTCGATCGGCATCTAAGCGCAAGGGGGCAGATGGATCATGGAACCAGCCTTGATCCATGTGGATGGACTCGATAGAACTCTCCCCTTTCCGGGGTCAAGGCTGTGGGATAGACATTGCCTTGGGCCATCGATAGGACAGACAAGCCACCAAGCCACCGCGATGCTGCCTCCACGCAGGGAAAAGGGTCTGGATCTGACGGAGATGGCGTTTCAGGAGCTTGGAGCTTGCCCTTACCCTGTTCGCATGGCCCGGGACGGTGCAGATGTGGTTGGTGCGGGACTTTTCTTTGGGACGATCTTGCGCATTAACCTTGAGATTGAAGCTTTGTGGAGAGAGTCCCCCGTCCGGTTAGGGCGCAAAGGAGGCGACCGGCATTGTGAATGTGCTGGTAGCCAGTAGTACCTCGTAGACAAGTGTCTTGCCTGGGTACTGTATGGTTCAACTGTCCTCACTACCTTCACCAGGGTGAGGCAGTAACACAACCTGCACCACGCGCTACAAGTTGAAGTGAAAGTGAAGTGAGTGGAACAGCATCAGGAACAGACACCTCTAAACGCGCAGGACATCACTCACTCACTGATGGCACACAACCAAGAAAAGAAAGGTCCCTTGTGACCCCTTTCATTTCAGACTGCTGGTCATGTCGAGGACCACGAGGTAAGTGATAGGGATCGGAAAAGACGGGAGACACACGATAAGGCGACGAGGGAAAGAAGGTGGGTGAAGGCGGGCGAAGGTGGGTGAAAGGTGGTCACTTATCAAACAGTAGCGTGTGTTTCAGCTTCCGGTCTAGCGACTCGCCAAATTACGCCACCAGCCAATCATGCACCTTGAGGCTCGCGTTCCTGCAGCTCGGCCCTGAAGGCTGCATGAACAAGGTGCTTGCTTTACCCCCAACTACGCCACGCCTGAAGCTTGACCTCGACCTTGACCTTTGGTTCTCGGCCAGTCTTTCCAAATCGAAACACGACCTTCTTTGCATGACATGCACGAGGGGTGGGGGGAGAGGGAGAGACGGAGGGACGTTGCTTTCCGAAGGGCATGCTGCCAGAAATACTACAAATCCATCGTACAATTCACTCTGTTTGGCCATCGGGGTGGTGCGACAGATATATTTCCCAAGGACAGATGACAAAAGCTTAAGCTCCCAATACTAATTATGGTCCATTCCGCGTATCCAAACTTCCTCGCCCCGTTCCAACTGGATCTGCCGGCGGTCTTGGGGTCCTGGAATGACGTAGGGATGGAGTGAGTAGTCGAAGCTGGTGATACAAAGACAGATTGAAGGCAGATGGCCAAGGCTCCCACAATCCTCCCGCTGACGAAGCTGAATGGAGAGTTTGGCCCCGGACTCCAACTCCAGACTCCATGCTGACGCTGATTGAGATGAGATGTCTCCTCCGCCCACCAACCGTGTTGAAGATCGATGACAGTTGGTTTAATTGTCCTCCACCTTTACCGCTTGAAGCCGCTCTCCTCGCGCAGGTATGCCTCAAAGTCCAGCATCTTCTCGTTCAGTCGTCGACATTGTTCCAGATCGGCACCGTATCCTTGTTCCTTGAACCATCGAACCATCGTGCCCGCTTCCGGCACCATATACAGGAGAAAATCGCTCACAAAGTCGTATGAGCGCGGCATGGGTCGACCCAATACCTTCCAAAATATCTCCTCGGCTTCGGCTTGGGTCAGGTCGCACCCAGCCAGACTGATTGCCGTGTTTTTGTAATCTTCTGTATCCGCGGCGCCGAATGCTTTGGCGGCCAAGACACCGATGTCCCTTACTGCGACCAACTGAAGCCGCTTGTCTCCTAAAGTATGCCAGGTGGCAGCGAAGATGCGACCGGGAAGGCTTGGGTTGAGATTGTCCATGAATGCCGTCGGGCGCAAGATGGTATAGGTCATGTCCGTTCCGCGGACCTTTTCTTTTAGATGCTTCTCCACTTTGTACTGGAACGTCGTCAGTATTGTCGCGTGCATTCTGATCGCACGCAGCGTCGACACACCTTGGATACGAAGTGCGCCACGTAGGTGGCATCCACTTCAGATTTGTCCGCGCCACCGCGATCCACAGAGGTATAGACAAAGTGCTTGACTTTGCTCGCAATGGCGGCGTCCACCATATCAATCCCCTGCTGTGCCTCCTGTTCCTCTACCTTGCTCTTGAGATTGGGTAATGTGACGCAGAAGACGCCCCATACCGCGCCGACGCCTCCGGCTTTTGCGAAGATGCTTGTGCAATCATTGAGGTCACCCTCGACGAGGGTGACTTGAGGCGCAGAGGCTAGAGCTTTGGCTGCATTGGAGGTGGTCTTGCGGGTGACAGCGAGGATTTCGTAGTCAAAAGGAGGAGGGTTCGCAAGCAGCGCTTTGACGACAGCGCCGCCTTGCTTGCCCGTGGCACCGGTAACGAGGATCTTTCGTGTCGTCATGTCTGCTGTTGGAGGCAATTGTGTGCGTCAAAGTAGTCAGCCAGATGAACAGGAATTGACTGTAATTTTAGATGCCGGTTGAAGACCGACAGCGGATGAGCTACCTTGCTCGCCTGCTCGCTTGGTACAACCAAATGCGCAATCGTAGATTTGACGTCATCCCCAAACACAATCTGTTGGCCAAATTGGCGAGGACACGAGGACTAGGCAACATCTTGCGCCGGATATCTTCCTCTCCTTCTCATGCTAGTGCCCACAGTGATAGAGTCCGCAGCATCATCGTGGCCGTTGGAGAACCATCCATGATTTTATCTGCCACATCCATTTGCGGACGGTTTCTTTGTGTAGCTTCTGGCTCAAAGTGGTCCGCGCCTCGGAACGCGACGCGCCGTAGATGGAATGCCTGAAGCGAATCCCATCCCACTTGACCCAATGTACCGGTACAGAACTTTTCGCAAAATAGGTAAGACACGGATGCGGTCACTATGATGTGATCACCACCTTGACAGGTACCCTCCCCTCGTCCTCTCCTTCCCGCCCTTGATTAGTAGCAATTCTGAAGGCCTTCTCCCCGTCCGCAAGTGCCACCCGATGGGAGACCAGGTCCTCGGCAACACCGTCCAACTGGCCACTGGCAAAGAGTGCGATGGCCGCAGGATAACAGTTGGCATATCGGAACACACCGATAATGTCCACTTCCCTCAGAGCAGCCGCACCCAAAGGCAGTGTCTGAATTGGCGTGCCCATTCCAACTAGGATGAGCTTCCCGCCTGCTGTGGCTGCATAGATGCCCATCTGGACACACGATGGAACTCCTGTGCACTCAAACACGCGGTCAAACCCGGCCTCTACTCCTACCGACTTGCAGATTTCCGCCGCCTGTTCCTGGACTTCCGCCAGAGTCTCTGAAATCGTTGAGGCGGGGGACTTCCGGGGAAGGAGGAAAGTCTTCAACTTAAACTTGCCACCACCCAGCGTTGCGGCGATCTTTAATCTCGGGGCATCGATGTCTGCTATGACAATCTCGGATACTCCAGCGACTGACAATGCTGCAGCAGTCAGCATTCCCACGGCGCCCGCGCCCAGGACCAAGGCGGTTGAGCCCACCAAAGGCACTCCAACCCCCGACCCTGCACTCTGACTGCGGTTCAACGCGTGTAGTGAGACGGCCAAGGGCTCCACGAGGGCACCTTGTTCGAAAGTGACATTCTCTGGCAATTTATGACACATGTTGGCTGGTTGTGAGATCACCGTTTGCAGCGTCCCGTCGGTGTGAGGGAATGTCTTTGCAGAAGATCGAAAAGACAGCCTGGAACACAGGTTGTATCGACCAGTACTACACTGGGTGCACGAGCGACAGGGGAAACCGACTTCCAAGGCCACTCTATCACCCACCCTGAGATTCGGTGAAGCGACATCGGCAGTCTTGTCCCCATTCGTGGCGTCAGGAACCGCAGTGACAACGCCTGATGCTTCATGGCCAAGGACGAGTGGCGACTGAACGACAAAATTTCCGTTGCGCCCCAAGTTGAAGTAGTGTAAGTCTGAACCGCAGATGCCTGTTGCCTTGACTGCTATTTGGACATCCCCATGTTGCAGCACAGGTGGTGGTCTCGTCTCCTGAACGAGCACAGTTATGTCAATTTCGCACTTGTTTTGCAAGAGTAACCGGGTTGCTTACCAGCCTCAAGTCCTTTGCACCGTGTAAAACCAAGGCCTGGACAGTTTCTGTAGATGCCATTTCATCTGAATCGAATTTTGCCTGGTTCTGCTCCTGGACGAAAAGACGGTTGCTGGCACGGAGGATTATCGAACCTTTAAATGAAACAGGATATCTGCTTCGACCACATCAACAGTAAAACATTGAGTGAAGAGACGGGTTGAGCTGTACCAGTGAAACCTGTACGAGAGATGACTACAGTGTTCTTAAGAGTGATCCCGCAAAGGCACCATAGCATCCATGAGGCAGTGCCGTGCCCCGTTTTTCTGAAGGGGGTGTTGGAACGGGATTTTCTCCGACGCTGGATCAAGTCTATTCGAGGAATCTTCGGCGAGTGTCGAGGGAGACTCCGACCCTGAACCATTATGGCCCAGCATGCCACAGTTTGGTCCATTGGGAAGAAGTCAGAGGATGTGTGTGGGGGTGAAATACACGAAGCGGCAATTGAAGTGCGGGGTGACTAACGGCGACACCACGAGGGGGGTTGTCTATGGGATTGCGATGTTCGCAGTTTCAAAAGCCGACGGAATGCCCGCCATCACTTTCGCTGCACCCAGTGACGCTGAGAGAGATATATCCCCAATAAATTTTTAATGGATTTTAGGATTTGGTCATGTTTGCCCTGTCATCCTGCTTTCGACAAAACGCTTTGTCAACGAGTGTTTCCCTGAGCCGCGTATTCCCTCAGCGACCGTCCCTCAACAAGTCTCTTACAATCATGTCGAAACCTACCGTTCTCCTGATCGGAGGATTGGCACACATAAATAAAGAGTGGGAAGGCTTGGGCTCGAAATACAATCTGAAAGAGTTCCGAAAGGGCACCCGCGAGCAATTCCTCTCCAACTGCAGGGCCGGCCAGTACGACGACGTAGTGGCTCTCTATCGGTCCAACCAGTCCACATCAGAAACAGGTCTCTTTGATCAAGAGCTGGTCTCTGTCCTGCCCCGGTCTCTGCGATACATCTGCCACAACGGGGCCGGATATGACAATATTGATGTGGACGCTTGCACCCGAAGGGGACTTCGGATATCCAGCACCCCGATTGCCGTTGATGACGCCACGGCTGATGTCGGCATCTTCCTGATGCTGGGCGCGCTGAGACTGGCATGGGTGCCTTTGGTGGCGATCAGAGAAGGCCAATGGCGGGGGAAGGCCCAACTCGGACACGATCCAAAGGGCAAAGTGCTCGGTATCTTGGGAATGGGCGGCATTGGTAGAGTAAGCGAGCCAGCATCGCCTGTGTGAATTGCCCAACTGACTGAAACCAGGCAATGGCTCACCGAGCACGAGCATTTGGAATGAGGATTGCCTACCACAACCGAACGCGCCTGCCGAAAGAACTCGAGGGCGATGCGACATACCTCAGCTTCGACCAATTACTCGCGCAGTCCGACGTTCTCAGCCTCAATCTCTCTCTCAACACCAAGACGCGACATATAATATCTGCGCCCGAATTCGCAAAAATGAAGGACGGAGTGGTCATAGTCAACACGGCTCGAGGAGCCCTGATCAACGAGAAAGACCTGGTGGCAGCGCTCGAGAGCGGCAAGGTGTTTTCAGCGGGGTTAGACGTGTTCGAAGAGGAGCCCAAGGTGGAGGAAGGGTTGCTGAAGAATGAGAGCGTCTTTATCGTGCCACATATTGGCACCAGTACCTACGAGACACAGCGGGAGATGGAGTTGTTGGTGTTGCAGAACCTGCAGAACGCGGTGGATCAAGGGTCTCTGTTGACACCCATTGCGGAGCAGAAAGGAAAGCTGAACGAGCATTTATGATGGAAATGAACAAGGTTCTACATAGGATAGACATAGATGATAAAAGGTGCACAGCTCGGCAGGCAGACTTGGAACGATGAATTTGGATATACTTGGTAGAGCGTACCAGGTCTTGCCAGGTCCTTTGAAGGGCGGCCCACAACCCGCTAAGCTGTGCTTGGCTGTGCAAGCTGAGAGACCTCGGCATTCCTTTCACATGCGCTGCAATCGTCATGTCCAGCCTTTCAAAACATCCCGCTGGCACTCTCACCACCCTCTTGGCCGTCCAACTTGCGTCAGTCTGTCGACAGCACATGCCTGCACCTCCATCGTTTGCCGAAGTTAGATCCAAATAGATCATGCTGCGCATCTATCCAACCTTTCCGCTCGACATTATGTGGTAGCTGAGCATGACGCTTCGTCGTCCCTTCCGATGAACACCTCAGTTTCCGCTCCCTCTCCCACGCATTCGAGATGCCTGTTCAGTCCAAAGAGGACCCATTAGTTGTCCTGTACAATCATTACCTCACCCTCTTTCGCGCCCAGGTCCGCCGCATACCTAGATCTGTCAAACTTGCCGCCACCGCCGCCCTCGTTCTGTCCATCCTCTCCTCTAGCTATGGCGGTTACAAGTGGTGGCAGGTTCATTCAAAAGAGAAGGCCCAGGGCCGGACTCTGGTCCGCAAGAATAGTGGCTTAAGAGGGAAAGGAGGAGAACGCATCATCTATGTTCCCAAGGGCGATACCACCTCCAAAGTCATCATCCATCCCACACGCTCCACGACATTTGATGCCCATCGCAGACTGTTTCTGACACCTCCACGAGTCACTCGTCTGACCAGCGGTACTTCGACTCCGGCCTATGGCCCTCCTCCTCCGCAAACAAAACCCGGCCTCAACCTAGCTTTCCTCCATCAATTCCTCAGTCTAGCGAACATCATGATCCCGAGGTTCCGAAGCAAGGAGACTGCCTTACTCCTGAGCCATGCCGTCTTCCTGATCTTGAGAACATACCTGTCTCTTCTTGTCGCGAGGCTGGACGGTGCGATAGTACGAGACCTGGTCGGCGGTCATGGAAAGCAATTTCTGCTCGGGCTTCTGAGATGGCTGTCCATTGGCACACTAGCCTCCTATACCAACTCGATGATCAAATTCCTCCAGTCCAAAATATCAATCGCCTTCCGCACGCGGCTGACGAGGTACATCCATGACCTCTACTTGAACTCGAACCTCACTTACTATAAACTCACAAATCTAGACGGCGGAGTCGAAGGCGCAGATCAATTCATCACACAAGATCTTACATTATTTTGTACAGCGGCGGCATCATTGTATTCTTCTCTGGGCAAACCTCTGGTTGACATATTCGTCTTCAACTATCAACTCTACCGCTCACTCGGTCCCTTGGCTCTGACCGGTCTTCTGGTGAATTACTTTGGCACTGCTACCATGCTTCGGAGGCTGTCTCCGCCCTTTGGGAAATTAAAGGCCATCGAAGGCAAGAAGGAAGGAGATTTCCGTGGGCTTCATGCGAGATTGATCGCCAATGCAGAAGAGGTTGCCTTTTACGGCGGTGCCGACGTCGAAAAGGTCTATCTCGACAGGTCATTCAAAGAACTCCGGAGTTGGATGGAGGGTATTTACAACGTCAAAGTCCGGTATAATATGCTGGAGGACTTTATTCTGAAGTACTCGTGGTCTGCGTTTGGCTATATTATTACTTCGATTCCTGTTTATCTCCCTGCATGGGCCGGATTAAATACGATTCTCGAAGCTACTTCCAGCTCAGGCAGAGAGGTCGCAGAATCCTCTCGGTCGGGATCGCACATGAAAGAATTCACCACCAACAAGAGACTCATGCTCTCGCTCGCCGACGCAGGTGGTCGCATGATGTACAGCATCAAAGACCTCTCTGAACTGGCCGGCTACACGTCCCGAGTCTACCAACTCATCTCAACTCTTCATCGAGTGCACGCCAACGCCTATGCGCCCATAGGGCGCCGAGCCTCTCAAAGGGTCGAGCTCTACTCCCTCGCGGACGTACAAGGCACAATCCAATACGGCTTTGACGGCGTTCGTCTTGAAGACGTCCCTGTCGTAGCACCAGGCTTGTGGCCCTACGGTGGCGACGAGTTAATCGAATCTCTCTCCTTTGTCGTCCACAGTGGCGAACATCTACTCATATCCGGCTCCAATGGAGTTGGTAAATCCGCCATTGCCCGCATTGTTGGAGGGCTTTGGCCCGTTTACCGTGGCTTGGTCTCGCGACCTCGAAACAACGGCATGGATGGAATCATGTTCCTACCACAGCGACCCTACCTCAGCATTGGCACGCTAAGAGATCAAGTCATCTACCCGCATACGGAGATGGATATGCGAGAGAACAATCGACGGGACAGTGAACTAGAGCGAATCCTCGAGGAAGCCAAACTTGGCCACTTACTAGCAAGAGAGGGTGGCTGGGACACGCGCAAGGAGTGGAAAGACGTGCTCTCGGGCGGCGAGAAACAGCGGATGGCCATTGCTCGCTTGTTCTACCACGAACCCAAATACGCCTTTCTCGACGAGGGGACTTCTGCGGTATCCTCGGATGTTGAAGGCTTGCTCTATGAGCGGTGCAAAGAGAAGGGGATCACGATCATAACTCTATCCACACGCGCCAGTCTCCGAAAATACCACACATTCAACCTCCTGCTAGGCCTGGGCGAGGAAGGGTTTGATTGGGAACTGGTCCGAATAGGCACGGACGAGGAGAAGTTGGGAGTGGAAAAGGAGATCGCCGAACTGAAGCAGAAACTGGCCATGGTGGATACATGGGAGAAAAGGAGAAAAGAGATTCAGGACGAGCTGAACCAGGTCTTTGTCGTCAGGGACGGCCAGGACACTGGGCAAAAGAGGAATTTGGAACGTCCGGGGTACATTGGAGACGAGGCTGAATCACAGCAGGAGACTCCATGACAGCTGAATGTCCTGTCTAGGGTCGTTAAGCAACATGAGCTATACTACTGGCAGATGCGGATTCGTCCCGTCACCACTCCAAGCATCAAAGTCCCTTATTACCAGCCAGTTGAGCTTGCGCATGCTCTTCTCTTCTTTGTCGTCACTCATCCGATCCTTTTCGACTTCTCTCATATCTTTTTGGAAATCCTTCTCCTCCTTCCTCCTTTCCCTGTCATACCTGTCCAGCACCCTCTGCCTGTCTCTCTCCAGCCTGCCGACGTCCCTCGACTTCTGCTTCCGCGTGGCGTCGGCCAATTTGTCGTCAATTTCGCGCAAGTGCTTCTCGACGTCCTTGTTGAGCTTTGCCATCTCCCTGTCGAAGTCCCTCTGGGCCTTGGCGGCTTCCTTGTTGTACTCGTTTTGGAGTTTGTTTCGCTTTTCGACGAGTTTCTTCTCCCCGTTCCGCCTGTCCATCTCGCTCATTTTGACATTTAGCCGGGAGAGGGCGTTGGCGGGCACGTCGATCTGTGGGAGAGGTGTCACTTCCAGCTCGGCGATCCAGGGTCTCATGGCGTCCAGCCTGCGCTGCTGGCCGCTGACATTGTCGTCGTATGGTGCAGGAGAACTTGCATCTGCTTCCGCGACGCCTTCCAGGGGCAGCAACAGCCTCGCGTGCTTGTTGAGTTTGCCCCTGTCGTCGAAGACGCCGTCCATGCCGACCAGTTTTGCGAGGGCCTCGGTCTTTGCGATCTCGACTTTCAGTCCCCGGGGGTTGAAGATGTCGGTGTTTGCCCGCCTCAACTCGATCTCGGTGCGTCCGCGCTGCACCACCCCCGCGGAGATCTCGGCCGTGAGATTCACGGCTGCCCCGACGATCTGGGCGGTCGGCTCCGGCACGAAGCCGACCATGTTCCCGGCCAGGCTGAGGGCCTGCAAGGGCGGCGACTTCACGGCCACGCGGTTCAAGGTGTCCAGAAAGGAGAGAAATAACGTGGGCGAGATGTGGTATTCGGCGAGGCAGGGGGGATAGGCGCGCAGGAACGGCGAGCCGTAGCGCGCGAGGGTGGCGGGGATGGCGATTGGTTTGGCGAGGCGGGATCGTGACTGTGACTGTGACTGTGACAGGGATGAAGAAGGGGAGAGACGGGGTGATGGAAGCGCTTGGGCACGGGCATGGGGGTAGGGATATGGATATGTATATGCTCCTGCTTCGGCGGCCTTGGGATTGGGCTTGATGGATTCGTCGATGGCTTCAGAGTATGTTGGCGGTGAGTCTGGGTTCTCGTTATGGGTTTGGCTTTGGCTTTGGGTCATTCTCATTGCCATTGTCATTGTCATTCGTGCGGCCTCGGCGCGGCCGTGACTGCCGCCGTACGCTCCAGAGTGTTGTTGCGGTTGTTGTTGACCTTGACCCGGTTGTGTGACAAAGGCATTGTAGCCGTAGTTGTAGGTGTATGGTGTTTGACTCTTGGGATCTCCTTTTGGCTTGCACATGGCTGGCGGTTTCAGGATGAGATGTTTATTTACTGCGTGTTTGTTGAAGATGTGTTCTGTATCTGTGCCTGTACCTGTGCCTATTACTGCAAGACTGACCTACGGGTGTCCCAGCATATATATATATATATATATATATATATCTATATATCTATGTCTGTGTGCCTCCCTGTGTGTGTTATGATTCCCTGCTGTGCGTCTCGATCTGATTTCCCAATTCGTCCCTTTCCGCGATTCGTCGCAAGCGTACTGCGCAGTGGAGTACGACCGAGGATTCCGTGGGACAAGACTCGCTGGTACGAGGATTAAGCAACTACAAGCACTAGGCGACGAGCGAGTACCTACCAAGTGACCAAGTGACATTTACCTAGTTGGTGCCCTGAAAGGTCCACCGTACCCCACACCTAGATAAGTACCGGATATGTAATTAGGTGCTAGTCCCGAGGACCCCAGCCTGAACCTTGAGTGTAGCTGGCTGGCTGTGGATAGTTCGTTGCTCAGCCTCCCTCCCTCCCTCGGTCTCGCTGAATCCTCGCTCATACTTATCTCGCACCACATGGACGAGGGCGCACCGCCTACTTACCATGTTACATCCACAAGGGTGCAAAGTAGCTTTCTGACTTTCTGACATGTCTGTCTGTTTGTCTGTCCGTCTGTCGATGATCGGTCCCCCTCCTTGTTTCCTTTCAGGCCCCCTACCCACCAAGCCATCCCCCCCCTTTACAAAGCTATCACTAATTGGGCATTTCGTGGAATATGCCGCTTCCGGAAGGGATCTGTCGATGTGATTGGTCGAACGCGGCGTGGCTGGACAGGACATAGGTACAGGATCCCAAATCGCCGGGGCCAGAGACGATACCTAGATACTATGTTGATTGATAGAAACCTAGGTGGGCATGCATGAGTGCATGCATGCCCCCCCCCCCCCCCCAGTCTTATCTCCTTGTCCTCCTCACTCGACAACTTCAAACCGGCGTCTCTCCTGCTCATCAACCGCCAGAGTCTTGAGCGTCCACGACCACAGCTCTTCCTGCTTCGCCTCGTCATAACTATCCACGCTCGACTTGATCTGCTTCTTCCCCTCGAAATACACGCCGCTCGTGCCCTTCACTGCGTCGTCGAGAGCCACCCATGCCAAAGAGGCACCCGACTCCTCTGCCCTGTGGATGTTCGGAGACACGACGAGGCGCAGCAGCGGGATCAGTGCGGGGAGGACACGCTTCCACATGAAGCGCAGGAGCGCCGGGTACTGTCTGGCGAGACCGGTGCCGGGCATGAGGCCCGGGTCGAACGCGACGACGGTCCATTTCTTCTGGGGAAGTCGTCGCACGCGGCGGTCGAGAGCGTACGTCCAGAGGACGTTGCACAGCTTGCTGGTCGTGTAGCGCTGCCGGCCTGGGATTTTGAGTGCGTCCCCAGAAGGGTGGGCCAGGTCTTCGGCACTCGTGTACTTCGCGTTGGGCATGCCCGTCTTCTGCATCGGGTCGTGCGTGCCGCTAGCCGTGACGACGATGCGCACCTCGTCTGCCAGGTACGGCTGCAGGAGGGAGAATAGCAGCGCGTGGCCGACGTGGTTGATGCCGAAGCTCGCCTCGAACCCGTCCGCCGTGTACTTGATGTCAAAGGGGAATTGGCTCCCCGCGTTCAGCAGGAGGACCGAGATCGGTGGCAGGCTTTTCTCGCCCCAGCTCTGGACAAACGATCGGACGTTCTTCACATCTCCCAGATCTAGAGGCATGAATCGCACATTGTCTCTGCCAACGCTCCGATTGATAGATTCCGCACTCCCATCTGCGTTCTTGCGCGACGCTATGACGATGCAGTGGTCTGGCCGTTGGCGAGCGATCGCTGCTGCGGCGTGGAAACCCAGGCCCGTCGTACCTCCGGTTACAATGACGGAGCGGGTGAAGTTGGACATGGCTACATATAATCTTTTGACGATGGCTTCCCTTTTTTTTTGGGTTTCTTGTCGGCGAGCTTGCCAGACGGAAAGCGTGGACGACTGTAGAGATCCTCCGGACTCGAATGGATGGGGTGTACAGAGTATATGTGCGCTGAAGAGTTAACCACCCAACTCGGAGTCGGAGGGTCTATCGCTCCATCTCAACCAATCTCCGCATCAATCCCACGAATCAAATCGCGACCCCTCTAACCTCGACCTTTCGTCGTCAGGGCACCGTAATCGTTTTTCTAAAGCCATATGTTAAGACATTGAGATGTGATGGGCCACGGCTATAGCGTCCTAGGAGGAAATAGAAAGAGAGAGGAATTAGAAGTAGTAGGACTCGGTATTGGGAACAGCCATCTCACTGATGCGATTCCGCCTTAGCTGTCCGCCTTGTCGGTCAGCCTTGTCAAATGGTGCCCGCGCCACACCCCACTCCACCAGCGCTAGTTGTGTAGCAGTTACTCCCTCCGGCACGGGTACCCGCTCGAAATGAACTTTTCCTTGGACCATGGGAGAATGACTGGAAAGTCAAGATTCAAGATGCGCATGAAACGAGGAGAGATCGTGAGACCCCGAGGCAAGCAAACTTGCCAAGGATAACGCTCGAAACGTTTTCCAAGTAAGAGAGCCGCTTGGAGACCTATTACGGTCCAACTGTACCTATTTATTCCGAAATGGGAAACTCCTCTCTCGCGACGAGTGCAGCAAATCATAATCAAAATTGCAGCTCCTGCAGTAACTTCTTCTCTTTGATTCTGTTCTAAATGGTTTTACCATTCCTATGACCTTTATAAGACAAAGGGACAAGCCACCCGTCATTCCACAATAATAGCAAATTCCAACGAAGATATTGTAATAGAGCACTTCAGGGTTCGGCGTGCACGTGCAACAACGCACAGAGGCCTGTCCAGCAGGTCGGGAATCGAGAACGCTTTTCTGGTTGGCGCTGACAGGACAACAACACCACCAACACCACCCAGAGAGGGAGCGGCTAGGGCAACGAACGCCTAGCACGGCGGAGGCATTGAGGAGCTGGGATAAGACCGATAACACTCAAGAAATAGGCAGACGGCGCCAAAAAGCCATGGAACTGTGATACTCTATTCAAACTGTAAAAGAATAGCACCCTACCAGCACGGTGAACTATTCAGCGCTCCCCCTACCAACCCATTTTGGTTTGACATGTAACTAGACAACTCTCCTTCCTGCTACCCCTCTACCAGCCCAGCACAGCCACTTTGCCTTGTTACAACACGACCATAGAAATGAAAAGAGAACCTGCAAAATGTCGCCCGTGCTTAGGGTATAGTCAAAAGTTAGCCTGGAGGCTTACGCCCAGCACCGTTTCCTACTGTAAGCCTGACTGCCTTCTGAACAGCAGCCGAAATCGACTCCCCAGCCCGAAACATTTTTGAGCAGGTCTTCGAGGCACAAAATTAGGCTGCAGTCTCCGGGGCTTCTAGGCTAAAGATACAACTGTCCCTAAATGAGCCCATCGATAAGTAATGACGGTACACATTCACAGTTGAAGGATTCCCTCCGCTCTTTCTCCATCTGTACCGAAAAGTCCTACCATGAGCTCTGGGTCCACTATACCCACGTTGAAGATAACCTACGAAAGTTCAAGATGGAGCTTTGTAAGATTTATAATGGGGTGTAATTGGAGAGCGTGGGGGACTTTATTGTTGCAGTGAATGTGTTGCCTTGGAGGTACTGGCAGGTTTCTGAAATCGGTGGTGGAGCGTCTCGGAATGGTAGCAAGGAAAGCTGGCGTTTAAAGTGATGCTTTGCCCCACGTGAGAAATTGAGATGTCAGTCCCTTCTCATCATCTAGGGACACTCCGGGACAAGATTCTTTTGCCAAAAGCCGTGCTCAGGGAAGTGGACGCCGTGGTGTACGCAAGGTCTTTGTTTCCACTGCGAGGAAACAGACATAGTCACCACGAACGCACAATAGCACCACCCGCAACTCAGAAGGAGTCCAAATACCATTTGAATGTCGAGTCTATGGATATTAAATCTACCAGAGGCCAAGGTTCAGTGAATTGCAGCCTCTCCAATTTTTGAATGAATTTGAGAGGACGAACCCTGCGGCCATAATGTTGTAGTACGTTAAGGGTTGTCTTTCTTATCTTTGGGGTCGCTTGGAAGTACTGTCGTGGGCTCGTTATGTCTGAGTTAGCCAATGTCACGGACGGCAACAACTTATCCAGCTGGGAAGCGTTGAGAAAACCTGGATGTGCTTGGTCGAGACTAGTCATGCGCAGCAATTGCATTGCGATCGTCAACTCTTCCTTTAGAACTGCAGAAGCGGAAAGTCAGTACTACGCCAGTGACTCTCTTTCAAATTCTCGCACTCTTTCTCTCCATTAAAAATGCATATGCACAGACACATGGATACGCCAATTCAGACCCCAACTCGTCGGAAGATTCGAAGTATGTCATGATAGGAAAAGTCAGTGGCGTAGGTCACTTACTTTCGAGGGCTCAAAAAAACACCGTCCTCATCATATGCCATGGTCCATAGACAAGGACACCCTACACAAACAGCACGAGCACCTAGGCAGATGGCTTTCAAAACATCCATTCCTCGTTGAATGCCACCATCAGTGATGACCTCCATTTGGGTCAAAATCTCGGGACATGTCTTCTGGATCTCAAGAAGCACGAGAAGCGCGAGCGGTGCGGTGTCCAGGGCCCGTCCTCCATGATTCGAGAGATAGATGCCCGCACATCCGATGTCCGCAGCCACCTTGGCATCTTGCGCCCGCTGAATATCTTTTAACAAAGACTGGGAGTCCCGTGTGGCGCGCAACCCATTGGATGTCCGCCCAGTTGAGGTCGGGGTCGATAACATTATTCACTGGCGGATGTGTAGCTTGACGGACCAATTCTGAACTTAAAAGCGAACCCGAACCTAGGCCTGATGTATTGACTTCTAACTCATGGTCCTTACTGATCAAGGTTAAGGTCGAGGACTCTTTCACAGACTCTCTCTTACTGATCGCGCGTAAGTCGGACATCACCATGATTGCTCGAGCTCCAAGTCGACGTGCTTCGTCCAAGATACGAGTTACTTTGCGACGGTTGCGATTGACGTATAATTGAAAGAAGAAAGGATGACTGCAATCGAGGGCCTCAAATATTTCGAAAAGCGAAAAATGATCCCACAGACGGTGCAATGGGAAGGACGCCAAAACGTTGGGATACCCGCGCAATCGCAATCTCACCGTCATGGTGAGATAGCTGGTTCGACGATGAAGGTGCCACCATTATAGGACATGAAAGTGTGAGATCGAGAAACTGCGTGCTCGTGTTCACTGTTCCGACGCCTTGTAAGACGTGCGGACGGAACAGAACCCGATTGTACACTTTTCGGTTCGCTTGCTCTGTAATTCCATCTTTGGTGGCGCCCGAAAGATATAAAAGTGCTTTTCTCGTGAGTGCTGGCGATGCGGCTGCTTCGAAGTGGTTGAGACTGGTGATTGACTCTAGCGGAGGCAGCGAGTTATGCTGCCGCTTGTTCGAACCCTCCTTGTTTGTCTGGTCCGTCGCCGAGCCCGCTTGTCCCGAGTGTTCCCTATTCTTCTCTGCTCCCCAAAACGTCGCTGTACAAGCGCTGGACTGTGAAGGTCCTTATATACGTCGCTGCTGTCCTTCCCTGGTGTTGGACGATGACCTCTCCGCCGCCTGGGTGCTGAGCGGCAAAATTTGAGAAATCCCAAACCGTTCCGTTGAGGGCAATCCAACCATTGTCTGCCGTGGCATTTTCGTTCAATTCATGGACAGGAGCCTGTCTCTTGGCAGAAAGAGACGTGATTTTGACCACTGACCTACCCACCGTGGTGCGGCAAGGGCTGCAAATCACCAATATTCCGTTGTCAGCACATAATCTGGCGGCTGTAGCTCGGTCGCACAGGTAAGCGGACTTCAAGATTCCTTTCGTCAGTGCAGCCCCTTCGCATACAAGCCCGGGTCCTCACAGCAAGGACAACTCGTGTGTTTTAGCGCTTCGGGGTAAGACCTGGACCACAGAGGGATGGACGAGGCACGGAGTTTCCGATATCATCCCGGGCCATGCCAAGATCCTGTCTTTCCAGGCCAGTAGATCCGAACCAATTTCGGTTATAGACGGTTGTTTTCACAGTCTTCCTAGTCAGGTTAACAAAATAATAGAATTCCAACAAATCGTACTGACCTGTTAGTATTTCAGGGTTTCTCGATTTTCGTTTCGCGCTAGTTGAATTTTGACACATAGTTTAGATATCGGCTGCCCTAAGGCGTTGGGCTTCGCCTTCTCTCTCCTCTGGCGATCCGATCTCAATTAGGTAAACAACGAAGGCAAAGTGATGGATAGCGGTGCCAATTGTCTACTCAGCCCCGCAACATATACGATTTGTACTGCATCCCATCACATGAGACCGGAAGTGCTTCGTGTTGCACCTTCACATGCATGTATGGACGGTCTTTCTGTGCGCTACACTGGCTAAGCGTTGCAGAACGTCTCCTTCTATGAGGACTTGACCGTATGCAGATTTCTCAAATATCGTTCGCCCCAAGGTGGAGTGCGAGGGCATTGCCTAGGCTGATGGTAACAAGAAACCCTGTCTTTTTCAGACATCACGTCCGGTAACCTGCGCTCAGACAGTAGAAGCCAAGGTCTTCTGGTTCTGTGCCCGAGAGCAACGCTGCCGTATTCAGCTCATAGGTGACGCTTCAGCGGGCGGCTAGGTTGGCGAAACGTTTAAGATCCACAACGGCGACGCACGAAGCCTATGCTGACGAAGGTATGGTAACGCCAAGGGTTGCTAGATTCTAGTGATGCGAAAACTCTGACGATGAATTGAAGATGGAAGCAGTGCTGTCGAGGCCGAAGAAACTGTACAACTTCATTCAACAGAGAAACGACGCAATGCATAATATTGCCCGTTGGAAAATGTCCGCAAAAGTCTGCTCCGGACACGAAAAGGTACTACCATCCGGTTGGTGCGTTGGCGTTTGCTATTACAGAGCAGACACATCGCACCATGTTCAAGGTACTCAATCGAGGCAGGGATATCACGACACACAACAGATATTGCGCCGAGAAGTACTGAGTGATCAGAACCGCAGCTGCAACCAAGAGGGTTGTCCTTTTCAATGCTGATGTTGAAGAGCACAATGCAAACAAATTCATATCTGGGGTGTGAACGGCTTTCCTATTTACATCTCGACCACGACGACCGCATGATCTGCACTTTGGCGTACACGCTACCACTTGTCCGGAATCTGGTCCATGTGCTCGACAAAGGTTCGGTTGTCATTAGCAGTAAAGCAGGATGCAACAAGTATGCAGTGGTCCGCCGCCTCCTTACGCATCGTCCTGGTGGTGGTGATGATGATGCTTATGATGAGAAGAACGATGTGGAACAATCTCAAAAGCCAATGCTTCCGGAACTCGATAGTGGTCTTTAATAATGAACCAATTACCAATGGTAAGCACGAAACAACCAACGGCGACAACCGAAGCCCAATTCATATTGTTAGTGGTGACTGGGTAATTCAGGGGGAAGCTCAAGAAGATAACCTGGAAGCAGATCCAGCCGATCATGAGGATGTTGAAGATGATGCCCACACGGCCGAGGTTGACGTATCGCTTGGCGGGAAGACGTTGCCGACCCTGGATCACCAACAACACTACTGGCAAGCCATACGAAATTCCGAAACAGATGCCGGCAGATCCGTAAATGGCATTAAGAACATACGCAGGGGCAAACTCGAGAGCATCAAAAGCGAGTGCCACCACCGCGCACGCCAGTACCGAGTTGAAAGGAACGAGCGTTTTGGCGTCGACTTGGGTGAGCCATGAGCCATAAGGGAGACCTCCGGACTTAGCAAAAGACCAGGCAATTCGACTTTCGCCAGTCAGACAGGCGTTGCAACCCTGGATAAAGGATGCAGATAAGATGATGCCGATGGTGACCAGGAAGCCTGTGTTGTGCCACGCATCCCAGCATATCTGAAAAATAGGTTGACCGCCCAAAGGCTCCAAGAGGCCCTCGGGATTGACGGTACAGAACAAGAGGACGATGATCATGACGAATGCTCCCAAGAATGAGAGGAGGAACGATCCGATCATGACCTGTGGTACGCGCCGTTGAGGGTTTGGCAACTCTTCGGTCAAGTGCGTGGCGCCGTCGGGAAGACACAGAGCAACCAACGCGGGCAGCATTCCAAGACAGAAAACGAGACCATCCGAGCCCCAACCCGTGTTGTTAATGACATCGATGAAGACCGTCCTTGCATCGGCCTTTGGCTGCGCCTTGGAGAGGACCACAACTATGATGTAGATCACGGCCACGTTGATGGCGACAACAAAGAATTTGGTGACAGCCGGATAGATTTTGATGAGCCAAGTGTTCATTGCGATAGCAATGATGAACATGGCGATGGACATCAAAAAGCTATGGTAATGCTGGGGAACATAGCTGTTATTGATGATGGTGGCGGTTCCCAGGATGAACTGGGTGCTTAGAAAATAACCACCAGCGACGGCGAAATTCCATCCCCAAAGTGTCATCATTCCGTTCAAGTAGGTGAGGAAACGTCGGTATTTTGGCGGAGCCAGGATTGCCGTCCAGTATGTTTGACCTTCAATTTTCGTCAGAACAGGAAACAAGCCCCTGTTGCAGCATCCATCCACTCACCCGCAACATGGGGGTACGCCGACGCTAGCTCGGCAAAATTCAGCACGATGTTGCCTTGACCGACCGCGGCCACGATAAAACACCAGAAAAAGTAAGGGCTTCCTCCGACGCCCAAGGTGAATTGCAAATACCCAGCGATGGCCAGGGGAGCGCAGCCAAGAGTGTACTGAACCCCCAGCACGCTCCAGAGACTGAAGCGTTCGTCGTCGAGTTTAGTGACGGCATGTTGTTCGACAGATGTGTCGGTAGTGATGGATTCGAGTGGCTCACCCGTGAACTCCTCGGTGGAATGGTGTTTTGTGGTTTCAGACATCTTCCACAACTTGACGAGGACGAAGCGGCGCAAACAAAGATAAAAATGGGTAAGAGAAGTCTACTCACTGCTCCAGGGGTGGAGAAGGTTGCCACAACTTGACATTGAATTGGTTTATATCTTGCTAAGAATGTGAAAGGAGTTTGAGGGTTCCCTTCAATTGTTAAGGCCCAGTCCATGAGAAGCGCATGGGCATTGCAGAGACCAAGAAACCTTACTTCAACGGATTTCCCGAAGTTTGGGCTGAGCAGATGGATAAACGCATATCATCGTTTTGCTGTTTGCAGGCCGACTCACTTCAAGAGCCATGATTGGTCAGAAGCCTCCAAAATAGTCGAAGACTGATTACGTATAAGGACCTTATCCCCGCAAGTAATATACGGGGAAGATAGGTACTAATGTGGAGAATGCTTTATCTCGGTCTTTCCAGGTCATCAACCTGGGTCTGTGATTGAGATTACTTGTAGCGGTAGGATAGTTGAAGTTGTCAGGAACTTTGAGCAGGAACTTCTGCGCGTGATTTTGCGAGCTTTGATGGTAAATTGATTAAATCCGGAGAGCTATAGACTTGTTGCCATTGGCCTAGACACCACTCGTGCAGCTTTTGTAACAGTCCTCCGATGTAGCGAAGCAAATGGTGGAGAAGCAGCCGGTTTCCGGGGAAGGCCCAATTACGAAGCTAACCTGCCCTCAATCGGTGCGTCTGGTGGCGAGCTCTCCACAGTATGTCGCCTGGGGTACAGTTTCAGACCGTCCCTACACAGGCATCTGACCCCGTCTTGAGAGGCGCGGAGGGCTGCGGAGCCGAAAAGACAGAACTACAGTAGCTCAAAGGCCACGGAGGTCAATTCGGAATTTCCGAGCGTATCTTCAGCCGACCAGCTATTTTGGCGAAACCAATCTAACCAGTCCTGGATGAAAAGGCCCACCACCATGAAAAGTTACAAACACAGCGGTGACTTGGCCTTTACGTCTCCCTGATGTTTTCCAAGTCAGGGCCATAAATTGTTGAACGTGCAGTTTGATACGAAGAACTACTCCTCCAGCACTCTATTGCACCCTTCTGCATTGGACTTTCTGCGCCGTCTATCTCGTTCTCGGCGTCGCATCTGGCTGAAAGGTACTTCTTCCTGTCGTCCAGCGCATCACATTTCGATATGGGCAGTGTCTACACACCCTGTGCCACGGATAATGTGGTAGGTAGTCATCATTCGTCGAAGGGCTGACACCACTAATATATGAAGCTAGATCTCAGAGCTTGCTCGAGAATTTCCTGAACAGGTCTTCAAGCCAGGCCATCCTTCATACCTTGCTTCACAGCAAAGTTACTGGTCCGAAATTCTGAAAGAGATTGCGCCACGGTGTTTCTTCCAGCCTCACAGTGCCGCAGAAGTTGCTCGCGCCGTTTCGCTATGTGTCAAGGCACAATGCCAGTTCGGTGTCAGGAGTGGAGGTCACGCGCATGTCTCGGGCGCGTCGTGCGTGCCTGACGGCGTTCAGATTGATCTGTTGAAGCTCAACACAATCACAATCGATCGAAACAATAACACCGCCCGTGTTGGTGCAGGCAATACGTGGAGACGGATCTATGGCGAGCTTGAGGGGCAAGGCTACATCGCTGTTGGTGGAAGATCTGCAGATGTTGGAGTCGGTGGATTCCTTGTCGGCGGTACGTGATTTCTGCGACGACTTTGAAGGACGGCCAGACCTGTCAAGGGTTCCTAGATGCTGACTTTTGTGTCGCACAGGAGGCATTTCGTTCTACGCGGCCGAACACGGCTGGGGGATCGATAACGTTCGATCTTTCGAGATCGTTCTCGGCTCGGGCGAGGTAGTCACCGCAAGCCCGGACAGCGAGCCGGAGCTCTTTCGAGCTCTAAAGGGCGGTGGCTCCAATTTCGGAGTCATTACGTCTTATATACTCAACATTTACCCTTACCGTGGCATGTGGGGTGGTCGCACCCTGGTTCACCCGAGTCACGCCCAAGAAGCAATTGAGGCGTACGCCGACTTTATTCCCAAATTGGATGTCGACCCCAAGGGCCACACGATTGTGATCTTCGACAGCCACGCTGGAGAAATCATTATTCGTCAATACTTGGTGTATTCACAACCGACCCCGAATCTCCCCATGTTTGATCGCCTGCGAAAAGTGCCCACCCTCGAATCTCCTCTGGGGCTGACGAACTATTCGGTGTTGGCGGCAGACATTGCCGATCTTCAAGGCGGTCACGGCCTTCGTCATAATTGCTCCACGTTGACCATCAAATTAGACGTGGAGCTCATGCGGTACACGTACGATCTCTACGTGGAGGCATCTCACGCCGCAAAGGACTGGGCGTTTGGATGTCTGGAGTTTCATGCCCTTCCTCGTTCCCCCAAGCCCGGAGAGAATATGTACAACTTGAAGAGGCAAGACGGGCATCTGATATCCATCATGCTGTCATTCAGCACTGCAAAGTCCCAGTACGATCAAGCGGTGCTGGACATGCAGAGAACCTTACTCGGGAAGGTCAAGGACGAAGCGATACGTCGTGGGCTCTACCACCAGTTTCTGTTTGCAAACTATGCCGGTTCATTCCAAGATGTGATTGGAAGCTACGGCGAGAGCAGTGTCAAATATCTATCCAAGATGACCGACAAATATGACCCGGACCATGTTTTCCAGCAACTCAAGCCGGGAGGTTTCAAGGTGGAGGCTGCTATCCGGCAACGACTGTAGGGCCAGAAAAGTTTTTGGGACACGAATAAGTTCCGAAGCTTTAGATCTATAGAAAATTAGTCCGGTTGAGAAAATCCGATGGGACAACTTTGACCGTCTAGGTGCTCCATATTGTAAGGGTGGCTTGTCGAAGCCTACAAAGACTGCAGACAAAATTAGCTTCATTGCAAGCGTTACAACCTGTTGAGGCTTTGCAGAACAAGGATGATGCAACGTGTGCTATGACTCCAGCCCTTGTAAGGGGACGATGATAAGTCGATTTGAGTATTTGTCGGGTGGTACATCAACGGGCGCCACAAAAGCTTCCTGGCGAATATGAACCATGATTCGTTCTCTAGTTGTATTTGCATAATAGGTCTTCGCCTCCACCGGTATAGGGTCCAAAATGGAAGGTGTATCCAGAAACAAAGAAGATCACAGAAACGACAGAAACAAGTTTCCCAGCGGGCATCCATTGAGTTTAGATGTCCATAGGCAGCGACTGCTGCACGATTGAGCCTTATGGCCAGTCTTTAATTAAGCGTCGATGGAAATCTCGTCGTTCACTCTGCTGTGAATGGTAAACGAGCATCTAGTTTTTGGCTTTTGCTTTTTGCGTCTGCTTTTTCGCGTTCCGTTGCCTGTCATGCTCCTCGCATGCTTCTGCTATTTCACTGCGTTGGAGGAATAGAGAGGAACCGCGAGTATATAGCTATCCTACAATCGAGAACCTTGGACCGTCTCAACCTGGAAGTCGTCGAATTGGCCGAAAACCCCTCGGATGTGGTGTTGTTGGTATCCGGTCGGGAAATATAGATGCAAATCCAGATATTCGGGTCCGCATCGCTGGGATTCGCAAGTGGCCATGTGAAGAGCCGGATGGTAGTGGGCTCTTGCTTCCCAGCACCAGACTCGTCGGCTGGTGGAATCAAGCGCGCCAAGAGCCCAGAGCCATATCGCAAGAACTCAATCGTGAGAGACTCGAGATGTTTCGGGGTCGTTGGCCACGTTGACCAGTCCAGTCGATGGTTCGATCCCGCCACAGCGATGATTGGTTGCCCTCGAACGGCTTCCAGGCCATATTTGATATAGTAAGGAGCAGACTCGGCATCACCAGGCTTTGCGGCATCGGGGGCTGGCAGACCAGGCAGGGATCGAACGAACAGCAATCCGACCTGATCGCATTCACACGTCGTCGACAATGAGGGCCACCTGAAAGTCACTCGAGCGCTTTTGAAGTCGGCTGCTCTCAATGCTACTTTGGATAACGGAGATGCAAATTGCCAATGCTTGACTTTGGGGTTGAACGGAATGCCGACTACATCTTTCCCCGGTGTCACGGTCAAGGTGAGAGGGTCTGAATCCTTGTCTCGATTGACGGCTTCTAGCTGGAGTGAAGACATGATGAAGATCGAGATTCTTTGAGGACCGGCAGGAAAGGCGTGCCACACCCACAGATTGTGATTTACTTATCGCCCAGCATGTGGACAATAATATTTTCAGGTCGAACCCTGGTCTCAGCAAGGCGAGTTTATCAAACAATGCAAGTGGTTGGGCGACCTTTCAAGTTGAGCTCGTTTCTTCGGGTCAACACTGACCGGGAAGGATAGGGGAACATGATTTTCGGTCTTTCGGTGCCCAGTCTGATCGGCACTTACTCCGAGACCCCCAGAGGAGAATTGGGTTTTCGTGGTCGCAGTTTGCTTTTCCAAACTAGCCTCAGCTCGAGAAGCGCTTTTCATCTGCGGCATCTACAGTGGAACCTCAATAGGACACGGATTTCATCAAGGATGTGGATCATATATAACAATAGGTGGTTATTCGGATTTGGAATGTCGAGGTAACTTCCTTCGTTGGCCCAAAATCCCGTCCGGTCCGCTGGTTGACATGAACGGAGGCATAAAGGACTTTTTGGGTCATTACACCAAATGGCTGACGGATCTATTACAACTCAGCAAGACGTGGAGGGCGGAAATGATCAACGACGATCTTATGCATAGCATTTCAGATGAGGTTCTCGGGAAGCAAGTCGGTGACTATTGGATGAGCACCGCCAGCATGATGGAGATTGGGCCCTGCAATCCTCTACAGAAATTGCACCGAGATTTCGGGAACTGGTGACCGTCGCTTATTCTAGGGCAAAGACACGCCTGAACTGAAGTTCAACTTCCTCATGGCAACCAACCAGACTACTGTCTCCCGGCAGCCACAAATGGAATTACTCCGCCGCGGATCATAAATTGGACGATGAAAGTCAAACGGCTCCCGTCGAGCTAGAAAAAGGTGACTATCTGACCATCGGCGGCAAAATCGTTCACGGAGGCGGATGCAATCAGACCAAGGATTAGTTAGGAAGAGTCATCGCTTGTGTTATGGTCACGAGTGCCTTCACCCAGCAAGAAGCCTTTTGCTCACACTGTGCCTCTAGAACTGGCCAGAGCCCTACCGGAAAGGGTGCAAAAGGTCCTGGGATTTCGAAAGTCAATGGCCACTCGGTAGTCCCGGTCTCTGGTCCCGCAATGCCGATGACATCGGCCGCTACCTAGGCTTGATGGACGTAGGACGTGGTGGTGGCAAAGTTAAAGTCAGGCGAGAGCATGAGGTTGGCGTTAACTCAGTCTGCAATAATGGGTTACATCGTCAGCCTGATAACCTCCAGAAACCAGGGCATATCCAGCACTTCACTATCGTATTTAGCACAAGCTCTCCAAGTTATCTCTTTTACTGCTCTTAATTTCCATCTCAATTTTCCGGGGAACGCCCTCGAGTAGCTAGCACATCTAGTCCATCTCTATTTGCGAAAGGATTCCAATCGCTCATTTGGCCATTCAATACTCCATTTTGTCTATCAAGTGAGCATAAATCGGGTCAAGAGATGTCAGGTTTCACCTCTTGACCACGGAATATTCACGGACCGTGGCTTGGTGGTGGAATTGCCTCGCTCACTTCAATCGATGATCGATGACTCCGGAAGACGTTATTGATTGTATTGCATGATCAGCACCTGGACTCATGGCAACTTTCGTCTCCAACGCAGCAGGGCCATCCACCAATGACTAAAGTACACATCCACAATCGCTCATCTAAATCTTATATATTGTAATCAAATCCCATGAGCCCATTATATCATGCCCCTCACTCATGCGGTGCGGTAGTGCTTGACACAACCCGTGGCGAGTCTTGACGATGAGTGCTTCCATATCGACTTGCTCCGCCATTGAAAAACTACGCCCAGAATCTTGTCATTCTATATGCCTGTTCTTCCGGAAATCTTGTTTCATGTGGGCAACAACAACAACTCGATAGGATCGGAAATTACTACTTTTTCTGACGATGGGCTCGGCCAAAGTCACACAAGCCGCGGCCTCTGCAATTTGCTCGATTCTCGGTCGTTGTTGGCCTCACACGGCCGTTAATGATGCTTTGATTGCGGGTTTTGATTCCCATCCCCTTGAAACTCCCTTGAGGTCGTAAGTCTGATGCATGAAGTATCCAGATCCGCTAAGGCACAAATGGGATTCCAGGTTGTGGGAGAAACCAACTTTCGCCGGCCAGTTTCCCAGACATCTTCATTGAACAAGGCAGCCACCTTGCCAGAAGCGGCGTGGAGGTCTTATAAACCGCTCCACGATCTGCACAATGCGATCATCTTCGACGTTGGGACTCATGAATGGCTCCATTATAAAGGCGATCGCCGTCAATGTGGATGATGTGGTCTCCGAAGTTTTCTTTGACACCTAAAATGCACCGCCGAAGACATGGGCTCTAGGTTTTCGAGGCTCTTTGATCTCCTTTCATCTCCTTTCCTTTCCTGCTGTGGTCGGGACAAGATTTAGGGCTCTGGCTCTGTACTCCAACTCAGAGTAGTCCTTGCTGTTTGGGTCGTATCACAAGCCATGACAACGTCTCGTTGACTTGACGTTTGCGACTGAGGCTTACGGCAACAATGTTCAAGGAGAACAGACGTGAAGCTCGAGTGATAGATAAACTGGTGTATACTCTGGGATCGCGATTTTATGTTCATATACTGGCTGCAATGCCGGGCACGTGTGGTCGAGAACATTGAATCCAGGGAGGAGAAGTCGCGGAGACTTTTGGAATTCCGGTAGTCTGTTCACCGGAGGAAGAACGCCATACTTCCAGTTCAGCCTGAGCTTTTGTGTCTAGAAAAGAAAGACCACGCCCTTCGACACCATCGACGCTGTGGTTTGCCCTCAGTCACTGGCCATCCTCTTCCCATCTTGCTACCTAATCATGTGGTTGACTGCTGTCGTAGGGGTACCGCTGGGCGACAGCTACTTTCTGCAGTACAGTGCTGGCTTTGTAGATCCCATATCCACCTTGTGGGCCTCCAAACCAACTACGAGCCGCGTAATTCAACCTTGAAGAACCGAGCACGGAGCATCAGAACAGAGGGTTTGGAGACGGAGTGTCGGAGATTCCGGTCAGGCCCGAAGGACGAAACCACCAGGTCCGCTAGAAAACACCAACTTTGATTTCCAGGGATGACATCCGTGGACGGGGCGTTTTGATTTCTCATACTAGTGACTTTTATCTTTTGGAGCATCACGAAGTTGTGGACAAGCTTTATCCCCCTGAAAGATCAATGGTCTCGCGCGGCCAGTGCTGTCGGACTTACACATCGGGAACTCCGTGCGCGGGTCCTCAATCCCACCGTCAGATGCACAGATCACCGACGCCTTTGACGCTAATATCGACAGCAGAGAGGTCTCTACGGAATGCAAGATGAACATCTTGTCACCAAGAATCTGTTGGTGTGAGTACAGATAGTAATTTAAACCTGCATCGCTGTGGTCTCAAGTTCACCCCTTGTTACAATCTTAGAATCGAGAGAAAGCGAAAGAATTCCTTGGTGACCATGGGCCAGTCTTCATATGCAGCAGACGCTTTGAAGAAGGCTCATGAGCAGTTCACTGCTCGGAATCCCCAGTCTCTGAAAGCTCACCGGGATGCTCACCAAAATCTTCCTGGTGGCAACACCAGAACGGTGCTACACGCCGAGCCATTTCCCATCACCTGGGTTCAAGGAAACAGGAATACACTGACATCTCTTGACGGTGACGTGTATACGGATCTTCTGGGAGAGTTCAGCGCGGGGATCTTTGGGCATTCGGAACCACGCATCGCTGAAGCGGTCCAAACAGCCTTGTCTAGCGGGTGGAATTTTGGTGGAAACACGCTCCTAGAAAAGAGGTTCGCCGCCAAAATATGTCAACGGTTTGGCCCAGCAGGAATTGATATGGTCCGATTCACGAATTCCGGCACCGAAGCCAACACTACCGCTCTGAACGCCGCGGTCGCCATCACCTCGAGACGAAAGATCTTGGTCTTCAGCGGCGGATACCATGGCAGTACTTTGGTATTTCCGATGACTCTGATGAAAGGCTCGACCGAGGCGCCGATGAATCTACCGCACGAGTTCGTGTTCGCACCCTATAACAATATTCCCGAGACACAGGCAATTATTGATAAAATCGGCGGCAATAGCCTGGCTGCTGTCTTGGTCGAACCAGTCCAAGGATCCGGCGGATGCAGGCCCGCTACGGATCTCTTTATGCAATACCTACGTCAGCTCTGCAATATGACTGGCGCGCTCCTGGTGATTGATGAGGTTATGGCTTCTCGCCTCGGCGTGTCAGGATACAGCGCCAGCCTAGGAATTAAAGGTGATATCGTGACCTTGGGTAAGTACGTTGGTGGAGGCATGACCTTCGGCGCATTTGGAGGCCGCAGAGATATCATGGAGCGGTTCGACCCGTCGAAGAACAATCTTTTCCATCCAGGGACATACAACAATAATGTGCTTACTATGTCAGCTGGCATAGTGGGGCTCGATATCTACAACGCCGCCGAAGTCGCTCGACTTAATCAGCTCGGTCGAGATACTAAGGTCAAGATCCAGCAAATTTTGATTGATGAAAAGACGTATCCGGCCATGATCTCGGAAGCATCGGCCGACATTATCGAGATTGAAAGCCTTGACCACGATCTCATGATTCAAGTGGACAGCGATGTAATGCAAGCTTCGACAGGCCTACCGTTGATGTTCATCACAGGTCGTGGAAGCATGCTGAACGTGCGGTTTTCCGGGCCAGACGCCGCCATCTGGCAAGCGCTATACTATCATCATATGCTTTCCAAGAACATCTACATCGCCACTCGTGGCTACACGCCTTTGCACTTGCAAGTCACCCCCGAAGACGCTCAGAGATACGTGGATGCTATCCGCGAGTTTGTCCACCTGCACAAAGACCAACTGCGTTGGCATCACTTGGTTAGCGGCATGAATGGTGTAATTTGAGAAAGGAAATAAGAGAAACGGGCAGTTTCTCCAAGGCCCGCGTCGGAGTGGACGAACATCAAGTCTCAATTAACACTCAACGTACACTTGTTCATTTCGATAACATCGATATCGATCCAGAGTAGGTCAATTAAACAGAATAATAAACACAAATTTGATCAACCAAGGCAGTCATGGCTTGTGTGAACCAATCACAAATCACCGTAGGAGATCAAACATTCTGATCTGTTGAACATCTGCCATTATCTCATCCAGCTTCACAACATAATCATCGCGTCGCAGTGCCCACACAACAACGCCCAGTTAGCTCTTCTCTCTAAACTCAATTGTGGACAAGAATGTACGCGCATGACATTTTTCCAGCCATTCAACACAGTGATGAAACATCAGTGTCGATAGTCTCTTAAGTAAACTCTAGTAGACGAGACGCTCGAAACCTTGGTCCGGATCATTCATATACCAAGCCTTGTCTTTGCCTTCCTCATCCATCGTGCACCAACCATTGCCTAGATATGCAAATCGGTTGCGCGAACCTCGAGTCCACTTGTAGTCCTCCCAGCGCGGTTCTTGTAGCATTTGGAACCAGTGTAGTCGACTGCCAGGATGGGTAAGTGGAGGACTGTCTTTCTTGCCTCCCTTCATCCACGAACGACATTTGCCTGCCCAAACAGTCCGCTCCATGAACTTGTCAGCGTGCTCGATAAAGTCGTTTACTGCTTCTTCCAGAGGCTCGACCGCCTTGTAGTTCTGGGTCTGAACCTTGTAAATCAACTGGAAAAGATACTTGGTCAAGTGCTCTATGCTGGGCAATGCTGAACCGTGACTAAGCGGAGAATTAGGTCCGAGGAAAACTGAACGGATCCGTTAACAAGCAGGCTCGGATGACAATAAAAGAGCTCATGTCCCCTCCCCCCCTCCGAAACAGAACTTACCAAAGTAGTTGGGGAAATTTGCCACCGTGCAGGACAGATAGCTCTTCGGGCGGTCTTTCCATTGCTTGCGCATGTCGATGCCGTCGCGCCCAATGATAGGGAAGCGTGGGCGCCACGAGGTCTCGAATCCCGTGGCACAGATGATTGCGTCGTACTCCAGGATCGTGCCATTCTTCAACTTGATGCCGTTTTCCACTACCTGTGCGATTGAGTCGTACTCGACCGTGACATTCGGAGCCGTGAGTGATTCCAAATATCCCGTTCCTGGGGTTGGTCGCCTGAATTATCGTTAGAGATTCAAACGATGGCAGTTGAGCACAACTCGAAAAGGAATCACTCGCCTGCAGCCAAAGCCGAATTCAGTAGGGATGAGTTTGTCCGCGAGGTCTTCACTGCGAGAACCCAGTCGAGACTTCATCATTTTCGTGACCCCCTCCACCGCTTGAGCTTGTTGTGGGGAGCCACTGAGAGACTATTCGTCTCGGAGTCAGTTTCGAACTCCAAATCAAATTGTGCTTGACATCACATACAAATGCGAAATTGCTGTTCATGTCGGTCTCAATGGCTTTGCGATATTGCAATGACTTTGAAGGATCGTTGCGGAACTCTTCTTTTTGCTGTTCGGAATCTGTCGCCCATCAGCTTTTTCGACCGTGAACCTGGAGGGCATCAAACACTCAGACAAAAGAAGTTGGATCCGCTCGGACCAGCAAAGGCTTGAGCATAGGACGTGGAGATCCACGTCGGATTTCGTATGAAATTGGTCAGACGCTCGGCAACTAGCAGGCAATGTCAGTGTCTTCTTTTACTAAACCTGATAGGAGCAGCCAAAAACTCACTGGGCTGCAAAGCGGTCACAAGCTGGATGCCTGAAGAGCCATTTCCCACGACCGCAATCCGTTTTCCCGACAACTGGACACTTTGATCCCAATGTGCCGAATGGAGAAGGGTTCCTTTGAACGACTGAATGCCCGGAATGTCAGGCCATTGCCAGTGGTTCAAAAATCCAGCCCCATTGACCAGGAAATGACAGAAATCTTGAATTTCTTGTCCCGTGGTCTGGTCGATGATGGTCACTTTCCAGATGCCGTCCTCTTCACACCACTCTGCACGTGTGACGAGGTGTTGTGTCCTGATGTTTTGGTCGAGCTGGTATCGCTTGGTCACCTCGGTCAAATACTTCAAGATCTCTGGTCCGGTGACGTAGAAAGAGCTCCACTCCGGGTTCAGTGCCCACAAGAATTGATAAATATGGGAAGGAATGTCACAGGCACAACCAGGATAGGCATTCTCGAACCACGTGCCTCCTATCGAGGGATTCTTTTCGTAGACTGTTAGATCGATGTTCTTAAGATGCCTTCGAGTTCGGTAGATGAGATTCAATCCCGTGGCACCTGCTCCAATGCAAATCACCTTGAGTGGCTTCGCCTCACCCAGGGGATATTCCTCGATCTCGTACGAGTCGCGCTCGGCCGACGAACCACTCATTTCTTTTTCAATACTAATACTGCCCATGGCTCCGGCTTCTTCTGCAGGATGTGCTCGTCGTTGTTCGGTATTTAAGAACTTGAGCAACTGTGACAGTCTTTGGAGAGGCGTGCTAGGCCAGGAAAAGATTCCAACGTTGATGCCGAGTCTTGATCGTGCACACATTTCAAGGACTTACCCAGTCTTGCCTTGAACGTCAGTATACATAATAACTTGAAAATCCAGACTCGCCCGTATCAACTTCTCTGACCCACGCCAGTGGTGATCATCGCTGAGGCCCTGGGACCGAGATTTCGAATCTCGGAGTTTCCGAAAAAGCAACATCCCAATTGGCGAAACCGCCGGGTCCCCCAGAAAGGTTGGGAAAATCCACACCGTAGAAGCGAATGACATCGTACGATAGAAGCCTCGGCTGGGATCATGCTTGGCTGAGCATTGAGGTGAGACTTTGGCCACTCTCCTGTAAATGTTGACGGGACACAAATCCTGCCCCGTGTCTTGTAAAGATGTTAGCGAGATAAGAGTAGGCTTTTGAGCGAACATTTCCGTCGCTACTAGGATCACACCACCTGGGGACCTTGAGTTCCTCATTCTGCCCCATTGTGACCTTCCACCTTGTCAATCCTGACGTCTTCTTTTTGTTAATGAGAGGAAGTCCACAGGGCAGTCTCTCACGCAATAACGTTCGCCTAGCATTCAAGTTATTTCACGTGACCCCGTGGTCAAGCAAAGCACTGCGGCCAGGCACCCCCGCTCCCCTACTCTCCATATTATCACATATCTCAATCCCTACCCACCAAAAGAATCTTTTTCCTTGAGACGGTGACGACTTTTCCTTATATGAGCGTCGATTTGATGTCTTTTTGATGGCCTACGAAAAGCCACTGAGTACGTGCGACTCCTGCCGACGTCGCAAAGTCCGCTGCATTAGTGAGAAACTCTGCTTTACTCGGAGCTTCTGTCTACTGATGGTGTTGTAGAGAATCATGCAGAGGACAACATTTGCGCAAATTGCACAGTGAGCCATGCTTTCCTCCGATGTATCACAGCGCCGTGTATTCACCTTTTTTCTATCAGGAGCGTGGAGACGAGTGTCACTTCTCACCCGTGAAAAGGCGCAAGACTCGCTCGAACCCAATTCCCAGTCCATCAGTCACCACGCGACCCGATCTAGACGACACAAATGCGTATCACTCCAACCACAGTACAGACTTGGTGAGCCTGCCGGATCATACGGAACCGCTTGCGCCATGTGCTCCTGAGGTGTTGGCTGGCGATTCTCTACAAGACCTGTTGCGACAGGGTTGTGCCCGCACCGAGAGCGCTCCGACCGATGCTGCACAAGGCGTATCATTCCAGGTTGGTGCACTGCAAAGTGTGATGTTGTGGCTCTGGTATTGACGTTTGGCATAGCGGAGTAATACATATAGTATGAATGACATTTGTGGACCTTCAAGAGATAGGGTAAAATTGAGTCTGATGACTGTATAGTCACGAGCTGCGGCCTTGCTTTCTTTTCTGACAACAGCCTGTCGGCCTTGGCCGATCGACTGGGACATGATCGAACGCGGGAGATTGTCGTCGAGATGCAGAAGAAAGCCAGAGCTCGTCAGACTGCTCCGTTGAGTATCTTCCCGCAAACCCGATCCGACTATGCTCGTGTTCTCAATTCATATTCACCACGGTGCAGGGCAACGTATATTGCATGTGAGTGATGACTCAGTCGGCCAGTTCTTTGCAGACAGACTCTCACCCTCCCTGACTAGCTTTCTTCAATGACCTACATCCTGTTTATCCATTTCTCGATCAGCCGAAATTTGAATCCATAGCCGTCGGTGCGCAGCTGGAGGAGATTCTCCAAACCAACCATGCGTGGGCAGCGCTGTATTACTCTGTCCTCAGCCTGGGAGCTCTTTTGCATGAGGGCGGATCGTTCGAACCAATGGGCGGTCCGGCTTGGAAAATCTTCATCTTTGCTCTAAGATTACTCCCAACCATCCTCTTTGCCAAAAAATCTCTTCTGGCTGCTCAGGTAAGTTTGCATGTGTGGTGCATTGGAACCGATCGAGACTGAAAGTTGAGCAGGCTTTAACCACAATGGTATGAAATTGGGAATGATCCTCGCCTTGGCCTTTTGTATACTCATCGTAATGAACTCAAAGGCATTGTTCGCGTTAAATCACTCGAGTTGGCCCATCGAAGAGCTCTTGGTCACGGAGGCTGCCCGCATCGCCATCGCGCTCCAGCTGAACAAGCTTTCTCATAATCATCTGAATACTCCCGAGCGAGAACGGACATTCTGGGTCATATACTGTCTCGAAAAGGAATATAGCTTCCACTCGACGCAGTCCTCGGTATATTTCCTTACTAAAGCCGGACTTTTTTCCCTCTAGCATCGCTGACTATTGCTTTCTTAGGTGTTTAATGATGCTGACATTAGTTGTCCACTTCCAGAACCCATTATGGATAGCACAGACGGTGTTGACTGGCTGCAAATTCAGGTTGGCTTCTGCAAAATCCTTTCCTACTCGTACAATCAACTGTTCGCATGCGGCATGCCTTCGCGTGCCGAAGAGTTCTATTCCACCGAGATTGACCAGATCCGACGCCGACTTCAACACTGGGTAGCTTCAGTGCCGGAAATGTTTCGACCAGGAGTCGTAATTCGATCGAGGAACTTTACCAAGCCACATCACAACTATGCCCTCCTCCAGGTACATTTCCTCTACTATTCTCTCCAAATCGCGTTGTCGAGGCTCCTCGTCCACGTTTACGCCGATCGCCGTTGCGCGCCCGTGGCTGAGAGCAAATTGACGTTGATGAATTCTGCGCGAGCGATCATTGAAACTCTTCAATTCGTTCCGCCAGAGGCTTCGCTCCCCATGAAGTAAGTCGTTCGGGCCAATCTCTTTCCTTTTTGTTCGTCTCCTGGAGCACTGACGAGGGTAGCATTATTGGTCTGGCACCTCTCGTGGCTAACTTCATCCTCTTTGACCTTGTCGTCTATAATCCGGAGCATTCGGAGACCAAGCTGAATCTGATGTACCTCGAGATCGTGACTGGGTTTCTCCGCCGTATTGACCTCAAGTCCAGTAACCCAATGCCAAGTTCTTCTTTTGCGGAACTCGGAGTCATCGCTCGCGACTTTGTGATGCAGAAGGCCGGCCGTGGTGAAGGCCGCCAGGACGCTCGAGGCAATCGACTGGCTCAATTCACAGGGGCATCGGTGCCTCACTATGAACGGGATGCGGCTTCCTCCGAGGTCTTGAGTCATGGACGACATCGGAATGGTATGGCAGTTCCGGCCTCTGTCCTCACTCAGGTATACTGCCTTTGCCCCCTTCCCTCCTCTTCACTGGGCGATTTTTAACGAACATTTGCGAGGCTAACTTCCGCTTAGCCTTCGGATGTCACAGATCGCGGTCAAATTGACTTATGGGACGGTCTTGAAGAGACACTGCACTACCCGGTCATGGATCATATCGCGGACTTGGACGGCTTTGGCGATGACTTTGTTATCGGCGAGCTCTTCGGCCAACACCCGACTTTCGATATCAATATTTTAGGCCAATGAGCCTGGTGGAGCGGTATGAGGCTATCGAGAGGTACGTAGGGTTGTCTTTCTCTAGTATCCTCCTACCCTACCAGATGGAACCCCATCAATGGGTTCTAGGTTTTCGAGTACAACGGGCTCCAAGATTTTTTCGAGTACCTAAATTGCTTGGATGTTATGACCAAGCCAGAAGGGCCTCCCATGATATCTTCACTGCCATGTACAGAACCCTCGTTTACCGTGGTTCCGTCGTCGGTACCTTTATCCTTTATACGTGATTGAAAACTCGACGCAGAAATCCCCCCCCTCCTTTCTGAAAATTCGAAGAACCACTCCTCCATTGAACCGGCTTTCGTTTGATGAGGGTCCGAGAAATAACACCTGAGCTGATCGATGCTGTTTCTGCGTAGATTTCCCTTCACCTGGTTATTTTTGGTAACTGGACAAAGCTTCAACAAGGTCTGCAGCATCTTGGGGTTATATTATAACAGAGCCCTTCAAAGGTTTGCATCCCAGGGGACCACCCACTTCGTGGCAATGGCCAGACCCTCTCGTGGCACATAATTGCTGTCCGCGACACGGAGGTCGTACATCCACCCGCGGTAGTAATCATTAGGCAACTTTCGAACAGCCGCCGCGGTGTGGTATCGCGGGTCTTCGTCAGGGGTCCACCTTCTCTCGGTGCTGTAGCATGGCGGCGTGCTGCTAGGCGTTAGCCCATGTTGTCGTAGCCGTGTCAGAAATCACCTCCCGAACATTCTTCTCATTTTGGATAGCTCTGTTGTCGTACCCGATTTCCTCGAGCACTGCGGTTTAGTCTTTTCTAGGTGTATTGTAAACTGGCATTTCGCAGTCTTTTGACCGTGTCGATTTCAGTGGAAAGTTTTCGATACTGTTCTGCAACCCAGCCCATGGTCAAAAGTCCGACTACCAGGCGGTCTTTTCATCCTTCACACTCCCAGCGAAGTACTCTGCCGCAAATTCGGCCGGCCGAGCGCTTCTGCTCATGCTAGCGGTGTAAAGTCCCATCGGAGACGATATAAAGTACGATGCAATTGGCAAAGCTGGTGTTGCGACAGATCCAGGGGTTTACCACTAGTCAATGAAAAGGGCCAAGTACTGGGTCGGAAATGGTACAGGGTTCTTATAGGAACTATGGGGCGTGGAAGCGGAATTGCTTGCTCGGCTTTCCGGTTTGTCTCGGATTGTGCTGCCAAATTCGGTTCAACGAGGCTGCTCAGGTCGGTAGAGTTCGAATATCCATAGTGGTTCACACTCTCAGAATGAGCTAGTAGACTAAACTGGGATTTTGGTAGAAAACGACGACCTTGTATGGCGATCAATACTAGATAGGATATGCGGAATATTATATCATGAAGTCCTCGGAGTCGTTAGAACCTAAACTTACACTCGATCAGCAGGCGCAACAGGGTATCATGCCATAAAAACCAACAGGAAGAAAAATGCTAGCTCAGTTGATAGGGTAGTTTCGATATCTCGACTCTCCCGACGGGATCGAGACATGGCACAATTTCTTCATGATGCGTATCGAAAACGGCGCAGGCTGCAGCTATGTCTGAGCGGCATGAGCTCGAAGGAGAATCAATGCAAGATCTTCATGCAGCTACTCAGCTATGCGGCTGGTGTACAAGCAGAAGGAAGGATGGTGGCTTGGAGGGTAAGGTGTTCAAAGGTATTTGAAAGAAAGTCGACTGGTAAAGAAAGTGAAACCCTACCCAAGAAGCTTCATCACCTGAATCTCACACCAGCTCCTCACTAGGCCTTTCTCGGCGCTTGTAGTATAACTCCCCATTCGGCAATTTTTTGGTGCACTAGTCTGTTGTACGAGCATTTCCCAGCCATACACCATAAGCTTTGGATTCTGAGATCGCTGCAATAGGCGGTCTCGGCCTCTTGCAAGGGAGCGAGGGGGGTCCTGTTCGGAACGATCCGAACTCGTTAAAGGCCATTAGCAAAGCGCATTGCGGGAGTCTTCGCGAGCCCCTGGTCCTCCCCGTTCCACCCATGAAGATTCCGAAGGGGCTGGTCTGAACATCATGTACTCGCGCAGTATCATGAGACTCCTCCGATCTAGCGTTGGCTTTTGCATGCTCAGGATCGAGGGCGCAGTCTTTTAAAACTTGAGATGCGGTGAGGTTGTGGCGGATGGAATCCACGCAGAGTTTGGTGTGTCTCCTCGAGGAACCACTTCGTGTTTGCTGTCTATCTCCCGGGTCAAGAGAAAGTCGCCTGCAGACCGTGATTCAATATCTGGATCGTTGCTGCCTTTCATCAACATCTGAAGTGCTTGTCCACCCTGGTGATGCAGTGGATGAGCCACAGTTAGAGATGGCAAGGGACCTGCAAGGGGGGTGAGAGCTAGCTAAGCATTCCGAAGAACAACGGATCACTGGCCCCGTTGCCTATGAGAAACTCGTCGAAAAAGGTATCGCCCATTGCTGGAGAGGAGAACAGCGTCAAGCCCGGGAAATCCCACTCGAAGACGAATTGCTCTGGAACAAAGGTCTCGATCTCGTTCGTCGCGGCGGAGCCACCTGTCGTCCAGAAGAAATTGAGTGGTGACCGAGGATCCTGTCCAATGTCGGCTTGGTTGATGTCGCTGTGGGCAGGACCCGAGCCGTCGTTTTGAAGCGCGCGGCCATACTTTTGAATGCTCTGCTGAAGAACCTGCAGATACAACCTGCTGGTGTTGCTGCGACCGCCACTGGTCCATCCACCACCGGCCTTGTTCAGTTCGTTCAGAAGCATGTACCCGTCGTCGAGCAGCTGGCGCTTCGAGTGGTCGTCTTCTTCAGGCAACAGACGGGTCAGTTTCAGCAGCAGCAAGAAGCAGAACGCGCATTTGGCCCAGACGAAATCCATCGCATAGCAAAATTTGGACAGATAATGCTGAGGCTGGTCGAGGATGATTCGGAGGTGTCCTTTGAGCGCGTCCTTGGCCATGTGGAGGATATCCCGCTGCGTTGAGGACATGGCGGCGATATTTTCATTCCCTAGAGCACGTAGCGCTCGACACAACGCCACCGTCTGAGACCAATACTTCTGCACTTCAAGGTTGAGTAGAAGCACTGGCGTCTCGACACTCGACGAACCCTGCATGATGTTCTTCCAGTCGCTGTACCAGACATCGATATCAACTTGGACATCCCGGAGGATGTCCAAAACTGCTTCTTCGTCAAATTGCTCCGTCCCTGCTATTGAGTCGTGCGTCCTCCCTCTGAGCGAATTAAGCTCGACTTGCGACAACAGACGGAGGTCCAGGATTGTGGTGAACGGCTTGTTCAGAAGGATCCGGCAACGCCGCGGATCGCCTCGCGAATGGAAACTCCGCAAATTACCAGCGTCGACCCGAAGGATCTGCTCGAGAACCATCAGCTGAAACCATGCCCGAGCGCGTCTCATCAATACAGCGTCGGCCTCGTCATATTTCTGCGAATCTCGATTCTGGGACAACGACCCTCTGCTGACGATTTTCCTGGTCAAGTCCTCGTAGGCGTCCGGAAGGCCGAGATCCAGAGCCATCCTCGTCGCAAACGCTAACAGCAAGGATCGCTCCGAAGTATAGCAAGCCGTGACTAGGAGAGCCTGCACAGTCTCTAGAGAGGCGTGCTCCGGACTGACAATGACAAGGTTCAGCATTTTCTTCAGGTGGAAATTAAGCAGGTGACAGATCTGGGAATCCGCATCGCTGAGTACGCCGCATCCAATGGTGATGATGGCGTCGAAGAGGAGCGCGCTTCGAGAACTGATCGACTCGAAGGTGTCATTGAGAGGATCAAATATGGGGACATAGCGATCGCAGCCCTGGAAGAAAGCGTTGAAGAACAACTCGGCCTGATCAAAGGTGATAAGACCTTTGGCGGCAAAGTTGGGCACAGAGGCAACCTCGACTTCAAGTTGAGATCTTGTGCGCTTGCGCCGCGGATCGCCTGGATTCGACTGCATGTCAGAACCTGTCCGGACCAGACTTGCCACTTGCTCGGGCGAGCCGAAAGCAGAAGCTGTTGAAGCTGTCGCATCCACAGTGCTGAATGTTGCATAGAGGTCGTTCTGCTTCTGGGAGTCCAATCTCTGCTTTAGCAATTGTACCTCTTTTTCGAGGGCCTCGATCTTCCTTTTGAACACGATCGATTAGAACCCGAAAAAGAAAATCACTTCAAACATTATTGGGGAGAAGAGCAGGGAGAATAGTACTCACTGTTCATGAGGGTCCGGAGGTTTCTCGACGTACACGCAGACCTTCTTCAGATTCTGGCACCTGTGGGCGGCACTTGTAAACAAGACGAGAGAACAGGGAAGAAACGGGGGAGAGGACGTTTCTTTTCTTCCTGGCTCTTACATACCGAGAGCATGGCCTCTGTCCTCCGCATTTCACCTTACTAGCCCGACAGGAGCCGCATGCTTTCTGAGAGAGCAGAACACAAGTTAGCCATCAACGTTCCATCCCGTCCGCATCTTAGCAGAGAGCGCACAAGTCATCAGGGCCATGAAATTGCTGGAACAGCCTACTGGGATTCTCTTCTTGCCGGTGGTGGCCACAGAGGTAATAGCTGCTTCCTCCATATTCCCTCGACGCAGAATGGTTGAAACATTTCTTCTTCTTCTGCTAGGAGATAGAGAAGTTGCCAGCTTGAAGGGTTATGCGAGCGAAAGAAAGAAATGAGTTGAGTTGAGGTCTAGCTAGAATTCTGCTCCTCGGTACACTGGCACCGAGAGAGTGGGGATTATGCGCCCCCTGGTTCAACCAGCCTCTCCCCGTAGTAGGGATGAATAGCCGATGCCTTCAGCCAGCTCTCTATGCTCAACAGCCAAGCTACCTAGGTAACTCGGCAATGCTTAAATGCAGCTTGAGCAGCCCAGGGTACCCGAAGTCAGACCGAACTGGTGCAATTGGGGTTTCCATGGAATTATTTACGATGAAGGGGATATTTCTCCTCTCGAGTGTCCTCCTCGTGCGAAAGAAGACATGGACGAGTTTGGCCATTCTGGGAAATATCAGAACGCTAGGTAGTTACTTTCTCCATAAGCAAAGAAAAATAAAACCCAAGCGAGGCTTGTTTACCAGTTGTTACTAGTACACAAAGATGAAATCCTCGTTCTCCCAGTCGGTCTTGTCGTCAAATGCGTGGTGGCCCGTCATGTCCTCGTCCTGGTCTTCAGCAGCGCCATCCGTCGTCGTTGCTGCGGCCTGGACTCGGTTCATAGATTTGTCGACCAAGACCGCGCGCTTGCCCATGTTCTCCCGGGTTCTTCCATGCTTTTTGTTGAGGATAATCAGATAGAAGACCTGGGCGGCGTAGAGGCCGATGAGCACCACAAAGAGGGCGAGACTGTTTTATTGGGGAGGCTAAGTCAGCACACTGGAAGAAAGTCACATATCCACGTAACCCGGGTGGGTCGTTCACGTACTTGGACAACAATCCTCTGTGGTAGAGGGGTGCTTCTCCCGTGGTATATAGATTTGGACCGAGCACGTTGCCGGCGCATTGTGCGATGAAGAGTGCGCCGGTCGTGACCTGTCCTCGACGTCAGCTCCAACCTATAAAAAAAGGACTGTGCTGGTCAAAATACCTTCTTCTTTGTCTCTCCAGCGGTGTTTGCGGCAGACCACGAGTAGATCAACGGCGCTGAATTTGTTAGTACTTTCAGGTTGAGGAGGACAAAAATATCCTTACTGATGCCGGGATAGACTGATATCTGGAGTTTTGTCAGCCGATAGCCATCGGCCAGCGGACGTGGGAAAAAGACTCACCAGATAATACGCCACCAACAGCGGCGCCTTGGCCGACGCATCTCGCGGGAGATGTAAGAGCATGACACAGCCCGCAATCGGCGGGAGACTGAGGAATGCCAACACGGGAGATTTCAGCTTCAGGGCCGTAGCGGCCCACGCACCACCCATCGTGGCGATCAGCTGGACGGCACCAAACGGCATGTTTAGAAGGATCGTTTCAAACGGGTCAAACCCGAAATTCTTCACAATCAGCGGGCCAAAGGTCGAAATGCCACCGCTCGGTACAGAAATGGTAAACATCATGGCCGCCCAGAGCCAAGTCTTGATGTCGAGGGTCGCTTCCTTGACGTGAGCCCATTTCCACTCGGTACCATCGACACCCTGGTTGTTTGCCCTCAGTCTGGCGTAAATTAGCTCGAGGCTGCTTAAAATCATCGTGTGGGGGGTAATCTCACCTCTCGATGGCAACCAGCTTGTCTTCGCCTTTCAGGAAATGCGCAGTGATGGGAGAATCTGGGAGGAAAAACCAAACCACGACCGAGAAAACCACGGTGATCAAGCCAAAGAATAAGAAGATGATCTGCCGTCTTGTCAGAAACCAAACAAGTCTCTTATTCACGTTCTGGCACGCATAGACATACCTGATAGGGTCTAAGTGAACTGGAGTGTATGTGGCCAATTCCATATGTCAACAGGGAGCCAACAATGTTGGTGATGCCGTTCATCGCATACCAGGCTCCGAGCCTGACGGGCTGCTCTCGTCGACGCCACCACATCTGGGTGAGGGCGATGAAAGCAGGAGCTGCACGCAACAGTAAGCAAGTGAGTTGACATGGATGCAACCAACACATACCGACGCCAGCCTCGAACAGCCCAAGGAACAACCGGCACACTAGCAAGCCTGTGAAGTTGTGCGCTGCCGGCATGACTGACAGGGAAACACCCCAAAGCAGGACGATCACGGCGAGGAATTTCCCCAGCGGCAACTTGACCAGCGCATAGGCAATCAATGGCTGCGCCACCAGCTGCGCAAGGTAGACGACGGCCCCGAGCCAGGAGTATTCATGTCCGACGAGATTGGTGTCTTCCACCAGACCAAACACTGAGGAATAGGCCAATGTAGCCTTGTCCAAGGCCTGCAAGAAATAGATCCCAAGCACCACGGGGAGGATGTATAGATCGATCTTTTTAAGAACTCTCGAGTTGTTTTCTGGCGTGAGGACGATGCGTTGCCCTGCTGCTTCGCTAAGAATTTTGTTGGCTCTGTCGTTCTTCAAGTCGCCGACGTTAACCTTGCTTTCGACGTGGTCGGTGGGTGCTTTGACGCCGATGTCTTCCATCTTGTCGGGTATGCTTTGGCCTCGAGGAGCACCGAGTGGTCAAATGAAGGTGATATTTACTTTTTTGGGGGTTGCGGATCCAAAAGAGAGATGTTGGATGGGCTTTGGCTGGTCGCAGCGGAGATTTGGCCAGGATAAATACTCATCAGACGAAACGTTGCATCGTCAAGAGCATTCGGGCCCATCAGCCGAACTCGACCAGGGGAATATTCGCTCCATGCCCTCAAATGCCCCGGGGAAGCGAACCAACTCCGTATGGGGAGCCCCAAGTTTCCTTCCAGAATCCGCCCTGGCAATTTTCCTAGCAGCAGACTCTAACTCGTCGGAGCATAAGGGTGATCTGCGACGCCACCGACGCGGGGGGACAGAGGCCAAAGCAGGGCAAAGACCGTCGGCGTCGGTGCGCCAACAGCGAGGCTAGCGGGAGCAGCAGGCCGCATGATTGGCAGTTTTGTATAGCCAGTTCGCAGGGATCGCACTTGGCAGCCGAAGTCCGATCCTTGCATCGTCCTCGAAGCCCGCAATCGCCTGTGTCCAGCCTTCGCTTCCTCGCTCCGACAGCTCCAGGGTGGCACGCAACTTGCAGACAACACCAGGGAGCTGATTTCTTTGGAAATTGCAAACACTCTCAAGGTTCAAGTATCGCCCTCACACAGTGCTCTCGTTGGCTTTGTGGCTGTTGTCAACGTCTTCCTTTTTCTCTCCCTGTCTTGTTTCTTCTCCTGGACTGTCAAAATGCCGCAACTGGAAACCATTCCAAAGTCGTATAAGCTGGTCGACTCGAAGTTGAGGAGACCAGCAGCGATCCAGCTCCAGTCAGACGACCTAGAAACCCCGTTTAGTTTTACATTCGAGGCCGTCAGACCCAACGTATTCCGGACGACTTTTAGTTCTGACTCGCACCCTCTACCACCATACCCGTCAATCCCGCAGCAGGAGAGAAATTTAGACCATGCCACTATCAACTCGACCCGGCTGAGCGAGTCAAGTTGTTCCTTTGAGCTGGACGATGTCAGAGCGTCGGTTGATTGGAGCCACGCGCCCATTGTATCCTTGGGCTGGCTGGAGTCAAAAGAGATTCTGCATTCTGACCTCGCTTTTCGTTCCTATGTCGTCGATGGCCAGGGCGTCACGCACTATGTCCAGCATGACCGGAAAGCGCTTCATGTGGGACTTGGAGAGAAATCTGCCCCGATGGATCTCACGGCCCGGTACTTCCAGGTGTCTGCCACCGATTGCTTTGGTTATGAGGCTTATGCCACGGATCCCATGTACAAGCATATGCCGCTGCTAATCAAGGCCACTCCAAATGGCTGCGTTGCCATGGTCTCCACAAGTCATAGCCGGGGATCGTGGTCAGTTGGCTCAGAGATCGATGGTCTCTGGGGACACTTCAAGGTCTACAGGCAAGACTACGGCGGGCTGGAGGAGTACCTGATAATAGGACGCACTTTGAAGGATGTGGTTCGAAGCTATGCAGAACTGGCCGGCTTTCCACTCCTCGCGCCTCGCTGGGCGTACGGCTACCTCAGCGGCGGGTACCGATATACGATGATGGACGATCCTCCCGCTTACCAGACGTTGCTCGACTTCGCCGAAAAGCTCAAGGAGCATGACATTCCCTGCTCCGCACACCAAATGAGTTCGGGTTACTCCATCGCCGAGACAGAACCCAGGGTGAGGAACGTATTCACATGGAATAAGCACCGGTTCCCGGAGCCAGAAAAATGGATCGCGCAATACCATGCCCTCGGCATTAGGCTGCTGACCAATATCAAGCCCTTTGTCCTCGCATCGCATCCGGAATACCAGTATCTGGCGAAGAACAGAGGTCTGTTCACGGACCACAGAAGTGGAAAGACTGCTGAAATGCGTCTGTGGAGCGCTGGGGGAGGCGAAAGCGGCACCGGCAGCCACATTGATTTTACTTCAGCAGCAGCATATGAATGGTGGGCTCGCGGAGTCGAGAAGTTGAAAGAACAAGGCATTGATGCCATGTGGAATGACAACAATGAGTACACGTTGCCGAATGACGATTGGACCCTGGCACTGGAAACATTTCCCAGAAGCAAAAACCCGGGATCAGACAAAGTCGGACTCTGGGGGCGTGCCCTCCACACTGAACTGATGGCCAAAGCTTCATATGAAGGTCTCCTCAGAGCAGAACCCGGCGTTCGTCCTTTTGTTTTGACGCGAAGCGCGAGCATTGGAACTCTGCGGTATGCGTGCAGTTCGTGGAGTGGTGACAATATGACAAGCTGGGGGAGCATGAAAGCAGCGAATGCGATATCTCTGACCGCCGGCGTCAGCTTGATGCACTGCTACGGCCATGACATTGGTGGATTCGAAGGGCCTCAGCCTTCTCCTGAACTTTTGCTTCGTTGGGTCCAACTTGGTTGCCACCAGATCCGCTTCGCCATCAACTGCTTCAAGACATCTCCTCAAGACAACCAAGCTGGGGAAGTTATTGAGCCGTGGATGTATCCGGAGATCACGCCCATGATCAGAAAGGCAATCAAGAGAAGATACGAGATCATGCCCTACATCTACTCACTTGGTCTGGAGAGCCACTTGACAGCAAGTCCGCCCCAGAGATGGGTTGGCTGGGGCTATGAGTCTGATCCGGAGGTGTGGACGAAGCCACTGAAGTCCGGTGAAGAGCAATATTGGTTTGGAGACACGTTGCTGGTTGGTGGTGTGTATCAGCCTGGAGTTGATATGGCCAGAATGTACCTTCCTCGCCGCGCTGAAGAAAGATTCGACTATGGCTATGTCAACCTCAATGCGCCCTATGAATACCGTGCATCTGGCCAGTGGGTGTCCGTATCATCCCCATGGCGGGAGAGCATCCCGATCTTCGCCAAAATTGGTGGAGCAATTCCCGTAGGAAAGAATGTGCAGACACGGATGCCTGGGGATACCAAGGCAGAATGCAAAGCTCTCCCCGAGGACGACTACCGGGGCGTCGAGATCTTCCCTCCCAAGGGCAGCTCGCACGGGAGAACCTTCACCACAACCTGGTACGAGGACGACGGCCTCTCGCTCCATCCGAATATCTCATCCTTCACAGTGTCGTACAGCTCAACCGAAGAAAAGGTGACAGTTGCCCTTGCTGTTGGTGCAGACAACCTCTTCATCCCTCCGTGGAAGGAGGTGGTGTTCATCTTGCCACGTGGAGACGAGAGATATATCGAGTCGGCTAGTGGAGCCACAATGGAGCCGGTTGAGTCGCAAGATTGCAAGAGGGTGCGCTACACAATGCAAGTTCGCGGTCCAAGAGGTCAAGATGGGGAAATTGTGTGCAATGGATATCATCAGTAGGCGGTGGCATGATAAATAGACCTTTAGAGCCCATACAGGAAAGAGAGATTCGAAAGCTACTCTTGGTCCCCTTCGATCTCTGTAGCTTCTTCGAGTCCCCCTCCAAAACCCCGTCGCCAAAAGGTTATTTCGCAGAGAAGGCCCAAAGCGGGGTCTATGTACACAGAGAGCAGTTTGGAGATATGGATATGCACATACATAGTGTAACAAGGCAAGGTGGCTGTGCTGTGATGGGCTGTGCTGGGCTGGTAGAGCGGTGGCAAGGTGAAAAAGTTGTCTAGTCACATGTCAAACCTAAATGGGCTGGCAGAGAGGAGGTGCGGAACAGTTTACAGTGCTGGCAGTGTGCCATTCATTTTTACAGATTGAGCAGAGTATTATAAATTCCATGGCTTTTGGTGCCGTCTACCTAAATTCTGAGAGTGTTTTATCAGTCCTGTCCTGTTCCTCGATGCTGCCGCTGTGCTAGGTGTTCGTAGTCCTAGCCGCTGCCTCTCTGGGTGGTGTTGGTGGTGTTGTTGTCAGTATCAACTAGAAACGCGTTCTCGATTCCCGATCTGCTGGACAGGCCTCTGTGCGTTGTTGCATGTGCACGCTAAACCCTAAAGTGCTCTATTATAGTTAGCGACCGCGGAAAGATGATCTATTTATCGAAGATTTAAGCTCTTTACGATAATATCTTAATAAGATACTACATTAAGAATTACTGGAGTTAATACTAAAGAGTGAAGAATACGACTGAATAGAAGTTCGAGATTAACGACTAAAATTTACGTAGACATCGATTTAACTCTAAAAGACGGTGAGACTACTTATAGGGGTAGAGTTCACTAATTATTTAGAAAATCTTTTCTACGAAAGAGTTTAGAACCGAAATATTAAGGAGAATTTAAGATGAATAACTCTTTTAAGAAGTAAATTAATTAGTCGCGAATAGAATACTATAGTGAAGGTATTTTCGAAGAGAAGATACTCGATTAGTAGAATAAGACGCTATAGTATTATAGCGTATAAAGTCTAACGCGAAACTCGGAGAGAAAGAAGATTATCTCTCTAAGGTCTAGGAGTTCTTCTAGACGAGCCGTCGAAAAAGTATACTTATCGAAGAACTAAGACATAAGAAGTAAGAAGAGAGATACGCGGAATAACGAAGAAAAGAAGTAGAGAGACACGGAATACGAATAAGTTTTAAGATAGAGGAATATTTTAATAGAGAATTCGATATAAAGCTATAATAGTGATTCTAGACTATTACGGTTAGATAGATAAAGAAGATATTATCGACGGTTAGCTATTACTACGTCGAATATAGTTCTTCTAGTTAATTAGTGTTCGAGGTGCGAACTTAGTCGGCGCTATAGAGGTTACTCGCGTAATATTGGAGCTAATTAGGAAGGTCGGTCCTCTCGTATACGAAGATTACTTATAGATCGGGAAGATTACGAACTAAGTATTAAAGAGCGAGATCTATTCGACTATTAAATTAAGTTCCGAGAAGAAGGCGCCTTACTAGGAGCGTAGCTAGTTTACTTATTAATTTAGCTATTACTTAAAGGAATCGGAGGTATACGCGAGCTTCTAGACTAATTCTTTCGAAGTATAGAAGCGATGATATCGGAGCAATCTAGAATACCGAGGTTTCGGGGACTAGCTACGAGTACTTCTTTAGCGTCTTTCGCTATATTCTTATTTTCTTCTAAAGATTCTTTATAGCCGTCTTCGTTGAAACTAATATAGATAATGACGACACCGGATCCGACGATAATAGCGTAGAATGAAAATAAGCTAATTATATTAAAGATACCGTAAGAAAGTAAGAAAAATTCCGAATACTTATTCTTTGAAGGCGTAAATACTACGATATTCTTAAAGGATTTTGAGTATTTATCTCTATATAATCGATAGTTAGAAGAAGATCGTACTAAAGCGATTATTCGTTTTTATAATCGTTTCTATATAGTAATTATTCGTAATCTATCTAAATATAAACTACGAGATTAGAAAGATATTAAGCGGGAGATATTGAAGAAGTGAAAGAACGAAGATAAAGATTAGCTAATATTAATCTTTTTCTATTTATAATCGCTTAAGGATAAAAAGCGAGAAAGTAAGGAAGATATACGTATTTATCTACGCGAATTTAAAAGAATTAGCGATACCTTACTTAAAGAAGAGAAAGTAATCTCTATTTAATTAAATAGATAGTTACTAAAAGAGTTATCGAAGCGAGATCGTAATAAAATTATCTTAGATCTAGGTATCGATTATAGAGATACTAAAATAATTAAGTACGATAAGATTTATAAAAAGGCTGTGAATCGCTCGTAAGCTCACTACAATACTAACCGTTTTATAAACTCTTTAGAAGATTAGGCTTTAAATGATTTAGTGAAAGAACGTAAAGAAAAGTTCTCGATATTAAGATAGAAAAAGAGAAGTATAAAAGGTAAGAAAAAGAATAAGAAAACTAAGAAAACGGCTAATAAAGTATCTTCTCGGACTTCTTAGGTTAGATAAGGAATAGTGCTTCTCTCTACTAAGCTATTATTAGCGAAATATATTAATGAACTATCTAATCGTTTCTAAAGTGCGATAATACTAGAAATAAGAGACTTAAAGAAATAAATATAAGTAGTAATAAAGATAATTAGTGCCTCAGTGAACGTAACGACAGTAAATTTAGATTTATTTAGTTATATATTAAATCTAAATTCAGAGCTAAGATCGAGGGTGTCCGCGACCGAGAGACTTAGCTATAGAGGAGATCGACGTAATATAGTTTATTACTTTTATGGCGAGGTTAAGTATATATAGCCTCGCTATTCGTATCTAGAGAAATATCTATAAACTAGATAGATTTATTTTAACTCGAGAAATCATATTATAATGAAGTCTAAAGTACCGGGAAAAGATATTAAAGAAATTCGTTTCTTATAATTAAAGACTAGATTAGACTATCTTAGAGATATCTTTTATAATCTAGAAGAGCTAATAAAGAGTTTACGCGTCTCTTATCTTAGGATAGATCTATATAGAGACTTAACCGTAATTAATAATTCTTTGAAAGAGGAAATTAGAGAGGCTATAATTACGACTATCCGAACGTTTAATAAGAGTAAAGCGCGAGAGTCTAAAGCTAAATATAGTATAGTAGACTATAAGATCATTCTAAAACGATTAGAGAAAGAAAAGAACTATCCGATTACGAAGTAAGCTCGATTAGAATAATATATAGAAGAGATTCTTAAAGCTACTAATTAAGCTACGGAATAATTAAGGAAAAATTCGATAAGACGGATACGTTTTATAAAACTAGAAATTATCTATAATAACGTTATCTAAGAAGTTTCGGAAAGTTAAGATATAATAATGAGAGATACGGAATTAAGTTCGATTACACAACGTTAGAAAAGAAGAACGTATATATAGAAATAAGAGTAGCTCGTGCTCCGTAAAAAGCTTTAAAAGGCACTTAGGCGAATATCTACGAAAGAAACGATAAGCTTAGTTAATAAGATTTTAAAATAGGAAATAGTCGGAACTACCATTTAAAATATATTGGCTAAGTCGAAAGAAGTACGATAGAAGCTATTCTTAAGAAAAACCTAGGAGTATAATAAAGATCGTTAGAAGCTTCTACACCGTAAGGCGCGGATCTTTAAGATACGGCTGGATGGTGAGAGTAGTTATTCTTAGATTACTAAGTTAGCTTTTACTAAATGTTCGTTCCTAGATATTAAGCTTCGTCATAAATATAAACGAGTATTAGTTAATAGCGAAGCGGAGATAAATTTAATCTTAAAGGATCTTATAATGAAAATCGAAATAAAAAATACGATTCGATTTACTTAAAGCGTTACTGACTCTATTAGCTACGATGAGAGACGTAGGTAGCGGTTCATTAGGTTAATTAATCTGTTAACGTTAACTATTACCGGTATAAACATTAAGACTTCTATTTATATTGTACGGGTTATAGATCTTAGTTATCGATTAATATTAGGAACTTTATTCTAGATTATAGCGCGAATATAGATAATACGAGATAACGATAAGAATTATATAATCACTCTTCGTTTATAGACGAATAGAGGTGTCGTTTAGATTAAGATAAGAGAAGAGAAAGTCGATGGAAATAAGAAAACCGCGGAAATAGTGAAATTATTATATGGCGGGTTAAACTAGTTAACGAATAGAAATATAAAAGACCTTTATTCGCCTCCTTAAAAGGTCTAACCTCTATAACGATAAGGAAAAGAGAGCTCTACTAGAAGAACGAAGGCGAAGACTAGAAGAACGAAGACGAAGATAAAAGTTCGGTATTAATGGAAAGAAATATAATGAGTAGAGATTTATTAAATTATATATTAAATCTAATTTATTAATACGACGGAGAAGGTTTAATAAACGAAACTACGGCTAGAGTTCGTTGAGTTATTATCTCGTCGGAACTTCGAGATAAGAAGAATAGCCGATAGCTAATTAGGCTCTTAAGGCGAAGAGATTTTATTAGCTTAATTAATAATATAAGGAATAAGATAAGATATAAAAAAATTAAAGTAGTCTAAGGCTTAAGAGCTCGCGTAAATACGCTCTATAAGCGTAAGACTAATAAGATTCTTTCGATGAATACATCTTAAACGGACGGAAGTACGCTAAGTAGATTAATCGACTAGAGAAAGAGAACAATAGCTAAAGAAAGAGCTATAGAGCTCTATTCGATGTCGTATCGCTATAGTTAGTGAATTATACCGCGGTTTATAACCTTTTAAAGAGAATTACGCTTAACGCCAACGCGACTAAAGTAGCTTTTAATCGAAGACGTTCTTTAGAAATTAGAAAAGAATATATTAGTGAAAGTATTATTTAATAGAGAAGAAGTACTTTTCTAGAAGTTCTTAGAGATTAGAAAAATTATTTAGAAAGTAGTACTATCTTAGATTATTCGAACTATTTTATATAAAGTATAGTAAACTAAGAGTTTTCATATTTCTAAGGCC